GGTGTTTTCTAATAGCTTTATTATTAATAAGAGCTATAGAATAAAGAGAATAAATAAGAATCTCTAGTTCTTTATTATATTCTAAGAAACTAGGTTCTAATTTATTAGTCTTAGTAGATTCTAAGACTTTAAAATCTTCTTCTTTATAGATAATAGAAGATATTTTTTAAGTAGTATATAACTAAGCTAAGTATAGGTATATAACTAGTCGAAATAAGCTATAATAGTTAAGATATATAGCTTTAAGTAGACGTAAATTATAGTAGTATATAACTAAGTTAAGTATAGATATATAACTAGTCGAAATAAGCTATAATAATAGAGATATATAGCTTTAAGTAGAGGTAAATAGATAGTATATATCTAAAATAAGTATAGATATATACTAGAGTATAGTAGTAGATAAATAGCTTTTATAAAGATATAGAGAAGTAGTATATAACTAAGATAAGTATAGAGATATAGCTTAAGTAAAGACTTAATTATAGTTAATAAAAATAAAAGTAGAAGGTAAGAAAGAAGGTTTATATAGACTTTCTCGAAGTTAGGTCACGTAACTCTTACTAAGCGAGGGTGTCGATCTAGAAGGTACTAGAAATACCTAGATATCTCTAGAATTTACTAGAATTTACCTAAATACTTATATAAACTTAAAACTCTCTACTATTTCCTCGAAACTTTAAATATTAATAACTTAAGAACTACTAGCCCGATTAGGCTATAACTCTAGATATAGTATATTTCTCTATAGTAGACTAATATAAGCTATAAAACTCGACTTAGAAAGTTTTTAGTTAAAGAGTTATTAGTTATCTTTATCTTTATAGACTTTTTACTTTACTAAAAGTAAATATATATATAACGTTAGTTATTATTTTATAATATTATAGTTCTGTTCTTTAGCTTTAAAATAAGCCTCTATACGTCTCTCTAGCTCTACTATAGAGTTAGTTATTAAGTATTCTTTATAACTCTAAGGCCTAACTCTAGAGTTATAGGCTCCGGCCGAGCTCTAACTTAAAACCCTTATAACTCGAGCTATATCTAACCGAATTAGGTAATTTTTAGTTCTATAGATAGCCCTTTAGCTATAGTATCTTATATAAAATTATTAGTATAGAGTCCTATAGTAGAAATCGAGAGTTCTAAGTACTTTAAGATAACTTAAAACTCTCTTAATAAAAATACTTAGAACTCTAAGAGAGTTCTAAGTTTACTAGATATAGATATCTTAAATCTAAGTAGTAGTAGAAGGGTAAATTAGAGGGTTACTTCGAATTCTAATATTTAGAAAACCTAATCTTCGACGTCTTTCTTAAGTAGTAGTAGTCTTTCTATACCTTCTTTCTATACTATTAAGTCTTAGTCGACTAACTAGTTTCTTTTTAGATACTATAATAAAGTTTAAAGGTAGTTAAAAGCTAAGATTATATAGTTATTATAATATAAACCGTAATTATATTACCTAAAGAGAGAGTAAAAGAGAAGAGAGGTAGTAGTAAATTACGTATATAGGCCTAAATTAATTAGAGGTAAAATTTATATAATATAAATCTTAATAAAAAAGGCTCGCGTATAATAATAGAGTAATCCGAAGTCGATTCTATAGTATATTAATATCTATATTATAAAATAATAAATTATAATTAATAGAGTTATAAGTTATTATTAAAGATAATAGTATAGTTTTTATACTATAGTAGTATACTACTTATATTATCTATATAGACCTAAATTATTTAGCGGTAGTTAGTAGCTATATTAAGAAGGTATTTTACTTAAGTATATCTACTTATATATAATAATAGAGTAATATAATATTAATCTAATACTAAATAGATATCTATATTAAAAGATAATAAACTTCGATTAATAGAGTTATAAGTTATTATTAAAGGTAATAGTATAGTTTTTATACTATAGTAGTATATAGATTACGTATATAGGCCTAAACTATTTATAAGTAATATTATAAATATATAATAACTTAATATAAATAAGTTATACGTAACTATAAGTTAGTTTCTAGGTAGATATAGTATATATTTAATATAATACTAAGTTATATCTAGTTATTTTTAGTATTAATTAAGACTTTAGTCGATAGAGTTTTAGTAGGGTTATAATGTCGACCCGAAGCCGCCTAGCCGTAAAGCCGCCGCTAAACGTATAGACTTAAAAAGTAAGAGTAGAAATATAAAAAACCTCGACTTATTACTCTTTACTAGAAATATATATAACTTTATAAGGTTAAGACTTTTCTAGAATCTTATTTTTTCCTAGGTTAGCTTAGTTAAATCTCTATATTTAATATATATTAAGTATATTATTTAAGAATAACTCTACCTCTTTTTAACCTACTATAAAAACAGGTCTCTAAAACCTACTTTTTTCTTATAGTAGCTAGGATTAAATTTTTGTAGTAGCCCTACTATAAGGCAAAACAATATCTAGAATTATAGGTAGTTTCGAAAGACTTACTAGTACCGTGCGAGTATGTAGAATATCTATCTACATAGTGTACCTATAGTATCTCTTCCTGCCGTCAGGGTATGTAATATCTCGTTTCGAAGTTTAATAGTGTCTTGGGTTTCTTTCGCGAGTTCATCTAACAGCACAAACTTTCCACTAGCATCCTAACCAGGCCTCTCATTTGATTTTGAATAAGATTAGACTTATAAAGTGAGTCGACATCGGATTAAGAAATTAACTACATTGTGGACTTGTGCGGAGTGATACCGTATCTTTTTCATTGGCATGAGCCAATAGAGTCTTTACAGTACTCTACGTTTATCGACGAGATACTTTGCTTCGTCCAAATGATTAGAAAATGTGGCCCCATCGAGAGGCATATTAAGATTGAATTTTCCATGTCCGGCAGTGGCTGATTGAGAGTTGACAGACTGCCCGTAAAGAAATTCTGTAACTGTGTCTAACGAGAAAAAAAAGAAAAGAGGTTGTAAATCTTGATTTTGTGTCCACCCGTCGATAGATTTACTTTTTAATATTCGAATGAGTGCCTGAACGTGATTGTCGATAAGCTCCAGGTTAGAACCTCTCCCTTGTTGAACTGCGGTCGGACAATCGCTCGTGAATGCTTCCATTTCAATCCTCGGGACGTGAAGATCCCTTCACCAAGAAGAGGCATAAATGCATTTGCACGTGTGGTACTGATGTCCCAATCGGCGCTAGAAGTGCTAAAGATAGCTTTGATATTTTCTAGATCGCGAGTCACTAGCATCTCGTAATAGAGGACCGGAACTCGAAGAGTATGTACATTCTTGCCGACTCTATCCATGGCCTCGACGATGAATTGCGGGCCTCGATCTTCTTTTGTCGCTTTTAATGACTCTTTAAGAACGGAAGTGCCGAGAAAATTGGTACTACGAAGAGTTGGTGGTGGAAAACATGCTCGCTTTGAAGCTTCTTCGCGGTATTGCTGTACTTTACGGAGGAAGCTCACGATCTTGTAAAGACCAAAACCAGAGAGTAAAGAAAGTAAATAAAATAAATACATGGTGGTTTGAAACATGAAGGAATCTGCTATTGTTGTAGCGGATATCGCCTTTGATTTCCGATGATGATTTTACTTGAGTGGCCGAGTTATAGAACAAGCTTGAGATAAAGAAACCAAGCAATTATAACTTGTATTTCTCGATGTGTGGCAGATTGTACTTTGAATACCCAAATCTTTAAGTGGGTAACCCTAAGCTATTCAATCAATGGGAGAAAATTGTCAAAACACCAAGCTGTTATGGACAATGAAATAATTCCACGGATTCGTGCGGGGATGACTGTCAGCGCGGGGTAAAGCTTATCAAAGACAAGCTCATCGTAAAGCTCTGAGTCCTGTAGATCAACACCCTTCCTTCAGCGTTTGGTTTCGACGAGTAAGTAATTTCTCACACAAATCGTCGTTCAGCGCCGCTGAAGCATGCAACCCTACCACGTCATAAGGACCGAGAGGTATTGTGTCTCTGACTCAGCTCCTGGGGCATGCACTGTGATGCTTCAGACTCGCCCTTAATAGCGACAATGTCATTGTGCAGAATGGAAATAGTCAATTGGGCGGTGTCGCAATCTGGCTAGAACGCGTGGAACATGATTGTCGTTATCATTAAATGTGAATTCTTTGACTCCGTCGTCTTTCATTGACATTTCGAGGTTAGCGGAGTAGTTGTCAAGCGGCTTAAGCCTAGTCACATTAGCCGCAGTAGCTCACTACAGTAGTGGCAGCTTCTAGCCCCTGTAGGTCTCATGTCAGCCGTTTTAGCATTACTCGACGTATTCTTTAAAAAAAAAAACACGGCACTTAGCTCCTTAGCTCCTTAGCAGCCCAGACTCGGAACGTAGCGGCTGTCAACGTCAACCAAACGTCAAGGCTAGGTGGGGAACGACTAAAGCGCGTGCAACAAAAGAACATCATTGCTTTAGCGCAGGAGATCATCGCCAGAGAAACAAGGCATTCCTTACCGGCAATCTTCTGTCAGCCATTTCAGGGTTTTCACCGCTGACTCTCAGCTAAGGGGAAACACAAGTGGGGCCTGAAATTTATCGGATAAGCAGATCCAAGACAAGATCCTCTTAGAGTGTAGAGTTCCAAGAAAACGGTGGGCAGCTCTACTTCTTACGCTAAAATAACTCCTAAATAAGTGGGTGACCAAGAAGCCCCGGTTTCCAAAGTCTCGGCCACCTACGTCGGCGTATAAACTCAATTTTAGCGACCCGACGTTATGGAATCAGGGCCATAAACTTTTGAAATGAGTTGAAGATCTTTTGAAGACCGCCGGATTTCTCTGTCAATTCAAAAGCCTATTCAACTCTTTCGAGGCAATTAGTCATATATCCCACCTCTCGTCCATCGAATCCGTACAAAACAGTTTAAAATCGCCCAGCATGCAATTTACGCGTATCACGGTCATTATTGCTGTCCTCAGCTCCTCTTTTGCTCTTCCATTGCTGGGTATCGAAAACACTTTGGTGAGTCTATCGCTTGACCTGATATGCGGAAAAGTTATCGAACAGAACTAAATGATATGTGAGGAAAAGAAAGAGTTAATTGGTACCGACATCGACATCGATGCGCTGAACAACCTTTGCTTGGGTATCGCAACCTGCAACCCTGTCACAGTTACGGAGGCAGGAACGAAATAGCAACGAAAGGACACACTGTTGGATTTGGGAATCGAATTGAATTTGTTTGATGGTAACGTGGCTGATGTTGGTTTGAGTCTGGAAGGGCTGAATAAATTATGTATAGCGAACGGGCGTTGTAATATTGGGATTTAAAGTTTGAAACAACATAGAGGAGAGAAAAAGGGAAAGTCCTTCACTGTTGGTTGTGTGCAAGAATTGTAAACGTGAAGAAGTCTGGGGCAAAACTCTTTGAGTTTTAGTTTGAATGGTTTTAATGAGAAAACCCTAACGCATGTAAATAATGTATTGGTTTTTGAATTTCGTGATTTGTTAATTGCCGGACACGTATCATTAAAATAAGGGACTACTTATCCGCAAAGATAAAAATATGTTACGCATAGCTGATGAATCGCAGGTCGCCCAAATCATAAATGGTCTATTGATAGTTATACTCTAACTTGCAAACTTGTGTGTCAATCTTTATTCTCATTGCTTCCCATTTCCCACAATACCCAACACCAATCATTCTGCTCGCTCATGAAACCTCGACTAATTTATTTCGGACTTTTCATTCATCTTCAGCTCACTCTCTTCATTTTCCAGCATACCCACTCTCAGACTGACTCCGTCTCTCGGCCGGAGTACTAGTCTCCACATTTTGAGGCTCTCTGGGTCCTCGACTGACTCGTCACGCGCGAACACAAAAGTGCTCAACAAGCAACACATGATGATTTTCATCTCAGTCTCGGCGAATTTGCGACCAACGCAACCTCTGGGACCCTGCAAGAACGTCATGAAAGCATTTGTCGTGTATGTTTCTGGCAAATGATCCCAGCGATCCGGGTCAAATTCGTTGGCTGTGGGACCCCAATACATTGGCAAACGATTGATAGCATTGGCAAGAACATAGATGACAGTTCCAGCCGGGACTTTGTAGTCGCCCAGCATATCATCTGCGATGGATTGTCGCACAGTCATTGGAATTGGAGGAATGTACCGCAGAGATTCACGGCACACATTGTCCAAATATGGAAGCTTGTCTGCATCTGCCTTTGCAAGTTCGGTTGGATCGTATCGAGTTTTTGGATCAAAGAGAAAGGGCATGTGTTGACGAACTTCATCACGAAGCTTTGATTGCATATCCAGTCGTTTTGACAGAAGATGGAGCGTCCAGGCAATTCCCGTTGCTGTTGTGTCGTGCCCAGCACCCAAGAAAGTCATAACTTGATCACGCATCGTCTGGAATGAAAGACCCTTTTCACCGGCTTCCTTCATCTTCAGGTTGTCTTTTGAAATAAGCGCAATGATATCCTTATGCTTGGAGTGTGCAGCTGCTTGGCCTTCTTTCTCGGTGATGATCTCTGTCGCCTTGTCGAGAATGATGTTACGTGCAGCCTCCATGTCCCGATTCATCTTGGCTGGAATATGCTTGGTCGAAGGAATAAATGCCTGGAGGCCATGAAGAATGCGAGAACCAATATCGAATGCAAATACGAGGCGGTAAGCCTCTCTGATAGGAACCTCTGGGTTCTCAAGAGAGTTGATGTCTGTGCCGAATCCTGCTTGTCCAATGATATCAAGAGTTGTGCGATTTAGCCATTCCAAAGCTTCGATACACTTCCTCGTAACGCCCGACTCCACCATCTCCTCTCGCCAAAGTTTTGAGAGAAGCAGCGCCTTTTCCCAAAATATTGGTTGGAGTGCACGAATGGACTGAATGGAGAAACCAGGTGTAAGAGCCTTGCGTTGGTGCACATGTTCTGAGCCCTCTGCGAGCAAGACACCCTCCCCCAATATACGTACCATCCACAACTTCGCGCGGACGGGTTTAGGATAGTTGTACGGATTCTTTACCGTCATCTGGTGTATGGCTTTGTCGTCTGCGATAGAAAGTCTCTCGGCCCCAAATGGGAAGAAGTATCGAATGATAGGGCCATGTTTTTCGTGCCAGGATCTCTGAGGCACTCCGCATTCAGTTGTAATGATTTCGAAGAATTGTCCCCAAAGAGGGTAGCAGGGTACCGTCGGAACATGTCGCAGCTCTGAAATGTAAAATGGATAAATGAAACACTGGTATATGGCAACGTATGCCGGAATAGTAGTAAGGTATATCCAGGGTAATATTTCAAAAAGAGAGTAGGATGTAGTCTTAGTGGTAATAAATGCCACAATCGTTGCAGCACCAACAAGGTGATAAGTTGAAAATGAGAAGGACATTTTGGAACTGTAGCTGAAGACAAATTGGTCGGATTTTTAGAGAGATGAAGGGGACCAAGTAGTAGACAAATAAAAATTGTCTCGGCTCCGGGCTGGAGCTCCATATTGATGCCGAGATTCAGGGACTTGGAAATATGAGTAGTAACTCATTTGCTGACATTTTTAGCATCGATTTTTTTGTTGGCTACCTGTCAAGTATGTGAAATGATCAGCATCAAAAATAAAGCTTTAAAGCTAAGAAAATGGCTTCTTTTGTGACCTGGGGATTTGCTGAATTGGTAAGGGAAAGCCAAGTACTGTGCCAACATCCTCCAGGCAGTGGACCACGGAATCCATGTTTGCTTATGGCTTGCTACACAAACCTAGCATTTAAAGATTAGCTTTGAGATCGCCGACCACGATGTAATACATCATGCAGGTCTCAAGCTTTGAATTGTTTTGCATGAGCGTTAATGTGTTCGGTAACGATCAGCAGAAGACCCGTTATTGGGTTGTTCCTCCGTAGCTATGATATTAAGGTTGGCCATGTGTAAGCTACTTCGAGCAGAAAAGTGGAATCTGAGTGGTGTATACAAAATACTGAGAACCCACTCTTGCCAAAACTAGCGAGATCTTATCTGCCGTGCACGCTAGTAAGTTGTTGCAGCACATCGGAAAACTTTCATCTCGATTGGGATGAACATCATAGTTCATTCTCTGATTGACCTAGAGTTCTGCTAACACTAAAGCACACCAATTGCGCAATTATTTAGAACCCGTCAAATCCCCTAAAGAGCCGCACCGAGAGTAAGGCTACTGTTGCATAAGCAGAATGGAGTGGAGGACTACCTTGGCACATGCAGCCTTGCTCATTAGTTTCACACATACGTCAAGAAAATCGGGACTCAGATCCATAATTTAACACTCTGTCGGAACATTGCGAGATTTCCAAGGGGGCCCAACCATACAGCGCTAGACAAACGAATTCTGAATGGCGGTACCGAATGACTTGCAATCGAGTTCAAGTCCAACTGTTCTCGGTAAGGGCGCTGTTTCAATCCTAGCCGGAGAACAGTAATACAAATTCGGAAAAGTATCAGGACCCTGTTAACTAAGATCACCATGACGGATGTAGTCGAAGAACCCCACCGAGGATAGGTGCCAGCCGAATCGTATCAAACAATAACTTGGCAATTCATCTCCAAAGATTTCCCTGGACTCCGAATTTTGTTCTAACTAATACTTCTTAACCCGTTCACAAATGACTGTGGCATAAAGAAAGACCAATCTTCTTACCATATCATCCTGTACTGTCATTCTCATTGAGCATTTTCCAAGGCTAGATATTGTCGTTTTGAAAATGTCACACTCCCCGGGACCATCTCATTGTTCTATGGTTCTTGCACCCATCAAGCTCAAAGATCTTTCACCATGGGCAACCTTCAACAAATTGTGGGCAGGGGTGATGGGCTATCCTGCGGAAGAATTCAGATTTGTGGCAGGAAAGACTCCGATGTCGACGCTCAGCGAGACGACGGTTGTTATAGCCATCTACCTCATCGTCGTGTTTGGGGGACGGGAGATTATGCGAAATCGAGAACCTTACAAACTCAACACGCTCTTCAAAATACACAATTTCATGCTGACAGCGGTCAGTGGGGCACTTCTCGTACTTTTCGCTGAGCAACTTCTCCCAACCCTATGGCGCCACGGTCTGTACGACAACATTTGCGGAGCAAGTGGTTGGACTCAGCCTCTCGTGGTTCTTTACTATGTATGTATTGTGACTTCATGGAACATAGCAGCTGACATGTTTTAGCTCAACTACCTGACGAAATACATTGAACTGATTGATACTGTGTTTTTAATGGTTAAGAAGAAGCAGCTGAGTGAGTAAAACTTTATCGTCGTACATAATAAACTGGCCTTAACATCTCTTGCAGCTTTTCTTCATTGTTACCACCACCCAGCAACTGCGTTACTTTGTTACACCCAGCTTTTGGGAAGTACTTCTGTGTCATGGGTTCCGATCACACTGAACTTGACAGTTCATGTTGTGATGTATTGGTATTATTTCCAGAGTGCTCGCGGTATTCGCGTTTCTTGGAAGCAATGGATAACACGTCTTCAAATTGCTCAATTCGTCATTGATCTAGGTAAAGGCTTGATTTCGCTGAAGGTAATAGGGGTGTCGCTGACATAACTCACAGGTTTTGTTTATTTCGCCTCTTGGGATTATTTCACGAGTACTTACGCACCGTTTCTTCCTCACGTCGGTACTTGTGCTGGCGAGCCTTGGGCTGCTATAGCCGGAGACACAATTTTAAGTTCTTATCTTGTGTTATTTATCTCATTCTACATCGCCACATATAAGGAATCTTCGAAACGCCGCTCGGCTGCAAGAATCGCGAAAAATGCTGAGAAGAGTTTGCAGGGAGCTGAAGTTCCCTCAGCGGAGAAGACAATTAATGTGGCCGCACAAGCGGTCAGTGCTGCAAAGACTGGAGCTCAGAACCTGGCTTCCGGTCAGCTTTTGCAAAAAGGTGTTTGATGGGGTTCGTGAAACATCCAGAACTATAATGCTGCGTTAGTATATTGGGAAATGGCATCAGATGGATGATGTAAAGTAGCTTATAATTGCATTCAAGAATGATTACTTAACTTCTGAGACTGCCTTCCATTAAAACATCACATTTCTCGGTACTGAATCAAAATTACCTGTTATCACAGACAATTACTTTATTAATCATCAATTCAGACCATCACGACGAGTTGAAATTAGCAATAGGCCCCGCGAGTAAATTGAACTATCCAATATTACTTCATTCTGGAGTCTATTGGTGATCGCTTGCCCTATCGTCCCGTTATCTTGCCTTGCTTGTGTCAGACTTAATGTTTCTTACCAGATTAGCGAAGCTGCTAGACGTTTCCACAAATATGCAGCCTGTACCACTCTAGCTTGTGGATATTGTTTTATCCTACCTAACCTGTCAGCTTGTGTCTACTCCGTCCACCCCTGAAGTATGTTGTGAGCCGTACTAGTGGCGGTCAAAAGCCGATGTGGCTTGTCGAAGGTGCGGTGTAGGCGGTACTACTTTTGCGGTCTATCTGTTGAAAATCTACTAGGGTGGGATGATCATTCTGCAATTAATCTTCCGGGTACAAGCTTACGTAGATCCGGCTTGTACTACCTGAGTACTTTAATGTCAAGGCCGTACTTCGCTTCATCTGGTTATCAGGAAACCAACTGCCTTAGGGTGGGGCAGACCCGTTTTCACGTAGTCTTTTACGGGAGGTAGAACAGCACTCCCGGTTCCCGTCACCACTCCCTACCCAACAGATGGATGGAAACTACCGATGCAGATCTGACAGAAATTTTGGAAGCGTGCATTGAAGTGACGTCGATAGCGGGAGGATGTAAAAGATAACCAACTTGGCGTTTGACCCTTCCGGAGCACCCCAATCTGGAAACATGTGAGAGAATGTGACTGAATGCAACAGCTCCATTCATGTATCGTCATCTAGTTATCTTCAACACAAATTCGGACTTGGCCAAGAATATCTTCCTAACTCACAGCACATCTTGCATAATTCCAGCCCCATCTACAAATACCTTCTAGACTATGGGTTCCCATTTATTATGGCAAAGATTAATTTTAGCCTTCACAGATTGATTCTTTAAGTAAACAGGCATCCATATCACTCCACATGACGAGTTTAAGCTAAGGTTCCTTCATCTACTTAGTTTTAGTCATATCTAGAGTTGACAGTTTCAGGACTAGCCTTCATTGCTACAAGATAGCTTGCAGTACTTATAATGAGGGTCCAATTGAATGGGAGCAAGCCAGATTTTCAACAAAGTTAATCTTAGCTTGGATATTGCCGCTCCCGAATCAGGGCGCTTTACCGCCATGTCATATTCTAACAGCGTTCGATATACGTACGAATATCCCCAGACCCAGAATATTCAAGCGTCGACCATCGAAGTTTGGTACATAACTTAATTCGCTTCCAGCTCAACGATTTAATGTCCGCACCAAAGCAGCATTAGCACCGGAATGCAACTGGTGGCAAAGCGCCTCAGTTTGGTACGCTTGCAGATATCGAAAATAATCGGTTTGTTGGGCGAGCGTGTACTGAGCAAGGTGCTGGCGAGCCATCTCTTTTTGCTGCCGATCGTTGTGCTCTTCTTGTTGCTTGATGGCGTATGCTCGAGCGTATTCTGGGCCCCAGTACATTGCTTGCATCAGTTCTTGTTCTGCTTGTGCTGCCTCTAATCTCTTGCGAAGGTGTGCGACTTCCTGTGACACTGCAAGTCGCTCCTCGAAGGCTCGTTTGCTGGCTTCATATATTTGCAAGTTTCTATAGATGATCATATCTTTCTTGTATCGAAGGTTGGCCATGCGGTGCTCAAGCTCTACATATTCTTGCTCTAATTGTTCTTCTGTAACAGGCTCGCCGCCATGTTTGGTTTCAAGGTATGTGAAGACTCCATCCTAATTCACCGTTAGCGGAACGTTCCATCAAGGTCACATGAATCCTACGTTTGTGAAGACTTCTTCGTCGGAAGCTGTGGACGAGGTCGACGTGGACAAGCTTTTCGATTTTAAACTATCGGATCTGGTCGCGAAGGCATGCTCATCGAGATCGAGTGCCGTCTGGGCATAGCTTCGCTGGAAATATGCTGGCTGTCTCACCAGATCAACAAAACCTGTTCGTATTAGCAAGAACCATGGCGCGAGAAATTTGGTAATTTGCATACCGTGAGAGCTCTGTATAAGAGCAGGGCTGCTTTCAACCGAGTATTCCCCTGACATGATGCTTCCTGTATCATGATCTACTTGAACCATTGGCATGATCTTAGATGGCATTGCCTTTAGGGCGTCTTCAAAGGTCTGAGCAGGAAGGCCCTCCTATTCAATTCAGTGAGTGTTGTGTATGTTGTGGAATGGAGTAATAAAACTTACCGAAGGCTTGGAGATTTTAGACTCATACTTGTCACCTTTGACCGCACCAGCTGCCCAGCGCGCAAACGTAGCTGCAGAAATACGAAAGTGCCGAGGGTCACCTTCACCATCTTGGCTGTCGTCGACATCAGAAACATACCCTTTGTAAAACTCATCCTCCTCCTCAGCTGTGAGAACTTTCGGGGCCTGCACTTCAAACTCATTCAACCAAGAAAGATCTGTTTCAGAGTTTTGACAACCAGATGGATTGTAATATGCGTTGTAGAGCTGTTCTTGGCTCTCTGGGTCGACCCATTTATCGTTGATCCGGAGATACCCAAAGTTGGACCATACGTCTTTTCCTTGGTAATGATTTCTGCTGGCTTTGGGAGGGTTTTGGAGCTTAAACTGTAGAAAGTTGGAACGAGAATCGTCATGAGGTCCCGAGGACGAATAGCCACTGTCATTTGGCTTTGATAACTCCGCCGAAGGTAAACAATCTGCTGCCACAGTGAGAGGATCCCAGAAATACTGTGTGCCCTTTGCCAATCTTGCAGCCATCAGTATTATCACAACTATGAGTAGGAGGGATCTTACCCTTCCATGGGGGCTGATTTCAAGATCAAAGGGAGTACTAGCCGACGATGGTGTAGAACTCGCGACATGGCAGGGTAAAGAGCATCGTGGAGCGGATCGGCTTGTTTGACTTTCGGTCCCCGCATGTGGGCGTATGCAAATAGTGTACTAGGAGTTACAGGTATCCGTGGATACTTGTAGAATGGATCGATCGGGTCCAGTTGTGTTAGGTGGTCCATCTCTTTCGTGGGCCTTTTGGTCAAAGCCTTCGACACCGTTTGAGACAGCTACGGAATGCTCATTCTTTGGAATATCATGTGGTGTATCCGGTTTTTCAATATGTTCAGACCACTTGCTCGCGCATAGATCTTAGGAATATCTGGCGTTGAGTGACTGAAAATCGAGATCGACCTCAGGTTAACTTGGTGGAAGAATTGTGAACCTAAGAATGGTAGGCTGAAGGGAAACAATAGCGTAGCCACTGACTATCGTTTATACTGCCAAGCCTAGAATATTGACTAGTGATGTGAATTTTGCAGATCTTTGAGGTGAATTATCACCTACCTAGTTACTTTCACAAACGAAGATAATAAGCGAATCTTCCATCTTAGAGAGTGGCCAGCCAACAGAGAGACCTGGCAATTAGCTTGATATGAAAAACAGCGCTTTCATTTGACAAGATGTTAGGATATGGGGATTTGTGACTACATGTTATTCTATCTGTCTTTGGTTGGAGGTTATCTAATGCTATTCTTTAGTAAACTGGCTTTTAATGATGTCAAGTAAAGCGCACACATCTCAGGAAACCTTTATACCATATGCTCTAAGTAAAGTTTTTTTTCTGTCAGACAACTATTTGAACCAAACACCTATTTCACACAATCTCGATTTATTGCCCTTTAATTACGGGGTTCGACAGTGGGATTCTCTCGCTCAGTATGATGTTCAGGACGAAATGTGTAAAGAATGCTACAGTAGACGTGGATAACACCTCAAAAGTTCTTCACATTGATACACTGGACTCAGACGGGATTATTTGGATACAGTCAAACCTAAAATTTCAAGCCAAGAATACCTGGTTGAAAGACCGAACAACAATGACTTACGACCAACCGAAGTACCTGCTCATCCTCAATCCATGCAAAATTGGCCTCTGCTGAAGGTGGAAACTTGTTCTGCCTGAATAGAATCGCTGTGATGATTACCTTCATTATCGCCTCCAATATTGGAGAATTGGATACCGCATTTCTATGCTGTCGAGACAAGGAATGATAGTTTCTAATGCATTCTCTACATCAAATTGCGGAGGCTCATGTTCGTAGTTTTCGGGACTCAAATCAAATTCCTTCGAGAACTGATGCCTGAATTCTTCAAACACTACATCATCCGATGCAGAATGGGTGCAGTTGTTGAAGAACTCATCGTCAAAGATATAGGATCGGATCAGTCGAAAGATGAATTCGAGTACCTCGATCTGAGGAAGAAGGTAGGATGCATTCAAAGCTCTTCGGAGAATTCCTCTATAATGACCTTCATTATGAGCACATACAGTCTGCTGCAGATTTAGCGACACTATAAACACTGGGTGAGCGATTAACTTACGAATATTACTTCTGCTTTGGGCTGAAGAAGGTATCCAGCAGTTGTGGTCGCAGATCTGAAGACGTGGTATTCGCCGAGGATCTGCTTGTTGCTAAACACGCTGAGACCTGTTACGCGGTGCTTGGGCAGTGGGCGTCGTGTATCCGGATTTAGATCTGGCTGGAACAGGCTCAAACTCCCATACATCGAGAATGCCTTTTGGCGAAATTGCTCTGCGGAAACGACTGTCCATGGGTTTATTGGCATTATGGGATCCTTCTCATATACATACTGAAGTGGCAGATTGTGGTAAGCCAGTCGCTGCGACGCCGGGAAGTTCATACATTGATGCGCATGGTCATACGCATTAGCAAGAAGACAAGCAACGGAGCAGTATCTGATGTTGCAAAGAGGTCCACAGCCTGGGCACAACACTAGAGGAGCAGATAATGTGGCAAACCCTGACTCGAGACAGAGAGAGCATCTAAATGCTGTATGAGCTGTCCGAGGCCGCTTTCGAAAGCCTGATAGGGGTCTCGGTTCGACTCTGTCACGTATCGCCATCGTATTATGATTATTAGTTGTAGGCTGCAAGTCGCTCACATCTCCATTAATAACTTTCTGGGCGGAGGGAGGGAGCGTGCCATTTTCTATGTTGCTAGGATATATAGCCTCTTGGTTCCAGCCATCGGATGGACAATGTGAACCTGTCAAAGAGTTTTCATCCTCTCCAGATGCCGGCCCAACTTTTGAGTCTTCGCTTATGGCGGTGGAGTGATGATCTGGTTTATCAACCTGTTCGCGACCAGAACTCGGGGAGACCGGGATCGACGTACACAGCTGCCCCAAAGAAGCCAGATTAGAGCCGTTATCAATGTCATTTTCGGACGTGCACTGATTTTCGCAGTTAGGGCCTGGGGGAAGCGGATACTCCTTCGTATTCTGGACGTCGTGACACGGGCGAATGTTATTCGATATTGTGTTGGTAGAAGCGATATCCATATGGTTTCGAGTGGGGGATACTGAATAGTTGCGGGCTGTTTCTGGCGATTTGCAGCCATGAGGAGCTACAACTTCCTCGACCGAGACCGGATGCTTGGACGTTGATGGAGATGTATTAAGGTCATCAATCTTCTCCTCAGCCTTGACAAGTCCTGTACGGAACGGCTGTTCATTTGTTTTCTCTGAGTGTCGGACAGTTACATGCGAAATAGGCGCAGAAGCCTCTAACGGCCTGTCATCCGTGATAATGTCAGCTGATGTGTTGGGGCTTTCACAAGAGACAGGGCTAACAGTGTCATCGTTGAATATTGCACTTTTATGCGATGTCGCTTTCTTTTGCTCGCTTTCCTTGCTAATGACCAACATTTGATGCTCTATACGGCAAGGAACCGAAACCACATCATCTGCTGTACTCGACACTACCGAAGATGCCTTTCCAGATGTCTTGAGAGCTATCTCATCTTTGCCAGAGAGATGACCTTTAGAATCACTCTTAGGTATGTTTTGACATGTTTGAGGATGGTTGTTCCTGGGAGGCTTGAGTGTCTTACTGTGACAAGTTTCTGCAGGCCGTTTTATTGTTGTACTTGGACTGGGGCCAAGTGCAGGAAAGTCTTCGGGTGATACAACTTTGGTGGTGATGTCTTTTGTTTGTAGCTTTTGGTGGTTATTCTTCGGCGACTGAGAAGTTTGACTATGACTAGCTGACGCCTGATTCTGAACAGCCCTTGGTCCCATGGGTGGTTGCACTTTGAAGTTTCCACTGGCGCTTTGAGAATTCTTTTTAATGACGAGAGGTGTTACGGGTGCTTTGGTTTTTATTGAAATCTTATGCTACCTCGTTAGTTTACGTTATACTGCAGTAGCTAGGGCTGAGTACTTACCGTGCTACTCTGAACCGGCTGCGAGCGTTGACCATTGTGAGTACTACGGTTGATGGCATCTCCTTGGCCTGAGGGTTTTCTCTGGGATTTGGGCTTTACAATCTCCCACTTCGGTTCAGATAAGCTGTCACCAGAGACGTCTTTGATATTCAAAGAAGGCGCTGGGGGACCGAAGTTTGAGAGGCTATTGTCACTTCCCATAGGCTGCTCAGCTTTCGTCAGTAACGTTTTGCGGTCAGTAATTATTGTTGAATGATCTGTGTCGGTACCACCTCCATTTTCATCGTCCACAGTATTGTTCTCCTGTTTGGAAGTTACTCTGGCGCGGGGTTTCTTTTTCTTCGCATCCTTCGATTTTTGATGATTCTTGCAAGTCTTTGCTTTCGTGTTCGATTCCAGGGCGTCGGTGGGGCTATGCTTTTTAAGCACAGCATCAAAGTCAACAAACTCTGACGTTGATAATCGTATGGTTGGAACGCGGGAATCAGAGGTGGTATTTGCTGACACCTCATTGTATTGCTTCTCGCTGCGGAATGAAACGATATTCCTAAAGGGCGAGTCTCTCACCCAAGAAAACTGATCTGTTCGGTAGACCTTGACACCAGAAGGCAACGGCTTTCTAGCCACACATGCCTCTTCAAGTACGTTCGCTATGGCGCAGTCTTGCAAGAAGCATATTAGACTTTTGTCCTCAATTGGCCTTTCTCTTAGAACCTCAGAGAACGCCCCAGTGGAGAATCGAATGGTAACATGGGGCACGTTTTCTGGTTTCTGCGAATTGGTAGCGGACTCCTCATGGACGCTATCCCCGCAATTGTTCACAATACCATCTTCGAGCTCCCTGGTAGTTGGGGTTGGGTTTTGTTCTCGCGTGTCTTCATTGATGTCTTCTGGGACAGGCAGACCGCCAAAGAAAGCTCTGGCTAATTTGCTGAATTCGGGAGCTTGAGGCGCTTGATAATTGACGGGATGCAATGCATCTGTAAAAATTAGCTTCGATCACTTGTGCCTATAGGTATATGTGGGCTTACTATTAATTTGATCAAATGCAATTCGACGCCGGTTCCATGAACTCATAGTAGTGGTGTAGCTTTCGTGGTCGGCCCAGGTACCTCGAAGTTTGTAAGGACATAATACTGCGCTGCTGAGTCGAGAGTTTCTCAGTGGGAGCTGAGAGTGGCGTGCTGAGATACTGAAAACCCGAGTGTTGAAGCCCTTCAGGAACATTAGTCAATTAGAACAGGGGGTCAAAATACCAAAGGACTGTCTTACCTCATTCCACGACACACTGTCCGTAGCTCGTTGTCCCGACGGGTTCTTTAAGTTTTCCCGGGGATGGGTGAGAGGAAATGATGTCAAAAGACCATGAGCGGCGGGATCCATATCTTCTAGCGCAGGTATAATTTGTAGATGAGACAGAAGTTTGTAGAAGGCTCGCTCATCAAATTGGCCGTTGTCGAGCGACTGGGCTCTCCCAGCTTCTGCAAGAAAATCAGCGACGTGGCTGGATCGAGATGTTGCGGCAGGAACGATCAAGTTGCCCAACCGTAGTAGAAGAAATTGTGCTTCACCAGCCTCTCCCGCAAGCACAATAGTTGATATCAAGTTGGAATGAGGTTTGGTACCAAAGAAGCGCTTGATTGTTGTTGAATCTGGTGACGATGAAGATCTATCACACCTAAATTCTGTCAGACAATGTACGTCGTTCTGCCTCAACGGATGCAATTGTGGTTAAATGTGCTGCCGAGCAGCAGATAGAAAAAGGTACATGCCGAGAAGACAATGGACCAGACATACCGTGGCTTTCGAATGGCGAGGGAATTCCACGCATCCCAGCTGTCCAGTTCAACAGGTATCTGTGGGCGACCGATATGGCTCACAGCACTATCAGGGGCTGTTTCTATGCTAGCAAACGATCGGTTCTGGTGTTCTTGCGATTTTGTATCTCGTTGGGGGAGGAAGATCAAGTCGTCACTTTCGTCTTTGTGCGTCTTTGCAGATGATGAATTTCGATTTCCCAAAGGAGTTCTAGTCGCTTCGTCGAGATCGATCAGGCCGTCATTCTCGTCGTCCTCACCTTCGGCCTTGGGGGGTGGATTTTTGTACCGCGGAAGGCCTAGAAAGAACGCATTAGATTTGTGTAGCAAGTCTCCCGATTTGCCTTTTTGCTCTATCTTCTGTGTGTCCTGAGGAGACGTCAGAGAGCATTGCCCATATGAAAACAGCGAGCTGTAGTCTGGGCCACTCATAGCGTGTGTGCTTGAAAGCTGATGGGAAAACAACCGGCGTTCCGTAATAAAATTTGATTTTGCACAAACGACAGTGGGACATTTCAGTCATTAACAAAGGCTTAGAAAAGATACACACTTCCATGTTTTCCCATACTGCATTCGCTGTTCAAATTATCGACGCAAAGAGCTACCGGTAAATATGGAAGCCTACAACTAGCAGATGTAGAAGTCAAAACGAGTGTGCTATAGTTCGCGTGACTTTTCGTGGACTGAGGCCATTTTACAACGGACCTGAAGGTGATGGCCTGGGGTGATAAAGTGAGGGCCCTTAATGACGCGGAATTTCTACGCTCCTCGAACCGAGGCCAAGGTAGGTTTGTAACAATTCACTGCAACGTCGAGGAAATTACGAATTGAGATCTTGAATAGCAATACAGTAAGCACAATTCTCTTGGTAAGGGGGTCAAACTTCACCATATGTACTTAGGTACAGAATGCAAATACTGCCTATAAATCATGGTGTGACAATAACCTGGCGTGGCCTTGATAAGCACCTAGAAAGACCGATGGGTTCAAGATAAATTCGTCTAAGAATCATTGAAATAGATCGATAAGCTAAAGTAAATTAGAACAATACTTGGGTATCATTGATGCAAGCAATCACGTACCCTCAATTCCTCAGGATGACGAAAATACGTGAAATTATCGACTAATTGTATCACAAAAGATATCTAACCACCAGAATCACGCAGAGAGTGTTTCCTATGTTAATCTGTAGGGGATAATTGTGTACCTAGGTAGGTGGGATAGCGAATCTTGAGGTGCCATAAGGGTGAACTGGACGTTGAAATCCGCTGCTCTAGCTTTCCAGAAGTCCTCCAAACAGGTTATTATCCTTTCTTTGAATATTCAACAAAATCAGAGTATACAGAGAACTTTTGAGAATTATAGTATGGAAGAAAGCATACTTGGCAAATACATGGCGATTGCTATCTCCAGGAAAGCTGGTACTTGGTACGCTTGCCTATCATGAGCACTTGAGATGGAAGAACCCATTGTGTATGAGATATAGACTTGACTCGAAGCCGTATACGATCACCCAGCTTCTCCTCCGAGGGTTTCTCATTTCCAGGTAATTGTGTCTTAGGCAGTATGTTAAGGACTGCAGCTATTCGACAGCGTCGTACATCAGATAAGGCCTTCACATAATTGTTGTTCTCAGAAGTATTACGAACTGACTTTAAAAATACCAATATGTCTCTAAACCACCAAAAGCAGACGTGCCTGAGCAGTTCTGTGATACTTGTCGTCGATGTTTTGCTGTGGTGAAGTTTGAGTGTTACGCTATGCTCGTTCAGGCCACCTTTGTCATTGGTCTTAATTTAGGTGGTCCTTAGCGTGAAATTTTACAGGCCACCTGCATCCGAAACTGTCGAGCTCAAGCCGGAATCGTTTCTTTGAGAAAGCTTTGATCGTGTCTACAACTAGAACAACAGCAACCATTCATGCGTCAATCTGATAAATATTTGCGACGACATACAATTTTTACTCGAGAAGCTGGATCGAATCCCCTTCCTACCTAAAGAAGCACAATCCATAGTGTCGCAGAACATGGCTGACCAGCAGAGCATCAGCTCTATTCTTGCTGCCCTTGGTATATCCTCCGATCCTACTCTTCTTTGACCCGATCTAAGTTTTTCAAAGCTGCTCAGCAGCGTACAGCTCCTGTCCCTCAACCTCAGCAACCTCCATACCATCAACCTCCCCAACAGAATCCATACGCCGGCGGCGGAGGATACACTCTGCCGCAACCCACGAACTCTGGAAGCGTCGACTTGAGCGGCATAAAACCTACGAGCGTCGGAAGTGTCAGTATAGCAGACGCCATTGCTAAAGCAAAGGCGATCGCAGCTGAGAGAGGCGTGCAACCTGAGCGCAATGCTCCTTACGGCGGACCAGATCCTCGTCGCCCAGGTGGTGGACCGTACAGAATGTCGCGATCGCGATCACGCTCTCCACCTGCGCGACGTGACCAATTCCGCGAGAACGCCAACCCATATCGCGACGAAAGAAGAGGCGATAGAGCGCCCCCCAGTAGAGATTATCGTGAAAGATCATTCTCTCCTGGCGCTAGGGGTCGAAATCCATCTGCAGCTTTCCAACCCCCTGCTGGCGGCAATTACGCACGAGAGCGATCACCGCCTCGAGGGGATGACATGGTCGAGTCTCTCCAAATCGAGTCCAACTTAGTGGGATTGATAATTGGCCGACAGGGCGAAAACCTTCGTCGCGTTGAGTCAGAGACAGGTTGTCGTGTACAATTTATTACAGGTCATGATGAGCAAGGACCATTTCGGCAATGTAAAATTACAGGTCCTCGGGCTCGTCGCGCTGATGCTAAGGCGGAAATCAACCGAATTATCGATGACAGTGGAATGGCTGGAAACCCTAGCAATGTTGGCGGAGCGCGGATAGGAGGGGATAGGAATTCTCGCGAACCTCCTTCGGCGAATCGTTCGTCACACCAACCCGCTTTGAGGGATGGGGAAGATAGTATGCAGATTATGGTGCCAGACAGGACAGTTGGTCTCATCATTGGTCGTGGTGGAGAAACCATTCGAGATCTCCAGGAGCGCAGTGGATGCCACGTGAATATTGTGGGAGAACAAAAGAGCGTTAACGGTCTACGTCCTGTAAACTTGATTGGCAGCAGAGAAGCTGCTGCGCACGCGAAGGACCTAATCATGGAGATTGTCGAGAGTGACAGTAAGACTGGAGCGGCAAAAGAAGCCGCACCAGGTCGGCGAGATCCTCCTCGAGATCAGAATCAAGCTGGCTATGCTGGTGGTGGTGGTGGTGGTGCCGACAAAATAAATGACAAGGTATACGTCCCCTCTGAGGCCGTGGGGATGATCATCGGGAAACGTGGAGAAACAATCAAAGAAATGCAAAATACAACAGGTTGCAAGATCAATGTTACTCCCTCCTCCGGTTCGTCGGAGACTCAACGAGAGATCGGGTTAGTTGGTTCACGAGAAGCTATCGCGGCCGCAAGACGTGCCATTGAAGACAAAGTTGATGCCGTTGTAAGTCAACCATTGTCTAGTATGAAATTTCCTTTCTAACACCATCAAGGCGCAGAAGAACGGAGGAGGTGGCGGAGGGTTCTCACGTCCTCAGAATGACCAAAATGATAGAGGCTATTCCCAACAGTATAGCCAGTCACAAGGGCAAGCACAAGTGCAGGCCCAAGGCAGCGCTCCTCCTGCTGGAGGCGAAGATCCTTACGCTGCTTGTAAGTTTACCTGCTCCAGGCACATAAAACTACAAGTGCTAACAACATCTCCAGGGGGTGGCTACAATGCTTATGTTGCATTATGGTATCAGGCTGTGGCCCAAGGAAACCAGCAACCAGATATGGCGAAGCCTCCAGGGACATCGTAACTAACGACCCACGTACTTCCCGGATTTTTCACCGACCTCATTGATCGCATGGTTTGCATGACTTGCATATATTTCGCCCTGACTTTACTGAGACCATGAGTTCTGCTATGGATCGATAGGTATGACATGCCACTGTTGCACATGAGATGATACTTTCTTCGTCCTCATTCAACTATAGCCTGCACATTGTTCGCCCGAACTGGTAGGCCTTTCTGATACCTTCGATACCACTACCGCCTTCGATTTGACTTGACTTTTTGGGGACTCGCTACATTTTAACCACACGCTTGCATTGACGTAACGTTGCTAGACGCGATAGCGCTCCGGCAATCATGACCTTGAAATGCATGCTGCCGTAATTACTCGTTTTACAACTGGGCCATTCTTACTCCTGGGTTTAGCATGTTTGACGTAGTAGGGGTCGGTGTTACCTACCTACACAGGTAATTATTAATGTGCCCTGAATTCTTAAGGTCTCGAATCATCGCCTCGGGTACGGCAGGAAAAGGCGCGTTCGGTTTCGCGGTTTCGACAATCCTCTATTCGAGGCAAAAATTTGACATGAAACATGCCATCGTTGTATTTACTGATTTTTATTTTGTACTTACCAGACAGGCCACTCTGAAAATGGTTAAGGCTGAAGTTGCGAACGCTTGGATTCACATTATGGACTGTTCGATAATTGACATCCACGATACTTTATAGGCAATTAATATATTTCTTTTCGAGTACTACGTGATTCCTTACATCATTGTGATTTACGATGGACGTCTGGGACATTCAAGGAAGATAACATGGGCACAATAACTTACCAGGTAATATACTTCGTTTCCTTTACCGTACTGCTACTTTTTCTGCAAGAGCTCGGATCTATGAGCTCCGCCCTATCCCCGGTACCGATACCTGCGGCGCAAAACGGACGCCGCTTTCCGATTGGAGGTTCGCGTCGAGGTTACTTTTCGCGATCCGCAACACCTGAACAATCTACAAGCTACCTCTTACGAAACATTCTCTTCCTCTGCTTTAAGTACACGGCCTCCTCGTCTTATAATTGACGAGACTTCTGATAAAGATGGTGCAAATCAGCGAAATCAAGGGAAACGCCCGCGACAATCGTACCGCAACTCATACGCATATTAAAGGCCTGGGTCTTCGTCCTGATGGCACAGCTGAGAAACAGGCGGGCGGGTTCGTTGGGCAAGCGGCAGCGCGTGAGGTAGGCTCGATTCGATTCCTGTTGTGCTGATTGAGAGCTGACAGAACTTCCCTAGGCTTGTGGCGTTGTTGTAGACCTGATTAAAGCGCAGAAGATGGCAGGCAGAGCCATATTGCTTGCGGGAGGCCCAGGAACAGGAAAGACAGCTCTAGCTCTGGCCATCAGTGCCGAGCTTGGAACCAAAGTACCCTTCTGTCCGATCGTAGGAAGCGAACTATATTCCACCGAAGTCAAGAAGACCGAAGCACTCATGGAAAACTTTCGGAGGGCGATTGGATTGAAAGTGCGGGAGACGAAAGAAGTCTATGAAGGCGAAGTTACAGAATTAACGCCGGAGGAGGCAGAAAACCCACTCGGTAGCTACGGGAAAACGATTAGCACATTATTGATTGGTCTTAAGAGTGCGAAGGGGCAGAAAAAATTACGACTCGACCCAAGTATATATGAAGCGATACAAAAGGAGAGGGTCACAGTTGGAGATGTTATCTACATTGAAGCAAATACTGGTGCGTGTAAGCGTGTTGGCAGGTCTGATGCATATGCGACGGAATTTGATCTGGAAGCCGAAGAATATGTCCCTATACCTAAGGGGGAGGTTCACAAGAAGAAAGAGATAGTACAGGACGTTACTTTACACGATCTAGACATTGCCAACTCGAGACCACAGGGTGGACAGGACATTATGAGTATGATGGGACAGTTAATGAAACCAAAAGCTACGGAAATTACGGACAAGCTGAGAACAGAGATCAACAAGGTGGTCAATAAGTATATCGATCAGGGAGTCGCTGAATTGGTCCCGGGCGTTCTGTTCATTGATGAGGTACGAACCATTGCCTCCCAGATGCTCAAATTCCGCAACTAACAATATTCAACTAGGTCCATATGTTGGACATCGAATGCTTCACCTATCTCAATCGTGCTCTTGAGCAGACCATATCACCCATTGTTATCCTAGCTTCAAATCGTGGCATGTGCACAATTCGTGGCACAGAGGACTTGATTTCTGCGCACGGGATTCCGCCAGATCTCCTGGCCCGTCTTCTGATTATTCCTACGAACCAGTATGAGCCAGATGAGATCAAGAGAATTATTCGCATCCGTGTGGGTGCTGAAGGACTCGCAATTACTGAACCAGCTCTAGAAAAGATTGCGGACCATGGCTCGCGCATAAGCTTGAGGTACGCGCTACAGCTGCTTACGCCGTCTAGCATTCTTGCACGGGTCAACGGTCGCAATCAAATCGACGTTGCCGATGTTGGAGAATGTGAAGATTTGTTTATCGACGCTCGGAGAAGTGCAGCAATTATGAACGGTGCAGCCGGCGAGCACTTCATCTCGTAGCTCAAAATACCCTGCACGGTACTATCATATGTAATTCAAGGTTTTGCAAAAGTTCGTTGACCAATCCGGGGAGTTAGTGGCTGGGTGGAATTTGGGAGTTGGATCCGAGACAGTCCGTTTGGCTGCGACCAGATGTTAGGGAATAATAAATTCTGTTTGCGCAAGCATTCCAAACGCGTCGATCCACGCATCTCTTTGGGTTTAGTCAGCTCCAGAATTTCCTAACTCATGTTTACCGGAAACGTTTGGTACAAAGAATAGTTGGTGTTGGAGGTTGTCGGCTTCCCGAGACAAAGGCATCGCACTTCAATAATGGCCCAACTAGGACTTAATAGGTTAATTGATTGGCAGGACGATTGTTGTGCTTCTTATCAATGGGAGCTGCACAAAGAGTCTTTCCATCAACAAGAGAGCCATTATTCTTTTCTTCTAAGCTCGATTTGCTACCTGTATTGCTTCAGATACCCTCAAGCCTTCGTTTATATTCAATATTTCAAGGAAATTACGTTCGAACATCATGCAAGAAGTGCTTGAAAACAGTCGGCCTAGTTTTGCTGATTCTCGTTCGTCGCTGAGCATCTCAGCGGACACTAGTCGTCGAGCTTCTCTACGAACTGCTCTCCCAGCGAGAAACTCTGGGTCACCGACAGCCAGCTCACCTAGGACCCGTTTGTCGAGAAAAAGAGCAGCTTCACTTGAACTTGATATTGCAAACCACCCCAGACTGGATGATCTTACTCTTGATAGTGTAAGTACAGCTCCGCCACTTACAGCAGATCCTACAAGAGAGCAGGTGTGCCTTTGTCAACCGGATCCAAAGATACCTCGACCTCGAAACGGTGAGTAATACCTCTTGCTTCTTTATGTTCTCCGTCATGATTGGCTCAGATGATGTGCTCCGATATGACTTTCTCTTTATAAGAGAACCAAGAGCCTTTCATGAAATTGCAAGCTAACGGTTCTTTGTAGCGTTTATTCTTTACCGGCAACATTACCAGGCATCTGTCGTTGCCCAACACCCCGGACTTGCCAATCCAGAAATATCGAAGATCATTGGAGAGCAGTGGAGATCACAACCGCCTGAAGTAAAAGAATACTGGAAACAACTTGCTGAGGTACGAGAAACTTCAGGTGATGGTGGACAGAAAGCATACTGACTATTGGTAAACAGGAAGAAAAGACACGCCATCAACGTCAGTACCCAGGCTATCGATACCAGCCAAGACGTACCGCGAAAGGCACGAGTTCACGACCGCTTCCGACTTCAAATTCCGACGAGTCATTGCACTGTCCAAAGTGTAACGGTCGCTATATTTCTACGCCAAATACACCTTTAACACCCTTTACACCAGCTTTTGAGCCTCGAGCAACCACAGGAGCCATACACACTCCGTCCACACCGTCACAGATCAACCAGACCGCAAGACTTCCATATCCGTCATCAATGCAAAACACAAGGATGGAAAGTCCTCGTGGAGGACCTCCGCATCCATCTATGCTCCGCAGACCGCTCTATTCTGGACATCCACATTTGTCAACGCATCATGAGGTGGATGACGACACGGAAATGATGAGCCCAGATGGGTCTGACCCGAAGCGCCGAAGGATCAATCAAGATTCGTATCGATATAATAACGATGGCCCTCGTGGTTACGCTCCATCTTCTGGCCCATTCTCCGCACCTCAACCGTTCGCTCGCAATGGCGCTCTGCCCGTGGCAGCCGCAGGTTACCGACAACATCTCCCATCTACGCCTAGAATGTTGGGCCAGCCTAGGTCGATGGGACCACCGCCGCAATATGCCTCTGCAAACCACCAGCGAAGGCCTTCATACACACCACAGTCAGCTACTTTTGATGAATCTCTACGGCTCCCGCCATTGCAAACACATCTTCCAGCAGCTCCATCAGCGAATTCTGCTAAGCCCGACCATAGAAATGAAGTCAGAGAAAGCCACGCGAAGAGTGTGGAGGCAATGGTCATGACGATACCGTTCGTCAACAAGATCAAAGTCCTCGCAAAGATATCACCTGCACTGGCAGCTCCCAGTGCTCTGAGCCCTGCCATCGAGACTCGTGGAGCTACAATTGCGATAGAAGGATCAGACAAGGAACTTCTCTCAGAGGTAGGAGAGTACATCAAGGACCACCTTGAGAAAGACGCCTCTTGTGCAATCAAGACGTGGCTAGGACCGAGACCAGGCTCTCAGGAAACTAACGCTTTCCCAAAAGACACAGTCATGACAGAAGGTGTATCCAAGGAGCCTGAAGAGTTATTCACAGATTACTTGGGCACCATCAGTAGTTGGCACAAGAAATCTCAGGAGATGATCAAACACATCACCACTCCGCCCTCCAAACCTACGGGTAAATCGAAAGACGTAGTGCAGGCGAAGCAAACACCAATTGCCTTGATACCTAACGGCTTTTCGTTGACGACCTCAGATGCGTATGCTGTTCATATTCCAATCAACGATTCCTATGCACCGGTAGATCACTGGCAGTGGATGGCAACTCTGTGGCGCGGAATCATTGGTCCAGATCTTACTATCTACGCTGCTAGAGTTGGGAAAGACGATGTAGTTCCCGGGGGTATTGGTGGTGGAGGGGTGGAGGTTAGAAAGGATTGCAGTGCGATTGTTGTTCGTGTCGAAGAGGGCAAGAAAATGGATGAGAAAACTGCGAGGAGATTGGGTTTCGAGGTTTTGGAATTTGTGCGGGGGGAGCAAGGCAGTTTTGGGAAGGTCTGAGGTATGATATGGTCGGCTCAGTCCTACTGCATTTTGGATCAGACGATGAAGAGTGGTTTCGATGGCGAATTCTTCTGTTCTACATTGCACTTTGAAGTGGGTTTTACATCAAGAAAGCAGGGAAGGGAAGGAAGGTGATGGTTGGATTGGATTTCTATGTATTCTTTTGGATGATTTCGTATTTCGTTAGCTTCTGCCTCTGGTTCCTTAATGTCAATTCAAGTACTGTTACATACCCTCAATCGCTACCTTTGACCCCCATACCCACATTCTCAACAACGTCCATCTCTCTCTCAGTCGTTCGTGTAACCAAAATTCTACTTCCCGCCATAATTCCTGTACCACCCTCAAACCCCCTGAGCCATTTCGCTTATACCTACAAAACGGCTACTTTTCCCGCTCCAGCCGATGTCACTTCTTGGTAGCGTGTAAGTTTAGATATGTTTCGGGAACGGAACCAAGCACGCTCGATCCTCGTGCTTCGTGTTCATCACTCCCGTCGTAACACAAGTACCCGAGACCTATGTAACCGTACCAGCCTCACAAAATCACGGTTCGCAAACCTCAGTTCATGAAATGGAAAAAAGATACATGTCACAATGTACTAAACCAAAGTCTCATTACAGCCGCAAGGTCTATATCCATTAATCTACTTTTTACAAGTCATCTTTCAAATGTACATATGATAAATATGAGCTCTCAAATACACGCCCCCCAGTATTTATCTCACTTGAACGCCGCGTAATGCATGTAAATTCCCTGTTTGACCAGCTCAGGACGCCTCAATCTTCCGCACCCGGGCCGCCTCACTATCCTTCTCCACGACCGTTGTGCCTCCGAAACCCAAAGCGGAGGCCTTCTTCCTCCGGCCTTTTCGGTCTCCATATTTCTCGTCGAATTTTCGGATCGCGGAAAGGGTGGACATGTCCTCAGAGATACTAGCACTGATTTCCTCCATCGCTTTGTCGAAGTGTTTGGATGTGAGGATTCGTTTTTCGGGAAAGACGTGTGGCTCTTCGCCAGTGTGTTTGGCGGCAATCTCGTTTTCTTCGCGGATGCAGGCCATTGCTGCCGCGACCGATACGTTTTTGAGATCGGAACCTGAATAAAATGGTGTATCTTTGGCAAGCTTTTCTAGAGAGACGGATTGGTCAAGGATCTCGTCTTTGAGATGGATTTTGAGGATGGCTTCGCGGTCTTTTTCGACGGGTAAGTCGACGAGGAGCCTTCGAGGCAATCTTCTGAGAACTGCTTCGTCTAAATCAAACGGTCTATTGGTAGCTACCATGATGAATGCGGAGAGATCGTTCATGCCATCCCATTCTCGAAGAAATTGATTGATTAATTCTCTGTGACTAGCCGCACGTGTCTTTGAATCGCCGCGAGAGGAAAATATGCTGTCTCCTTCGTCAATGAATACGACACATGGTGAGAGCTTTTTGGCTAAACTGAAAACCGCTTTGACGTTCTTCTCGCCCTCACCAACAAACATGTCGTTCACATCAGCACCACTGATTTGAAGCATTGTCGCCCCACTCTCTTTCGCAACAGCTCTGGCCAATAATGTTTTACCAGTGCCCGGTGGTCCATAAAGAAGAAGACCAGGTATCTTATCAGTTGCAAGTACACCATAAGAAAACGCTTCAGGTCGAATGAGAGAAAGACTTGTCAAAGTTTTGAGGGCTTCGACTGTTTCTTTGGGGGCCCGTATGTCGTTGAATGTCGTTCGAATCTCGGAAGGTATGACTACACCCGACAACAGCTTTTTTTCATGTTGCTTGCATGACTTGCGTATGGCCTTAAGCTTCTCTTTAGTCATTTCGTTCTTTTTCACCGTCGAGCCTTCAAAATCAACCATACTCTGCGCCTCTGCCTCCTCTTCTCTTAGCTCTGCAGCGCCCCAATCGAACTTCACCTCGTCACTCGAAGCAAGTATTGTGAGGGCTTTTCCCAGGAGGACACCGTCAACAATTTTGATTGAGGAGTCCTCCAGTCCTAGAACAGTAGTGGCTACACGGTGGACGCGTGCATAAGTCCAAACTGCGTCTTCTAGTCCGGTGGATGTAATAATACTGGTATCAAGATTCTTCTCAAGCTCAATGGCCGGCGAAACTTCTTCTGTGCCCTCTGTCAAGCTTTCAAGCATCTGCTCAAGATGTCGAATATTGATCATTCGAAACCTTGTCTTCTCATCTGACTCAAAAGCGACTTCTTGCCTTTCTATCCGCTGTGAGGGAACGAAAATGGATCTCATTTCACCGCCCAAGATATCAGATTGTAGTTTCTGGATGTCTGGCTTTGATAGCGCTGCCTCCCCATGTTCAGTAGATGTGGTTCCTACAATGACGATGTTTTCGCCTTCTTTCCAGCGCTTGTGTACGGCAGTACGGAGGCGAGATATTAACTCTGATCCCTGTGTAGTGGCTTGCAGAGACTTGAAGTCTCGTACCAGGATGATGGTGCCGCGAGATTTATCGTTAGCATTTAGTCCAGACTCTTCCGTGCTCTCTTTCTGCAACGCAACCGGCTTATACTCTGCAGCGTTTACTAGTGCGTTGAATATAGCTGATAGCTTTAGCGAATTCCATTGATCCGTATCGTTGACCACAGTAATGCCGTTTGATGAAGAGTCTGGGACCCCGGTCAAAACGAGGGTTTGAGCTTCTGAGAGTCCGAATGGGTTGAACTTAGGTGTCTTTTTATTCCCTTTTGGCTTTAACATTGCTTGGATTCGAGACTGTAGGCCTGCGAAATCATCCTCGCCATCGGCCAAACCCTCTTGTGGCTCCATTGCCCAAGCCTCTATGTTCCCTGCCTCACTCTGAGTGTCGTACGACAAGGTCGTTGTATTCGATTGGGTCCACGCAGCGCTTTCCTCGGTATAAGCAGCAACAATTTGAGATATGTCGTGCGCATCAAGACTAATCAAGTCAGCCTGCAGTTTTGAGGCAATTGTCTCTACTGCAGAGTCTAGGTAGAAAGAGCCGCCATCCTGGGGGCACTGTAGATGGATGACAGGGCGATTAAGAGATGGACTGTCGGAATTCTTCGGAGGCCGTAGACTTAGACCAGATTTGATGGTAGAGAATATCTCTGTGTACACATCCACTTGCATCGTGTATCTGGCTTCGTCCGCGGATGGTAACCCACACTTCGCAACAGCCTCCTCCATTCTCCCAACGTCCAACTTATCTACGATCGCAGTATCACTTTCTAATTGGTCTTCGGCACTGGTGTTGTCGGTAGCATACACCGCGAGGGAGCCGCGGCGCGGAGGGTCGTCTTTCCTTTTGACATTGTTCTTCCAAAACCACTCAGGGAATACGACAGCTGGTAGGCCTTCTGGTTGTCGCGGTCGCAGTCGAGTTACTCTTCCATTTCCTACCCGACCACTCTTAGCTCGAGATAAAATCGTCGAGGTATCTTCCGTGTCATCCAAAGCTTTTGGTGTATCTGATTTGGTACCATCCTCTCCCACCTTCGAATCGTCTAAGCCTGTGCTTTCATTTTCAGGAGCTGGATTCTCCACCCCTTCGTTCGCCGATTTGGACGGGTCGTCCGGTATGCGAGAACGAGCTGTGGAAGGGTGAAAATGGCGTTGCGATAAAGATGATTGATAGGGATTCGGATGTCGAACGCCAGCGATTCTTCGACATGCACGCCGTATTGCCGGTGTTCGAGACGCCCGGAAGACGTGTAAAGCCGCAGCCTGCATACAGCAGGGAATTTGCGCTCAAAGAGAGCGTCTTAAAGCACCGGTGGTGTTGATTTTGCAACGACAATCTCGACCACAAATTCGTGATGATGCTCGGCATTACGGTCATGTGATGTGGAATTAATTATGGGTCTCGAAAGTCATTAAGAAAGTTAACAGATGAAGTCACACAGAATTCCAGTCAATTAACAATTTGATCAGAACATCATTAGTAGCAGGGTCATTGTTCTGATATTATTCCAATCTCTAAATTTTCTACCCATTCTTTAAAAGCTATATTGGGAATGCAAACACTTTCCCTTAGGCCTCCGTTAGTCAGTTCATAGGCTTTTCTGAATAGACAAATGACAGCAGCACTTAAAATGTTTATTGATTGAAAAGTCTAAATAGAGATTTATAAATTAATACACAAACAACGAGCCCCATTAAAGCACCGCTCACAGGCATACGCACACATCTAGTTACCAGTCTTCGCAATCTTACACTACCAGAGTATGGTCATTGCAACAACAACGCAGTCCGTTGTGTCTAATCTGACAGTATTATCTTTCAGCATACATGATCGCTGTTGCCGAGCGCTAGCCTCCCCAGCTCTACATTCACAAAGCCCCTGAAGCTTCTCAAGTAATGGGCTGACGGTAACAACATACGTCCTAGTAATCAAAGGAGCATTATTTGTTACATCATATCCTACCTCCACTGTTTATACAGGCAGTAGAAACAGCGGCGTCAGTGTAGGTAGTCTTGGTTGTTTTCCTATAACATTGTTTAGCTCATCTCGGGGGGAATGGGTCTGGGAGTGCTTACACTACCGAGATGGTTTTAGCTGTGAAAACGATAGGAACTGTAATGCGCAGCCTGGTAAAAGTGAATGTAGGGAATGTCGAAGTCGTAGTCGACATCTGCAAGCCTTTGCAGGAAGTCACAGCCGGAGGTGTACTACTACAGGTTAGAAGCCATCTAAAGGACGGGCAGAGATTTGAAAGCTTACCTGGTAACAATGGTTGTTGAAATCGCTAGAGTAGGTCTGTATTAGTACTGCTTCCAGATAAGCACGAGAGATGGCTTACAGGTCTGGGTAAATGTTGGTGTAGGAGCAATTGTCGTCAATGTCACTGTTGGCCCTGAAGCGGGAGTTATTGTAACAGTTGAGGTTGGAGAGTCTAAATACTGTTAGAAAAAATATGATCCATGACACATGCACATACCCGGTCCTCGTCTTGTGAGAGCCATATTGTACGCCACTCTCTTTGCAAAATCCCGAGCGCCAAGATGGTGAGCATCTGCACGTCTGGAGTTCTTGTTTGTTGGCGAAATTGTCGTCTGGGGAAGCAGGAGAGCTTTCTGCATTCGTGGATCCTGCCTTCTTGGGAAGGGGTTTGGCGTGCACTTAGCAGTTATAGTGGAAGTAGTGGTTCCGGTCTTTCTCACGATGCCTGTATTGATCGTGATACCTAGATTCAATGTTGTGTAAGTTGTCACTGGTGGTGGGAATTCGTAATTAGTTAGAACCAGGGTCTTGCATGGGATGACTGTGGTTGATGGCTGTAGAACTGTGGACCCGATACTAGTAGACGTAGTTGTAGAAGCTATATACGATCAGTATAGTGTGCCTTAATAGTCTTAGTCGCATTTGCTTCAACTTACTAGCAGCGTCTGGAGTCGAGGTAATTCCAACAGTGGCTGTTCAGGTGATTAGTGTTAGAAGGATATTTCATAGTGATGTTTCTTACCTGTGCCCGTTACCTGTATCAACTAGTTAGCCTTTTGTTGCAAAATTAGACCACGGGTTACTTACTGTTGTATAAACCGGTGTACCAGCAGTTATGGTGAAGGTTCTCACGAACGCAAATGTAGAGCCCTCAATCACAATCAACCATTGTCCGCTAGTAAATGCCGTTTGCTGGATAGGACTATTGACCATTAATATAGAAAGCGGTAATCTGAGTTAGGGACACTACCATGACGATTGGAAGGAGGTGTTGTCCGGCGAAGTAGGAATATCAGTGCAAAAGTATGACTCTTCGTCAGGACCAACCAGAATAGGTGTGATTGTCTTGCTGTCGCAACCTGTCGCCAGAGTTTAGAAAATGATGAGCTCGTAGAATTGTTGTTTCAAACCTTCGAAATCTGACAGAAAAGTGAAAGGTTTTGACAGCGTATTGTCAATAAAGTAACTGCCACCGTCTATAAAGTCGATTCCATAGGACGCGCAGTCTGCAATTGCATAACTGACCAGACTCGCCAATGCGTACAAGCAGAATAGAAGATACATGGCGTCTAAAGCTCTTGTGCAAAGGCTACTGTGCAACGGTTTGGTTTGTAACAAGCAGTGGGCTTCGGCTTCTCATATCTCAATATACTCGGCCATTCGGTCTACCTCGTATAGAGATCCCATGCTTCGGTCGTCCACGTCTAGATTATTTCAGTAATGATTGTCCGTGGCCAATTGATGTCATGAAGTAACAACTTCCGTATCGACAAGGAAGAGGCGGGTCCCAGGAAAGTGCTGGCGCTGCAAAGGGGTGCTTGAGACGGCAAGGTTGATCTAGATACTGTAGAGCCGGTCGTGCACAAACCTACCAGGTATCACGCTTGCTACCATTAGCCACTAACATTACTCGGAATCTGACTGAGACTCTTTCGCGAAAAGAAGCATTACAACCCTAAGTTTGAAAGAACTTCTTTCCCTTTCCATTCTTGACTGCCTTGACATCCAAGAACTCGCAGAACAAAGCCACACGGTTTGGAAGAGGTCCTCTTCATTGCGGTGAAAGGTCTCTTCGGTAAGATTTGGGTGTGGGTGACTCGTTCCCGTGAAGCAGTACGAAGTACTATCGACAGTACGAAATGTAGCTAGGGACAATACCTCAGTTGTGACAGGACTTGGCATGTACAGAAATGTAAGCGAGCTCGAAGAGCCCCACGACTCCACGCCCGTCTCGTGTAATCTTGTGAGACGGCGGGGCGGCTATTATAGCGCTTGCGGACATCCTGAAGTTAGTGCTTCCTAGTCGTCCACTTCGAAGTAGCTTGCCTAGTAGGACTTTCGCTTAGAAGACAAGAGAAGCCTATCGCAGAAGTAGACTCAAGTTGATAACAAGCAGTGTTTTCCCAAGACAACTTGTCCACCTAGCTGGATATCGCGGGGACGAGGACGAAGGACGGTGTTATTCTACCGACTTTCATCTGCCATCTGCCATCTGCCATCTGCCATCAGAAGGCTTTAGCTTGCTACTATACGGAGGACGTCTCTTAATCTGCTGACGTGGTACCTTTCGTACATCGTCGTTAACTCAATGCACGCCATCAAGAGGCTGCTCCATGCTATCGGAATGGATATGCGGAATAGTCTCGTAATCCTTGGTGAGCTGCAAGATACAGATCGACGTCGCTACCAGCGGTAAGGAACTAAAAGTTTAATGTTGGTCAATACCAGCAGGACGGGCGGGAGGGTTACATGATGTGGTGATGGAAGATCGATGCCAAGTTCCAACCGAGAGGAGATTTTATCACGTGATGGGTCTGACTTCCACCGGGGCACTGTTTGTGGCAAATGTGGCTGAAGTCTGGAGAGATCCAGGGATTGTTGGATTACCGAAGGGTGGTGACCTGACGATCTGTGCTCCTGTAGCGCGCGAGCTGCTGACGTCGGAGCAGCTCCTCCTCCCAGCAGGACAAACATTGCTTAATCGTGCCAGTCAACTGGTAGAGACGGTATTTGAAATTCCATTGGAAATATAAGTACGAACTCAATTACTCTCGGCCCGGCGGCACCTTCCTTCAGAGAACCCACTCACAAGGTAGAGTCTACCGCGTAGGTACTCTCTAACTCTCGACCATCGCTGGCTTTTACTCTGTAGGTATGGGAGGGGGGCAACATCTGCCCAAAAATCACTCAAAATACGTGTAACCGAAATGCCAGTCGAGGCGAGAGTGATGACTGTTACGTCGCGTTGCCGTTGTTTTGTTAGATTCAGGTGAGACTGTTATGTTGGGAAAATGAGCAGCTCTCGACTTGTGCTTTCATTTTCGCCCTCATCACACGAAGTGATAACGTCTCACAACTTGAGAAGTATGTATGGGACGAGATAAACTACCAGAGATCTACAGTTCGTCAACGGTGTGTCCCGTGGCCGTGAGCATGAGTCCTTGGAAATTCAGCGTCATTTCGGGCTTTTCTTGGGTAGCTCAGGTATTCTATGGCATCAAGTCACTGGCGCACATATCTCATTCTTCCGGATGTTGGCGATATTCGAGCACCGCGGAGTAAATATTCCGGAATACTTGACTACATCGTGCAGCTGGGTACCAGGAACCTCGATTGAAGCGTCGGTATGTTAAAAGTCCATGACCCTTTGAGTCTCTGAACAAGAATTGCTAGCATAATGCACGTCGAAACTTCTTGCACAGGAACTAGATAATATCTTCAAAGACTGCTAAAAAGCCGAGAATTCGTTCAGGCCCATTATCGGGGTTTGAATGTGATTTTCTACACGTAGTATTGGCATTTGCCTAGATGTGTTAGTCCGTAATCCATAAGTCTGTAAGTGGATTCGCTCGGGAAGTCAAACTTTGAAAGCAGTGCACTAATCCACAACACTACAACTAGAACCTAGAGCGGCTGTCTTCTTCGACCCACTGGAACACCGGAGGTTTTTTTGGCCGATTGTCCCCTCTAACTATGCCTGTTAGCGATCGGCCATTTTTCTTCAGGATGAAGCATGTCATGGGAATAATGTATCGAAGCTGTCGTTTGTTCAATCAGAAATTTACGACTAAGCGGCTGCGTTCCCGTCTCTACTTAGCTTCATCCCAGTCGTGTAGATCGATCGAGGAAACCCTGGAACGAATCCGAAGGACTGATTTTGGCAACTTCTCACGGAAGAAACTAAGAGTTACGTCGGAGTCCCGCCAATCCCAAGATGGCCGGGCATGGCACTGGTAAGTTATGGAGGCAATGCCAGTGTTAGATAAAAGCACCACGGTACCGCCAAGTTCGCCCTTCCTGTTGGAGCCCAATCTAGTATCACCTTCAGCAACATGTTTTTCAACCTGTGTAGCCTGACCAGTGCATTGGCGCTTGCCCATATCACTTCTGCAGCAGTCGTAGCAGAGAGGGCGACGACGAGTGCTGCTCCAGTTGCTTCCAGCGCCGTTTCTGCACCAGCTGCTACCTCGTCCAGAAAGGCTGATACAGAATGCAAAAATACGGCATTTACCAGGCAGTGCTGGGGAGGAGGCTTCAGCATTGCTACCGACTATGATACTGCTTGGCCGAATACTGGTAATACAGTTTATGTGAGATAGGCTTTCTTTGATTCCTGAAAAAGGCTGACATGATCAAGTACAACTTCGAGGTCACCAACACGACGATGGCACCTGATGGATTCTCACGTTTGATGATGGTCGTCAACGGACAATACCCGGGACCAACGGTCTTTGCCAGTGAGCTGAATGAAACTGGATTATGTGAGAATATCTAACAATGTCATAGACTGGGGAGACACTATCTCGATCACTGTCAAAAACAGCCTTCAAAACAATGGGTAAGTCACCCAGCAGCACTGGCGAGCAACAGTGGTTAATGAACAAACAGCACTGGAATCCATTGGCATGGAATTCGTCAAATGAACAGTGCGACTATGGATGGAACCAACGGCATTACCGAATGTCCAATTCCTCCTGGAGGTTCCAAAACCTACACGTTCCTCGCCACACAATTCGGAACTTCTTGGTATCATTCACATTTCTCGTCCCAGTACGGCGAGGGAGTTTTAGGCCCGATAGTCATTCATGGCCCGGCAACTTCCAACTATGATGTTGATCTCGGAGCTATGCCTGTTACAGATTGGTGTAAGTGAACAACATCTTCATCATGCTTTGTTTCAACAAGACCTCCTGCACATATACGGTATCTAGAGATGCAATCACACATATGGAATGTCATTAATTTCAGACGAGCTGGAGCAGCTATTTCCACTCCGGAACACGTGCTGACCCTTACTTGCAGATCATCGAACAGCCTTCGCGCTGAATAATCTTGCTTTAACGCACCCAGGTCCACCTCCTGTGGCAGACAACGGCCTGATCAATGGCACCATGGTTGGCACGTCTGGAACTGGCGGTAGATACCACAAGAACACTATTGTCAAAGGAAAGAAGTATCGTCTGAGACTCATCAACACATCTCTTGACAACAGCTTCCGCGTCAGTCTCGATGGCCATAACCTCACCGTCATTCAAGCCGACTTCGTGCCAACAAAGCCTTATACAGCTCAAACCATTTTTATTGGAATTGGTGAGCGGTATGACGTGATCATCAACGCAAATCAGAATATCGACAATTACTGGTTCCGTGCTCGAGTGATGACATCTTGTGGAGTTAACAACAACAATGGAAACATTATGTCAATCTTCTCTTATGAAGGTGCCCCGAGTAGTAACCCAACTTCCTCAAGCTGGAACATCCCAGATAACTGCGCTGACGAGCAGGGGTTGACTCCGTATGTCGTCAAAAACGTCCCGAGCGCGACTTTCGCAAAGGAGTGGAAAGAACTCGATGTCATGGCTAGTGTTGGTGCCTCTGTCAACGGACTTGGTGGAAGCGTCGTGCAGTGGACGATGAACACCAGCGCCATTGACATCAGCTGGACTGATCCAACACTTAGATACGTCGTAAACAACGACAACACTTATTATAGGGATGGTAATGTTATCCAACTACCAACGGCGGACAAGGTATGTGAAGCTGTTTGGGACGTCGTGTTATCTGCATACTGACTTTTATGCAGCTCTACTTTTGGGTGTTCAAATCTCTTCCTGGGTTAGCGGTAACACCTCATCCAATTCATCTTCACGGTCACGACTTCTATCTCCTCGGCGCTGGAAATGGAGACTTCACTGATCCCGCCGCTCTTCAATGGAACAATCCTCCACGACGGGACGTTGCTATGCTTCCCGCTGGAGGCTACCTCGTGATTGGTTTCGAGGCAAACAATCCAGGCGCCTGGCTCATGCATTGCCACATCGCATTCCACGTCGCCCAAGGTCTTTCCGTGCAATTTTTGGAGAGACAGCAGGACATCCAGAAGGTCATGAGCTTGGGTAATGTCAACTCCGAGTGCGACGCTTGGGATAAATATGATAAGACAGCTGTCTATAAGAAGGAGGATTCCGGGCTGTAAAATGTTATGGTGTAGCAATTTGGGTTAAAATGTTATGCGTAGCTAGAATTTGACGACTTTAAATGAATATATTAGAATTCTCACCTCCTCTCTTATCAAGCACATGTATCAAGCTGATTGCGATCACCTCGACCTCTGGCATATCTCACGTGCCCTACGACTACATTTCCACAGGAAAGATCAAATCAGAGATGGTTAGTTGTTTGCGGTAATTTGTATTTTGATTGTGACTCATGAGTAAAGTAACGAATCATGAGATGCTGCAGTTACCAGATTTCCTCAGCAGCAAAAAAGCCCCTAAACACCTCTAAAACTAATGCACCTTCTAAAAACCCAAACTCCACGAACCAAAATAATGACAAGAGAAGAATCACTGAAGCAAAAAAGAGAATAATTTCTCTCCAAAGAACCCCATATCTCTTCGACCGGCCGACCTTGCTTCACCATTGCCATTCATGATTGTGAGAAACGTTCAATCTCTAGCATGCCCCAGCTTGTGGGTCGACGCTATCACATCGTCAGTAAACAACTCACTAAACACCGACGCCCTCCATCAAAACCTACCGGAAAAACCAGCCAGTGCCCTCATGGTCTCCACCCCTGTCACAATCATTGATGAGCATACTAAACCCGGTCACACAATCACCGTCGTCCAAGTCGAAGCCAGAGTTCTTATTCGTATTCTTAACTTCATACTCGATATGTCTCCTGGCATCGTTGATGTTCATGCAGCCGGTTTTCTTTGCTTCCGCGTCAAAAAACCCCTGGAGGACGCCGGCCTTTTGTTGTCCTCCTTCCTCATAACCTTTGCAGGCTCTGGTGGCGTGTTCAAGTGCAACACTTGCGTCGATCTTTTCGCCTCTTTTGTAGCATCCTGCTTGGACGAGGTTGCTGCCCGTGGCGAGTAGCACGGCGAAGGTTGCGAAGATGTTGGTGAGTTGCATGATGGCGATAGTGGATTGGTGAAGGTCGTTGATAAGTTGGCTTTGAGTTCAGAAAAATGTGTTTGTGGGTTTGGGTGAGCTTTGATGTTCGAATGTTGATTGTGTTGAATGTAAAAGATGCTTCTTGCCTCTTGGAGCTGAAGACCGCATCTCTTTATAAGAAAAGATGCGTTCTCAGAGGCTATTCTCGTTCATCTGAGGTTCCTATTATTGGAAATTACGAACATCGCAAGCAATACGCCGAGTACTCCTACTATGCATTTTGAGATTTGAATTCCCACCGGAAGACTTGCTCAGATCCTTCCTCGAGAAATTGTTTAGAATTTGAGCCAAAATTATGATTTCGGAGTCAATGTTCTGATGCTAAGCGCAGGACTGTTACGGGTTGGCCTGTGAGGCTCTTCGCTTCGTCTTCACAGCTGTCAAGAGTTCGCTTAAATGGCACTTGCATAGCCATGAAGCGGCCGCGCATAGAATAGAAGGATTTTTCTGGTTACGAAGGATGGGTTGCCTCCAGCCTGCAGAAGAATGAAATAAAAAAGTGACACAGAAATACTGTTGGTATATCGTGTGATATGGCACTTAGAAATGCTCAATTTACGTAAGACGGAACATACTCGAAGTTCATAATTTTAGACATGACAACAAAGTGATATTGCCTAAAACTCGATCAGATAAATTCATCTCACGTAGCACTATCCTATCTGCTTAGTATTCTGTATAAGTGTAGCTGCATCTCAACGTCGCCAAAGCATAACTCACGATTTTGCAGCTCAAGCGAACCTCACTCAGCCTCTAATATTCCTTCCACCACCACCAAGAAATGGTAACTGATAGTATCTCGCATAGTTTTATGTAAACGCATCAATAATATGAGGCCATTGTTCTGTGAGGGCTTTGACAGAGTGAATTGAGCACAAATTTACTGCTAAACGAGAGCGATTAATTGGTACGAGCGTATAAATGCTATCTCTCGCCGAATGGATTATCTAGGTTTGAAGCACTGCCACCTTGGCCAAAACGTAACAATGCTACCACTGAGAATCCATATCCCGTGTTACATGAGTGAGCGACAATAGGAAACCACATTAAAGAGTGTTTATCCTTTCCACCAATTCTCAAATTCCCTCAATGACAGTCACCCTTTTTTTCTCCATTTCCCTGCTTGAAGTCTAGAAACATTTCTCTAGCAGTTTCCAGCATTAGGGTCGGCACCACCACTTCGTTAGCGAACATCAACATTATCGATCGTCCAGAACTTACCGGAAAGCCCAGCCAGAGTTAATCTCCTCACCACCCTGACCGCATTGACGAATGATCCTTTTCAGATTGTCGAAGCAATCGTTATCATTCAAATCGAACCCAGTGTTCGTTTTCAGGTTGGTGATCTCGAGATTGATATACTGACCACTCTCATTGACACAGGCCAGGCCGTTTTTTTACCTGAGGGCCCAAAAACGCCTTGCAATGCACCTCTGTTCCCATCGTAACCTCTGCAAGCTCTTCCGGCGTTGTATGCTGCGCGGTCCCTGTTGGCAAAATTAACGCCAGTGTTGTAGCATCCTGCTCGAGCGAAGCTGTTGCTGCCGGCGATGAGGACCGTGGCCAAAGTTGCGAATACGTTTGTGAGTTGCATTTTGATGAGAGTGTTGTTGAAGAAGGTGGGTTTGAGTTGAGAAAGTTGTGTTCTGCTTTGGTTGAGATTGATTGAGTGCTTGATTGTGCTGAACTGAGAGTTACTGGTTTTTTTTCTCTGGGCTGGGGATTTCTCCTCTTTATAGACAAAAAGCTTCTAATATGGCGGTTTATTTAATTTGAAGCTTCAATACTATTACTAACGTTGATCATTCAGAAATAGTTCACCGAGTAGTCTCACGGGTATTTTGAACTCTTGTTACCATCAAAAGACATTCTCCCCTCTTTCACATCTTTGGATATTGGTTAGAATCTCTGCTGTATCTGGCACTACAGGGTCACTGTGCTTGTACGCGCAATAGAGTTTACAGACCGGCTTATGAGAACCAGTGCCATAGTCTTCGAGAGTTCAAGATATATTAATTCAAAAGCAGCTAGCTAACTTTAACCTCGGGTGCGTACAAGTGTAGCGGCGTCACGCTCAACGCGAGCTGCGTTACTCACTGCTGGCTAATGGAGCTGCCTTGAGAAGCAATGCATGTAAGCTGGTATCTGATGTATTCAAATGATGGAGGTAAATTCAGTGAGATAAGCTCTACGAGAAGGCCATTGTCCAGCCAGAGTGTAAGACTAGTTCTTGCACATGATGTTTTCGACAATCTCCACTCTTTAATTAGACTTAATAAAATAGCAATATTTACTGTATATGCTTTTCACTTCAAAGCTCCCCTTGCCGGGAACCAGTGCACCGCTATACATAAAGATAGACACCCATTCCTTAGTGTGATGCGCTGACCTGTTTCTATAGATCGTACAATAGGTGAGGTGGTACAGAAACGCGAAAGAGGTTTGGAACAACCATGTAGAAATGAGATATTCCCTTGACTCCGATTCAGAAAGCGAACGATTATAGCGCTTCTTATTCGCTTCTCACAAGTTGCAAGTAAATCATACCTTTACCTTGTTGACCTTAACAAGTCACTCGAATTCACAAACTCGATTTGAGAATTTGTGTGATCAAATGGAGGCTCCAATTCAGCATCGCTGCTGGAGCTATGACGCACTAGCATTGCCCGGATCAAACTTCAAATCGTTCCCGATTTCATACTCGGTGGGAAAACTCATATATGTGGTGTAACACGGGTAGCTTTAAACTCGCTTAGGAGCTTGATTGGAGACCTCGAGGTAAGTCATGAGATGCCGAAGTCTCCGGGTTCTTTCATGTTCTCTTGGTCTTCAATCTCACCGAACAAACGTGCCTCACGCAGCCTTTGATATAGGTTAACATTTTTCAGCACTGGTCCCTTGGATTCTTGATCTACACGTCAGACGGGATCTTGGCGTAGAGAAGTTGAACATGTTGAGAGGAGTTAAGCCACTTTCGTGCTTGTGAGAAACTGAATAGAATGAAAGCTCGCAGATACCAGAATGCGTGTCGAAACCTAACACGAAACATAATAATTTTGTGATAAAAATGTAAGAGCATCAGATGAATACAATGCGTGGTATAATTTAAACTCCATAATCTATCAGACCAGCCTTTCCCTATATATGCATATTATAGACACTGGTAGTAATAAGGTGGCGAGACTCCTTTACACGAAAATCCAGACTAGAAACAATAATAATCATTAGTAATATTTCAAGCGTATACACCGTTATCCTGAAAATTTCGATATTACTTACGGCACAAGTTGTACAACCTTTCCAGTCGTTTCCACCACACTGATCCCAATGTTTTTGCGCGCATCCACCACCTGGAGCTGGCGTCGAAGAGGTCGCTTTCGACGTGCTGGTCTTTGACGAGGTTTTGGAAGTCGTTCGACTCGTGGTTTTTATCGTGGTAGAAGACTTGCTGGTAGTTGTCGTCCTCGTTACAGTAGATTCACTAAGCGTTGGAGTCGTTGAGGTTGTAAAAGTCGTGTTAGACCAACTGTATGACGTTGTAGTGGTTATTGTGCTCGTCGGATGTGGGTTCGGCGGCTTTCCTGGAATAATGCCTCCGGGCGTAGTTTCTGTTATTGCGGTGCTGCCATCGCAGTATGCAGTCCAGCCGTTAAGCGTCATATTTTTCATGACCGTACTGAACCCAGCCATACCACCCGACGTACAGAATATTCTTCTCTCGTCATTCGTGATCGTGGGTGGTTTGGCCACATATTCAATGTGGTATACTGGTTTGCCAGATTTGATGAAGCTATTGTACGTATCACACTCGGAGAATTTGGCACACTCCTCGTTGACTGCAAAAGACATAAGATCGGCGACCTGAGGTATGATTGACAAGCTGTTTTTGAGCCCAGTTTTCATTCCTAACGTAGCGGCGTATTTCGCTATATATCTTATATAATCGATGGAGTCAGTTGCTTTCATGTTGAGACCGTTGCTATTTTGCTGTATGTTGTCAGTTAATAAGCTTGTATGTTGTTGAACCGAGAGAAATTGTAGGTTATTCCACCTATGCAGCTTTCCTCCAAAAGTAATGAAGCAGAATTTTGGAGATTAACGTACATAAGCATCTGCATCGAACACATTAGCTTAATTTCATCACTTGGCCTAAAAATTAAAGCGGATGACTGGAACTATTCATCGGAGAGAGGAATAGAAAGTCGAACTCTGGAGGCATACCTGTGTTATCGGGATCAATCGCATCACAACCCTTCTGAGCGGCCCTAGCTATCCTCGCTTTCATGATGTTTCTTACACCTGTGCTACTCAGTCTAATCCACTTCTCATTTGGCCACTCCGCGAGTGTCGTTCCTAAGTCTCCAGTCGGAAATTGCTTCGCATCGGGTCTCCAATTCTCATATGTGCCTGCACTGAAATAGCAGATGACTGTTTTTCCAAGAGAGTGCAAAGCGGCTATCGTTTCTTTGGTGGTATCTTCTGCGTCCACGTCCCAAACCATCGCATCAGCCGGTGCTAAAACCTTTCCAGTATCTGGTACTCCATTCAAGACGATTTGAAACTTCTGCCCGACAGGAAAGTCCGCAGCCATTGAAGTGCCCATAATGGCAACGGCTAGAGAGAACCAACATAACATCATGCTTGCAATACTCCAACTTTATGGATCTTTCCGATCTCCCAGATTCGTGAGCTTAGAGAAAACAGGCAGGAACAAATAGTGAAAACATTCAGAAGATGAAAGATCGCCCTCTAGAAAAATCGCCGGGCCGCGGTGTAAACATAAGGAGAATTCTTTCGACATCGTGTTTTCCTTGACAATTTTCTATTGGGTTAAAAATTTAAAGATCGTGCCGCCGAGAAATTAACATCAGCCGGGGATGTGAGCTTTCTACACATCCATCCGTTCGGTTATGTCTTTCATATTGCTCGACTGTAGGCACGATTGATCACGCCAACAATTGTAATACATGGCATGCTAAGGCACCAGTAATATCGTGTGCCGGTTTTTGCTCACGCTCGGGATCTGGATATACACAGGGGTATGAAGTTCTAGCCTTGGACGAGATTTGTGCCAGAACGGTGTTTAGAGAATAACTGCCGTAGGTTTTGCGCTGTCGCCAACCTTGGCGATAGAGATCTAGGCTACATGGTTGAAGACCCGGAGGTTATAGGCGTATTAGACTTCTCAATACCGATTTGGAAGGTATTGTACCTGAAATATCGAGAGAATACTGCCCAGGATTCCGGTATTAATATCGCGAGTAGATTGATGCGGGGAAGACCCCCGAAAATATCGCCAGGGTGAAGAGCCGCGTGGATGGCTAAATGCAATTGCGAGATCTGTACGCAGGATTGAGAAAAGAAAGTGTTCGCTGATCTCATGACCGAAATAGGATGGTCCTAAAGAAGAAAAGCTCTTTCGAAAGGGGCTCGAACAGTCCCCACTTGAGTGAATCAACAGGTATTGAAGGAGTTGGATTCCAGTCGGGCTAATTGAGATTTCGAGCTTCACAGCGCGGCTGGCCAAGATAAAGAGGCGTGTAACATAACGCGGAGATTTTTGAGTAATATAGTGCTTGTTTGAGACTAAATCTTATTGCGCCCAGGTTTGGAGTACGGCAATGTCCTTGACTGCCATCCTTTTCGACTCGCATTCTGAAAGAGGATAAAGAAGCCCATGAAAACAGGCTTAGCATGGATACAATGCTCGTCGTGGAGTTTTCCGTATTATGTTACACTTTGTATAAGCCTGTCTCAGCGGTGATATGGCTAATTACCGTGAAGACCTACCAGCGGCGGTCAAGTGCGTAGAGCTTCATCTTGAAAATTTGGGAAATGCCAAGCTGGAGAGACCCGGTTGTTACGGATGATCACCCGCTAGCAGAAACCTTTATGCCCGTCAGCTTCAGTTGGTACAATAATGGATGAGTTGTGTGACAAAAGCATGCAACAAGGAGAGGTATTTCCCCTGATACCTCTGGAGACGAGAAGTTTGGGATGCTTGGCATATTAACCGCAGGTTCACCAACAAGAACTTAGCCGGCCACAACACGTTTTGTAAGAACGCAAGCGTCAATTCGAGAATAAATGTCATGCTGTCCCGCAACGTAACAGTGTCAGGAAATCATTTCGGTAAGCCCTTAAAACGGAGGTGTCGCATCTGCTCAAATTCCGCCTCTTGCCCCTCTAGTATATTGTAAAATAGTGAGCGTAGTCTTCGGATAAACTCTAGAGGTAGAGGGCTAGTTGATTCTCCATGAGTGCTCAATTCTACCTAATATTCAAACAAAAACTGTTGGAGATGCCAGAATATGTGAGACTCAACATATTGGTGGACAGAAACAGCGATAAATGCTGGTAGTATTCGATCAGATGCGAATCGACTGATCCTCTTCATGTCCGTCTCCAAGCGAACCATCCTAGGAGACAAACAATCTCGTATGTCAATGCTGAAAGGGCTCGCGCCGAAGTGCCTCCCACTGTTGACCTGAATATACTCAGAGAGAGAATTGGGCTGGCTCACCTTGTGGCCTTTGGTCAGAGTTCGACCCATCAGCCCCCTGATACATTCTGGAAGTTGTCACAGTATCACGATCAAGAGGATGGCTAGGGGTCCTAAAGCTTGATAACTTTCTCGAATCGAGTAAGCGAGATAATTCCGAAAGGGCATGATAACCTTGCAGAAAACGTTGGGTCCCGAGATGAGAAGTGGCACATCGCAAGAAGTTGGATCACCTCTGTATGATCGGCGAAACAACATTGCGCAGAGCTTCAGGAGTCAGCTTAAATCTGGTATTATGTGCTTATTTATACTAACAATAGAAGATCAGAATCAAGAACCAACGTTCTATAGCCTTTTTCTTTTTGGGCGGTAAAGGTGTTCGAATTCCTGCCTCAAGGTCTCAAGCAATCAAGAGATCAACCCGTCCGATGCAATCTCCAAAATGTTTAAGATTACTTTTGCTCATATCATGCCAAACTGCCTTCTCCATCGCGGCCATCTTTTATAATAGCTTCAAGTGTCCAGTGACCTTGTCGACAAGACTTTTGGGAGCTGGGCCAATGCCCAAAACAGTGTGGCTGCCGCTCGCGATTTGCGTCCTCCCTGCATCCGCGATGACCTCCGCTACAAGCCCAAGACTGATGGCCGTTGCTTGTAGTGTCTCTAACTCCTCCTCGCTTTTCACTTGTACTGCAATCTTGGCCTGCCCGGTTCTTTCCCACCGTCTCAGGATGGGTGTATTCTTCTTTAGATGATTCTTGTAGCAAGCCAAGGTAGCATGTCCACACTGAGCTGCAATTTTGCCTGCTGCCAGTCATTACCAATACCAGAAACATAATCTTTAGGAAACATACCTTTCGTCATTCCCAAATCCGTCCGGACAACCAGGACCAGCTTACACTCCTCGCCATTATCTTCGTATGATGGTTCATTGGCAGCAGCGCCCCGTGCCTTTTCTTTCTGCGGTTCAGCCCTCAATCCGTCCCTCTTGTCCGCTTCGATTCCATTAGCCCAATTCGGCGCGTGATCTAAGATCGATTCGTCAATGTCTTCTTCTTCGCTCTCCTCCTCATCGTCATAATGATCTATGCCACGGGCCTTTGGTGGACGATTCTGAAAAGGTATCGGGAGAAAGCCTAGTGAAGATGCAATGCCTATCATGTAGCCACTGAGTCCGGCGATAATTGCTGTGCTGATTATGATCGCGGTTGGAGAGGGTGAGGACGCGTCGGCCATGGTAGCGTAAAGGGCAACGAGACGGTAGAATCTTGCGAGTTGGGTTGTATTGTTTGAATCTGTTTAGCAAACGCGATTTGACGATACTGAAGAATAAAGCTGTTGACTAATTCCTCTGTTTCGCGAAGACAAATTTCTTATTTATTCAGGGGTCTGGTGGATGTGTGCTTGCGACGTCACTTGAGCTTAAATTTCGCGAGGTCTAGATCCCGTCCGCCTAGCACAGACCCCGGATTTTGATACGAGGGATTCACCATATGCAAGAGAAATAGCGCTGGCTACACAAAATTGGCGTCCAGCTGCCGTTAAACTGGCTCATGTTTATGTTTCGTAAAATTACTTGGGAGATAATATAACAACAATCATGAATATAAAATGGTATCATTGGTCTACTACTTCGACGATTCTTGTGAATCACACAACGGGGCCAACCTTTAACTCCAACATAAAATGCTTTTATGCCATTAGAATATCTTCAAAAATGCTACTCAGATTTGAAGCCCACGGCTGAGAATTTCTCGGCCACATGCGCTTATACAAGCTCACGCCCACCGAATCTTGAGGGTTAATTTTGCCATCAAAAGTTGCTTTGAAGTAACCGTGAGTTCCCAGGCTCTCCTTAATATAACCGCTTCTACCACGCTTAGTCCATAGTTGTAGGGCCTTGAACCATTCGACATCCTCGCGGTTGAAGAACATATATCGAATAGTCACGAGTTTCTTATGAATCTTATAAGGATGGCCGGTCAAAATGATACGCTTAGCGATGACACGACTGGACGAGGGGGGAAGTGACGTGCCAGTACCCAATAGCGTGAGAGGTGTTTTAGAATCTTCTCCATTCTGTTTGAAAAAAATCGCCGGCACAGCACCCCAGGTAAGCGGGGCAATGAATGTCGCTATTGCCGACCTTCCAGGATGAAGGAAGCGATCAAATTTATGAACGTCGTTTGATGTATTGCCGCCCTCCGAAAATAGTGGCTTGATAATAAATCGACGAGGCCCGCATTGCATAATCATCTCTTCCTTGGATTTAATGGGCGCCGTGTAGTCAGAACTGAGGGTAAAGTTAAAATTGACCACTGTTCGCTTATGCTCGTGTCTGAGCAATGAGAAAAGATTGAGCGGATGTGATGGGTTGTATGTCGTCTTAATCGACGCTGGAACTGCCCGTAGATGAACTTGAACACGAGTTCCCCTTGGAGCGCCACCGACCAAGGTCTCTCTAGTCACTTGGCTTCTTGCTGCTTTGTAGTAGGGAACCTGAAGAAGTCTCCGCCAATCTTCAGGCTCATGTGCTCTATCTTCGTCTTCCTCCCAATTACTCGAACGAAGACTCTTCAGACCGCGGTAACGTGCCAATCTCTCTCTCGCCAATACCTGGGGGTGTAATTCGATTTCGTCCGGAAACTCTCGATCGTCTTCGGCCTCATCTCCTTTCCGCCTTCGAAATGCCTCCAGTTGCGCAGCTTCAGCTTCATCATCAGGATTTGGATCCAAGAACATTTCAGACTGCGGATACTCGGAAGGAGCTGCTTCAGTAGGCTCCCGAGGAGCAAACCCTTCAGTGCCATCCTGCGGAAGTGCTGGTGCTCTCATTGACACGTCACCAATATCATCAACCTCTTCCCAGTCAGACCCAGAGTCCGAAAATTCGTCACCCAGAAACCATGCCGCTTGATGTTTCGAGGTACCTTTGGGTAATCGCTTAGGAACTGCGGGGAGGTGGGTTTCGTCGTCGGAAAAATAGTGATGATCATCTAAGAGCACTCCTCGCTTCTCTGTGGTGGCCACTGACATGGCAGTATCCATATCATCCTCCATCATAATCTCTTCTGGCGCCAACTCATTCATATCATCTTGATCTGCAGTTGGCACGTCAAGTACTATTTCAGATTCGTCTGTCGCCATCTCATCAGAACGTTTTTTCTTCGATTCTAAAGGAGCAGCAACAATCTTTTCTACTTGGAATGCGCCCCAATCTCCAACTTGGACGAGTCGATCAGCCTTTAGACCCTTTCCTCTAATTACGCCCGTAATTACTGTATGATCATCTTCTGTGTCCGGAAATTGTACATCGTCCACCAGCATCCAGCTTCTCTCGTCTCTCCAGTTGACGCCTTTTGGCGTAGTTGTACAGAGAGATCGCATCATGTTTGCACATTCTTGTCTCGAATCCAGGTTGTGTACCTTCTCCTGATCTGGATGGAAATGTGTGATGTAGGATTTCAGGGATGTAAGTACTCCTGAACGTCTTTTAGCGGGCTCAATAGTCTCTAGTCCTTGTACTGCCGTCAACATTGTTGATAATCCTTGGCTCTCAACGCTTCGAATTATCAGTTCTCCAAGCTCATCGACCTCTTGATCTGGTGACAGAAGGAATATGACGAAATCGGCGGTTTTTGCTGCATCTAGACAAGCAACCAATTCTCTTTTCGCAACCAGATACTGGATTTTCTGCTTGAAACGGTCGATGTTTATTCGTATAGATCCTTGATCGGGGATTTCAGCGTCAACATCGAGACTGTTGCTCATCGTCCTGACAGCGGCCGCGGCATTTGTATCTTCGCATAGAGGAATGACGGCAACAATCCTGGGGGCGCCATCTCGTCCTACAAATACGCTGTTCTCCCTGAGATGCTCCTTGTGTTTCACCTGTTGCTTCTGGCGGGCTTGATTTCTACGATCGAACTTGGACATGAGTTGCTGGTGCGGTGACTTGCGATGGCTTAGATCCTGAACCTTGCCTGGTACAGTTAGAGATTGCAATACACAGCATTTAAACAAGAATTACCCTTTTGTATTTCCTTCAAAGCTCCTTTGGTTGCCTTTCGAGACTTGAAGGGCTTATGTGAAGCCTTGGTTGTGCTTCTGTGCGAGTGGGACGCCACAGAAGAAGGCATCGTACCGTCGCCACCGGCTTTGAATCGAAAAGGTAACGAAGCCAGAATGCACCTGGAAGTCGACGGATTTCGCAGGTACTTATAAGCAGGCTTTTACTCTTTACTTGCTGGTGTTGGTTACTTGTCGCAAGGCGACATGAGACGAGGTGGGGAAAAGAAATTTTGTGCGCGGGCGCTTTTTAAGTAAAGCAGCAGTCCTTTTGTAGCTGTCGCTGTGGCGGTTCAAGCGCCGCCTTAAGATCTTCAGGATCTCCAGGACTCTTATCGCTATCGGATCTTATCGTGGAGAAAAAGTTCGCGACGACTTTTTGAGCTTCATCAAGTAGCGACGAGCGCATCCCAACCGGACCCGAACTTGAGCAACCGTGATTAGCGACTGGCCTATTTTCCATTATGGACGTCGACCTTGCCGACGAGACTTCGCAACGAACACACTTCAATGGAGCGGTTCCATTAGAACGCCCCCGAACAGAATTGACGAAGACCAACCGCGATGCCGCGCAATTACAACGGAGGAAAGAAGCAGAGAAGGCATATGGCAGAGGGCGAAAGATACAAGGTATGTGTTTAATTGCTGTAGTTTATGCTCTGACTTATCAGAACCCTTCCCTCTGCTAGTTAATCCCAACCTGTCCAAGACTAATAGTCTCTAGTTAAGGGAGTAAGAGACAAGAAGTTGAGGGGGAATCTAAAGTCTCTGGAAAACAAATATAAAGATGCTACCATAAAATTGAAGGACTCTGAAATCCTCCACGAGAATACTGAAGGTTTCCTTGAACCGGAAAACGAACTTGAGCGGACATACAAAGTTCGCCAGGACGACATACTACCAGATGTAGCTGTAGAGACTGCGAAGAAAAAGTTTGATCTGAAGCTCGATGCATTGGGGCCGTACGTTTGTGACTATACAAGAAACGGGAGAGAGCTTCTATTAGCGGGGAGGAAGGGCCATATCGCGACTATGGATTGGAGAGAAGGAAAGCTGGGTTGCGAATTACAGCTTGGAGAAACAGTACGAGATGCCAAGTGGCTTCACAATAACCAGATGTTTGCCGTCGCGCAAAAAAAGTATGTTTACATGTACGACCGAGCGGGAGTGGAGATACATTGTTTGAAAAAACACATCGAAGTTACGAATATGGAGTTTCTGCCGTATCATTATCTTCTAGCAACTGTGGTATGTCGGCTATTATAATTCATGCTGCAATTTATGTTAATCAAGTGCTAGGGAAATGCGGGATATTTGAAGTACCAGGATGTCTCCACTGGCCAGATGGTCATCGAGTTGCCAACCAAGCTAGGCTCACCCACATCTCTTACGCAGAATCCTCAGAATGCTGTTCTTCATATGGGGCATCAAAATGGTACAGTCACGTTATGGTCACCAAATTCAACAACACCGTTGGTCAAGCTCCTTGCACATCGTGGCCCGGTACGTGGATTGGCTGTTGACCGGGAAGGTCGATACATGGTATCTACAGGACAGGATCTGAAGATGTCTGTCTGGGATATTCGTATGTTCAAGGAGGTGAATACCTATTTTACGAGGACGCCAGCATCCTCAGTCGCAATATCTGACCGAGGCCTGACGGCTGTCGGGTGGGGAACTCAAACTTCTATTTGGAGAGGATTGTTCACGAAGCATTCTCTTGAGCAAGAAAAGATCCAAAGTCCATACATGGCCTGGGGTGGGGAAGGAAAGAGAATAGAAAGAGTGAAGTGGTGTCCTTTCGAAGATCTGTTAGGCGTCTCCCACAACGAAGGCTTCTCATCTATCATCGTTCCCGGAGCCGGAGAACCCAACTTCGATGCCCTGGAGGTCAATCCATACGAAAACACAAAGCAGCGACAAGAAGCCGAAGTGAAATCGCTCCTTAATAAGTTGCAGCCAGAAATGATTTCTCTGAACCCCGAATATATTGGTAACCTAGATCTTTTATCTGCTGAGCAGAGGAAAGCCGAGAAGGATCTGGACAAGAAGCCGGTGGATCCAATCGCGGACATCAAAAATCGTGGGCGCGGAAAGAATAGTTCTCTGAGGAAATACCTCAGGAAGAAGGGTTCGAGGAATATCATTGATGAGCGGAGATTAAAGATTGAGGAGTTAAGAAAGAGTCAGAGCGAGAAGCAGAAGCTGAAGATAAAGCAAGCAGAGCAGGAATTAGGACCTGCATTAGGCAGATTTGCGAGGAAGGGGGCTTGATCCATGATTTACTTGTTAGCTGCATTCAAGGAGTTCTGGGCATAGGTTCTAAGACAAAAGCCGATACCTTATTCGCTACTTATATAATATGATATATGGTCATTGAATCATAGCCATGATTCTATATTCCTTCTTCCATCTTGCAACCAAACGCCGCGCTCCCAGCAAATTAGAATCACATTATTATCGTCGCTAACGACTCCCTCTTCTCATATACGACCAATGCCCCTTAGGGCTCTCAATTAAAGTCGTCATGTCTTTCCCGTCATCAACCACACTCCCACTACTCACCATGCCCGCGTCCAAAGCCAACTTCGCGTGTTTCACCGCGGACTTGGTATCGCCTACTGCATTATACGCGAGTGCAGCGAACATGTGTCCTGTGCCAACAGCGGCATGTAGATGTTCTTTTTCATACAGAGATAACAGATTCAAAGCCAGCTTGGGAGTAGCTTCAGAGGCAGAGGACCAGTCGGAAAGTGTCGTGTGCAGCTCGTTGATCTTTTCGATGTTTAGATCTGAACGCGCTTTTGAGAGTTCTGATGCGGAACAGAGTTTACAGTCACAGTCGAAGCCCCATATCATTTTTAGGGTTTCTTGGCGCTCGTTGTTGGATTGGAGGAGATTGAGATCTGGATTTGTTAGTTGAGTGATATTAGAATCGGGATAGGTGTAACGTACATGTAATCGTGATTTCTTCTCCTATGTTGATTGTTCTCGAAGCGTGAGCTGAATGAACGAGTGTTGAAATATTGTGGTAGTACATGGCGTTTGGACGGCAATCATGGTTCATAAGCTGCAACCATTATTAGCTTGTATCTTTAGAATCGAGAGTAGTCAAAACTTACAGCAGTTTCAGGATACAAAAAGAAATGATTCATCCCCTCAAACTCGCCCGCAAAAGCATTAGTATTAATTCTCTCCATGATCATATCTCCTGGATTATGAGCCGCCGTCCTCAACAAAATCTTTTTACTCTCTTCCGGTAACTGTTCATATGTTTTTCTTAGATATTTATACCCCAACTCATAATCCGGGAAGAAAGCGTCACTGCTGTACACCCCTAACGGCGTATCAGCCAATATCAGATCTCCTCGCTCCAGCTTCCGTGTTGCGAACAGCCCATTCCCGCGACCTGGAATGTTACGTACTTCCCAGGGAGGATTTGAAAAATCATTGATGTTGTCATGAATGCCCATTTCCTGGAAAGCGGGCAAGTCTTTCACGTTTTCCGCAATGGTTGGGGTGGTGAAGAATGAGATTCCTCGCCCATTTGCAAAGTTGGCGTTTGTAAAGACGCAATATTCTTGGCCCGCTTCATCCGAAATACAAGATGGCTTGGTGGTCCATCTTGTAGACAACTTCTTGCGTTTTTTTGGTTTTGGCGTCTCACTCGCTCTAGGCGCTTCTGCTGGTCGACTTATGGGTTCCTGGAGCCCATCCGGCTTTATGATTTGAGAGACATTGACGAATGGACTTTTCTCGTAGATGTTACATAGACCAGGTTGGATTTCTAGGTCAATATTTCCCGCGTTGGCGCACAGGAACAGCGTGAATGTTGTGGTGAGGACAGATGAATGCATGTTTGACGAAACGCAAAACAAAATCAATTAACAGAAGGAAGAGAAACAATTGAAGAAACAGACCAAGAAAATCTCAAGGGAACGTAGGATCTAAATACCTCACATCACTTTTCGCGCAGCTGCAACGGATTGCTTCCACCACTCACAGACCCGATATCAGATGCGTGTCAGAAGGGGGATGAGGGATGTGTGTTTCAGAGTTGTCTGAAGTCGACGCTCCCGGATCGCTAAAGTGACAGGATTCGGCAACGAGGATCCTTGGGTTCTTGGAAACACAGATAGGACGTTGAATTAAGGTTGTGATCGTCTACCCAATGATGGTTCGATGAAAAGTTTCCAAGAGCCAAGAGATGAGAGGATGTTGTCAACAGTGAGATGCGCTTGGCCTACAGGCTACATGGCATCGCGAGTCCTGTAAGCAGGCCATGCGATAACGAACGAGAGCCTAACGCGGTTTAAATTTGGGTTTAGAAAGATAGTAGAATATAAATATACTTCCGTAAAGTTATCGTGTAATTTCAGTAGTTGTTTAATAACCAAAGTTGTGATAGCCTCGAGAGACATTTCGGTGTACGTGCCCCACAATTTAGCCGACTTCCCCACCTCATCTGTTCATGCACTTTATAATGCCTTTTTTACAACTTTTCCTCATCAAATCCAACATCTTTGATGGTCTAACGGTCATGATTTCCGCTTGTCAAGCAATTGTCAAAGCGCGGGAGATCGGGGTTCGACTCCCCGTCAGAGAGATATCTCAGAGTTCATGTCCCCAAGCTCAAGCTTGGAGCGCCTCAATTTTTTGGTGTTAATTTTTTTGGGTGGTGGAAGATCTTAAGCGAGAATGTAGCACCTCAACCGGGCGTGAGTCTAAATGCTACCCGACTTTTCCTTTAACGAGCAAGGATAAATGTATGAATTACTTTGTAATAGTTGACATTGTATTTTCTTGTGATGTATCTCAGCTCATCATGTATTCCACCCGTTTTCTTGGCCAATTGGTGTAGTAGAAACCTCGATGGTCACAACATTTTCCGAGATGCTCTGCTGAATGAACCGCAAAAAATCGTCAAATGTATATTTTCTTGATTTCATTGTTTGCATGGGCGTGACTTAGTCATTTTAAAAAAATTGCCGATATAGTACCTACGGCTGGAGAGATTGATAGTGCAGGATACAACCGTGCTGATAATGAACTGTTCGACGCTCTTAGAAACCGAGATTCATTATGTCAATCTAAACCAACAAGTGAGATTTCACAACAGGCATGCGTGTCAACATATCACCATCGCATCATCATTTGAAAGAGTCGCCAGTGAGTTGTGAGTTTCAAAAATTGTAGCCATTTATCATCTGCTGATACTCCGTCGCAAAAGCTTCCAATATGTACAAGTCTATCCTTTCTCGCAGAATCCTTCCGCTTCCCTGTCAAATTTCCGGGTATCATCCAACCGTCCTAAAAGATCCAATCCTCCATTCCACCCATGTATCAGTTGAGGATCTACTCAGTCTTTGGGTTGATCTCGTAAACCTCAAGCTGCTCATTTGGATTGACACCCTTCTCCTCATGTCTCAAAGAAGCACGACGCTCGTCACGGACAACATCACCGATGACTCCATCACCATCAACGTATCCAATCTTCGTAGCGCTGAAACCGTCGAGTTCCTTGCGGCAGACTGTGTTGAGGTAGATGGGGAAAGCGAAAGCGACGAAGAATCCGATGAGTGGGACGGCCATGGAAATGTGGTAACCCTTCTTGTCGGCGAGGAGACCAGTAAGAGATGGGAAGAGAGCACCACCGCAGACGGAGGCGACGATCCATGAGGATCCACGCTTGGTGTGACGACCGAGACCACGGATGGAGAGGGTGAAGATGGTGGGGAAGATGCAGGATTCGAAGAAGAGTACGAGGGAGAGCATGGCTACACCACCTTCGCCCTTGATGCCCATTGCGAGTGCGATGAAGACCATGATGGCGGTCATGAATACCATGAGCACGAGTCGGGGCTTGACAATCATCATGAGTCCGGCGGCTGCGAAACGACCGATGGCAAACAGAGCTTGGCCAATGGCATAACGATCAGAGGCTGCGGCAGAGGCAATACCAGCGGATTCTTCGGCGTATTTGATGAAGTTGGCTGCAACACCGACTTGTGCACCAACCTTTATAATTTGTTAGTAAAGTGATAGGCGATCGATTGAGAGATACTTACATAGCAGAACTGGGCAGCAACACCAAACATGAGCTTGTATTGTTTTCTCATTGGCTTGTCAACGAATCCAGTAAGGCCAGAGCATTGCTCAGCTTGCAGAGCCATATCAGCATCCGTCACTTCAGGAATTGGGCTGAAGTAGAAGACGACAGCCAACAAGAAGACGAAAGCGGCAATTCCAAGATAAGTCCATTGGACCTTACTCAAATCCTTTCCATCAGTCTCCTTAAAGAAAACACGGGAAGCGAGAAGAGGAGCAATGACGGAACCGACAGCCTGGAAGGATTGAGACAATTCGAGACGGAACTCAGAAAGACGTGGAGGACCGCAAGTGGCGATGAAAGGATTGGCGGAGGTCTCGAGTGTTGAAAGCCCGGAACCGACAATGAAGAGGGAACCGCAGAAACCTGGGAAAGACCTGTAAACTGCTGATGGCCAGAACATCAAAGCTCCAACACCGTAGATGCAGAGACCAGCAATGAATGTCCAGCGATAACCGAATCTTCGAACAAGCCATCCCGAATATGTCAATGGACCAATGAAGTAAGCGCCGAAGTATGCACCTTGAAGACCTCCAGCTTTGGCAGCCGTAATGTTCAGAGCTGTTTGGAATTTGGCGTTCAACACATCGAGCAAGCCATAGGCGAAACTAAACGCCGTTTTAGGACTTGTCCAAAAATGTTCATTTCGAGAATGGAAAGACTTACCCCCAGAGGAAGAAAAGGATGGTGACCAAGGTGATTGGGTAGATCGATTGGCGAACTGTCAAAGCAGACGCTCCAGTCAAGCCGCGATTTGAGACAGACATCCGGTGCTGATTATTGACAGCTTCGATTGTTGATGGTCTGCGCTGGCCAAAGACTTCTTTGAGCTCTGGCTCTTCCCTCTTGCCAAATGTGAAACCCATCTTGAAAATATTCACAGGTTGTGCTACCGCGTCAGGTATTATAGTGGGTCCGATATCTCAAAGGTGAGCGTGTAATAGAGGGTGGAGGTGAAGGGAGTAGAGTTGTTGAACTTGCTTGATGAACAAACCTTTTGACGAGGAATATGAAGTCTTTAATACTCCATGAATCGCAGCCAGCAGAGATCGTCTCTGGAGCTCCAGAGCTCGTCGAACCCCTCCAAAACACGGTTGAACGCCATGCTAGACGCCCACATGGGAATCTCGCTCAACATCGCGGGCTAGAGCCCGCCGCCGCCAATGTCGATTGGAACTAGAGCCGGATAGAGCGAGGGAAGCGCATTGCTAGCTCATGGTAGCTGTGGTGGAAAATGAGCAGGGGATCAGGCCGTAAAAGCTTCGAGAAGTAGAGATCGGCATTGATTGCAGTGACATCCAAGCTAAATAGTATGTGCAGCTCTTTTCCAACCCAACAGCAACCCCTCGTGAGCATCTGAATGATGTAAACTGCAACTAGATCACACACCGCAAGTGACTGGAATACTATGGCTGTGAGCCTACGCTCAGCATGGGAACAACGAGACACTTTCCGGCAGCTTGGCCGAACCCTGTGAAAAAACCAGGAAGCATGAGATGGAGCTTCCGTCTAGCTGGGTGGTCATCCATGTCTAATGGCATCGAACTTGTTGGCGATGATCCAGAGTATGGAGGGAGCTGTCATCGTCGATAATGCAACCTCTTCATTGGACAACGGACGGTAAGTAGCGGCAACTTAAAGGAATGCAAGCAAACGAAGCATGGGACTAGAACCGCTGGTAGGGTGGTTGCGATTGCTTGATGCGGTTTGCTAGATCTCCGCAGTGTGCTAGACCGAGAATGGAATCACTCGGTAAGAAGACCGGTACACATTCATCAAGCTGGAGAGCGGTACTGCAGGCTGTTTTCGTATCGTCAGGCGATATCTTTCCAGCTTTTTTGTCGCTTTCCATCTCTTCACCGTCTTCGCCGTTCATTCGTGGCAGGCAAAGTTTGGGTTGAAAACGCCTTTCGCTTCTAACTAGTCTGTATTGTAGGTCCACAAGACAGGAGCGAGGCTGGATCATGGGATTGCTCTGTACCGTCGCAATGCTAGCTGGTAGCTTGGATTTATTGTCCGAAGAAGGACTAGACTGCTTCCCCGCAATACGCCTCTTTTAACTAAAACTTTCACATCTACGGTAGACATCTGGTCTGTCCCAGAACGAAGATTTGCATTTGGGCATCTTGATGCTGTGAAAAAATTGTCTTCGACCTCGAATCTGCGGAAGTGCGTTGATCGCGCGAGTCTTTACAAGAGAATGTAGGCTGCTGTGACGGTCGATCGCGAGCTTGAATCTTATCCTCCACGAGGGCTTGGTTGGTCGCTACCTGATAGCATTCCAATACCAGCAGAAGCAAGAGCTTCAGACGTACTTTGCATATTACTCCATATCCTCCAGCCCCGGAATCTCATGTCTAAGCTGGATTCTGGAGAAAGAGATAAAGATTCTAGAGTGAAACTAGAACGCAGACCGTAGACGCATGTCGGTGTCGGTCAGCCACAAACTAATGATTGTCTTCCTCACATCTTCTTGACCATGACATCTCCATATCTGCGGTCAGTACTTTTTGGACGTTCATCTGGCGTCGGGAGTGCCGTGAGGTGCGTGAGGAAAGAGAAAGGGGTGACGTGGTTGTGGTGTTGAGTGGGCTTTTCCCGGGACGCCAATCCCAGAAAGAAAAAGCCACCAGCACGGCTTTCCAACCGCTGAATTTCTCGCCTTTACTCTCCGACATCTCAACATCATCGACGCCACAAATCAACAGTTCTCAATTGAACGGATTGTGAGTATTCTTCTACACGCTAAATTACCCCATCCCTTCGGAGCAAAGTCGCCCGCGCTAGAACGTGGCCAGAACGCTTCGAAAGCTTCTAGAGTTGCACTAGAAGTTGAGCACATTCTAGCGCTTCAGCTATCTGCAAGAGCCTCCGTATCAGAAAGCCCCCAGTCCATTAGATGCAATTTTGAGGCTTCGTATGTGGTAATCTAAAGAGAGAAAGGCCGAAATTGTTGACCTGTGAGTGGGTATATTCCTGATTTCATGTTGTCGTTGCATGTAATTATTGACAAGATCTAGCTATGGCTTTCTTGAAATTATTTGTCCCGATTTCGGGAAGTTAGAGCTTTTTGTTCATAGGAGCCCCATCATTAGTTGTGTCCCCAACATCTCCATCATCGTCCCATGGGGTCGGCATCCCCGATTTTACTCCAACTCTCCTGATGTACCACACAACTGGTGGAACTAAACCAAGCTTGTTTCAACGGCATGGCCCGACAAGCTTCGTAGTGTCAAATCAAATTATCAAATCAATTGCAAAAACTCTATTGCAGCTAATCAATGCACCCACAGTAGTTTATCTACCTCATTTGTGATTAGATGAAATTGTCCTACCCAATACGATACACGGAAGAAGATCCAACGTATTGTCTTGTCTACACTGGAACGGCAACAACATATTTACACTACGCAATCGGCCCTTTCGAAGAATCATGATGCTATCACAGAAAAGGAAAGTAAACAAGAGGTGCGACATGCAACAAACGCTGGCTTGAACATTAGAAGAGGAAAGAGGTGAATATAAGACAACATTATAGTCAAGGTCACTTTCTGGGCTTAATTCACTATGAGTTTGTTTTTTCATCATTTCAAAGCCAGATAAACATAACTCGGCTGAGTATATCGTAACGGAACTCGACGTTCGCATCTACTCGTCTTCACACATATTAGCTATTCACAGACACCTCTAATCAACACACTTTCACGTTCATCTTCCTCAACTTTCTTTATACACACATGACCGCCTCATTGGGATTTCCCATTTTCATATGAGTACCACTCTACATCCTCTACTTTAACTCTTCCAAACCCTCAGTTGCCTTAGGACCACCTCTCTCCTTACTAACATCACCAGCACCACTACCCCTCCAAGCACTCTCGATCAACCCCACAATATGATCAACCGCAACCCCCTTCTTCACCTGCGCAAACACAGTCGGACCACCCTCCCTCATCTTCCTCGCATCCCGATCCATAACATCCAAATCCGCACCCACAGCCTCCGCCAAATCCGTCTTATTAACCACCAACAAATCACTCTGCGTGATACCCGGCCCTCCCTTTCTCGGGATCTTATCCCCACCACTAACATCAATAACATAGATAATATAATCCGCCAACTCGCGACTATAATTCGCCGCCAGATTATCACCGCCAGACTCGATAAGCAGGATATCTGACGTGAATTCCCTATGTAAATCTTCTAGGGCAGCGAGGTTGGCGGAAATGTCTTCTCGGACAGCAGCGTGAGGACATCCTCCTGTCTCTATCGCGCGGATTCGAGGCGCGGGAAGTGCTTTGTGTTTTGTCAGGAATTCTGCATCTTCGCGGGTGAAAATGTCGTTGGTAACAGCCGCGATCGAATATTTCTCTCGCAGTGCCAGACAAAGCGCCAACATCAAAGCCGTCTTTCCAGATCCAACAGGTCTACAAAATCATCAGCCAAATTCCATAACCATAAAGTCAATCTCCCAAACCCAATTCAAGCCATAAAATCTCACGTGACAACCCCTCATCCCAACAAGGTGGGGGAAAAGACTACAAAGAAATCCAAAACCTACCCTCCAATGCCCACCGTAAAAGCGCGTTCAGACCAATTCCGGCCCTCGATAATCGGTGGTTCGCGTCCCATATAACTCCCCGGCCCATCGAGGATCTCGTGCGTGTGTCCGTGGTCTGCGGCGGCTTGGTCGTGGGAGTGGGATGGGCCACCATCGTGTGAATGGTTGTGTGCCATGATTGAGGATTTTGTTATGGTGTGTTGACAGGAGAAAGTAGAAGTTGAAAGGAAATGGTGGGATTAGGTGGAGGAGATTGAAGATTATTGGATAGATGTGTTATGAAAGATGGGTGGTGTTCTACGCTCGAATTAGTGAGCAGGTGTGCCACGTGATTGAACACTGAGGATCGTATATGGAGATAACCCTCATTTTGAACATTAGAAGGCTCTCTAGTTGCAGGAAGTCTGATATTGCTGATTGGTACGCCGTTACGCCCGCTGAAAAGGATCCCTCCCCTCGTGTCAATTTGCGTGCTAACGGTACAACATGACTATACAATGCTGATCGTTACAAGATTGATGCGAGTCCAAACTACAGTAAATCAAAGCTGTAATAAAAAACGCTTGGCTACGATTCAATACTGCAAATCCTTTCCCACTTCTACATTTGCCCCTAGAGTAACTCAGAATCACCAGTGGAAAAGGAAACCGAAACCATTACGAAAAGTCGTCATCAACATTTGGTGTAGTGAGACTGTTCTCCTTGGCTTCCAAGATCGCATCCCTCTGATCATCTGTGGGGGCAGTTCTCTGGTATTGCTCTCGGATTTGACGGAACCCTTTCTCGTCGTTCGCTCGCAAAGCTTCCATGAGATCCATGTATAGACGAAATTCAGGCGTCTGCCCGAATTTCCTATCAATGTTGCAGTAGTTTTCAAGGGCCCGACGTGTGGTAACAAAATCCCCGGTGGCAAAGTGATAAAAAGCCGCTTTGCACAGGTATCTTACCGCATTACCTGCTGTTGATGCTGATGGATTTGGATCCGACTTCTCCTTAGCCACTGCTGCCTCGTACATTCGCGCTGCAGAACGATATGCTCCCGCTTTGGCGAATTTCTCTCCACCAGCTATGAATGTCCTAATCGGTAACCTATTCCAAGTCAATGAGTTTAATAGTGTATGACAGATGGTATTGCATACGCTTGAGTACCATAAGCGACTCCTGCCAGACCATAAGTATTCTCAGCTTCTTCATAGTTTTCAAGCACTACATGGATTCCTGCTATTTGCTCCAGTACTTTGGCCTTTTGATGCTGTGTGTTTCCTTGCTCATCCTCGGCAGCTGACAGAGCGCGTTGCGCCACTCTCAATGCATCTCGATTATCTCTTTTGACATCTTCGGATGCTTTCGGCGGGTTTAGGAGTTCGTGCTGTTTCCTTCTTTTATCTGCTTCTTGTTCTGCTATTGCTTCCTCACTTCCCAGCGGTGCAGATCGCAGAGGTGCCGAAAGGGAGCTGATAGATGGCAGCGGGTTCGACGATACTACCGTCGACGCGTCGGCATACGACGAGGCAGCCTTTATAAAAGCACTTTTTGCTTTGTATTTTTCGCCGTAGGACAAATAAAGTTCGCCAGCCTTTTCGAAGGCTTGAGCGGCCTTTCTCACTACGAAGAGAACATTTGTTAGAACACGCTCGATGAGGGATTGAAAGAAATGTCACATTGTTGCGCTCTTTTAAAGCCGTTTGCTGCAGTTTCGTAAAGCTGCGCTGCCTCTTCCAACTTGTCTTCTTTCGTGTTGGCGCTAAACCAACTGCTCATACCCCCGCGGTTGGCAGAAGCAACTGCTTTTTCCGCCTCAAAGCTGTAAGTAAATAGGCAGAGAATGGGGAGGAATGGTAGCCACCTGGCGCATAACAGACTCAGGGTCGGAAGCCATGTCGATAATCTGGGCGGACGAGAATTGGTTATGTTGTGCCGATGCGCTGATGTGTCAGGTATGGTAGAGAGATGTGTAGTAGTGTACTGATTGTTCGTAAGCTGTAGTCTCGCAAGTATCGTAGTATAGGTACAGTCTCGAGACGATATAGTGTGGGGCAATTCAATGATATGCTTTGCTCGACGTTGTCGTGGTGCGAGGCTTGGTCGTCAGACGGCTAGCGCGGAGCATCACTAAATATGGATCGCAAGGCTGGCAAATACATCTTCGAGGCGCGCTTGGCAGCACAGTGTTCTGATCCTTCTTGTTAATTCACTATAATAGAGCTTTGTATCGGTACTGGTCTCAAACTAAAGAGCAATAGTTATAGTCGCGCATTCTGCGGTCAGCCATGTCGTCCTTCCAGTGCCTCACTTGTCGAGCTTCCTTCCGCCATTCTTCGAAATGTGCGATGCCGTCCATTCGAACCTTTAATGTTTCAGCATTGGGAAGATCAAGTCAACAAAATACCCCAGAGGATGCTGATGTATCCAAACGCATTTCCGATGGACAATATCCTCCGAAAAGCAAGACAATTGCTATCGATTCCCTTCTTTCTAAGCCGACGTGGTCTGTACGATCACTACTTCCAGACTCAAACACGCCTACCTCCCATGAAATAACGGCGGAGAAACTTCATCATCTCCTACGCCTCAGCGCGCTTCCGCAGCCTAAAAGTCGAGAAGCTGAAGCCGACATGCTCGACATGTTACACTCGCAGCTACACTTCGTACGAGACGTTGAGAGAGTGAATACTGATGGGGTAGAGCCCTTACAAAGTATTAGGGATGAGACAACTCAAGCCGTGCAAGAAGCCACAATTGGACTAGAACAGATGGGCGAGGAACTTTCAAAGGAGCAGACACGAGGTCGAGGGAAAAGGCCGAGAAGAGCGAGAGAAAATATTGCCTTGGAAAAGGGTGTTGAAGATTGGGATGTGCTAGGTGCGGCCCCAGACAGTGTCGTTACGCCAGGTGGAACATATTTTGTTGTCAGAAGCGGAAGAGAGGATAGTCATTTGCACAATATTGCTGCGACTCAGGAAGTGCCGGAAAGAAGTCCGCAAAATGGCGAAGCAAATAGCATAGACGTGCCTTAATGAAAGAAGTTGAGTAAAAACGACATACTAACATCCATCGCCCATTGCTACAAATCGCAGTTCTCGCATTGAGATTTATTATTAGTTACTTATTGGTAAACACGATGCTCAAAGTCGAGCTTTGCAAACAGGAGTACTTTCCAAAATGGGTTGTTGAAGGTGATACAATCTTGAAGCTGGTCCTCTAGTAAGCTCGTGGTGATTATGTCAATTGGTGACTTGGTTGACCTTCCATTTCTTATTCCTTTCCTATGAGAGACGCAGCTTTTCGGCCGCCTTTTGCATCATAGTCTGGTCTGTCTTGTGCTTGACATCCTTTTCCATCTCTTTTGCCTCCTCTTCGGGTGTTATATTGCTTCCGTCCTTCTTGTTTTCTTCCCTTTTCTCCTCCTCCTCCATCAATGCTAGAGTTTCCTCTTCTCTCGCTACCTCACTTACATCAATATCTTCGAAGCCAATCTTTTCAAGAATGCTGCCCACGAGATATTGCAAACGAAGGTGGCCGCTGACCATATCACTGACGTTGATATTCTCAATACCTTTCACCTGCTCGATCTCCTGCAGACCAGCCACGCCGTATTGAATGTTGAAAGTCCGGTAAAGAAATCCGAGAATGTAATCGTTCTCAGAATACACATTGATAAGTCTCCCAGCAACAACGCTTCTCATTGCCCGCCAAGGAGCGTCGTCGGAAGGGCAAGGCGCTCCCATGAGTATGACGTTTTCCACCAGTCCAAACGCTCTCCGTTCAGCAAGACTCATCAAACACGAGTAGATTAATCTTGCCCCTACACTGTAGCCGATAAGTGTTACAGGTCTTTCCCCTTGTGCCTTGTTGATTAGGGCATCCGCTAAGACAAGACCAGCTTTATCGGCTCTATTCATGGTGACAGAGAAGGGGTTGTCCACGACTTTCGAGACTTTGAGGAGCCCGATCGGCCATAGAGCAGTCATCAAGCTAGCAAAAATGGTCCGTGAGATGATCTCTTTCTTTGCGACCCCCCAGGCAGCGGATTTCACAACGGATTCCATGGAAGTGCCGAGTTTTCTGTGAACGTTTTAGTACGAAAAGTGGGATGAAAATCTGGCGTTTACTCACGTCAGGGCTTCAAGTTCCCACCTGAGTGCAAATACTTCACTCTGCCGGCCGAGGGCTCTCCAAGGAGTGATAATGTCTTCCGTCTGGGTAATCCACCCACTTATTCCAATCGTTAATCTCAGCCGGCGATCTTCCGGAAGAGGTTCGTGGTTCTTTGATCCTTTCAATGGCAGAAAAGCAAAATCGTCTACCTCTTTTGCGTACTGATCAATCATCTTTCCAGTCATGCGACCGCCATATGCCCCAAACAGAGCGCCCACGATGACTCCACTTTCCGCCAGGGCACCAAGAAGACCCGCCGCAGTAGTCGCACCTAAACCAATTCCACCCACTAGAACAGATTAGCATGCGTAGTTCTGTTTGCTTCAGAGCCCAGAGCCATGTCCAAGAACCTGACTCGCCGTGACCACTGAGATGGGAGTTTAAAAGGGACCACATAGAGAAAGGTTGCATACTGATTGTACCGATTGCACCGGCAACCAAGGGAGCAGCAAGCCCACCTGTGATGCTATTGATGTCAGTCAATTGTATAGCCGGAAAAAGCTTTGAGATGTAATCACCCAATAACTGCGGCTCCCGCGACGCCAGCCAGACCAACTTTCCACCTCCTACTGTTCTTATTCTCATCACTTCTCTTTTCAGTCTCTTCTTTTCCAGACATCTGCTTTGCGGCTTCGAGAAGGCCCTGGGCAACCTTAACCTCTTGCTCAGCCAGGATGTGTAGTGGGAGATGAAGGGAAGAAGATATATGCAGAAGCAGAATTCGGGAGTATGAAGAATATCGCTCGAGAGATAAAAGGAGCAGTAACATGGCGTTCAGTAGAAGAATGCGTTTGTCTCTTGGCAAGGAATATAGGGCGGTGGATGTAGGAGGATAAAGCGTGATCAGTGCCGCATCAGCTTCCTCGATATTGGTGTTGGAAGCTACAAAGTGTCAACAGAACCTCTTCAAAGTAGCGTATGAACTATGCGATAAAACGATGACAAGGTACAACACCTCTGAATTATGATTTTCAGAGGTGCTGCAATACACAACAAAACAGGTCCAAGAGGTAAACCTACTGATGACTTTCGTTTGGGTCTCTTTCTCGGAATCAGGCGTCGCTTCTATGGAAGCGTGCTCAATCTGCTCTTCCAATTTCTTGGGACTATTAACAACTTCTCCAAGTCTCAAAATGATACCCTCACGCCATTTGTCAAAATACTCCTCAGTTGCCTTCTTTAGGTCTTGCATCTTCGGAGCAGATAAATCCCTTGCTCGCTTCTCCCTTAACTCTCTAGCATCTTTCTCCTCAACCGTTCCCTCGGCCTCTCCCGCATCGTCAACATTTGGATTGTTTTCTTTCTCCTGAAGTGGATTTTTTGGTTCTTGATCCTTTTTAGTAGTAGAATCTGCATCGAAAGTATCTGTGATTTGTTTTCTCATAACCTCGGTGATATTGGCGATTAGCAGAGTGAGCTCAACCTGCTCCTCGTGGGAGAGGATTGTGCTCAGATCGTCACCATTATTCTTCGGTTTGTTTCCCTTCTCTGAAGCCATCTTATTGTTCGGATAACTCAACAGGTATATGTCTGTTTGTTGATGCGAGTTGGCACTCATCAGGAAAACTCGCTCAATATGGAACCTCGAGCTACCAACAGCGCCCAATGACGTATATATAATCACGTGCAAGTGTCGATATCACTCGCGCATAGCTTATGGTTAGCAGTGGTAGTTATTTGTGTAGGCATGGAAAGTGGTAAAATGTAAATTATCTTTAAGACGCAACTGCTCCAATATTGGATGGATACAAGCAGTGCTATGTAGCAGCGTCTAAAGTTCTGACTCGGTTAGTTGGTTTCTCTAAACAGAAGTATTGTGCCTCTTCCCATCAAGCGTTACGTGCTATCGCCTGGATGCAGCTGTTATACAAAACAGGATATCGATACAGTATGTTAGGTCATTGTATTGCAGACGCAGCTATATTCTCCTTCGACCTTTGCATCTCTGGGATTTGTTGGGCGATGATCAATCTTTCTTTCCATTGCCTGCAGTGGACGACGTTGGCATATTCGGCCACCAGGATCTCGATTCTCTTTCCACAAGCGGTTCTCCGTGCTTAAGTGTCTCTTTGCTAGAATTTAACGCGGCCCCGTCGACAGCTTTCGGCTCATCTTGCTTGATACTGCTGGTCTCAATCAGTTGTTGGCCAATAAGTGTAGGATCGGGAACATGTTACAGAGATCTGTGAGCAGCCTCTTTTTGCTCCCTCTCCTCTTTGAAAGCAGGTCCAAACACCCAAATTCCTGCTTGTTTGTCAAATTCCGCCATTAATGGCAGGTCAGCATACAAGCGATGAGAGTCATTAGACATACCATTGCCAATTCCCAGTGCAGTCGCCAGAAGCAAGGGCACAATACCTCGTGCTCTGCTCATAATTACACACTAGAACTTATCGGCTTTCTCTCCTGGAGTACGTCGTGCTTGAGAAACGATGTCTCGGTGGTCCTCCTGGAGAAAAACCACCAAAGCACAGGTAGTCACGTGATGATTTATCACGTTAGTCCCGATTAGCTGGGTGGCCCGATCAAACCAAAGCGACATTTTAACCGCGTCGCGTTCGGGCGCGTCTCCCCACCACAACGACCATCATGATACTGAACCTGCGCCTCAGTGCTACAAAATGGTCGACACAGCCCCGCCACGCTGAATGTTACGATTATGACATTTGAGTCTTATGGCATCTTGGAAGGTGATAGGGGTGGTCCCAGATTCAGAAGATGAAGAAGACGATACAGATCTCGAAGACATACTCAACCCACACTCGAGCGGGTTACAATCTACAACCACGAAAAAGGATGGTTATGAGGGTGAACAGGAAAACGCATCCCGAGGCTGTTCTTTGACGAGAACTTTGCCAATTTCAGGAGTTGTTTTGGATGAGTTGTCTTGCCCAGTTCCTGGGACATCCGATGTGGCGGGGGAACCAAACATCTTCAATAGTGCTTCCGCGACAAAAACGTCCTCGCCCATCCTGTTGCAAGAAACAAATGGCTTCCCTGATGCTATCTCAGTCACTTCTGCTCCAGTACCTACGCCTCGTCTAGCTTCTACGCCTACTCCAGGTTCCGTCTGCGGAAGTCCTGTCGACGATAGTATATCCCGCAGCTATGTACAACTCACATCTGCCACCGGCAGCTCGCTTTCTCGCCCTTCGGTGAGCCCAGAATTGAAAGCTGTGGCAATTAGTAGTCCCAATTCATCGCCAATTGGGTTGCCTGCGTCAGCAACACAAAATGCTCGTCGAGTGCCGGCTATAACCAGCAAGGACTATACAATAACCCGAGCCCTCCGTCAGCGAAATGCTATTCAGCTTCATCCGTATATGTTAGAACAAGAGAAATACCGCCAAACTTTAAGGGCTCGTGGGATGACTCCAATGCGTCTTGCTAATAGCCAGGATGACCGTCAGGCCCAACCGAAATCAAGCTCCTCTCCTGATGCGAGTTCGCAGACTGAAAATCGAGAACTTGATGTCGATTGGAATATCAACTCAAGCTCGCCGCAGAAAAGCTCCAATGGCGATGAACAACGAGCTACGGCTTTAGGTCAGGATTCATCGAAATCGGACGATGAGGAATTCCCCGACATTGACGAAATTCTGGATTTACCGAGATCCAAGGCCCCTAAACTTCGTCAAAATGCGGGCAAGAACCAATCTTTTAATTCAGTCCGTCATAAGCTGGCTCCAATAAGCAACCGCTCGTCCAGACTTAATAGCTTTAATACCATGAACGCGGAACTCGATATTTTTGATATACCAGCTTCGCCTCCAGCCACAAGTCCCGTCTTACCAGCATATGCAAGACAAGTCGATTCAGAGGGGTTGCCTCTTGCTTCTCACGAAACCGGATCATGTATGTCTGGACCCAGCAGGCGTCAACGCAGGTCTTCAACGGGCCTACCGACACCAGGCACCAGTGTTGTAAAGCCCATCATGGAACCGATACTTATCGATTCAGATGTCGAAGTGGAAGGATCAGCACAATTTTCAACATCAGGCTCGTCCTCTGACGAATCGCTTGACTTCCGAAAAATCAGAAGAAAGATCCGTGGGGTGCTTCCGGCGTCCCATTTGCGATTAGACACGGCTGGGAAAGTATCTGCGATACCCAACCCAGCCCAGCGCGAGCGTTACCAAGATGATTCCCCAGACGTCCGTGTCCGACGTGGAGTTGCGATCCTGGCGCCTTCAAAACCTTCCACGACGAGCAACTTGCACCTAAATTATGGCTTGCCGGCATTGTCTGACGATTCTGAACCGGACGAAGAAAGTAATAATTCAAAGGATACCTTTACGAAGGACGGTGGCGACAATATCTATGACCTCCTCGGTGATTCTTTCCTATCCCAACCCACTGGACTTGCAGAGGAAGACGACACAATCGATTCAATGCTACCGACTAGAAAACGGCAAGCCAGGTCGATCAATACCTTGACCCGTAAAAGACGGCGAACTATGTTCGGTCCAGCTCAAAAGCTAAGTAGAATGCATTCCGGTCGCAATGCTCAACATCACCGTAGTAATTCCAATAAAGTTAGAAGCAAGCCAGCTGCATATGAACCTAGCCATTCAAAAGGGCCACAATCAGCAAGATTTGATGTTCCAAGGCTTGGGATACTTGATGTAATCGATCCTGATCATTCAGGCCCTAAAAAGCTTCCCCAGTTCATCCGCGTGGCGGCGCGGGCAGCGAGATCCAAGATTGGGAAAGGACGGCACAGTCCAAGCAGGAAATTTATCCGATTAGCTAACCGCGAGGATACAAATGAGGCTCAGGCTGTTTTGCAGAATTGGAGAAGAGGAAGAATCCAGCTTAAACCCCAGTGTCCCAACCCAACGCCTACGGCCCCTGCTCAAGATTTGGAGCTGTTCTGTACAATTCAACGTCAGCATCCGCAACCACCGCACCCAGCAGAGAAAGAAGGCAAGCACAGGTCATTACAACAAGCTTATCTTGTCTCTAAAGCTCCGAGAAAACTTCGCCTTTCACCGCAACAAAAGTCTATGGATCAATTCGTCACGGTATGGAAGCCAACGTTTCCACAAGACCATGACGCTTCTCATCCCGCTATACATCTGCATGACCCTCAATCTCGTCAGCAAAAGCACCGGCACAGCTCTTTACTTTTGCGACCCGCACAGTTGCATACTTCCGTGGAAGCGCGCTTGCAACTCAGCCCCGAATCTAGCTTTAAAACCACTAAGCGTTCTCTTGACAGCATCTTCAAAGCTCTACGCCGACGCCATGAGCCTCAAACGAACCTCCAACTCAACAGGTTCCTTTTGGATACAGCAACCCCTCTACCAGCCGCCAACGCTGACATAACTACTTCCCCGACGCGCTTGCAGAATGAGAGCAAAGTCAGGCCTCCAAACAAAACACATCGCCGTAGGAAAGCGTTCCCTGCACACATCGATATTGGTGCCGTAAGGTACCGTCAGCCAAGCGAGCCACTAGTTTTAGAGACCTCCACTTCTACTCAGGTACAATACCTTGGTGCTGAACATCCACGAGACAAGCTGCAAGGTCTAGGGAAGTTTGGCACAAGATATCCTGTAAATTTTGATGTACAACCTTTACATTCGGCGGTCTATTTCCACCGTACCACCCTGATTGGAAGTGGTCGTCTAGCCCAAGCACTCAACGGTCCCACTGATTGGATGCTACCAGACCGCTCGGGGATCTCTTTTTCGTTATGCGATAAGCAGTTTCTCTGGGGTCAGTGGGACGATACTGTCTCGTCCGAGATAGGCTTATGCATCGACTCCATCATCGAATGTCTTTCTGCCTCTGATTCACAACTCATTCAGTCGAAGGAAGATACTTCATTGGTACTAGAAACTATTTCTAGCTACCTGCAGCTCAACCTCTCGTTTCGGGGAATGCAAGATCAGTATGATTTTCTCATCAGAATGTCAGATATCTTACAAGACTTTATAGTTCGTCTAAGCTCATTAACGGAGCAAGCGGACGTACTTTGTTTACAAGTGGTGACTAGGTGTCTGGTAATTGTATACCAGCTCCTGCGGATGGCGCGCAAGCGGTCTGACTTGAAGACAATGAGTTTCCGACTGGAAGATTTGCTCATAACCGTTTGTTCAAAGCTTGGCAGTCTCTTATTGACCGATGGCCTCGAACGTTTACGAACGTTGTATGATGATCTTCAGTATTTTTCCGTTCGCGAAGATGGTATAAGGGCAGATCAAAGCGGGATTGAGTCATGGGTTGTTTTGATCAGAGTTCTGGATGCTGCTCATATCTCGAAAAGGTCTTTCTGGGACGTAATTGGCCCCCTATTGAATCAGAACGATGTTCAGTCTACAAATAACGCTCGCCTCTTAGAACAGTTGTGGTACTCACTATTCACAATTCTGCCGCTATGCGAGTTTAATGACCTTGGTTATGTTCAACAGTCTTCACGTCATGAAGCCAAGTTCGATGGCTGGTCAATCCCACAATCGATTCTGAAAGGGATGTTCAGCCTATACAATAAGAACCAAAGACAGTCTGCCGGTTTCAATGACTACCTCCGCGCGAGCCTGAACCGCTGCTATTACTTGATGACGGAGTGGGGCTGGTGGAAATGTGGTGGTGTTATTGGCACTATCTTCGACTTCTTTGCCTCTCAGAACCTCAAAAATTTACGTAACGAAGAGGTCTATGATTCGCCCCAGTTCTTGAAAGAACTTGATCGACCTCCTCTACTTATGTTGAGACCTGAAGACCGATGCTTCCATATCTTCCTCAAGATGGTAGCTTTGGCAATACTTCACATGAAGGGCGCTGAAAGCGAAGCTTCGGTTGGAAACTTTGTGATCCGGTTACTACCCAACCACAACAGACTACTTCCGAAGGAGGAAGCAATACACCACCGGGAGCTAGCGTCATTGCGGAATCATCATGACCTTCTCTCAACCCTCTACTTTGCAGCACCAGTGAAACAGCGGCCCCCCATCAACCTCATATCTGATCTTGTAGCTGCGGATCGCTCTCATACAGAAGCCTGTTTGATGAATATAAGGGCTTGGGAAAATTTGACCAAGTTCATCGTAACCAGTTCTCGCAACGCTGCCGTTTATGGCCCCTTTAAGACTTGGCAGAATAGTATGGCCAGTGCTCTCGGACGACAATATGTAGAGACAGAATCGGAAGTTAGAGGCCAAGCCGAATCGCTTGAACAAGCAGGCAAAGAAATGGTATCAGAAACAACTTTGCACGACACTATCGCATCCAATAAGAGAAGCACAATGGAAATCATGCGTGCGGTGGTACGAACCATGGGTCAAACGATCTTGTCATCTACATCTACACAAATGACCATTGTAGCTCTCAACATGAGTAAGATACATCTCACTTTCCTGCTTAAATACAACACTGACGAGTATTCAGCAACAATTTGTACCTTGTGTTCGCAAGGGATCTTAGACGACCCAGCTTGCACAGAAGGGTTGCTTGCTGATTGCATCACTGTGGTCGACCATTATATGAACCAAATTGACAGTCTGCATCCTGTTTCGATCTCTCGGGGTAATGCGTCTTGTTTGATGGATGTGGATAGTCAGGACAGCGAAGACTTATCTTTGAGCAGTCTCGACCGTGTTGAAATGATAAATGTAACCATATCCTTACTTTTGCCCCGTCACCTGACACTAATCATTCGCTAGCAAGTACAATCTGATATCGTTCCTTGGATGCGTAAGGTCTTGTACGACAATTTACAGAATCGCTCGACTGCTAGCCCATCAGTTCTGCGAACGCTTGTTTCAAGTTGGGCTGACGTAGTGTCTAAAGTGACAGAAGGGGGGATGGTGAGTCCTATAAGACACCATGTGGCTGATAGCTAATTTTGTCCAGAAAATGAGTGACTTTTTCATGAATGGGCCGCATTCTGTGTTTCCGCAACCCCACAAAACGACGAGGATTGGCTTGTATTGGTGCATGTTCCTTGCGGAACTTACCAAGAACAAAGGGCTTGAAAACTTTGAGGTATTGGTCAGAATTTCTAATAATCTGTCTTTAGTCACTAACACTTGACAGATGCCAGGCTTTGACATTGGCACGGAATGGCTTCTATTGCTCATTATGCCTCCGATAGACGATGAGACTTTTCGAGATACGCTGAATAAGTTGACCGCGTGGTTGCGAGTTCGGGGCCACTACTTATTGGCAGGGCCGTCTCATCTCACATCAGACTCGGCAAAAGGTGGAATTGTATCATATGAGCGAACCGCCTCCCCTCAAATTTTGTTTAGAAGTATATCTCACCATCATTATGTAATTTCTGTGACTAACAAAGACAGATACTGTTAATGTTATGCGCTCGACACTTCTGGGCCAGTCGAGCATTGACCCGAGGTTCAGTAATGTGACATCAAAAGAGATACATCATTCGTTTTCAACAATACTAAAGCGTGTGATGGACTTCATGAAATCACAGCTCGAGGCAATGACGCCAAGGTCACTGGAGCATCTTCGTTACATCAGATTAGTACAACAGAATGTGTCGGTAATACGATCACATGCCAGCGACATTCAGCCTTTAATTGACTACTATATCATCCCTTCACAGTCATATTGGCCCGAAGATACGGATCCAACGCTGTACGCTGCTGGAATCGTGTCTTACTCTTTGCGACTTCAGAGCAATCCGCGAAGGAGTGCTCTTGAGCTTTTCTACTATCTCTACAATGGATGGAAAACAGACCTCATTCAAAATCAAGTTTCAAGACACATGCGATATGTTAAGAAGGGTTTAGATCAGTGGGAATTCGCGTCGTTTCTTATGTTTGATTTCCTACCCGCCGCTCTTCATGTTGGCTTCCAGTCATCTGGCGGGTGGGTTCTCTGTGCAACATATCTGCCTACATTGTCCAGTCAGGCTACGAGGTTGCTTAGCGATGAACAGGCCGTGCCTCAGAAGTCACCATTCGTCCTTTTCACAAATCTGCTCAGGATCATCATCAACGGCTTGAACACTAGGGTTTACAGATCAAGTTACGCAGTTGATGATTGCCAACTACCTCACCAACGCTGTATGACGCAAGCCGCCGTTCATTTCTGGCTATCTACGCTGCTCCCACTCAGGACACACGCATCAAATGACTTGGACAAACTCAACGTCATACAAGGTCTTGAAAAATCCATGGTCAGAATCCTAGTCCGCATGTGTGGGTTAGAGAACAGCGATCCTATCACCCCACAGATTACTGTATCTAAAGGTCAGCAATTTGCCGATTTCGTGTCCGTTTTGTCGGAAGATCTCAGTAACAACTGGGAGATAAAAGAGAACTCATTGGACGTAGTAATAAGCAAAGCAAGATCTCGTGATGGCATAAACACTCATCTCAACTTAACCCGCCTAGGAGGCGAGATCGTTAGCCCTCTACAATTGCTTCATTTAGCTCTTCCCTTGCTGGGAGAAGAAGGTGATGGTCTTTTGGAGCAGGTAGGCGAAATTAGTATAGGTCCCGACGTTCGAAGAATATATTGTTAGGAGATGCTGCAATGCATGATGATTGCCCAAAGTAAATCATGTCAAGCTAAGTATTGGTCATTTTGTATGCGAATGCTCTACACGTGAAATGACCCAGCACATATATGCTGTTGATTTAAGGTAGCATTTGCCCCCCCTGTAATTTCAAGACACCCTCACGTTCTGTCACCTAACGCTGGAACATTTGTTAACTCTGATTCTTCCAATTTCCAGAAAGAAGCGCGCAGTTGACTGTGCTCGAGCGAACTTCATGCACCCGTGAAGTCTTTTGTTTTGACGTCTGAGCAGGGTTTGGCCTTTAAAACTCCATACAACGTTGTTATGGAATCATGTAATAATAGAGACTCTCTTATACAGTGAAACAATATAAGAATGTGGGCCGGAGACAACGATATATATCCTTAAGCCAGGTATTCTTATAACACGCATTACTGTTGTAATTTACACCAAAAAGAGGCTGGGGCCAGCGGAGACATCCTTAAAACACAAGCATCCTTGTTTCTAACAACCTTATATGGAATTTTTACTGTAGTAAAACCACAAACGTATGTACAATTTAATATAAAAATAGTCAAGGAACAGGCTGCTTTTGGTAGAAGCTATACGGACCAACATGTTGAGTATTTGGGTGCTGAAGTATATACGGTGGCTATGTATAATCCTAGTACTATTTGTTTAAAGAAAGAACGTGCTCTAGGCATGTCGTAATCTGAAGTGTAGAGTCAACTTTACCTTATCTTACACTTCCCTAAAGAGAACCACGTCGGTTGACTTTGTAAGCGAAAAAGTGCTAAATCGTCCAACGAATCTCTGCACCCCCTGTGAACCCAAAATGTATACAAAGTAACTTTTCCCACGGCCCGAGCCGCTGTAATGGCCGATGTGCAAGCATTTATTGTCATGATTTCTTCTGAATGAACTAGCAATGGCAAGTGCTTGATCGACTTATTTACCAATTAGCCTACAGCAGTAGGAATATTTGACTCTGGAATATATTACACGTCTAAAATGGTATTTCCAATAGTCAGCCGAGATTGTTGTAAGAGCAGCACCAGTCTCGAGAGATAGGTGCCTGTTTGATCCTGTTCATTCTATAGTGATAATCTCTCTCTTGCACCTGTCAAACCACGTCATTCTAGATCTAAGATAAGCTCGGTATTTGACCCTGATAGCTTCGTTTTGCGCCCGAATCTTTCTATATTTTGCCGGATCTGTCCGCTTCCAGTCCTCTTGGAGTTCAATCTTAGGCTCTTCCCTAATTTCACGCCTTGGGAGGCGTGAGTAAAGAAAAAATACCCCGATTCGTCTAAAGCAATCACTGTTTGCAATGCGTCTTATTACAAGGCCGCAAATAGCTCGCTCCGCGGCCACGTCATTCAGGACCTCCAGTAAACTGACAGATGGGTAAGAACCTACAGGATCCCAAAGATTGTCTTCTATACAGTCGAGCTCTACTCTCCCTCTCCGAAATTGCTTGAAACTTTTCGATTTCGTTATATCATAACTCAGCCCCGGTCTTCTGTCAACATCTTTAGTGTGCTGAAAAGATTCGTACCACTTTATCTGTCGCCTTCGCCCGAAAACTTTCAAACATCCGGATGTTACCGCACCATAGGGGTAACACTGGGTTTTGAGTTGTGTGCGGCAATCTAAGATCTTCAAACGAACGGCATAGGGATCGCTCGCGTAAACATTCTGTAGTCGGTCAAGATTCGGGAAATCAACACCTACTGTCAAGCTAGCCCACTATCAATTGGCTGTCAGTCACAATGATCTAGCTTGTCCGTGACAATTGAACGTTTCTCAGTACAGGGTTTAGAATTGTTTGAGTGGTTATCTATGTCGTAGCAATAATGAAATGAATTTACTTACTGACCATGAAGGACCAGTATACACACTTGGCCTTGCAGTTAGCGCGTTTGCTGCGTTAGTCTCAAGGTGAGGCGTCCATAACAATTGCAGCAACAAGCTAAAACCTATTTAATGTCAACCAAGTTGCATAGTATAGAGCCATGGAAGAACCAGTTACCCCACATTCCAGCTACGTAATTGTCCTGAAATACCTTGCCGAAATGTTGAGCAATTGCTGAAAGCGCTAGCAACCTATCACTTGGATTGCTTAGTGATCTTTTGGTGAAGGCCTCTACCAATTTGTTCCAATGGTCTATGGTGGACATAGATCCGCAAACAGGGGAAATGTCGCGCGCGATAATGTCCCAATCTAGGCCCATATTCTCCAAATTTGGCCTCAAAATGGGATTTAATTTTTCTGCAACACCAAGGTTGTATTTGATGCTGTAATCTCCTCTGTCGAAAAGTCCATCATAATAGTAGTTGCATCGGGTGATTTCTCTGGTGTGCTTCGGCTCGCCCATATTCATGTCTTTTTGGTCTAATTGGTGATCCGTCGTTTCTTCGCAACAGATGAAGAGCGACTGCGTTTGTGTGATTCTCACCACTCTCGGGGAGAGCAAGAGCTCTTGTAGAGTCCAGCCACGTCGATCGAGAGGTTCGTCATCAGACCGTCCCCTTCGACAAAGCGTCAGAACAATGTGACCGATATTCCCTTCCGGCGTCAGACTTCTAAGAGAAACCTCTAAAAACTCGATTTCCGAACAAACCACATCCGAATTCAATCTTGGGAATAGAAATCCTTCCTGCGCTGATCTTGATCGTGATGCGACTATTGTCACATATGCCAGGCTGTAGATTGCACCCATGCGAGAGATTTCGGCGGCTTTATCTTCCGGGTCATCCTGAATAATGCAGAGTGCATCAACCCATAGCAGTTGAAGTCCGAAATGATGTGTGGCAACTACTGCGTCTTGGATTGTTGCCGGGAGCTGCCTGAAATTTATAGAATCTGTGAAAGCTTCTACATTACTTGTTTTCAGGCAAAATCGTTGGACACCTCCCCAGCAGTAACTGAGAGCTACGTATTTCTCTTGTTGTCTACCCTCAGTCATTTGCAGAGTTACTAGGTATTCATCACCTATTGGTGTTATCTTCAAAAGTCTCCTTGGCATGGAATCCAAGACACTGCGGATATTGCACTGTTTGTGACGACTCACACAACACTCTATCTCATAACGAAGATCGTAAAGAGACCGCTGCGATGCGGGATAATCCTTTGTGAGATGCGACTGACCAAAAACTGTTTTGACCCGTTAGCTAGCCAACTTATGATTAAATACGTGAAGGTAAAAAAACTGACATTTATAATAAGTGTCGAAACACCAGCCTTGCTGGGTTGACCCCTCAAATTCCCATGTTTCATATCGTTCTCTTTTAAGATGATCTTATCCAAAGAGCGTTTCAGTAAGAGCAAATTACTAAGGTTTGAAAAGTCTTCTGGGGCTTTATACTAACATAATGACCGAGAATAGCGAAAACTACCTATTTGAAAGTGCTCGTCCATGGCTGAGGTGTATTCAACAATTGCTGGCCATTTCTTTAGAGCGCCAAATTGGATAGGTGCATTCTCTGGGGGAAACCACCAGTAAAGGACAAAATTGCAAGGACACTTTGCAAACTCAGTCCGTAATCGGCCGTATTTCGTTCCTTCGAATGTTTTCTTCATGCCCAGCTTACTCAAAGTCATGATCAGGGAGAACAAGCGGCAGCCATTGTTTGCCCCAATTATAACCTGGGCAAAGTCCACACTTCCAATTTTGCGAGATTCAGTTGCTGGTTTGTAGGTTAAGTCATCATGGCCAGGGTCAAGAATTATCTTGTGACAGTACTCGCAAGTGTGAGGAGCCGTCTTGTCGTCATTATGGTCGTTGGGTACACTGTTGCTTGGAGTGACACTCATGATCATAAAATTGCGGAAACTGTGGCGCTCTCATTTTGGATGTCTAGGACATATCGTGAGCTTAAAACGAGTTGAGCGCTGAAATTTTACGCCCCTTGTGTTACATTGCAAGGTTAAGTTCAGCGCATGAAAGAAGTGATCTATTGGCTCTAGATAACAAGGCAGCTTTTCAAAACCAACATCAAGCGGCACTGCCTACGAGAAGAATAGTGCCAATGATACCATAATATCTACCAACCGTTAGGCTTTCTAGATGATGGCTCAAAAGGTGGTCGCGCACTCACCAACGGGAAAAGGAGGTGTTTCTCGTTACAACCCCACGTCCAACAAAAAGCAAACATAAGGCTGCAGGCACCATCGTTATACTATTTTCTGCCTCATCAGAGGCCCTCTACAGAAAGTGAGTAATTTTTACTGCATGCCGAGTGGCAAAGTAATCATGTTACCTGGGCTTTGACGCCGCTCAAAATTCCCACCCATCATCGAATTCGAGGATAAATCAAGTACCTGTCAATGATTATCCATCGGCTCGGCGCCGTTGGGATTCTTGGATTGATCAACTTACTAATTAATGGAAGGGTTTCAGCCATGATAGACCGAGTCGAGGGATCGAGGTCACACCACATAATAAATCGCGAATACCATTATCGGTTTTATAATCTTGCAGTCATCGTCGCAACTTTCTAACTCGTTAATGGCGCAGTGGCATAAATGCGCTAGGGGTAGAGAAATACAGGCTGATAACAGCAGCGAGGCATCTTCCGACACTACGATATTAGTGCTACTCTCACGGCCTAACAACACAGCCGGTATCAATTCCCTATAGAAGTATGATTAGTTAGCTTAATCTTTTTAATAGACCAATTTTGGAGGAGAGTATCTTCTGTACGTTTGCTCTTTTGAGGAGGTTTGTCAGACGCAACACAAAACAATTTTGGTTTACCATGCATCTTAACAAATACCTTGGAAGAGTTTTTGCATTCTTGGTTTATCGTATGTATGTTTTCGCCAACACCAATAGGCAAAATCATTCACTTATTGTTATTTACAAGATGTGTTGTCAATTGGGGGTTCTCTTGCGGAGGTCACAATAAGTGGCAGTCGAACCAGAATAGTTATTCAGCTAAGTTGACGAAATATCGTAATTTAGTGGTTTAACTTGGAATATTGTGCCTAGTTCATCAACGGTTTTAAGTAAATGAGACTTTTTAAGGTATATTCGAAGTGTACTTGTTATTTAGTCTAAGATTTACGGGTAGGTGACTGCCACTTATTTTGTCCTTCACGAGGTTCTTTAGAGCTCGTTCCGAGCGGGCCGAGCCGCAAGCGTTGTTGATAAAGTTTATTTTCCGAATCTCAAAAGAATTTACATGACGTAGCATATACGGGGTTTCAACTGGCTGTAATCATTCAATTATATTCCATAATTTAGTTGAATTAACCATCCAGTAGATCAGAGGTCTTATATGCTTTGCTCACATTCTTCTACCTTTCACAAATTCCAATTTTAGTTGAGACCTAAGAGGATTAAAGAGAAATGAAGAGTGGAAGCCCAATTTATAATGTTGAATAAGTTTACCTTAACAATTTCCAATGTGGGTTGTGTAAAACCAAGCTCTTTGTTTTTTTGAGTCGAGACTGACAAGTAGCTCTGCATTTATGTCGTCGTAGATAAAAGAAATTGCCTCATTGAACAGCTTGCTAAGATTTAAACTTTTGCAGCAACAAAAATGTAACTCAGTTGATGTTACAGGGTTCTTTTGTGTTAAAAAGAGTATGATTTCCCTAGCTCCGTCGCTCAAATTATTAATTGCTAAAAGACGTCGCTCACTGAATCGCTCAAAATCGCTCAGAACATCAGTAAAATACACACTCGCATCATGTCGCATCCTTGTCAAAAATTATGAACCCTTTGGAATTGAAGCAGGTACCAAATTTCCCGCTCCTGTCCCAGCCTGTACCTCCAATGCTCCCACTTGCTGGCCAACAAGAGCACTATCACTAGTGCCATCACCATCAACAGTATCTCCAAGACCTTGGAAGTAGCTAGCGACATTTGGGTTCACTACACCAACAACTGCTGCAACCCCGGCTCCTGCTTTGTCCAGCTGACGCTTAGCTCCTTTTGGGAGAGCAGAAGGGATCAAATTGCCGGCTCCAGTGCCAGCTTGAACTTCTAGAGCTCCCAATTGCTGACCTATCAAAGCACTATCGCTAGTAGTGTCTCCATCGACTGTGTCTGCAAGACCTTGAATATAGGTAGCAGCATTTGGACTGACAACACCAACAATTGCTGTAACCCCGGCTCCTGCTTTGTCGAGCTGACGTTTTCCACCTGCCGATTTGAGCAGAGACGCGAGGTTCTGTCCAGCTTCCTTGACGGCGAGTCCAGACGCGGTGTCCGCATCAGTGAGTATGGAGTCACAGCCCGCTTGAAGAATTTAGCAGTGGTTCATACAAAAGTCAAGGTCATCCTAGCTTACCGCCAACACCAGCACCTTGCCGCTTCAGGCCAGCAGACTTCAAAAGGGAAGCAACATTGGTTCCCGCTTCTTTGACGACGAGCCCGCTACCGGTGTCGCCGTCTGTAAGAATTGAATTGCAAGCATCTAAAAAGAGATTAGTGAAATCCAGTAAAGGCGATATAGCTGGACCTACCACCAACTCCAGCACCCTGTGGAATGGGAATAGCAATAGTGCTTGATGCCAGGAGTGAAAGGTAGGAGATCAAAGTGAGATGCATTTTGTTGAAAAGAAATGTCTTAAGTAGAATTGGAGACGAATTGTCACTCCTCAATGCCTTGAACTCGATAGGGATGCTGGAGGTTCGTCTGGTAACTTGGTGTGTGTTTGAATGCGCTTAGCTTAAACGCTCGCAGTGGATTTCTTCTTCTTTTAACTTCAATCTGAAGCTCCATTTCTGTTTAGTGACGACTGCCAAGCTAAGGAATCAGATCAAATTCCTGGCGTATTCTTGCTCGAGCACACTTCAAAGATACTGCTGAACTGGTGATCAGCGACGCCAAAGGCGAGCTGGTTGAGTTTGAAGCACCGAGAACGTAGGGGGCGTTCGGATTTCTAACAGGTTGTATCAATTCTCACTTTTGCTCAACCCGAATCCCTTATTTCTCCCCCCTTATTAAACTTTCAGTTTGTGCTGGCTCCTTTCTAGCACTCGCTAAACGTTTTCCGTACCTCCGTGCTGTCATCTCATCCCCATAGAGCAACTTACGGCGACGATAAGCTTTGTGCTAAGCGTTCAGTGGAGGGGATTGACAGCTTCAAACGAGGCCTATGGACTGCTAGCCACTTGCATCGAATATTCTGGGCCGCTGAAGGCTGCTGGATTCTACTCGTTGTACTTTAGATCTTTTAGAAGAAACCTTATCGTATTCTAGTTATTCGTGCTTTCTTAACCCCAAAACAATATTGCATCGTCAATTTGTCTCGTAGAAAATGTATTGAACAGTAGATAAGCGACAGATTCGACGACGTTGCCAGCAACGCTTAAAACGAGTACAAAGTCAGAGTAACCACTTCAAAGTGATAATCAAAGAGATTCTAATTCACGTATACGAATGGGAAATAATTCCTCATCTGTACACCACGCTGATGGGGTAGACTATGATTAGCGTGCGGGATGATGATGGGGCTTGGTAAGTCTTGTTCTACTCAAGCCTTTTGGCGAGTCTGGACCCTGGAGAGTGAAACTTAAAGACCCTGCAGGGAGCTTTCTTCCATAGGAATAATCAAGGCTCCCTCAGGTATATGCACGCTTGAAAAGCAGAACGAATTATTACGACAATGATGATTATTGTGTTTTTTTGCGACAGCTGTACTTCAGTCTAGGACGCATGAGTTAGATTTACGTCAAAATTTCAACGAAACAATTTTTGATTATAATAGAACAAACGCAGTACATTACCAAGCAAGTATATGTGATGCTCTACTCATTCCACTACGCCCTTATCATCAAGCTGCTTTGATAATCCTTGACTTCGAAACTGTATCGATCCTGGCGGTCAAGATAAACGACCTTCTCGCTTAACCCCGCTTGCTCTATCTCCTTTATGAAATCAGACAACGGACTCTGGAATACGTCGTAGTCATCATAATGTATAGGAATCGTTAGGTCTGGATTGATCAATCTCAAAAGTTCGACACCTTGCTTCGCGTCCATCGTCACCATCAACAAAGGTGCATTAGGTCCAGGAATAGAAGTTCCACCTAGATGGATAAGCATAAGGTCGATGTTTTGACCGGCATATCGTTCGGGAATAGTTTTGAGCTCATCCACGAGAAGTGTGTCACCCGAAATGTAGATACGATACGTGCATTGAAAGCTATCGTCGTTCGAAGAGGGCAAATACCCCAGTTCAAGCATCCACCCATTTGTAGGCGGAACCTAGAAAGTTTGTTAGTCATTGCCCCGTGCTCACTGCTTGATGAAAAGGCAATGCTTACAGCACCCAGGAAATCATTCAGCGTTCCAAGAATACCAGGGGGCACATGTTTTCCCGGCATTGCTGTCACTTTCATCGCTGCACTTTTTGGACCCTTTTGCGACACATTGGCTTGCGAATCTTTTGCTCCAAGTGTGATGTCGACAAACATGCTTTGAAAAGTATCAAGGTCGTAAACTGACGTAAAAGCTTCTCCATCTGCTTTCTCAGAGAGGTGTGATTTTGCATGTGGAGTCGTGATAATTGGAAGAGACCGGCGAAGAGATGATTCAACTTCCTGGTCGAAATGATCGCTCAAAACCAGTTAGACAACCAACCTATAACACAGATGTACTGCTTACGCATGATAGTGACTTAGTAGCACAACATCGATTCTTGGCAACTCATGCAAGTCCAGAGCTGGGTTAGTTTTCCGTGTTCCTGTGACTCCTGGTCCAAGATGAACATGATCTCCAGCGTGTAAAAAGTTGGGATCAGTCATTAGACGTATCCCTTCCCACTCAAGAATAGTAGTGGCGGTCCCCACGAAATAAATCGAGGCATTCTCCGTACTATTGAGCTTTGTTGGGTGTGTTTTCACGCTTTTTGCAGCTGGGAGAGCTGATGGATGGGTTGGGTTATCTCTGGTGGGAGGTTCGTTAGCTGTTGGGTCGAGAATTAGGTGAGGTAATGATTGGTCCGCCATTGTAGTTGTAATTCAAGCTCAATGTTTTCAGATCAGAAAGCTGAATGTGCTTCTAAATTTTCCTTGAGGTTTACTCGTGACGCTTTGCTGAGGTGGTTGATAATAGAAATCAACGTCATCGATGCGTATATGATCATGTGACATTCCCAGCAGTGGATATTTCGAGTGCTTTTTTTGGTCTTGGAGGGTGGAAACCATCACGAATGTTTTGTTTCAACGTCAGTCGATTTTGGATGCCCTGGAAAGCGCTGTAACAATACTTCAAATCGTCGCGAGGTTGTTGTGGGGTTGATCAAGGTAGAAGTAACGATGAAGTAAACAATCTCCTGACAAGTATAGAAATTTGAAATCCGTATTATCATATCGAGAGCTGGCTCTTACCATCAACGCCACCTAGTGATTAATGACTTGTTTGATTTCAAGACTGGATTTGCGGTCCAGAATGGTACTAGCTGCTTGCTCAGTCCTAAGGTATTCATGATAGCAAATATTTCCGAATGATGTGCTGCAAAGTGATTGTGTGGCCATTTCGTCATGGGACTCTCATGATTCAAAGCTGCTGATATGTTTGCCAATCTGTGTTCTGTCGAGGAACGTGCGCTGCCTTCCTTCAGACAAGAAGCATGGTCTAAGCCAACCGCAGTTGGGTTTCAACAATGAAGCAGACTCTAGGCAAGGAAGTATGTATAGTGTCCTCTCGCACTCAGGTTGTTTTCACGCTCGATATTTGGAATAATTGCCAAGAGGAAATTATGAGAAAAATGGGGAAAAAAAAGGTGAAAAAAAAAAAAAGGTGAAAGAGTAAGGGAGTCTGGTAATAGTGCTGATTTATATATTGATGCTGTAGAATTCCAACCATCCATCTCTTGACTCACTTCCCCCAATGCTGTGCAATAATACCGCCAACGCTATCTAAACATACTGCGTACTTTAGCACTTGCTAAAATGACAAAAATCAGGGGTATCTTCGTGAAAAACAAAATGCCAAAAACATAGCTCTTATATCATCCCATGTACCGGAACGTCATTGCCGTCATCTATACGTAGTGCTTTCATCAGAACATCTTTCATGCCACATCATCTGTGGATTCCTCGTGTATCGTTAGACATAATAGAATGGAAGGCGCCGTGAGAGCCGATCTTTGCATCGACATATGGAGGGCGCGTTGATAATAATGGTGTGGGGGTAATCGTGGGTGGAGTCGTTGAAATAAAAAGTCGTGTGCGAAATAAATCCATGTGGGAAGGTTACGAGTAAGGAACCAGATCACAGGCAAGTGGTCTCGTAAGTTGAAGGCTTGGGGTAAATGCTGCTCCCAGTATATAGTTGCTGGGATTGGGAATGTGATAATCGGTGGTGGTTAAATCTGCGGTAGGATAGCGGTCATTGGGACCAATCTATGAGAAGACAATTCTGGTGGCTTTGTAGTCCCAGGAGTGTTGTTCGTGTAAAGGTGGTGTGTGATATTGATGTATACATCGAAAAACGCAGCCTCCGAATCACGACTTCGGGCTCCTTGGACTGGTCATTGCACTCTCAATTGATGCGTGTCTTTTGTGCATCAGAGGAGAATTCTGTAATTCAGCAACAACTCCCATCCAGCCCATTTTCGGTTTCTCTCCAACATGGTCATTGTGGCCCATCGCTTGTGTCGTCAACCGCCTCAACGGCGGCTTCCTTGAAATGCCTTCTGTCAACGAATGTGGTAGGCCAGGTCTGACGCTCATCTTAGGCCTGTCGAAAAGGGTTTGTTTCGTCAACTCTTTCCCTTGATGTTCCGTGCTCTTTGCTGCGATTAAGCCCATGTAAACGACCAGAAATCGCATTCTTAATAGATCCAGTCTCCTCATCCGCTCCTCCAAGCGTCCACGCTTCGCAGCCCACAAAAGACGCGTGCTCGAACGCAATCTCGTTCCCCCTTCATCCGCTAACAATCTGTTCAGGTCCTCCCGCAAATCATCGCCGCATTTCTGGATCTCTCTCAACAACTTCCCCATGCGAAGCTTGTCCTCCAACCTCGGCACCTTCGCAACATCGCGATCGTAAGATTCGTTTTCTTGAATTGAGAAGTCGACTGCGTCTATGAAAGTAATGATTTCCGACGGCGCGACAAGGTATGCAGACGTATATGTCGTGAGAATTTGGCCGAGGACGATGAGAGACACCAGACAAGCGGTGAGTAACAAGAATAAAGTGTATTGATGGGGAATGTGTAAATCTCCCATCTTCAAAGACGCAGAAGGAGTGTGTAAATGGTATGGAAGCTCTGGCATAATTGTTCGCGATTTTCAACGAAACGGCGTCAATAATGGAAAGCGATGAACGTCATACGGGAGCAGCGGGCAAACATGTGCTGATGGTTGGTGTGGTGGTGAGGAAGTTGGGGAACCAATTGATGCGCATTCTAGCCCCTGCGCTTGCAGCTGTATACTAGCATGTACTCGAGTACGGCAAAAGTGAAAGTAAAAAAGTGAAAGTCATCAAACTAAATCTTTCAAAAATCGCAACGCTGAATAACGAAGACAGAGATACATTCCAAACAATAGTGAACAAATTCGAATAACCTTGAGAGGCAGAGAGCAGTGTGTATGGTGAAATATTCAGACAATCAGAAAAAAGTGGGTGTTCCCAACCTTACCCCGCCAAACCAAGAAGATCAGGAAATCATACCGCGTTGCGAAAGTCAGTAATCACAACATAAAATCGTGCTCTTCAATCCAACTTCTACGAAAATGGAGATCGAGCCAGCAAGACCAATACCCGCGCCCGCACTTGCACCTCCAGATCTATCACAAGTCGGGCCACCGTCGTCTCCTCTACCCCTCCCCAAAATATTCGCAAACGACCCCGCGCCTCCCACACTCGTCACTCAGGGTGCAGAAGCACTGTTATATCGCACCACCTACCTGCTTCCCTCGATAGCATGCGCACTCAAATACAGACCGTCGAAACCATATCGACATCCGATACTGGACGCGCGATTGACGAAGCATCGAATCCTGAGCGAGGCGCGAGTGTTGGTAAAGTGTAGGAAGGAAGGAGTACCTGTTCCGGCGGTCTTTGCGCTTGATGAAAAGGAGGGATGGTTAATGATTGAGTGGATCGAGGGTGAGGTTGTAAGAATTCGACTGAATGAGTGGTTACAGAGAAGGAAGGAAGAAGGGGAGGAGCTCCGGGCCCGGCATGAAGCCGTACTGAAGGGTTTGATGGCGCGGATTGGAAGTGCTATTGGGAGAATGCATGGAGTCGGAATTGTTCATGGAGACTTGACGACCAGCAATCTTATGTTAAGAGGTGGGAGTGAAGATCTTTTAGCGGATGATAAAATTTTAGAAGGAGAGGTTGTGCTCATAGATTTTGGACTCGCAAGCCAGAGCACAGCGGACGAAGACCGAGCAGTGGACTTATACGTGCTAGAGAGGGCCTTTGGAAGCACCCATCCTAGAGCTGAAGGCCTATTTTCGGAGTTACTAGTAAGCTATGGAAAGAGCTTCAAAGGCGCAACTGTTGTCTTGAAAAAATTAGAAGATGTTCGAATGCGTGGGAGGAAAAGAAGCATGTTAGGATAGCACGTATCCAAAGGGTATAGATGTGATTATGCTCTATCTTTAATCGGTGTTCTTCACTCTTTCTAATACTGACATTAATCAGCTCACAAAAGGCGATACTCCTAACCCGTACGCCAAACTATCACAGCCTGCGTGTAGTTCCCGTTTAAACCCGATATCCTGGATGAGAAGATTTGTTCACTCCTTCAGATCCGCGACAGCAAAGTAACCTTTATTCTCTATGACCCCTCGATCGCGTACAACCGCAGTATACTTGACAACCCACTCGGGTGTAAGCTCTCCTTTCATGCCATCTATTCCGCGTTTGGACTCGGACAAGACTCCAGCACCTCTGACTCCTTGGCCCAGGAGCTCTCGCAAAGTCCCACTTGGAAGGATATTCGTGCAATCGTTGTGGACAAGGAGCTCGATTTGCTGACGTTTCGCAAGTTGAAGGAGCGGCGGGGGGACGTTACAGCAGTCTTTTATGTTGACTTGATCTACCTTTGGCGGAATCCTGACTTTGTCCAAAAACCTCGACAACTTCTCACTGCCAAATTCAGCCAAACCTAACTTCTTGACGAGTCCTTGATCATAGAGGTCTTCGACAATTGACCAAGACTTTATTTCTTGCTTATCGTCTCCCTGCGACGCGTTCTTCTTGTCCGCATCCCACTCGCAATCGCCTTCAAAGGACATGCCGGGGAAGGATACAATCAACAAATCGATGGAAGGTACTCGTAATTCTTTCAACACCAACGCTATTGCATCTTTAGTATGCTGGGCTCTGTCTGCCACGTCCACACCGGGCAGATAAAATAGCTTAACAGTAATGTCATATTGGCTCGGTTCTTCTGACAGTCCAGAAAGCGACCAGTCTATCGTCGGGATGTAGAAGTTCGAGTTTTCGCGAGTAGTCCAGACAGAGGGGGAAGGTCGGCTCACAGATTCTTCTTCGTCGTAGTTAGTCGGACTATTGGCTTTGGATCCGCCAGCTGGAGAGTAGTCTTGTTGAGCTGCAAGGAAATTACTTCGTAGCGAATTCGTAAGCTCCAGGTTGGACCTGTCTGCGCCAGGTTTACGTATGATTGAAGGGCCGCCGGTCATAATATTTCTATATTGCGCCTTAGTAAAATTATCATTGTAGATCAAGAATGCACCGTGTAAACTTACGAGGTTGAAAGGATTAGTCGCGTCATGTTTGCTGCTGTATTCTCGCGACTCGAAGCGTATGAGTATCTTAGCACTTTTCTCTCTCTTTGAAAGCGCGCGAGATTTGAATTGAAGGTTGGGCAACTGGCTCCTGAAAATGAAAGCAAGGAAAAACAGGGTATCAAATGTCTAACAAACTATGTACAGATAAGGTATTGGTAAGAATCGTAAGAGGGCTGAGGATGAATAATGGGGGTTGCGTCAAGACTCGAAAGAAAAGGCTTGTCCCCCCCGGACCAATATCGGTGATGGTGGGGAGCGCGAAGGGTGAATGAAGTGGGGGGACGTGCTGCCGTTTTGGTTCTGGCGACGACGAATTCATGACAGGGTTGCTCTACCTAAATTCCACAACCACACAAAGCTCATCGACACATCGCACCCCACGGAGGTCGTGCCAGCAAACATGCCTATCAAGTAAGATCCAAGTCTCGCAATATGTGCCACTGTATTCTGACCATCACAAGCTACTTGATCCTACTCTCGCGGCAGGGAAAAGTCGTATGTAGCCGCCTGTAGTTAGCGGACCCGGGAGACGATGCTGAAATCTGAATAGAGGCTTGCCAAATGGTTTACGACCTTGTCGCCTAAGGAGAAAGCAAAGATTATCAAGGATGTGTCGCAACTTGTGCTCGCGCGGAGGACACGCATGTGCAATTTCTTAGAATACAAAGGTGCGGAAGTGTTAAAAGACGCCCTGAAACTGGAAACTAATACTCTCCCACTAGATTCCAAAATTGTTTATCGACGTTACGCATCGCTTTTCTTCATCGCAGGGTGCAACTCAACGGATAACGAACTCATCACACTCGAAATCGTGCACAGATACGTGGAGCAGATGGACAAATACTATGGCAATGTTTGCGAGGTAGGTGTAAACATTTCCCCCAAGCTACTATATACTGACTACGTCTAGTTGGACATCGTACGTCGCAAGCTTCGGTCTTGTTTCGAATACTGACATAGCCTAGATCTTCAATTTCCAAAAGGCATACTTCATTCTCGATGAATTACTGCTCGCGGGGGAGATGCAAGAGAGTAGCAAAAAGAACGTCTTGAGAGTTATTTCAGCGCAAGACACGATTGAGGACACTGAGGTTAGTACCGCACAATCTCAACTTCTATATTGTGATCGCATATATATAACCACAGCACCTCTTTCCTCATACACTGACAACTTTTACCCCTGTCCCAGGTCGATGAAGAGGTTACGAAGATTATGTGAACGCGGCGCAGTTATTGTACAGATAGAGCTGGAATCATAAGCATGAAGCATGGCGCTTGGAGTTAGAAGGTTATACAAGATCTGCAGTACATTTCTTTATAAATATATTATATTACCAGCTGACATGGGATCCTCATCTCTAGGTTGACGACGAGCTTGTTGATGGGCTTAGAAATGCCGGAATAATATGATTAACTCTGTGATTAGGTTGGTATGCTGACAGCACTGGAGGATATTTAATGAAAGCATGACGGAATATCAGGAGCACAGGAGTACTTCGGGATACCAGGTCGGGCGCAAATGCTTGATGGATAGCGCAGGATTTATTCGGGAAAGTTAGGTAGGACGGGACGTCTTAAGAATTTTGTCACCACATTACCTTTCAAATTGACGCATCATTGGTCATCTTCCAAAGGGGTATTGGCAGATATCAGGTTCAGCAATCAAGGGATCTCTCCACCACGACTGTACGAAACTGGTCTACGACATAGCGCTTGTTCGTTCTTTGCTTTGCCTCTACCATGAGGCGTGGCACGTTTGTCAGTATGAGCCAACTTGTGTTGCCGGTCATGCCAATCACAGCAGGAAGCACAGCGTCAGCCGGCAATCTTTGGCACGAAGCGAAGTGAATGTTCTATGCTAACAGTCAATGTTCCTCAGAGACATTATGATCACCTCCTAACCTGATATGGCTCACGGGTATTCTTTGATTCCCGACCAATGTAAGCTTTGTTACCCGAGCATGTTCTTGTGATTGGTTGTGGTTTCACCTCATTCGATTACGTTATCGGCCAAGCAATTAAGTATGAAAGCGGCCGCTGTCCACGGGTCTCCACCTCCTCATCAGTACTCCGTACCCCATCATCAACACCTCATCCGAATCGCATCAACAATCACAACATCAACAATACATCCCCCTTGTGCGCAATGCCCTCTGCCTGCTAGACGTCAGTCTAGCTTAAGAACAACTTGATTCGTACTCCGCAGCCAGCGCGAGGAAGGGTCAATCTTGCTTCTCTAGCCTCAGCAGGTCAATCAACCACAATCTATACAATCTACGAGCGCTGCATCCAAACAGCTGTCGCGCAAACTCCCTTTCCCCCTCACTGCTGCCGCCATCTACGAGACACAAAGTTCCTGGAAGTTCGTTCTCCGAGTCTGAAGAGTCACCTTAAAAGGGTCGCTATCTCCCCCCAGGACACTCGGGTTCAATCACCACACGCTTTTGCCTCAACGATAAACGCGCATAACATTATTTGGACGTAAAACCTCCTTGATCGCGTTGACGAGAGCTTATAGGACCATTGTCAGGATACTCAGCACTATGAAGTTCCTACCACTTCCCGAATTCGACGACGTGACAAGCGCATTGAACTTTGATACCCCAGATTGTCACGTCATCGGCGGTTGCGATCTGTACACAACCAAAGCGGCTGGCTCCGATAAAAAGCTGTATCGCAACATCGAAAACTCTCTGGAATCCCAATACGAATCTCTCCTCCGATTATCGGCCTCGGTTTCACCAGGCTTAGGGCCCGATGAAGAATCACCTGTCAATCTGTCGCGGTCCAGTCCGTTTGGCCCTTTGAGCGAAGTCTCCAGTCGGCGCACATTTGCATATCTCATTGCAACTCTTAATGCGAGTCATTCTGATTACGACTTCTCGCACATTCTGAGACCGGCGGACTTCCGACGGGAGCGGAATCTGAAAAGTGTCATCGGAACAATCGACTCAACTCTTTACAATCTTAGGCCGAGTACAGGTATGACTCTCCACGTCCCACCGCAGACCAGTTATGCCACCACGGCATCTGCGCCCGTAACTAGTCAAGCGTGGGGTCCTCAGATGTGGTCGATGATTGATAAGGAAATGACTCTTAAAGAGTGTACAGTGTATTGTTGGGCACCACCGGACGATCCATTCGACGGAGAGGAGGGCGCTATATGGAGTCTGAACTACTTCTTTTTCAACAAGGAGCGAAAGCGAATTGCATATATCTATCTTAGAGGTGTCCCTGTCATGAGCCACAGCCCATCTCAGAATATTCTGTCCAAGAGAAGCGCTAGTGGGTATGATTCGGGTGCTAACAAACGTGCCAGATATTGGCTGGGTGACCGAGCAGCTGATATCACTAACGGTGAAGATGTAGATGACGATGATGCGGCCGCAAGATGGGAAGAAGATGATCCTGACGCCAATACTTATTATGATGGCGCAGAGTACTATGATGACGAAGCCGACGACGAATCTGATGATCAGTTTTATAAGGAACCGGCCCGCGGCGTTAGTGAGGATATTGCTGGTACAATGGAGATCGATAATTGAATTTCTGCTTTTGCTGTTTTACACCAGGCATTACTGAACAGCTTACAACTGTTTTGGAATACTCTGTGTCTCTCAATATCGCTCTTCTGTTTTTGTATCAAGCGGCGTTTGTAGGAATATTGCACGCGTTATATGGTTTTTGGTCGGTGAGAGCGGCTAGGATAGGAGTTGGCCTCGGCTATTTGGCTAGCAGTTTGGGAGTCTTCCTGGAATTGGATTGTTTCTATAGGGCTTGCTATGCGCATAACGCTTCATAATTCTAAATCATATTTAATTGCACTGTAGTATCAGACGTGTTCTTGCTTGTGCGCTGGGTGAAACGTCTCAGCGAATTCGTATGCAAAATGACTTCGAAAATGCATCTCTTTCCGGTCTCGGCATCCAACGATACGTGACCTAGCAGGATCGGTTTTTAACTTCCCTTTCTGGAAATACAGAAGATTTAACTGTTCTCAGATCAGTGAATAGCAAATGCCATATCATGAAAGTCGTGATACACAATGCGGCATGGAGGTAGAAAGCACTTGTTGATTGAACGACTGAATTCATCATACTGTGTGACTTGCTCCATGAACTACTCCCGTCTTCTTCTGGAATAGGATAACAGAATGATGGTGTTATAATCCTTAGCCTATTCGAAGACTTGTGCTGACTCGCTCGGGTCATATTTCAGTCAAGCTTGTTAAACTAATATAAACTCACAGGGAATGTTGGCCTTTTCAGTACATATGATCATATCCATATTCAAAGTACTTTGCCATATATCCTTCACCTTCAAACGCAAACTCATCTATAAATGTAAGTATTTCTTTGAGCATTTGAATTATTTCGACCAAGACTCGCTCGAATATACACTCTTGCCTACAATTTTCATCGGCCATCATCTCGTACACGACTCATCATCTCTAAAAATAAAACTAATATCTCAGCTGCCTTGCAGAGGACATAATTTGTCAGTCACATACCCACTAATCTCGGGCTGAGTAACAAGTCGACTTCAAATCGAGCTTAGAAAGTCTCATTTACTTGAAATAATTGACGAAATAGTAATAATGTTCTAGGTTAATCCACTAAATATGTAATGTTTCATCAACTTAATCGAAGAATTACTGTGTATCGACTGCCACTTATTCTGTCCTCCGCGAGGCTGCCTACTATCGCAACATTTAATCCCAACTCCTCATCAGACTCCTGACTCGTCTACGTCTCAAAATCCCGAACTCGTGTGTCGAAAGTATGGAGTTTAAGGGGAAGTTACCATGCAATCTTCTCGTGGTAGGGGAATTGGAATACTAGTTTCTTGTGTGTTATCTGACAGTGTGATATACTGAAGGAAGCAATACAGAATTCTAGGAGATAGACTGTGAGCAATCTGATTACGAAACTGAAGACACTGACACAGTAAAGTTGATCATAAAGACTCTGGTGTCTGTGTAGTCTGTCCGATGAGTCTCTCTATTTAGCTCGTAAATTTTTACCATCATTCAGATGCTCTGAGAGTCTTCTTCACATCGATTCGATGTCCTTGTTGGTTTGGGAATGTATGTGTAGTGAATACCCAGACTGTACATGAAATACAGAAGTACTCTCATTCACACTTCAAGCGCGTTAGAGAAATCAGTACATTCTCATTTCAACCCAACCTCCAACTTCCACCACCACCTCCTCACCACCACCAAAAAACCACACAATGCCATTCCGCTCCCTCAAGTTATGGCTCTCGACCCGCAAATCCCGCCGCGCAAAACCAAAACCAAAACCAAAATCCCGACCCTCAATCCAACAAGTCAGAAACTCACTCCCCAAAAACTCACTCGCCAATATCCCCCCACCATCCCACCAGCCATCCCACCAAGCCCTGCTCAATTCCACCCTTTCCAACGCCTCCCCCTCGAACTCCGTCTCAAGGTCTGGCAACAAGCAAGCCTTGTCCCTCGAGCCGTCATCCTCAGCCTGGGGGAGATCAAAATCCAATGTTACCACTCATCCCAGAAAATGCGTGTGAGCTTAGGTCAATACATCTATTCGAGCACGAGACCACCGGCTGTGTTGCATGTGAATAGGGAATCACGCGGGGAGACACTCAGGTTTTATACGCTGGCTTTTGAGTCGGGCGTGGAGATGGATCATCACATGCTAGTAAAGATGCCGGCGATGGTGTATGTGAATTTTGATGTTGATTATGTGGTTTTGCGGAAGCGGGATGATTGGAGGTCGGCGATCAGGGAGGTGGCTAAAAATCCGGTTAAGAGGTTTGCTTCGCATCACAATGCTAAGTGGTTCTTACCTAAATATGGCTGGTGGGATGGGATGGAGGAGCTCGTGGATCTTTGGATCAACGACGACGGAAGTACCGACGAAGACGGAACCACGCTTGTCCACAAGCTGGAAAGCACGCAAAATTTCATGGGTGGCCCGGTCCGCATATTCCCCTATTACAAGAATGGGCCATGGATGACGTGCTGGGTTGATATGCAGGCGGAGAGGCGACATATCAAGACTGTACAAGAAGCAGGGTTTAAGTTGTTGAAGGCACATTTTAGAAGTTACGAGGGCTTCAAAGTCACGAGGAAAATTTCCTTTGCCGAGCTTACAGACGAGGAAGTTGAGGAATTTGAGTACTGCCAAAGCTCTTTCGTGGCCCCGGGTGAGGGAATACTTATCCCAGCCAAGCTTAGAATGAAGCACTAGGGAACATGTCAGAGCAATAGCCTTCTTACGGAATAAATGGATATCTCAAAAATAAACCAACCAGCTTCTGTATCAGACCTCCCGCACAACTGTCCTTCTTCCTTAAATAGCCAGTTTATCCAAAATCCTAAGCACCTCCTTTCCCTTCCCATCCCCATCATCCAGTCCCTCAACCAATCTCCTCGCTCTTTCCATTAGCGTCCCTAACACCTTTCTACAATACTCCAAACTCCCCGTGCTTTCCATATACGCAACCGCATACCTCTTCACCTGTTCATCCTCTGTTTTCTGTTTCAAGATATTGAGGAGTTGCATGTTCTCCGGCCGTGCCCGGATGCTGTGGATGATGGGGAAGGAAAACTTTCCTTCGGTGAGATCCTCGCACATTCCTTTGTTGGAGGAGTATTCTGGGGAAGAGATGTTTTGGTAGTCGTCTCGGATCTGGAATATGATTCCCATGAGATTTACCAGGGGTACACAGTCTCTGAACGGTATGTTAGTGAGTTTGAACCCATGATAAGCCACTGTATCAACTTACGTAGGATTCTTGCTTTCAGCTTGCATCAGTTTGATAGCAAGTCTAAACAATCCTCCGGTCTTGTTTCCAACCATTTCAAGATAGTCGTCCTCACTCGGACACGTGAGCGTATCTCGCCAGAACAAATCCATGCCTTGCCCTCTATGCAAATTCAACAACTCTTCTGTGTAGATGTTGATGGCCAACGGATTCTTGAGCTTCCCTAGCTCTTGTAGTGCAACAAAATATACATAATTAGCTGAGTTGATGGTTTGAGCAGTCCCGAAAATGCTATGTGCAACCGGTAATCCGCGTCTGAGTAACGAAGAATCTTCCACATCGTCTACCAACAACGAAGCCGTGTGTAGCATAGCCACCACCTTGGAAATAATCTCTAAACTTTCCTTTGGTACGTCTAGCCATTCGTTGAAAGCTGCAATGAGCTGTGACCTGATGTCTTTGCCTGGCTGTGCAAAAAGATATTCGTAAGGCCCCAACAAGATTTGTTCCTTTGGCTCTGACCAACTACTTTTTCCATAAAATGCCATATCGCCCTTGTTGTACTTCGAAGGGTCCGGCGGCGTATTCGAATGTATGGCAGGGTTTATGGGGGTGGTATTCGTATCCGTCCGTTTTCTTTGGGAGATCCAGTCACCCTCTGGAACAGGTCGCAGAACTGATTTAGAAGGAGTGGTTTGAAGACCATTATGACCAGAGGAGGAAGTTCGAGGAGGGATTGCGTTGGGAGAGCGGTGCTCCATCTTGGATGTTGTTGCCCGAGTAGAGGGGCTGTGTTGGTTGGCGAACATGCGACTCCTTGTTCGAAGAGCTCTCTTCTCTTTAGGGGATACTGGATTCGATTGAAGCGCCAGAACGAGATGTGTTACGGTGTCGTACGAATGTTCTCAGGTTCTCGGGTACGATCAATGCAACCGCAGCCAGCTACGAATGTGTTGAGGTGATGCCTTCAAGATTCGAATTGCGGTACGCTGTGATGATTAGCTGCGGGGTACAATTCTGCAACTGGTCAGTACTACCTGCCAGATATGATGTTGGTAGTTATGCGTATGGGTGTCTTTGGAATGTAGGGTTCGTACATATGTTGGTCGCCTGTTGAATCGATCAAATCGGGACTGCTGGACGAGGCTGAGATGCAAGGCCACGATGCCGGTCAACTTGGAAAATATTCTGCGTACGATGCTGTTCGTTTCATGGAACAAATTCTCCCTCAATTCCGAAGGTGCCGCCGGTATATAAGGCTTTTCTTCGCACGAGACAATTGATGTCTTGCGCGTCCATGCACACGCATCCGAGAGTTTGATCAGAGTGAACGTGACAGAAACCAAACGTCATTGAAGCGGCCAGAACTCTAGGCTGCGGTCTCTCACATGCAAGATGCCTGACCATTACTAAAGACTTTTTGAGAAACACCAAATGAGAGAGAAAGAGCGTAAAACAGAGCTGTAAATCGTCACAAATTGTGACTTGGTATAGCTTCGGCTTGGATCAACTCTGTGAGTTGAGGTTGGGTGGAAGGAGAAGGTTATGGATTACCTTCCAGCAAACCACTCACTAGAACAGCACTTGAATCCAACCCAAAGCCCGGAAATCATGGAAGACGTCCATCTTCCCGGCTGTCTATGCCAGTTGGTCTTAAAGTAATTGTCAAAAGTAAACAAAAATAATTCTTTTGTTTTGATATTCTCATCACAAAGAAATAGACCCTGTTGAACTCCCATTTGCCTATAATAACACCCCCAATATTCCCCAGGTTTCCAGCCCATCTCATTTGGCACGTCATGCATCCTTTGTAGTCTAACCCCAATCCATCCCCATCTGCCCACGCTCACCGCCCCGGTTGCCCTCCCAACAGATAACCGAGCTGCCAATCCCCGTGCATCAAAAGATTCCCTATTCCCAGCTCCCAAAAGCTCAGTTGTCGCAGACAACCCCTTCAGGCCTCTTCCTTTCACTTTTCTTGTATTAACATTTTCTGCTCGCGGCGTATTCTTTTGCTCTTATTCTTGCACAACTAACTAACACCTTCGGCGCTCTCGATAAAATCTCGATCAAATAAATAGCGAACTCAAAACATCACCAACTCAAATCGCAAAGATGGAAACCCTTCTCGTACTCGCTTTCGACAACCTCTCCTCCTTCGACCAAGGACGGATTCGAAAGGGACTCCGACAAGTCGAAGGACTCCTCGCCCAGATTTGCCTTTCGTCTCCAACGACCGCTGCCGAAAAACGCCGGTCAGTGATCGATCCTGGCAAAGAACCACCACCACCACCGCGCTCGTTGCAGGAGCTCAGTGGGGACCCGGCCTTTCGAGAATTCTTCAAATTGCAAGACAATTTCCAGTGGAACGTCACAGCGCAGTTGTTGAACTCGTTAGATCGGCTGTTGAGCAAGAATAACGATGGGGCGATGGAGATATTGATTATCCAGACGTTGAATCTGATTCAAGGGACTTTACTGGTGCATCCACCCAGCCGAGGGTTGTTTCAGAGAGAGATGTATATGAATGTGAGTTTGAATGAAACATTATCATTTTAGACATTATCCTAATTACTATGGCAGCATCTTCTAGATCTTCTGGAGCCAGATATGTGTCCGGCCGTACAATCATCAACTATCATTACCCTCGTCTGCGCCTTGATCGAAGCACCTCAGAACGCACGAACTTTCGAAAGACTCGACGGTCTCATGATGATCACCTCGGTCTTCAAGTCGAGAGAAACAACAAGAGAGGTAAAACTCAAGCTTGTGGAGTTCCTATACTTCTATCTCATGCCCGAAACTCCTTCCATCCCATCCGCAAACGCGACAGCTTCTGTTCCGGCAATGCTACAACGAAGCCCGAGCAAATTAGCTGGAGCTTTCAACCGAGCGGATTCGGCGGCGAGGAAGCGGGCCGACAGTGAGAGCGGTATAACCCGGACGACGGATGAGAAGCAAGTACTTCTGAGTAAACATCTACCGAACGTGGAGGATCTGGTTGTGGATTTGAGAGAAGCACAAGCCGCGTTTGGCGGAGACCTTAACTGATTTTTTTCCTTTGTAAATTGTTACCGTTTGTTTTCCGCCTTGGCATAGGTTTTGGCATGGCTGGCGTTTGCATATGGATGCAGTAAGGAGGCGTTGGTCGCATTTTATAGCATAGGAATATGTTCGTCCGCGTGTCAGGATATTAGAAGGCGGGAGTTTGTAATATTTTCTCATACCCTCACGGGACGAGAGCTTCTCGCCAAATAGGAGAATTCCAGAATGAAGATATTTCCTCAGGGTAATTCTACACGATGTTCGACTGTTCCCGGTACACTGGGGTAATCGCGGTTTGGTGAAGCCAGATTCGAATCAATTTCTACAGGGCTTGCAATATCTCCAGGGCTTTGTGGATGAGCTGGTACACCTCTATCATATCCCGGACTGCCTCCAGGAATAGCGCTGTTGCGGTCGGTAAAGGGCCCAGGAACAGCAGAAGGTCCAAAGTAATCTGAAGGTTGAGAATTCTCCCTTGGGACCGTTGGCCTTTTTGTGACGCCGAGTTTGCTTCCGTTTTGCTCACTTCCACCCCCTCCGACTGTTGAGCCAGCCGGTTGACTCATTGGTTGCGAACCTTCCCGTCTTTGACTCTCTCTCTCAGCGGACTCGTGTCGGTGAATTACGAAAAAGTACAGAAGGGCTCCAATGATAAGAAGAACACCTAGAGAAACACCTACTCCGATGCCAGCCTTCGCGCCTGTTGATAGACCTTTATTCGGCGGATCATCTGGTACGGCTGTCGCGTGGATACCTGAAGTGCCGGTCCTTGTCACAAGAGATGTCCCAGCAGACATAGCGCAGTAGTTGGTATTGTCTGAGACCGTACATCGCATACCATTATCGCAACATCCACCTCCCTGGCCTGTCGCGCATGCAAATTGATTGCTTGTACATCCGCTCGGTATGGCCGTAGTAGCAGGTCCACTACTCGTACTTGGAGCAATGCATTTTCCATCAGATTGACAATCTGATCCGAATGGGCAGCAATTTCCTCCGAGTGTGGCGGCGCATTTGTAAAGAGTACCAGAACAGGACCGTGGGCAGCATGCGCGGGTGATAGTTGGAGTTCCAGACACAGTTATGGTTGATTTGCAGATATAAGCATCCGTAGAACATAGGTTCCCACAATCCGAGCCCAGAGGACAGCAAGCAGCCTGGAATGAGAGGTTTATTAAGCAGAATTGTGTATTCTCGCAGCAAGACTCAGTGGCGTTGACCTCGAGACCTATAATGTGGTGTAAGTGCGAGGTCTGTTTTCAGATCAATCCTTGAATGCGCCTGGATGCGCCGAAGACGTTGTTCATCGTCGTTGATACTCCAGCTAGACCAGTATCTGCCAACTGTATAGGCTCTGGTCTGAACTGCGGCAAAGGCCTGAGAGAATGGCGCACGTGGGAACTGAGGATCTCTTACATGTATGTGAATTTGGCAATTGACATTGCTCTCCAGCTCTTGCCAAGAGCCCACCTACAGCAGTTCCTGGGTAGAATCTGGGACTCAACATCTCTCCATAATGTGCGAGCGCGCCACCTCCCATCACCATCATGAGCATCAGCAGCCGCATTTTGACGTCGACGGAGTTGCGAATGGCTGATGATTACTGACTTGTCGCGGGCAGTGGCGACATGCCAACAAACGTCCCACGTAATGTAACAAACAAAATGAAGCGCGTGGGAAATAGATACAAAGAATGAAATATGTATATGTAAGTTTATGAGAGGAAGGAAAGGCTTGCGCAAAGAGTGAAGTGAAATGAGACTGTAGATTTAACCAGCGCTGCCGAGTAAAGATCATTTACGGAAGCTCGTAATGCAAGCCGGTCATGCCCTCTCAAATTGCGAGCAAAGCAGCTCGTTGCAATCTGCAGGACCAGCAGCGTGGCTGTCCAGATTGTGCCGTCCAGCAGCTCAGCTTACTCTCGCTAGACGCGAAATCCACATTCTCGGACAGAGCGAACATCTGATTGAGTCGATGGCCACGCCACGCCTTGGAGCAGACAAAGAACTGGAGGAATCGCAAAAGCCTCTGACAATCATTGCTGTCCGGGAAGGCGCCAGCCGTGATGGTGGTGAGCAGAGTGTCGGCTCGGAGGCGGGGTGGCCACCTATTTGGGTGCCGGTATGGATGTGTTGCATCCTTGTTGGAGGGGAAATATTGGCAGCCGCGTGTGAAAGGGTTGCAGCTTGCGGTTGAACGTACCGAAGTGGTGGCACGAGAAAAAGAAACGAATGAGGATATATTGACTGAATAATCCGTTCTGTGTTGTTTTGGGAATAAAAGAGATTACGAGAAACTCAAGCTAGTTTCTCAGCTTGGAAAGAAAGTAAGTTTACCGTCCGTTCCAGGAGTTTGTGAACACAAGCCCCGCAAAATCGTGACATGCAACACGTGACAGACCCCCTCAACATCAAGCAAGTGGTTTTTGATTGCCAAGATTTTGTTCTCTGAGGTACTGTATTCGATTCGTACTCCGTAGATCGCCGAAACGTAACGCGGCCTGACATCGTAAGCGCCCATGGTTTCAAGGTTACATTTTTGACCCGGTAATTGGGCTCATATGGGGCCATCGACAAAGCCACGGGCCCAAATAGTTCTAGAAAGCTAGATATATACTATTGTACATGTTCAAGGCAACCTCATTGAAAAGAGTGTGTACTCATTATTCGACCGATCACTCATTCGCTTCTGGATTCTGAAATCCTAAAACAAAATCTCCTTCTACGTATGTTGTAATGAGTCTAGACTAGATCGCTACCACGGTAAATCACCACGTCAAATCGATTCAGAATATTCAATATCCTCATTATGTCATCGCAGCCATATTTCTACATTACAGTCCGATCCTATCCACAAAACAAAGGTATACCAAACTCCGGTTCCCATCCAAACAAGATCCATTCATGCCATGCTCGCGGTCGCCGCCCTCTGACTAGTACGCTCCAAGTTCCTACCTGGTCCAGTCTTCTTACCAGACCCAGGTCGTGCCAGTGTATATTTGGCAAATGCACGAGCAAGCGCCTTTTTACAACTGACCTTCTGACTTCCAACGAATGAGTCGATAGTCACAGCAATCGCTCGGTCGACATCCTGCGAAGAAACATAATCAGACAAACGCATTCGGCAAAATGCTTCACTGATTCGCATGATAGCTTCCAAGTGACGAACCTGTTACGGCGTGTTAGTATTTGTTAGAAGTATTGATGGAGGAAAACTTACAGTGATGGGGTATGCCCCAGTAGCTAGAGATTCTCTTCTCATATCCGCAAAAAGCTTTGATACCTTTTCCTCATCGATATTGTACAATTTTGGACTACATCTTTCCCTGGCATAAAGTATGAATTTTCGGAGGAGCTCTTGGGGTATTTCTCCTTCCTGCTTTGGCTCGCCCCCATTGATAGCGCTAGCTCGGAGATCGGAGTCATGTTCCATTTCCATAGAGTTCTGATTTTCATCGGTAGCTTGGGTGACTGGATGAGATCGACCGTGAGATCCAACCACGAACCGAGCAAGTCTCTCGTCCTCCGCTGGATCCACAGTATCTCTAACAACACAAAGAATATCGAATCGAGATAAAATGGGTTCGGTGAGTTCTACATTTTGCGAAAATGGAATAGTGGAATTGTATCTTCCTCCTATTGGATTGGCCGCTGCGATAATACCACATCGAGCCTGCAGGGTTGTAACAATACCGGCTTTAGAAATCGAAATGGTCTGCTGTTCCATAGCTTCGTGGATGGATGTTCTGTCCTGATCATTCATTTTGTCGAATTCGTCAATCAAGCAGGTTCCACGATCAGCAAGCACAAGAGCACCACCCTCCAGCGTCCATTCGCTAGTCAAGGGGTCTTTGCGGACACTTGCTGTTAAACCGACGGCACTAGCACCTTGACCAGTTGCGAAAACAGCTCTGTGTGCTGTTTTTTCGACATATTTGAGAACTTGAGACTTTGCAGTTCCAGGATCACCAAGAAGAAGAACATTGATATCGCCACGGATGTGTAGCTTTCCCAAGCGTTCTTTTGCGACGCCACCGAATAGTGAAAGAGCAACGGCCGTCTTAATGTCTGTGTGGCCATAGATACTAGGCGCCATCGAATGGATGATCTTATCGATAATTTGAGGGTCACGAGCGAGGGTACGGATTTGGTGCTCGTCTTCTTCTGTCAATCTGAAACCAGCCAGCTGATCATGAGATTTGACAACATTGTTTGCCTCTAATATCGTCGCAAAGACTGGGAAGCCATTCTTGTTGTTAAGTTGCGCATCGTAATTGTTTCGGTAGACCCCCGTAACCTCAATCTCTTCTCCAGGTTTAGCTCTATCAATCAAATCCCAAAGTAGAATGACCTCTCGATGCCGAGGAAGACGACCTGCGGGAACCGTGCCTGGGGACTCTTGAAGAGTTAGTTTCTGGTAATTTCTGTATACTGTCTTTTCTGAGTTGAGATTGAAGGGTCCTCGAGACTGGCAGTTCTGGCAGTAGGTAATTTTGACCTCAACATTTGACTCTTGTTGAAATGGTCCAAGTCTGGCGTGGCACTTTGAGCAGTCAAACATGACATACTTCAGCTGAGGGAACACTCCACTTCTGCGAGTGACAACCCCGCTAACGCGAACCAAGCAGTTCAAATGGGTTTGGCGAAGTTGGCGAAGAGTATAGTGAACTGGTAAATCGGAGATCCGTACATGGATTTCGGAATGAATTCGTTCATAATCAGGGTAGTGAAGGAGGGTAACTTCCATTGCGACTTCGTCAAACAATTTGAGCAATTCTCCTGGCGCATTCGCAAGGAAGTAGGCCAAAATTGCCTTTGACGATGACAAATGATCATAGGACACTTCTAGAGACTCCGCATTGACCTCTCCAAGTGTCTTGATACGATTGCCGTAAACGGAGTCTCCGTGCTCATCCGTATATTCTGTTAGGAAGGCTTTGAATTCCCTTTTGATTGTTCTCTGGACCGCGTGCTGAGCAACCCACTCGACCAAGCTTGATGCTTTGACATCCTGGAGTGTCTCTAGAGAAAGCTCTTCCTCCATAATATCGTCCCCCATATCTTCATCCTCGTCTTCGTCGTAATGATGTCGGCGACGTCTTGGCTGAGCAGTCAAATCAAGGTTTCCATCGTCTTCATCATCTTGAAGAAAGGCGTTTTGACCACGATTGCGGGCAAGTTCACGATCCCTGCGATTCAAACGTGCCTCGAGCTGGCGTCGAGCTGCAGCGTCTAGCTCATCATAGTCTCCCTCATCGTCAATATCCCGGGCGTCGTATGCATCGTCCTCAACATTTCTGTAATCTCTTTCGTAGTTTCCAGCGAAAAGATCAATTCCATCCTCATCCTCGGCCAACTCGTCCACATCGTCGATATCAAGAGCTATTTCCTCTTCTACATCGTCGTCATCATCTTCTCCATGCTGAATTGGATATGCCGGAGGGGAGGACCGAATGTCCCCAGCGGGGCTCGATGCCATGACCGCATCTTCTGGCTCTCTAGAACGTTTGCGTGCATTGCGAGCCGGACCACGGTTTGCGGAGGACATCGACGCTCGTAAAGGGGAACTTGAAAAATTAGCTGCGAGGACCTTCAAATGCTTTGATTCAGGATTTTACTTTGAAAAACATACCTCATTGTAATGATCGTCCTAGATCGTAATATTAGATTATTCCAAGTTGTTGAGAATTTGAAAAGGGAGTGATGTGTTTTGTGCTTGAAGTCGATTTCAATGCGTAAATGAGGGAGGCGCGTAAAACGCGAAAGGGAAAGCGCGTCGGGGCCTCGCCTGCCAACCGACGTGTTAAGTGGTTTTCAGGGTGGACTACTCCAAGGCTGAGATTCAGCGACCGCGTCAAAGTTTATCTCACGTTCACGAATTCTTTACACCTTGCGAGTACTTGTCTAGGTAGTGATATTATCTCGATTTTACTCAGAAACTATGAGCTCTTCCGCCACAGATGCCGTTACCGATGGGCAGTCAGATATAATAGTAACAACGTCACGAACCCAAAGTTTCTCTTCCCAGCAGTCGGGTGATTCACATACGGCGGCAGAGTAAGTTTATTCAACCAAGCTCGCATTTTCAGAGATAGATTTGGATACAGTAGAGACAGCGACCAATTACTGACATGATGCCAGTTTCATTAATAGTCAACTTCAACTCGAAGCCGATGCGCGCGAAGCTCTACCCTACGTACGACCACCCATTCGTTTACTTTCGATCTGTTTCTAATTTCCACATAGAAATTTGACAACTGCACGAAGCCACTGGGCAAGCTGAGACAAGTTCTTTTCTCTTGCTTGACATGCAACCCACCTCCTAGCGATCCATCCGAGAAGTACCAACCGGCCGGTGTTTGCTACTCGTGCTCAATCCAATGCCATGGCGATCATACACTAGTAGAGCTCTTCAATAAAAGAGACTTTGTCTGCGACTGCGGAACGACTCGTCTGCCCAAGACCGCGCCATGTACATTGCGCGTCAATCCTGAGACCAATACGAAAGGAGGGGTACACTCCGAACAACCAGAAGCAAACAATAGATACAATCAGAACTTCAAGAACAAGTTCTGTGGCTGCGAATGTGACTATGATGCCCATTCTCAGAAAGGAACAATGTTTCAATGTCTAGGATTAGGTACGGCCGAACAAGGTGGATGTGGTGAAGACTGGTGGCATCCTGGTTGTGTTGTGGGACTTGGTCCAGACTGGGTCGAAAGCTCTGGCCGGACAGCAGTATCTTCGAAATCGAAGAATGAAGGTCTCCTGGAATCTATCACAGAAGTGGCCGAAGCGGCTGTGGAGGCTCCAAATGCCGAGTCAACTCAGAACGGAGTCAATAATGAAACCGAAAATACTGCTTTACCTCCTCCTGAAGAAGAAGCAGAAGATGATGACCCACCATTACCACCCGGATTCCCTGACGAAGAGGACTTTGAGGGTTTCATTTGCTACAAATGTGTGGAAGCACACCCGTGGATAAAGAAGTACGCTGGCGCGAAAGGCTTTCTTGGACCTGTATTCAGACGAAGTGCAGCGCCCTCACCAGAGACAGGCCTACTTGCAAAGACCGAAGAAGCAGTTACGTCTTTAGTATCAAGTTCCAAAAAGCGAAAGGCAGAAGATGATGAGGAGTCCATCGCATCTAGTGCATCCAAGAGGATCAAGGACTCCACATCAGAATCAATTACCTCAGCGACCAACGAAGTAGCGGCACTTGCGAAGGATGTCGCTTCCGCTGTTACTTCAGCGGTGACTAGCGAAGAACCAGTCTGCAAAGTAAAAGAAATCGTCGCACCAAGAGGGGAATTGTCATTATTCTTCAAATCTGACTTCCGTGATCATCTGTGCCGCTGCGCAGACTGTTTCCCACTTCTCAAACCACACACGCATCTTCTCGAAGAGGAAGAAAACTACGAGCCCGAAATGTCAGAAGGCGAAGACGCCGACGGGGGAAGCACAGTCGGTTCTGGGAGTATCTATGATCGCGGTGAAAGCGCTCTCAAGAACGTCGATCGCGTCAGAGCCATTGAGGGCGTAATGGCTTACAACCATCTAAAAGACAAACTGAAGCCATTCTTTCAGCAATTTGCAGAAAGTGGACAAGCTATTAGTGCGGAGGATATTAAAGCGCACTTTGCTAAGATGAGAGGTGATGAAACAGGGATTCAGGAGGCTAAGGATGCTGTCAAGGAGGATCAGAGAAAAGAGCAGAGTGGTTATTGAATATTTGTGAGCCTTCGTACGTATATTTGGAGATTTGGGATGTAGGATAAACGGAATAGGGATAGGTTGGATGGATTATAGGAATATGAGGGGAAAAGGCGTTCATTTCGTTCTCTATACGATATGTAGCTACCAGCTATTGCAATGATAATGTAACAATATCTTTTCTACATTACAACATGCTTCTTTCATTTCCACACCCCAGCTGTCCAAATAACCCCTCTACCGAGTATCACGAGCAAGCAGCAAAACCCCGAAAAGCACAGTCCATCTTGCGAAAAGCAACAATTCCACCACGCTCGTTCCCGAATCCTTTCCTCTTGCATACGAACCCCCACCTCTTCCCACGGTATGTTCTTCTTCACTTGTACGTTCCTCTTGTTCGCTTTTGAGTCCTGCATACTGCGTATCCCACTCTCCTACGGGTACACCTCGGCAGGGGAGGTTTCCCCCCAACCTGGTTATGAGAATGTTGTGAAGTTGTTCGATGAAGATCTCATGTATCTAGCTGCTTGGACGGGCCGGCTGGCCGGTGGTGGTGGGGAAAATGGGGTGGGGGGAGGCCGAGGATTATGCGGTGCTGGGGTGGAGTAGGGAGGGGAATGAAGGATGTATGGAGTGGATGAAGGAGGTGGAGGAAGAAGTTGAGGGTTGTTGTGACAGGAGGTGAGAGACTAATTTGAATCCAACTCTGAGTTTTGAATTAGTACTTGGTGCAGAATACTCTATGATCAAGAAAATCCGTTCCATTCATTTAACCTCCAACAATGATCTATCTCTGTAACAAATCTATCACTCCCAACCCTACAAACCCTTCCACCAACTCGTCTTCCCAACCTCAAACTCCCCCTTCACCTGAATTTTCTCACTCGTACTCCCCACCAAAACATCATATGTATCCTTCTCAATAATCCACGAATCCCTAACCTCATCCCAGAAACTCGTCGCGTATTTCGTTTCAATCTCCACTTCCACTGTCGTGCTCTCTCCTTTCTCCAGGTACACTTTCTTAAATCCCTTGAGTTCCTTCTTAGGACGCTTGATACTTGGGTTCTTCTGCGAGACGTAAACTTGGATTACTTCCGCGCCGGGAAGATCGCCTGTGTTGGAGACTTTGACAGAGACCTTGAGAGAGGCATCTGATTTCGAGATCGCAAGCTCGCTAATTTCGAATGTGGTGTAACTCAATCCGTGGCCGAACGGGAAGAGAACGGGTAGGTCAAGCATTTCATACCATCTATACCCGACATAAACATCCTCACTATACAGGACTCTCCCTCTCTCAGTTTTGTAACTTAAGAACGCGGGATTGTCCTGGAGACGTTTGGGGAAACTCAAGGGTAGTTTGGCGCTTGGATTTACTTTTCCGAAAAGAACGTCTGCGATGGCGTTGCCAGTCTCGTTGCCGCCGTACCAGGCGTGGATCATGGCTTTGGTGCTCGAGATCCACGGCATTTCGACGGGTGTGCCGGACTGCATTACGACGACCGTGGAAGGGTTGGCGGCTGTTACAGCGGTGATGAGGGCGTCCATGTAGCCTGGTAGAGCCATGTTATCACGGTCGTTACCTTCGCTTTCCCAGTCGGACTAGAATGATGTTAGAATGGAAATTAAACAGAGACGGAGACTTACATTCAAACCGGCGCAGATAATAACCTGGTCAGTATTCTTTGCGAGTGCAGCGGCATGTTTGATTTCCTCCTCGGCATCGATAACCTTTGCACCCCCGATTCTGACAGCTCCACTTCCAAACAATGTGTTGCTCCCTGGATCAAGTTTACTGGTTGGAGCACTGCTGAACTCTACGCGTATCTGATATGCTTGTCCTTTCTTGACTGGAATAGTACCTTTTTCTTCAGCTGTTCCGCAGTTGAAGAACATAGTGCCTTTTCTCTGCACAGTGTCGTTGTCGATAAGTAATTTGTCATCCACGAAAAGCTTTGCAGCGCCATAAACTCCGAGACTGAATTCGAAATCGCAATCTTCCTCTGCTGTGTAAGTACCTTCGATCGTTCCGTACCAGAGATCCGATTTGAGCTTTGAGCAATTGTAGTCCATCATGAGTAGTTCGGTCTTGGTAAGGACTAATTCGTCTGCAATTTCACGGTCCGGGACGTTTGGAGCCTCGTTGTAGGCCTTGAATGATATTCCAGTCTCCCCATTTGCGGTCTTCAAAATGTCTCCGATCAATGGAAGCTCCTTGTGGGAATAGCAGCCGACGGTGTAAAGTGGGTCTGAGGTGAGTTGCGACTTGATACCTTCGAATGGAGTCACAGCATAGTAAGCTGCTAATGCCGCTGAACCACCACCATGAATAGCTGCGTACTTAGCATTAGGACCTAGAATGAGCGTCTTTTTGTCTTTCGACAAAGGAAGAATCTTGTCTTCATTTTTCATCAAAACGATACTCTCACCACCAATCTTCCTAAGGAAAGCAGCGGTTTCTGGTGTATCTGCTGTAAGCTCAGGAGCGTACTCCTCAATTTTTGCAGCCGATACTCGGTTAATGAGATTTAGGACGTTGCGCACTCTCTCGTCGAGGACATGCTGGTGGACTTTGCCAACACTAACCGCTTGCTGCAAAGCCATGCCTCTCCACCGAGTAGGACCGGCCATTTCGAGATCAAGACCAGCGTTAATAGCCTCTGAAGTTGAGTATGTTCCCCACCTGGCTTGGGTTAATTTAGAGCATTTGGGAGTATTTACACACATACCAATCACTCATTACCATTCCTTCCCAACCCCATTCGCCACGCAGGATACCTTTGAGTATCTTATCATTTTCAGAGACATGAATTCCGTTTACTTTGTTATATGCAGTCTGAATTTGAGGTCAGCAGATGCTTTATCAAAATATACTTTGATCATACCATAAAGCAAGCGGGTTTCGAATCTTTGACGACCAATTGAAAAGGCAGGCAATAGATCTCCCTCAGCGCTCGGTCCGTAATAATGGCGTTTGTCCCATTCCTCTCATGTTCCAAATCATTGCACACAAAATGCTTAATCGTGGCCGCAATATCCTTATCCTGAATACCATTTACAAGTGCAGCAGCACCAAGACCAGCCAGAACAGGATCTTCACTCAAACTCTCAAACCCACGTCCGCCCAAAGGAGATCTCTGCATGTTAATGGTTGGCCCAAGAATGATGTGAGAGCCTTTGGATTTACTCTCGTCGCCCATCAATTGCCCAGCTTGGCGTAAAAGGTCAACGTCCCATGTTGCGCCTAAGCCGGTGCCGCAGGGAAAACATGCTGCCTTGACTCCGTTGAAGAATTTAGTCCCTCTAACACCATTAGGGCCGTCAGACATGCGAATCGCAGGGATTCCGAGGCGCTTTATTGGAATTGTATGCCACCAATCGGCACCTATATGCGGTGAGCCTTGAGATTTGCTGTATTCCGGATTTCTGTACCTGCTAACAATGCTACTTTCTCGACATTGTTGAGTTTAGAAAGGACATCCTCGACGTCCACGGTACCAGTCATAATTGCTAGGTAAAATGGAAAGAGGTCTGACGAGGAGGGTATAAGAAAAGCAAATTCAGATATGAATGAAGAAAGTCGACAAATCTATAGGTGAAAGATATTCAAAAAGAGAAAAGCAGAGGACGGACGATATAGATATCTATCAGACCCCGCCACGCTAGCTGTTACCAACGGTTGTCCCAAAGCACTGGAGCACTCCCTACGGGCCTCGCACCCCACTCTCAACCCCTCCATGTGCAAGATTGATACTCTGTACGGTGGTACTGGTACCTCACGTACAGCGAGACTGGCTACTGATCAGCTCGATGGACTCCATTCTGGTGTAGCATTGCCAGCAAAGTGGTACTTCTGACGGGGGTAAATCCGGATGAATAGGAAGCGCGGTTGATGTTCGGGAGAACAAACGTAACTTGGGCGAACGAAGGAGTGGTTAGCCTCTCGGAAGCCTGCCTTTGCTGTTGAATGGTTCCTGTTGGAGGAGCGTAGTGGTGGTGTCAGAGGTAAGGAAGTGGGTATTCTTCCTTCAGATGGAAGACCTCGGGAGCTTGGACCATACAGTTCAAATGGGACTGACCATTTAGAAATTCTCTTTCTGGCTGGTTAATTCACCCCTAATTAGATTCAAAGTTCACCTTAAAATAAGAATCTCGGTTTAAAGGCTCTGGTATAATTCCACAAATAATAATCGTAATTTTACCGGCGGTGGATCTAGAAGTAATGGTTGTAGCTCGATCATCATCTTGATGCCGGCCCGGCGAACCGCTTAAAGCTCGGGAGAACCCCGGTCAAGCGGGCACTATTACGTTTTGGGACAGGACCTGGAGTATGGAGAATGGCATCGTCGTTCGATTTCCTCCGCTGTTTCTCTAACTATGTGGAGATTCTCACAACATCTCGTGACCTCTTCATATTCTAAAGGCGAAAAGCAATAGACGGTAAGACCTTCTCTTACGCGATCAAGAGAAGGTTGAACTTACTATTCTTTGGACTTGGTAAATCAAAAGAGAAGTATTACTGTATCAGGTGTATTCATGAAGCTGCTGAGCTTCATGTCACCAAGTGACCAAGGGCATCAAGTCTTTCCTCCGAAACCCTTCAGATTCAGATCACGACATTTATGGTTCACAGCTATGCTGATACATTGAAGTGCTTTCTGCTACCTCGCTAAATGTGAAGCACGATCTTTACACGCCATTAACCGTTAACACACCTCTACCTCATCGCCATGATTATCTTTCTACATGTTGCATTCTGGCACCGTTGTCCCTATGACTTGGCAGCAACATTGCGCTCCTTGCAATACTTGTCTACCTCCTTAGTCAACGTGTCACGTTGTGTGTAGGTAGCCTCCATGACCTCCGCAACCTCCTTACCAAGCGACTCTCCGCCTCCGTTCGTCTCGTAAATGTCTGTCATCCCTCTCAACACAGCTTGCAACTGGTTGGGAAGCCAGGTTACTATTGGGGATCCTCCTGTCGCCGTTGGATGACTCGATCGCTTGAGGATATACTCACGAGTGAAACACCAATGTCGCCATCTGAAGTCACGGACTTGGTTCATTGCAAGAATGTACAGGGCAGATGAAGTCGAATCCTGAAGCGCGTATGACCGGAGTGAGAGCTGGTTAGACCTTGCCTTAACATATTCGAGAAACGCACGGTGGTTTCCAGGACGATAGCTTCTGAAGTCTTGTAGAATCTCAGTAAGAGGAGTCTCGGGCATGGAAATCTGAAGAAGATTGTCACACAGTGGAATCTGAGGGATCATTAGTGAGAACATCCATCCAAGAAGATTGATACTTACCATGCTGTCATTAGCACCAGACTCTCCACGAAACTCAAGAGGTGTCTCTGATACTCCTTCATATATGACCCCGTGTGGAAACATGGTCTGCTTCTGGATGCCAAATATGAAGGTACGGAACATATCATAGTCATTTGGCTTACTCTTTCCCCACATAGTCTCCATGACCTTGTTGATCTTGGTCATACTTGTGATAACCTTTCGCAGGCCATCATTGAAGGTTTCACGGTCGCTGGCAGCGCAACCATCGAGAGCGTTGACCACACCTTCAACCAAAGGTCCAGAGTTCTGAACCATATCAATGTGTACCTGTACAAATCCAGCTTCGGATGACTTTGGGTCAAGACCACGTTCGAAAGCACGAATAAGCCTGAGATTGTCATATTCAAGTCCCTTGCTTGGATCTACCAGTCGGTAGTTGTAAAGCGCGTATGACCCAGCATATTCCATGAAAGGCTTGAAACCAGCACTAATTTGCGTCAGGAAAGTTCTCAGGATGATCGAAGAGGACGACTTACTACTCAGCACACTTGAATATTGGACGGGATATCATGACAGGTAGTGACTGCCGACCAAGTCCATAGTCATTTGCTTTCAATAGATGTCGAGCATGACATGGTTCGAGGAGGTATGCGGATGCGAGAAACGCATAATCGCGATAAAGCGCATTTTGCAGAGGCAGGTTGTCAGCGTACTTGACCACAGCATCGGTGAGATCAGGTAGCTCCATCAAGACAGTTTCTCCCAGCTGGCCGTGGGCGAGCAGCCCAGGAGTGCCATCAGCTTTCTGAATAGGCATGCGGTTGAGGATGGACTCCAAAGCGTTGAACTCCTCCGGCAGCGTGATGACTGGCTCCGTACGTGGAAGAAAACCACGAGTGGTAGATACCATAAAGGCTGGGAGAGAGTTATCGTCTGGTCTTGTGTCACTAAGGACATCGAAGGACAAATGTGGAGTATTATCACCCATTTTGATGATTCTGATAACAATTTGTAGATATGGAGGAGGTTAGGAGGATGGTTGTTGAGTTGGTATGAAGAGGGGAAGGAACAAAAGCTAAAAATCGGGTGAGAGTTTCTGCTTTTATCTTTGATTGTGCGTGGCCGGTATTTATTCCGGCCTCAACGAGCATGACCTTACCATCAGAGGAAACTTGGCTCCACTCACGATTTTCCATTGATAAGACAATGAACTATGTCAGCGCCCATTACTTAACACTAAGGCACATGATAAATCTGCAAAGCCGCAATCCGCTGTCATGTTGCTGAAACGAGTAGACCACCTGGGACTGGTCGAATATGAAGCTTTCAGGAAATGCACGCTATGAAGCTATAGCGGCTTCAGACATGGCGAAGGAACATTCTTTGATGCGTGCACGAAGAAACATATCCAAATATCATCAGATATAGGCTCATATCTTCGTATTAAAGAAGATATATGTTTTTCTGGACTATTGGTGTAACAATGTAGTCTGTCGATAGTTCAAAGAAGGGAAGAGATTAGACGAGACGTCAACGCTCACTTGATTGGCCTGGCCGGATTTGGTTCCGGCCACTGGCCAATGAAGGCCCGACATCGGGACTGGCAGAAGCTTGCAGTTGGCTAGGGAGGCATCGTGAATAAGTGGGTCCTGGAAAAGTCCCCGTTCCCATCAACGCGTCTGCGACTCGGCCTCTACACTCTTATCACTACCCGGGCAGTTCGATGGTTACGCAACGATGTACTGAAATAGTATCTGGCAATATGAATCAACACCGCCCAGATTCTTTCAATCGCCCCTCTGAGTCAGGTATACGAACTGACGAATCGGTATAGTCTGGTCATCTAGCGGCAGGAATTCTGATCCCAATTTCGAGGAGGTCCATGGATGATATCAGCAGCATTGCCTTCGTTCAATCCTAAAAGCATCCGCACAACATTGGAAAACTGGCTAACAATTTGTCAGAGCTGGAGAATTGTGGGATGGAAGTAATTGAGTACCTCTCGCGTTTCGCGTACTAGAAGCACAAGCACTTCATTAGTTATACGTGGTTCCGACACGAGCATTTCTACATTCTGGAATTTGTTCTATACCAACAAGATTTATATAAGGTGCAATCTTCGTCTGCGCCAAACTGATGAAACCGGCCAGGTTGAAAACATCTTATTGACACCCATCGCGCTATCATCTGGTTGATCCAGGCCACTGGCGCGTGTTGTGCACGACGTGCACAATTACTGTCAAAGTATTGGATGCATGATATATATATCTGTGTTGTCGGCCGTTCTTACCATCTGAGCATTATATCATATGTTGGTTGGAATCTGGTCATAGAAGTCCAACAGTTTTGACCGAGGAATAATCGAACAAACTGTATGGGGTCCAGGATTGTTGGACTCCTCCAACTTTTGGTCTTTCTAACTTCTTCCTGACTTCGTGGACAATAGATGGGAGTTGAAGGAGCAATATCCTGTCACCCTTTATCACACGAGGAGTTCTCGGTTCTAGCATCTTGCGTGTTGGTACTTGTTCGTATGTTTCTACCACTCTCGAGCCTTCCGTATTCTCATCTATGAGTCTGTCACAGGGCGTCTGGTTGTTGGGTCAACGTCAATTTTCCTCAGTGTAAGCATTTTATTCATCCTTGTTGGCAATCATCTACACACTTGTGGGTAACGTAAGGGTTACGCAAAAATCGGTTACAACATCCTCGTTGAATATACCTTTCAGCCCTACACAGACGAATGCGCAATTTTGACCGAACCATCGAATCGGTCGGTGCGTTCCGAGTCGAATAATTCTCGTAAACAATAAGAGCAGATGAGCGCTTCACACTTCTGTGCTGCATTGTTTTGCCATCTGTCAAGCTGCACAGGTCCAGAAAGACGTTTTGCTGAAAGCGGAGATCAGTGCACAACTGGAAGATCCGTATCCTCTAATTGTCTCTCGCAAAGATGAGGCATCGTCGCGACTAATGGACTCCAACTTCTCAATTATGATCCCTTTATGTTTGTTACGTACTGAGGCTTAGCAATTGGGAGGTTCTATAATTGATGAGGTTTTACCGCTCACCTGCATAAGCGAGGTAAATGGAGGTGCTAAGCTTTCTGTCTCGACCGCGGCCGTGGTCTGAAGCGAAAGGATGTACACCTATAAAGGCAGTCTGAAACGTCAGGATTGGAACTTATCGATCGTATACTACAACCTCTCGCTTAATTATTTCGTCTGATGATTGACGGTGGGGAGGATTTGGTTGGTGTTGAATCACACTCCAGCTTCCTCGAGCCTTCGAAGTGGATTAATCCCGCGCCACGATGTGATGGGGAAGATGGTAGTACTCGGATTCATACAAGAGTCCGGTTGATTCACAACCCAGTGCTGCAGATAACATTCTTTTCATTATCCTTACTTGTCATTTATACACGCTCTTTTTACCATTTGCAGAAACATATTGTCGATCGTTTTTGCAGTTAAATCCTTCTTTTAAGCATCGTATCAAACATCATGGCTCCTGGATCCTCACGAAAAGCTCCGATACTTCTTCTTGCAACTCTCCTTTCAAGCAAGGTTGCTTCAACGCCTATCCACCATCATTTGCATGCACGTCAAGTGGTTGTCACTGTAACCGCACCGCCAGTGATAGTCACTCAAACACCTCAATCAAATGGCGATGGTCAGAATGGGAACGTCGTCGTAGTGTGGACTACAGTCGGAGTACCGCCAGCCGGACAGCCAGATCAACATCAACAACAAAACCCACCTCAACAACAAGAGAATAAGCCAGAAGATAAACCAGAAGATAAACCTGACGACAAGCCTCAAAACCAGGACCAAAACTCGGGTCAAAAAGTCAAGGGTCCAGATTCTTTCTCCGACAGCAACTTCAAGTCGCAGATGCTGGCAACCCATAACTATTTCCGCAAGCAGCACAGCGCATCCGACCTTACATGGAACGACAACCTTGCAGATCAATCCAAAGAATGGGCCAAGGGTTGTAAATTCGCACACTCTGGCATGCCGGGTGGTGGTGAGAATATTGCTGCGGGATATGACAGCGTTGGTAAGGTGGTTGATGGATGGGGTCTCGAGAGGAAATCGTTTAATTTTAATGGTGGTGGTTTTGATATGGGAACTGGCCATTTCACCCAGGTGGTGTGGAAGGGCACGTCGAGTGTTGGGTGTGCTGCACAGGCTTGTGGTACGTTTCTCCACGACAAGACTTCTGGCTGTGAACATGACTAATAATTCTGTTTAGACAACGGATTTAATCCTCCTCTTGATCCATCTATGGGGAAGTGGTTTGTCGTCTGCCGATATGCCGATGCCGGGAATATGGAAGGCGCTTTTGGTGACAATGTCAAGCCTGGTGGGGGTGATGGCTTCCAGCTCGACAAGGGTGTCCAAGATGCGGGTTGGTAACCTGGGTGTTTTTCATATTCATGTAAGAAATTTCTCTTATTTAGATTTTGGGATTGGCGTATGATGAGGAGGATAGATTGCATTCTTCACGAGATTTGAGGTGGAGTATAGGTTTTCGGTTCTGGTAGATATTATTTTTTCTTTTCTTATTATGTATTATTAGGAGTGTTCGATTCAATTACATTCTCATTTTCTGAAAGACATGGCGTCATTCACGGTCATTAAGTGAACATATTACTCATAATACATGTCAAGAAACCTGAAGGGATTTGCGTCCGACACCAAAACATTTGAATCAACTTGGACACGTTTTTCGTATAATTAACGTTTGGTATATCTTACATTTCTCTAATAGTATCTAGTCATTACGATCTTATTTTCCAATTCTCTTTTCTCGTCTTTCCCCACAACTTCGACGCTCCAGACTAGACAACTCACTCATGGTCTTAATTCTCCAAACCTTCCAGTCATTATGATTGCCATATGGTTGACAACCAATTGCTGAATAGCTTGTAAGTGTGTATAAAATTTTGACAAAGGAAATTTTGCAGCCATTAGTCGTGCTTCTTGCACTATCGAATAAGCGATGGGGTATAATGTTTTGGTGCGGCGAGGGATTTGCATGAGTAACGACATTACAGGGTGTTATTCTAATCATCGCGACTCTAGCCGACAAGTAATTCAGTGAAAATCGATTACACGCCAGAGTCATCCTGCGGATAGATCATGGTCGAAGAATAAGGCTGCCAAGCATCGCAAGTATCGGCGAAAGTCGCAGAGTCAGTCATCGTAAGAGAAATTTGCGACTCCGACTCCACGAACTGCATCGCAAACCCCTCAGAGACATGCCACGCGATGTGACAGTGGAGGAGCCAAGATCCTGGATTGTCTTTCTTGAAAGCAATAGCGATATGACCGTTACCCGGAAGAGTGGCGGTGTCACGACGAGGAGGGTTCTTGAGGTTGATATTCGACTTCCCAGCCTCGAACAGGCCGGTGTCTTGAGCGATAACCCAGAAATCGTGGCCGTGGAGATGAATTGGATGAGAGATGCCCAACCCGGTGTTGTCTTCGATGACATAGACAGCCCAGGATTCTGGATCGTCTCCATTCTCGAGCGCCTGGACGTTGTATGCAGTTGGCCAGATGGACTCGTTGTTGAATATCTTTAACGTTGTGGGGGCATTCCAGTCGAGAATGAGACTGCTTGAGTTGAGTTGCCATTTGAAGTAGTCGTCGACAACGAAACCCAAACTGTTAAGTTCGAGATCGGTGGCTAAGTTCGCGGTAACGTCCATTGCCAGGTGAGGGACCAAATTGGTCATGTCCTCGTCACCGCAAGTTGCAATTTTGGTAACAGCGGAATTTGTAGTTGGTAAAGCCGTGCTGTCTGCGTCGTACCTTATAATAGCTGTCATATCTTTCGCGTTCTTGTTGGGTGTGCATGCGTCCACCCATCCTGCTCGAAGCCTGCAGAGTAGTGTGAGTAAATGATCATTGAAAATGCAATTGCCCACAATGAGAAGGGCGATTCTTACCAGTAGTTGCCGGGTGTTGCTTTAGCTTCAACTACAATATCGTATCGCTGACCAATGGCGATAAGAAGGTTGTCTGTTGTATAAGGAACAATTGGAACAAGGTCGTTGGAAATGACTTGGAAATCATGACCGTCAATAGAGAATTGAAAATGACCGTCTATAGCAGAGCTGACAAGTCTCATTCTATACTTCTTTCCAGCCTCGAAAACGTTGACGTGCTTGACACCACCACCAACACAGTTCACATCAGTAGTGTTGCCGCAATTGAATGTGTTTGTGCCATTAATCAAGCCATTTTCAAGTGTAGGCGGTCCACCTTGCTTAGCGACGTCCCAGATTTGGAAAACCGGAGTGTGGGACCAGTCAGAAAGAAACAGCAATCCTAGATCCTCGTCGTAGTCAGCGGTGGCGGGTCCGTTAATGAGCAAAGGTCCAACAAGTCCATCACCATACTGCAGTGAAAAGTGGGAGTGATACCACGAAGAGCCGTATTGGGTGACTTGGAAGCTGTACGTGAGAGAATCTCCGGGAGCGATCGGACATTGCGTGACACCTGGAACACCATCGTACTCAACAGAGTTGAGTTGTCGCATTCCATGCCAATGAACAGTGGTTCCGTTATACTCAAGGTTGTTTGTGACATGAACGACCAGGGTATCACCCCAGTCGGCCGTGATCGCTGGGCCGGGTACTGTTCCGTTAAATGACAAGACTTGACGAGTATATCCATCTGGTGCGATAGTATTGTTCTCAATGGAGAGCCAGTACTAAGGAATTGTTGTTAGCGATAACCAGTGTTTAGCGAGTATATAGATGACCTACCTCTCGTATAACACCAGTGTTTGGGAAAGTCGTATAAAAATCGGTATCAATGTCATATTCGCCCCAGCAACTTCTAGATGTTGGGGAATTCTCGCAGGCTTGACGCTCGGCTATTAAGTCGGAAGCCAGGGGAATTGCGAATGTCAACGAACTGGCTGCAAGTGCCACCAGCACAGATACAAGGATGTTCCTCATGTTGGAGAAGACAGGGTTCTGAATAGAGACCGAGAAGATGAGAAGGCGGTCAGATGGTTCTGATTGAGAAGATGATAAGAGTGTTCAGGGGATTTCACTCAACCTTATATACGCGGAGATCATAGAGACCTCGCATTCCCTTCGACAACCTAACCCTCTCCAGCTGTCTTTTTCAAAAGGCATAGTGGAGATAAGAAGGTTCGTTAAACTGGCGGATCTTGAATGCATTTCTCGAACTCGTATTTCCCTAAGAGCTGTCGATCTCTCTGATCATAAAATTGTAGACGCATGCACGGGATACAAAGGCCGCCGAGGGTGTGGAAGAGACTCATGACCACACCACAAGTTAAGGGTCAGGCCTTTGCATCATTCGTATCGGGAAGCAACCTTTCTGCTGCCGTAGTTGCATGTACTTCGCTGTGGAGAAGAACTATTGAAAATTGAGATAGCATCTGAGATTGAAGGAATGTGGGGAAAGTGTGAATAGCGGTTTATTAGACTGGCGATTCCATCAATAGCCGTCCACTGATATCTGAGCATACCAACTTCATCTTACGCTTGCCCTATGACAAAAGCATGAAGATCGGGAGTATCCGCACACTGGGAACGGCGCTTAATGGCGGCCGCAAGGGCTGGTGTTAGCGAGGACTTGCAATCTCTCAGAATCTGCTAGGATCTTTGCTCTAGTATATTTACTCTGCCTCTCAAATCAGCAGTCCGTGATATGATGGTGGCGACAAATCCTTAATTGCTATATTCAAAAAGAAACAGGTAAATTGGATCCTTCTTAAAAAGCGGTAAAGAGTGGACAAGCATAGTGGACAAAATAGAAGCAAAACATTTAAGGCCTGAACCTTGTAATAATATGCTAAATAACTGGTGTTGTTCTCAAGTTTAAATCATAATCTTGAATAAGTGTTAGCCGAAGTAACATTGACAAGAGTGACGGTGATTCTGTGAAAGCACTTACAGGAGCATCCATGGTTGAGAGTTTAGAGGTCTAGTAATTGTGAGGATGGGCTCATGGATCAAGGTATTTCGTGACTACAGCTTCTTTCGAGGTAGTCTTAGCGTAGAGTGTACGGGAGACCCTAGGTGGAGAAGGCACTTGTCATGAAATATCGGGTAAGTTTATATGGGTTCTTGTGAACATCGAGCTCATGGATACGCTAAAGTGTCCAAAGAGAACCACTGTTCCCGGTCAGAGACCTGAGTTTGTGCAAGATGCAAACCCATTTTGTTAGTACTGACATTTTCGGTCGTCGGCTCCAGCATGAGAGACAAGCGGAATAATCATGTAGTTCAAATCCAGCACGAGAAGGATGATGCAACCCAGATCAGAGACACTAGTATAAGTGACTGTCAGAACAAGTAGTAGTTAGTGTTGTTGATGTGAGTACAAAATGTAAGATTTACGGTTCGCGCGGCTGATTGTAAGAGTCCACAGAAGGGAGACGAATATTTTGGCAACACCAGGTAACCGGTAGCGATAAGTTGGTCAAACCTTCACAAGGCAGGGCAAATGCTATATCAAATGCCAAGAAAGACTACTGCTGCTGAGCCGTATCTGATGGAATGTTCTAATGTAGTCGTCGGCTTTGGCAAGGACCGGGAACTTGACTCAGAGCTGCACTGCAACTGCTACTGCAAGCTGCACGGACGGGGGAAGCCCACATGGGCACATTTTGCTGGATTTTAGCCCTCCGACCACCAACAAGGAAATTTGAGGCGAAGGAAGGATGTCTGCTCATGTGTTGAACGAAGGCGCGTACAGGCTCTGAGCACCAAAGGCTGACGAATACATCAGACATGCTATCGTACAGCATGACAACCCAGATTCCACTAGTCTCGCCACCAAAATTGAGCGGGACGGCTGTGAAGAAGAACTGTTGTGACTGTATTGGTAGACACGTTGACCATCTGTAATCTTGAGACTTCGCCGACGTTCAGGGACTTGCGCCATGAGACGGAAACGAATCAGTCTAGTCGCGTTTTGTTAGCTATCTTAGATCTACTGTACGAATTTCAGGCTGTCAGTGACGGATGGCTTGCCCGTAGAGTGCATCTGATATCCACTTAGCTCAAAAGCTTACTCTTCATTGTTCCACACGAGCTTTCTCAAAAGATAAGCTTTGTTAAGACATTTCCCTATCCACATTGTCAAATAGGATCAGTAGATATATGACGTTTAACCACATCCCGTCTTTAAGAGGTTAACAGCATTTTGAAGAATAAAGACTAGGATTATGAAGTTGACTCCCTGAAGAGCTAAACACCCTCACAGCGGTGGCGTACATGATCGATATGAATTAGGCATAAAATTTGGGAAACAAGATACTCTGAAGCATCATCATACTGCTGCAAGATCTCTCCACGGTCCACGGCTGACTTCGTGTTATTGATTTGCATTAGTTCTAGGGAGAGTTCGTATTATGGATACGAACCCACAGATCAAATATTAGAGAGGCTTGAGAACTGCGCGGAGGTAAGTCCGTACTGTGCGTCGAAAGAGGTTATGTGTTGCTAACCACCTCGTTGTCTGGTACTTTAACCCATTTCAAGTTCTGCGAATGTCCATCCCATGCTCTTGAAAGTCATAAAGGGGGTTGTACCGTTGTTTCTCGGTGCTTGCATTATTTCAGCGAATCATACAGTTTCCGTGTACGGTTCCTAGCATAGATAAATTAGATCAGTCATGTGACGTGATTTGCGATTTCGAGTTCGGGTTCGGTGTTCCGCCTAGTTTTGATGCGATCATGTCGTTCATGATGATGCTCACAACACCTTAATATCAAAAAGGTGAAAAAGGTGGACGGAGGCTCACAAGAATTGATTGCAAGTTGATGCCTTGTAGAACAGGCACCCAGCTGTAAGGATAGTCCCAGTAAATCCGATCAATTGAGATCTCGGGTATCGGACTTAACCCCACTATCAAACTACAAACGTCAACAATGAAGTTACCCCACCATAGGAAGCAAGACAACCTTGAAATACTTTCAGCGCTCTCTTCTGTATTCACCAACCGACTTGTTGAACAAGACTGTACAAGATTCCAAAAAAAAAATTAGCAGTTGACTGTACCTCCTGGTCACGAATAATCAAGAGAGGACCACTATTCCAGGCTTCCAGCATGTCTCTCCTAACTGGTACCGGGAAGCCAAGAGTTATCCTTGGGTTGATGACCTTCGGCGAAGGAGAGGATGCCGCCGGTTCAGGAGCTAGAATTTTTACCCTGGACAAATTCAACGAAGCCCTGGATTACTTCCAAGCTGAAGGATACAACGAAGTCGATACGGCTCGGTCTTATGTTGATGGCAATCAAGAGGCTTTCACCAAGAAGGCTCACTGGAAGGAGAGAGGACTTACTCTAGCGGTATGATCTACAATCCTAAACCTGGTCCTCTCTCAGACGTTCATATAATCTGATGTTTGGCTCAGAAATATATAATTTGAATTTAATGTTTAAGGGTACAATTTCGCTAATGCGCTCCCACGCAGACTAAAGTGTATCCAACCCCAGCTGGGAAACACAAGGCCGAAGTCATAACTGCGGAATTTGAGACTAGTCTGAAGGAGCTTGGTACAGATTGTGTTGACATATTCTATCTTCATGCAGCGGTATGGACTCAAACTTTGTACACTGAAAGAACTAATGATACTGACATTATAATGTAGGACCGATCAGTGCCATTCCAAGAGACCCTTGCTGCAGTTGACAAGCTCCATAAACAGTGAGTTTTCCCAACTGCTTGGAAGCACCGGACGCAGCTAACTTAGCCTGCAGGGGTAAGTTTGTTCAGCTGGGTCTCAGCAACTTCACTGCTTTCGAGGTGGCTGAAGTTGTGATGCATTGTAAATACAACAACTGGGTACGTGAAGCCATCTTGAAATTTAACCAAAAGTCTCTTTTTGCTCAGATGCTGATCGAATTGAATATCTCTAGGTCCGACCGACTGTTTACCAGGGCATGTACAATTGTATCACACGATCACTTGAACGAGATCTCATACCCGCTTGCAAGCGTTACGGCCTAGATGTAGTAGTATATAACCCAATTGCAGGTGGACTATTCTCTGGTAAATACAAGACCTCAGATATTCCCAGCGAGGGACGCTTCTCCGACTCATCCAGGATCGGGAAAATGTACAGAGCACGCTATTACAATGATAGCACATTCGAAGCACTAGCTCTTGTTGAGCCCGTTGTAGAAAAGCATGGTCTTACGATGGTTGAAGTGGCTCTTCGATGGGTTGCCAATCACTCAAAACTGAACGTCAAGGACGGCAATGATGGTATTATCATCGGAGTGAGCTCCGTCGATCAACTGAAGCAAAATTTGAAAGGTTGTGAAGCGGGCCCGCTCCCAGAAGAGGTTGTTGAAGCACTCGACAAAGCGTGGAAGATCGCCGAGAAGAATACGCCAAACTATTATCATCTCGACTTGAAGTATACATACGATACCAGAAAAGCGCTGTTCGACGTTTGAGTGGGGAGTAGCGGGAAGAACATGTCATTGAACTTTGTTTTCTAATATACAGCCTAGAACGCAAATTAGAAGCACCAGAACTTAAGCAGGATATACTAGTTTATCCACAACTTCTTTCAACCGGTTGCAACTAGATGACTTATGTGATCTATCTGAGTATGTGGAGAAACTAGATCTGTCAGTGAAGTGAAGCCCGGAGTGGTCCTTGTGCTTAATTGTACTTCGAAGTAGTGACAGGGCAGGCACTACTTCGAATCAAATAAAGCTCTTCAACGGAGGAGAGCAACCGTCCAACTGATTGACTTTATCAAGCTAGCGATGGAACCAACGTGTATGGCACTGTGCCTCGAACATAGAGATGCCAAGCATGTGCTTCTTTCACTAATATGGATTCTAGATTTTAAATTCCAAGTTTGCGATTGGCTTTCTGTATATACATCTAAATATCGGCGTCATATTTGCAAGGGGAAGAAGCCCGGGCGGCCTGCTGTATTCTGTAATCTATTTGACCCTGAACGAATTACGTCTTTTAACTTCCAATTGACAGGTAACGGTGAGACAACCCAGTGCATGTGCCAGGATCTTGACTTTGGAGGGTTGCCGAAACGTGCTTCGTAGCTAGGGTTCATCCCAAGAACGGACCCGGAATCTGGGTATAACGGCAAGATCTAGATCCTGGGACCATGTCGAGCGGATGTTTGCATGAAGCAGAACATCCAACTTCAGTACGCTGATCAGAAATCCCATCTTAGAAGATTGTGGAAAGGATTTCCTTAGCTTCAGAGACTTCCCTACTAAGCAGTCCATACATCATACCACAAACTTAGAAGTATGGGGGGTTCCAAGTACACCGAATGTAGAGGACCCCAACGCACAAGGATTATAATTTCAAATAAGCAAGAGGTAGTCGCCTTCGGGCACCAAATGTCAATGATGTATCCTCTATGCCTTTTTCTTTAGTTCGAAGTACAAGAACGTAGGGTGGAGAAAAGAAGGGTTGCCGTACTTCCCTAAAGCCCAGGGATTCGCACACTATGTATCGAAGGAAGTAGCCAACCGAATCTTTTGGGTTTTAAGTGCACCGTTTGTGTATCTCGAAAGACTATCCAGACTTAGATGTACCTTGTTTTGCTGCATTATAACCTGTACTACAAAAAGGTATGCACTGCTCGAGTGCTTGTAGTTTTCAAGCAAAACACCTCAAACTCAAATACATGCTCAGACGATGCTACCTAAAACCACGGAGAAAGCCATGAGATTTCTGATGGTAGACATGCTTGAAAGATATAAAGCATATCCAAAAAGCAGAGATAATTTCTGTAATGGTGAGTTGCTTTGGGCTCTATCAGAAACACTTTGCGGAACCTTAGCGTTCAAAGACCAGAGTAAACATACTACTTTTTTCGTCAAATTCTGAGTTGAACTCAGCATAGGAACGGCCATTCTCACTATTCTCGATTGAGAGAGACATCACAACAGACGCACGAAGAGCCGTTTCACGTGACCATCCTCATGCAGTCGACCCCTGACATTCCACATCGTCTGCACTGCTAGATATCGGAAGTCTTGAGCCTCAAAGCGTTCGTCATCTGAGTTGTGATCATGCCGACATGTAGGTACTCCGTACTTCTGAGAAGCTACAAGAGTATGGAAGTGTGCATGTTGATGGCGATTTTTGTTGCGCAACCTAAACACAGCCCCTCGGAGGCGCGGGAGTTGAGAAAACAGCTGCTGAATAAGGCTACCGTCGTAATGCAGGCAACCGACGGACATTTGGTGAAGACGAGGTTTGGTACCAACAGTTTTGCACTCCACCAAATATCTCATTCTTTCCTTTCATCAAGTTGTCCGTGAATCAAAGGGCCGTTGAGAACTTTTGTTGTAGTTGTGTTGAAAGGACTCGGTTATTACTGTACTGTATCTGCTCATTTTCTTTCTTAGGCGATCCTAATTTACCGGCCAACTTGAACGTCATTCGTTCTCGCAGCTCTAGACCACCCAACAACACCTCCTACCACCACGACCCTCAGACATCAATTGAGCATCAATCATGTCGTACGGTCAGAACAACTATTCGTCCTACGGGGGAAACCCATATCAGAACGGTCCCGATGCTGAGGCAGGATACAACCCGCAGCAGGTATTATTCCCCTTTCACCCCTCGCGCCATGCAATTTCCCAGGAGAAAAATTGAAGCTGACGCGATACACAATAGGGAGGCACTGGAAACCCAAACCTTCAACATGAGATGTCAAACTATTCGCAGGCCTCAGATTATTCCCAAGCAACCCCCGGTGCCGCCGCGCCTCATGTCTCCTCCGTCCTCTCGCAACAAGACTTCCTCTCGCGCGTTGACTATGCGAAATCCGAGATTCGAGCTCTGAGTGCCAACATTCAAGACATCGCCTCGCTCCACCAACGCGCACTCGCATCCGCAGACCAAAACTCATCCGCACAACTCGAGGGACTCGTTACGCAGACGCAGCTCAAGAATACGCAGATTAGGGATCAAATCAAGTTTCTCGAGGCCGACGCAATCAAGACACAAGATGGCACCAGAAGCGTAAAGTCGCGCCAGGCGAAGCAGTTGAAGGATCAGTTCGAGAAGGCGTTGAAAGACTACCAGCAGGAAGAGGTTGGATACCGCCAACGTTATCGTGATCAGATTGCGAGACAATACAAGATCGTCAATCCTGAAGCCTCGGAGTCAGAAGTTAGGGAAGCCAGTGAACTCGATTGGGGTTCTGAGGGTGTATTCCAGACTGCAGTAAGTGACACATGAGTTACTGCATGTATTTCCCCGTATACTAACATCTACAGCTCAAATCTAACCGTACCGGCCAAGCCTCTTCTGTTCTTGGTGCTGTTCGCGCCCGTCACAATGAGCTCCAGCGCATCGAAGCAACACTCACCGATCTCGCTGCCATGTTCGCCGATATGGCTCAGATCGTCGAGGCACAAGATCCTATCATCGAGCATACCGAGGAGAACGCCGTCCAAACCGCGGAGGATGTTGACAAAGGAAACGAGCAGATCGACAAAGCCAACGAGCACGCTAGAAGACGTAGACGTAATAAGTGGTGGTGCCTGCTCATCGTTGTTCTTATCATCATCGCAATTGCTCTTGGTGTTGGATTGGGGGTTGCGCTCACAAACAGAAAGTAGATGTTTTGGGTCTTCAATGTTCTTCTTTTTGATATGGGCTGGGGGGGAGTTCTGCAACACTAATACATCATAGTAATTACCGCCACAGCCAGGGCTGGTTGGATTGTACCTAATAATTCCAAGCGCGAAAAGCTTCGTCACAATATCAACTTTTCGATTTCCTTTTTTAAAAGACTGGTTTTTACGATGTTTCGAATATTTCTTTTTGTAAATGACCTAAAAACTCCGTAGATATTGTGCAGAAAAAGAAAACGAATTACAGGTATTCAATCATATGCCTCATGGGACTTTCCCGTCAGAACACCCACGCTCATAGACCTCTTCCGTTTTCCAAAGGCTGATACCGCCCACTCCGTCAACGTGAAACCCCAATGGCCAGCCACCAAGACACCACTGAAGACATTCACAACTTTAACTACGAATCTTAAGAAGCTGTCTCGGCTCTCCTCGACTGTCAGAAGCATAGGCTCAATGTCATACTTGAAGAAGATCCCAGGAACTGAGCGCTCGTTAACCTCATGTGACTGTTCTGTAACGGCGTACTGGTTGGTGAATATCGTGTCGCGCGCAGAACGGCTGCTACTATCGACGGTGTAGGCGGTTGGTACGACCGAGAGGAAGTACTGGAATTTGTGGAAGTGGTTTGGTGTGGTGGAGACAGTGCGATCGAGGGGGTTGAGGAGGGATGGGTAGAAAGCGCCGAATGAAAGCTCGTTGACAATGTGGGAGAAGTTGAAAGCTATATCAATCATTAGTTTGAGTACAAGAAACTCGTTGTACCACGAGTATACATACCAGTATGATCCAAATGTCCTGCGCCCCATTCTTGATATCCATGACCGCGCGCAGTAAGATGGAAATCACCCTGCACCTTGTTGACCTCTAGATTCCCGTATATCCTACAGCTGTCGCCAACGTTCCCTCTTAGTCTCGGTGTCTTTGAGAACTTCGCTTTCCTCCCAGAACTAGCTGCCGCAGCTATAATATCGTGCACATGCTCCTCTCCAAACCCCTCATCATGATCATGATACCCCTCGCCGGTAACCACACGTCCCTGGGCATCTTTCCCAAGACTGTGGATACCCTTGTTGTCGACCCATTGCGACCAATTCGTCATTTCCAGTTTCATTTTCTCTGCAGCAAGGATTCGATCGCCCGCTGCGTCTTGAACGTTGATATGGATATCTGAACACGCCATTTTCAGGACTATGTCTAGATTGATCTGCATGTTGTGTCCAACTCCTTTCTCTACTGCGACCGTGTGGTTTTCGTAACCGCGCCACCATCGTGTAAATTCGCTGAATATAAGAATGGAGGAGACGAGGAGCATCGCTACCGTCCATTTCCCTCCACCTGATGTCCTGGTCACATATTGAGGTTTTGATTTTGCTGGAAACACAATCTGTTAGGCCGCTATTCTCTCAAATGCCCATTGCAGTCCAATTGCCAACTTACGAAATGCATCAAAAGCCGAGACGAGGTTGCCCTTTTCGCCAAAGGCATCCTCGTCCAGCCCGTGTTCTGAGAAACCGTTCATCCTCTCCTCGTCGGGGTATCCTTTGTTACTTGCTCCTAAATCTACATCAATTCATTCGAGTAGACGTATGCGCAATTGCGAACTCGTGTATCGTGCCTCGAAAGGCTTGTGGTTGGTATTGGGAATTATTTTGGTGGAGGAAGAGGACAGCTTTGCAATGCGCTTGGAGCATGCAAGGCTGACGAACTTTTGGAAGCGAGATGTCGGGAGAAATCAAGGTGGGGCTCAGGGACCAGATCGCATCGTTGTTTCAACCTCACTCCATCATTTCACTATCAACACCATCTTTTATTAACAAGTCCCGACGAGTATCAAGTTCTCCAATTACCTACGCCGTATGTGCTCTGTTTACCTAAAGACCTTTACTAGGCTATGTTGAAGCTTATGTGCCTCTTGTCCTGCCCTGGGATTGTGAGACGCGAGTGCAAAGACTTTCCCTAAACAAGATGTATTTCGATGACTCAATGATGATCTCTACAGATAGATTGCTTGTTTTGGCTAAGCTGTTTTATTCAATATACTGCTTCCGTCGCACAATAGTCAGGCCTCATTCGGTTCATGGATTGTTCTTGAGGAGTCATTCGGTCTAGCGAGCTTCCAAGGTTCTTAAAAGCAGGAACACTTGCCTTACCTCCATATCTCTCAGCACCCGTGTTAATATTTTTTTCATTAATTTATGAGAAACTGTCTCGAGTCTCTGCAAATCGACCGATTTGTATGCTTGTACGAGGTAACATTAACGATTTGTTTATACTTCATTGCCTCATCTAATAATCTGATATCATTGATTTTTACCGTCATAGAGTTTATCAGATTCATGGATGGGGACCTGATTTCACGCTTCTATAATTACATGTAAGTATGTACTTTCAATTGTATCGACACAGCTCTCTAGACTGTTACTACGCTGGGACAGTGCTCTCATCAATGGAGAACACGGACTGATGCGGGTCGGTAGAAATCACCTTCCAGAACATGATCAGGATATTACACTAACCTCCTATGAAGGTTTCGGCAGCCTGTACAAGTCTTTTCATTCAATGGAAATGGATTATTCATAGCAGAATCCGTTATCTACAGAGTCCTCCAAAGCTGTGGGCTTCTGCCTTCAAGATTCTACGACTGATGCAATCCAATAACGCCCCCAAAAGAACATTCCAAGATCGAATATCCAAGCTATAGCATCCAAATTGTTGGCCAAGCCAGACCTAAGACACATGTCTAGTACGCTAACTTCGAATTTCCAAATAGTTTTGCTCTCGAGTTCTTGAATCCTGCTGCGGTTCTGGCTGGAACATAGGATCCATTGATGAATGTCAAAGGCGAGTTTACACACGAACCACCGTTACATTTTTGGTAGAGGGAGATCAACCCACCTCCGCCGCACACCTCGCCTGCATTTCCGGCACAGGGGAAGGAACAGTCTCGAAGGAGACCACTGACTGGAAGGCGCTCTACGAGAATGTTTGAGGCGTTGTCACAGAAACATTGAGTTGAGTATTCGACGCCTAGAAAGAAAGTAAGGATATGTATGTGACAACGATAGGCTATCTCAGCCAAACTTACCGGCGACATTGAACCCCTTCGAAACGCAGAAATCGATACACGACTCGATGGTCATGGTATTCCGCTCGTCTTTTGCGCCCTTCAAAGTTCTAGGTTGTCCGCCTGGGTCAAGCCCGCAACCGATATATGCAAACCCCTTGGTCTTGGTTTGGTCAGTGAATGGGAACTGTGGTTTGCTAATGCTGGTTGTTGCTCCACAATTAGATAGTGGTTTGGCAGGCTCCGGACCAGCCTGCACTGCGTTGCAACCAGGAAGCGTGTCAACTGTGCCAGATGTTTTCTCAGCTACGGATGCCGGAACACGGCACGATCGAGCATCTTCATTTGTCACGAAACTGAAGTGCTTGCATTTCTCGATAACGCCAGAGTCGTCGGTACAGTCATTGATGGCCTTTTGAAGCACGCCCTCCTTCCAGCTATGGACCACAGGTTGGCCATTGCAGTTCAAAAGAATGGGCATTAAGGATCCGGTGGAGCTTACCCATTAACGAAGTCAGTATGGAATCCATAACCAGTTGGATCTCCGTTCGAAAGGACAAATGGTTGTTGATCGCTGTACCATTCGAAATTGGGCGTGTTGAAGATAATCTCGTAGAAGATCGAGATAAAGCGCTTTGGGAACTCCTTCGGGCATGGGCCAGTTGTGACACCTGACGGGTAAGCCACATGAGATTTATGGTCTTTGGTATCAAAGTCTTTTCCGTTCCAACACGAAGGGAAGAAGACTTGCGCGCGAAGGTCATTCGGACATTTGATGTTAGGCAAGCCGTGTGTTTCTGGGGTATTGGTACCTAGACAGGCAAAGGTAATAGCTCTCGCCTCTACAGTGTCGGCATAGCTTCGAAGGAAAGTATTGCCGGCCACCATGCGGAACTCGTTAGGAAATGCGACGAGGCCTGGTTCGGGGTCCTTGGGATCACTTCGTTGCCTGTCATTTTCAGTAAGTATTGATGCGGGAAGAATAAGAATATCTCAACTGACAGATAATAGATTGTCGCGCCTCCTGTTTGGGTGACCTCGGTGAACTTTCCATCTTTGGTCTTGTAGTAAAGAGTCTATATTCAGAGATTAGCCATATCCTCTGCAATGAGACTGTGATGTTTGCACTCTATCACCTCCAGGCTGCATAAAGCCTTCGAATAGAATGCTTATCTACCGTTTCAAAGGTGCGTGTAGAGGTGCTTTGCGAACGTGTCCGTTGGGGCGTGAAAGAGACTACTTACAGGAACCCAGTAATTAGATTTGTCCTCGATCACAGTGCACGAAGAGCAGGTGGACTTCTGTGTCGATGCAAAGTTCATCTCAAAACCAAACCCATTCCCACCCATAATGGTGTGAACGTGACTCGAGACTTGACCAGGCGAAATAACGGGGTCAGCTCGCTCGATCACAATTGGCGCGGCGCATGGCAAACGAAAGAAGGCAGTTGTCTGACCAGCAGCTGCCAAAAGGTCAATGGCCAAACGACCAAGAGTGTTGAGTGTCATATCGGAACTGATTTGAATCGATACGTTGTGTAGGACGATTCAAAAAGTGTTGACACAGACCGATAATTGCGGGTTGGACGTTTGTTCGAGGAGGAACAAAATTTTGGGCAGGTTATAAACCTTGGACCAGCTGCACCATGGAGTGAATCTTTGCTGGATGTGCTTGGTGAAAGTTGATTGCCAATGAAATAGCGGGAAATGAGACTCCGGCTCAGAAACGGACACAGAAGTGAATAGCGATTCATACGGGAGGCAGCTTGCCGTTGATTTCTTAGCATCTGCTGAGGTTCTAATGGTCAGAATACCGTGCAGAATAACGTGGATGAGGTTACTAGGGATTGTTAGAGTCATCACCTGGTTCAGTTCAATCCATTGTGGCGGCAGTTACTTGATATCACGGTATATGAAGAACTGGCTGACCTTAGACAGAAACAATACCCCTCCATGATTAATCTGATTTCCAATTACCGGCTCTACGCAACTTGCCTTTCCCGGCGTCATGTCGACTGGCGGTGATTGCGCTACAAAATCGTGAGGAAGCAAATACATGAGTTACTGGCTTCGCGAAATCTAACCATGAAATCACCTACATTTGTAAGGAATGTAGTCTATACTACAGTGCACATTGGGAATGCAATAATTCAAATGCCATTCCGAATGTAAATAGTGAAATTCCTGGAAAGATGAATTTAATCGTGTACTCACGATCTGACTATACACTTGTATGAATAACATAGCACCACCTTGCCCTTTCGGACCAAGATTCAGCAAGAAAGAATAAGATGAAGGATTCTGGACAACTAGCTTGAAGACCACTTGGGCCTGAATAATTATTTTCCAGCTCACTCGGAACACCAGTCAACAAGAAGCACAAAAGTATAAATCCGTCTTAAGAGGAGAAGTGTGAATAGTATTCTGCGTCGATGTCACATGTTCAAAGTTAGTCAATTTCTACCTAAGATTTAATACATACAGCAATTTCCCCAACTCGTTTGAGATGGTTGAGCGGATACCGTGCAGTTCCGATCTTGTTTATTAGATATTTCTTCTAATTGTGTCCAGGTAGTGCGGTTGTACACCGGGTTGTACTTAAGGGCCGAGGCTCTGAAAGCAAGGTTGGGTGATAGCCAATGAAGTCTGGTCTTTAGCCCACGCGTAACATCTATCAGACCCCCACCTGAAGATTCTACCCCGCAACGCCGGATTTTACATTTTAAATTATTTTTTCATGTTTTCTGAAAGATTGCCAAGTGAACTACTGCAAGAAACAGCTTTCGCCAGGAACCATCATGGTGGCCCTGGTATATTTGCCATGCTTGTCTCGACATCCAGTCCAATGAAATGTCAGGGTCTCGGCGTGTGGTAAGAGAGGCAGATCGAGCTTCCCAATTCTGCAGTGGACCAGGTACACGATAACAACATGGCAGCTCTTTCAGATGCTGTACGAACCCAGAACTGCTAGGTTGTGCATAAGACCCGGTAGGCACTATGGCATGATGTAACCACTGCATGAGAGCTTGGAAAAGATCAACGACGGCAGCTTCAAAACTCCAGCCTCGCCTCATGATATTTTCCTCTTCCGAAGCTTTTAACTGAACTTTCTCTGAGTGAGACGGTTTCAGGAACAATATCAAGAGCTATGTTTCAAGAGCTCACATTTTTGTCGCTGGCAACAGCCACATTCGCTTCTTTTGCAGGCAACTTAAATTATAGGAGTCCTTCTCACCACCATCCATCACTTGGAGTTTCAATCCGTAAGGTAGCTGCGAGAAACACACCTACAGCGCCATGGAATCCGGCTCAACTGAATTTTACTCACGGCGTTGCAAGTGGAGATCCATATGACACAAGTGTCATTTTATGGACTCGAGCGGCTCCTACTTCAGTAAGTGTTGGTCATTTGTTGGCCTGACGATTATAGAAGACAATGTCTTGTATTTGTCACACTTTGTTGCCAGTTCAAATGATATTCTATGCCGGCAGTTAGAAGTGAGGATATGACGAGCTAATCATGATTCTAATAGGAAAATGACAAATCAAACATTACCGTCTCTGGTTTTGTGCCACTCTTCAGCCACGAGACCGACGAGTACGTGCTAGCAAGTAAAGCACCGATTTGCGTTGACTATAAAGTATCGACCGACGAGGATTTTGACTGCGTTGCCGATCATGGCACGGTTTACACCTCTTCCGACATTGACTTCACTGTCAAAGTTGAAGCGAAAAACTTGACTCCGTACACTCGGTATTGTAAGAACTCGGTCGCAATACGCATCCTGGGCTATCTCAGAATCCCAACTGACAGCTTCACAGACTATCAATTCAATATTTGCAACTCTAATAACACCAGTCCTGTCGGCCGCACGAAAACCATTCCAAGCAAAGGAGACAAGGTAAACACGGAAGTTAAGGTTGCTGTGTATTCATGTAGCAACTATCCTTTCGGATTCTTCAATGCTTTCGGAAACTCTGCTCGAAAAGATTCTGTCGATTATGTTATCCATCTTGGTGACTATATCTACGAATATGCCAACGGCGAATATGGCTGGGGCAACTCGTTAGGGCGGATTCCACTACCGAACAGGCAGATTTACACACTTTACGATTACCGCAAAAGACTTGCCACCTATCGTACGGATCTTGATTTGGTGCTATCTCACCAGCAATATCCATGGATTCCGGTCTGGGATGATCATGGTAAGTGTGGTAATGTCTGAGATTTCTTGAAAGCCGCGACTAATGAACCTATTCAGAGGTCGCAGATAATACATGGCGCGATGGTTCAGCGGAGCTCAACAACACCGAAGATTCTTTTATCAAAGATGGTGGTGTCTCTGTTGACCAACGTAAGATGAACGCTGTACGAGCCTACTTTGAGTGGATGCCAATTCGACAAGTGGAAATGGACGACAATCTCAGAATTTGGCGCAATTTTGAGATTGGAGACCTGATGGATTTGATAATGTTGGATACTCGTCAATATGATCGTTCTATTACCGATTTGTACTGGAACACGGATTATGTTCATGAGATATCCAACGATGCTTCACGATCCCTGATGGGACCTCGGCAAGAAAACTGTGAGCTCATCAGCTGAAGTCCAGCAAAACGCCTTTCTCTCACCAAGTAAAGCTGACGGGGACGCTTTTAGGGTTCTATAACCGCCTTATCGAGTCCTCTAAGCGAGGAGCAGCCTGGAGAATTATAGGTAATCAAGTCATATTCTCCAGGGTCAATTTGTCGGCAGCTTACGGTCCTGAAAATCCTGTTAATTACGATGCATGGGATGGCTATCAAAGCAATCGTAACCGTACACTCGCAACCCTGTACGACAACAAGATTGACAACACAATTTTCCTAGCCGGAGACAGCCATGCTTCATGGGTTTCCGATCTTGTGTGGCTCGACACACATCCATACGACTCAAAAACAGGTGACGGATCAATCGGCGTAGAGTTTGCCGGCTCAGCAGTATCTTCACCTTGTCCTTTCGGTCAAAACATTACTTTGAAGTCCGCAAACACTTACTCCTCCATCGTTCAATCAATGAATCCGGAACTTCAGTGGCAAGACCTCTACTATCGCGGTTACTTCGAGATGAGCATTTCTCACGAAGCCGTTCATGCTTCCTTCTTCGGTATGCCAAATATTACAACAAGAAATGGATACGAGATTTCTCTTGCGAACTTCACCGTGTTGAGTGGGGAGAATAAGTTGATGAGGACCGATGGCGTGGTTGCGGGTGGAAGTGTGGAGAGTGGAAGTTTAAAATTCGGAATTGTAAAGGGGACGAATGCAACAAACGACACTGCTACGGGAAGGCGGTTCATCTATGGACCCCAGCTGAACTCGACAGCCGGTAACTCGACTTTGCGTAGCTAAATTATCGCTGATAAAGGACAAGCTAGTATTAGTGATGCCTCGGCGTAAGCAAGTTATTCTCCATTTGGGTATTTCATCTCTAAGCTCATCTTATATACCAATTCAGCATGACAATGGAAAGATCTGTTTCACGTGGTCTCACTGTTTGTTCCAGGCGTTATATGACACGCAGCGGTTAATAAATCAGTATGTGACGCCAAAAATAAAGTGTAAACCACCAAGTGGTGGTTCGGGTAATGTTGAATCGTTTTGATATTGTGGTTCTCCTCGTTCTCTCATAATGACTTGAGTGACTTGTAAGTTCTATCTGCTTTATAAAAGTTATGTTTTCGACCTCACCTACTGTTGTAGTTTAGAACGCTGTTCTAATAGCAAAAAGCGGATGCAAGCCGTTTTCGTCTCCTTCCAACTTATGATCTGCCTCCAATGAAACATTTTCCTTATCAAAGTAATAACTACGGAAAAGATATCTATATAGCAGCTTATACGAGCGTTCTTTATTGATTCAAAAAGCCGTGGTCGACAAATTTCGAATCCGCCGCAGGGGGGAAAAATCGAGAAAAAAAAGAAACAGAGAAATACATTTCTCAAAGCCCTCGACCAGAATTGAACTGGCGACCTCGTCATCTCATTACTAGTGACGCGCTCTACCATTGAGCTACGAGGGCTGTGGTTGGTGCAGTTGTGGTAAAAAAATGTGTATATAAAAGCAAGCAAATTGTGGAAAGACGGAGTGCTGCGTATGAAGTTGGGTGACGAGATGCGTCAGGATCGTGATTATCATTATTCAGCACTTCAATCTTGAGCTGTATTCTGCTAAGCTTACATCGTTCGTTCTGAGGTTGTTTCTAGGTACTGTGTTGCCGCCTCAAACAAAATACATAGGTTTTCCCCCAGCCATAACCATAATTCGCCTATAACTCACAAATCCGCCCACCGGACCCAAATCCCATGCCAAAATTTGAACCAACCAAGCCCAAAGTCCCATAATACATACCTCAACTGTTGCTTCTCTCCAGATTTCAACATCTGTTAACGTCCCCGCCCCATATTCACAATTGGCGGTCGTGGTGGTGGTCTCATCCCACCAAAGCCGGGTGGAGGAGGTGGTTGGCCATTGCGGACGACATGTACAGAGATAACAGAGACAGAAGTCAAGCTAGAAGATCCTGAGCTGCTGTAGGGATGACGAGCCTCTCGTTTTGCGACGTGAGAGAGCCGGTAGAAGAACCAGATTATGAGGATGGTGACGAAGAGGAGGAGGACCACGATTATTGCTATAACAGCGTTTCTTTGAACCATCTTTCAGTTCATAGGGTCGTTGGGAGTTGTATGCTGTGTTATATATGATCGTAAGGTGGGTTTATAAATTGATTGGTGGGATTGTCTACGTATGTTAGCGTTTAAGAGAATTGCTGATGCTGAGATGGGACTCAAGAGGCCTCGTGAACCAGTTAATGTAGATGTTACTCACAAGGCGATAATAATAAGTCTTTCAGTTACCTCAAATGCGTGGCTTGATATGGATGGATGCTCTGGTGGTACAGGCTTTTGGAACTATAGAATTGATAAGGTCGTGTATCGTCAACAAACATATTCCAACAGCCCGTTTGCAAGCATTTGTCGTTCATCAGACAACGGCTCTTCCAATCCTTGAATTTTACGCCGCAATGTCAGATGCAATGCGAGTAAGATTCATGTGATCGGGCGATCGTTTGCATGCTGAGAAATCTAGCAAATGACAATGCTTCATCACCTGCGCCACCAACATCAGAATACTATCCACTTTTTGGCCCCAGAAAATGTTCAACTTCAAATTATGCTGGTAAACTCGAGGACTTGCAAGCTTTCGTGGTCACTTCGTCGAGAGAAAAGAGCCGTTGTCGAGAAGATTTCTAAGTAAAATGGTTTATTCCGTGAAGCCTCTGACGAGATACGTATCCGCGAGATACTTTTTGGGACTCGTTCGAGTTTGATTTTCTTTCGAACCCTATTCGTATTCTTATCTGCAGTTGGAATGCCTCCAACCTTAAGTATGAGAGTCCGAAATTCAAAAGATACACCACAGTAGAAATCAAAAGAGATGTGGTAAACAGCAATCACTTCAAAATGAATGCGACCCGGTCTCTGTCAAATCCTCCAACGCAAAAAGACTAGCAGAAAATTGTACGTCAGGTGCAGTAGCTGATTTTGGCATTCTCAAAAAGTGGCAGTACTAACATCAAAAATGTATTGAAACGAAATCAAACGCTTATTACTTTACCACAACGAAAACACGACACTTTATTCCTCAGTACCGACTTCCATAATATTTCATTTGCCCTTCTCATCGCAACTGCCCGCAGTTTGGTTATTGCTTTCAAGTCCAAATTCTGTTTCAAGCGTTTTTCTAAGGGGCACGTCGCGCTCTATCAGAACCAGCAAGAATCCTAATCCGGCAAAGATTGCTCCAATCCAAAACAGGCGATCTAGAGCTAATGCGTATAGCTCTCGCATCTCATCTTGTACCTCCACAGAGAATTGTTGGACAAACACTGCTGACGCTTGCTCATAAGCACCACCATCTTTCAGTAGCTTTCTTGCCGATAAATTTGATACTAGATGTAGATTCTCGTTGATACGGTTATTGAAAATAACAGCGGGGATTGCAACACCCCAAATAGCTCCAAAAGCGCGTATAAAACTCCAAGCCGAAGTCGCAGCAGCTTGATCTGCTTCAGACACTGGAGCTTGAAATGCAGGTAAAAGTGTGTCGATGATAACTCCAATGCCAAGTGCAACTATCATTTGAAACACCGCCCACTCAGATATCGAAGTATGTTTGTTCGACATCGACAACAAACCCATTCCCATGGTGGAGAGTCCAAATCCAACCAGATGAATCACTTTGAATTTACCCCACTTGCTCAATGATACGGCGGCTAAGATCGCCCCTGGTAGGCCTGCCAACGCCTGTGGGAGTAAAGAGTAACCCGCTCGGCTTGGCGAATACAACTTGACAGCCTGAAAATAGACCGGAATGAAGTACAGATACCAAAAATAAATAGTGGAGTTGAGAAATGTGTTTATGAGGACGATAATTGAGGTTCGATCACTGAACAACCTTAACGGAAGGACCGGCTCGACTGCGATACCACTGGCCTCGAAAACAACGAACAAGCCAAAACTTAGAAATCCCAATGATAGAGGAACGAGCGTGTGCCAAGATGACCATGCGAATGTCGTTCCAGCGTAAGTCAAAGCGTATAGTATAGCCACGGTACCGGTCATGAGTATCGTGTTGCCCACAATATCGATGCGCCTGAGCTTGGTGGTGAATGAAGTTTCATCTTTGTATTTGACATGGAGGAAGATAAACATGACGATGAAGGAAACGCCGCCGATTGCTAAGGGAGAGTTGATAAGCAATATGTATGAAGGCGGATTTGGAGAATGTGACCACGTACGAATATTGATGTAAAATACTAGTCGCCAACTCGAGTATTCTGCAATGCTGCCACCCACAAAGGGTCCAAGAGCTACACCAACTCCAAATACAGCTAGAATCATGGCCATGTATTGGCCTCGCTTTCGCACAGGACATATATCCGAAACGATGATATCTATAGCCAGAAAGGTTGGAAACGTGTCTGAAATCTTATGGTGAAATTAGAGTAAGAGGACACTCACTGACAGTTAGAACAATGCCTCCAAACCCTGCGCCTTGTATTGCCCGACCTGCTATCAACATTTCACCGATCGTTGCGCCTCCACAAAGGCCACTGCCAAGCGTGAAAATGGCAATAATGAGCAGGACTATCTATCGACGTCCAAAGATATTACACAACTGGCCGAATAAAGGTGTAAGTGCTGTGATGTACAGGCGGTTAGCTATTTTAATTTTATGTTTAAAGCTAAACCCACAGAGGACGTCGTTAACTTTAGTTGTGCAAAAATTCGAAATAACGAGCGAAGGGGTGTATATTACTATAATCTTACTCATATGAATAGTTATAAAAAACCAACCTGCAAACGAAGAAAGCATTCGTGACCCGAATGTAATTCTCCTTCATGTCCAGATCCTTTAGAATGTAAGGTGCCGGAGTCGTCACGACCGTATGTTCGAGCGAAGCTAGCAGAGTTGAGATAGCCAGACCTGCAATAACGATCCAGAAGCGGAAACCGCGTTCAAAGCCATCTGAAGTCACTGAAGTGGCTGTTTCCATTTCCACAGGGATATCTTTTGTTGCTGAAGATGACATGACGAACCAAACGTCATTCGAGATACAAATTCGGTGCAAGTAATAATGTCTTTCTAGGGATTGCGAACAAGACGTTTCTTTTCGTTGTAGGAAACAACTAGGAGTGATGCGGGAGGGTTGAGTACGAATCAAGATCAGCTTCAATACCCCTGAATTAAGCGAGGAGAAGATGTAAAAGGAAGAAGATCAAATCTTTGACTTTTGTATAAAAGGAATGGAATTTGGTTTCCTGTGCAAAATTGAAAGTGTTAAATATCTACTTATGTAGATACAGTCGCCGTTGTATGTTTGTGATGTATGGGTTCTCGGTGCTACTCATTTCCAACTGCATGTCCCAAATAGGCAAAACCACTCCGACACCGAACTCTGGCCGGATTACTTCCAAGGAAACTGGAACCTGGAAACTGGAAACGCGGAGTCGAAGATCATGAGTCGTATTGCTCAACTGTGGAGTTTTCTTTCTTGCGTCTGTCCCCCTTGTGCATTGGAGTGACTTCAACAGCTTTTACAACACTAAGTCCTGAAACTTTGATCCTTTTGAGATTGCGATCAATTTCTTCATTCGAGTACGTGGCAGATACCGAAAATTTCTGAATCCACATTCTAAAAAGGGTTTCCTCCAAATCTGTTCCCATCATTTTACTTTCGACATTCCATCGCACTGAGTACTCATGACATCCATGCACCCAGCATAGCACCGCTAGGTTGAAGACAATCAATCCCTGGCAGGCAAAAACCGCACCCACAACTCTGGACGCTCCCACATAAGGTATGCTTTAAAGTCTTTATCGAAATACTTCTCATGCCCGGAGACTCCTTCTAGATCGAACGACCAAAGCAGCTTTCCAAGGAACAATCTACATTGAACCCACGCAATCTCTTTACCAGGGCACTGTCGTGGGCCAAGACCAAATGGAAAAGCAGCCTTGAGATTGTCGTCGGCATACTTTTCGTCATATAGTGGATGTTCTTGTGGCAGCCAGCGCTCGGGATGGAATTCTAAGGGGTCACGAAACCAACGCTCGTGACGTTGTGCTGTGAATGTGCTGAGTTGACAGACAATCTATTACGCAATCAGCTGAGAATCTGAAGATTCTCACTAGGTAGTTGCAAAACTTACCCCTTTGGCTACATATACTCCGTCTACAATGGCACCTGGACTAACACGAGGGCTGCCAGTAGAAGCTGGTAAGTACACTCGCAAGGTTTCAGAGATAAAAGCAGCCAGATACTTGAGACTTAGTAAGGCTTGTGGAGTTATTTCCTCATAGCTCTTGAATGAGTCTCTTATCTCCTTCGTTAATGTGGTGCATACCTGAGGATTTTTAAGTAGAAGGAAAATGAAAGCATAAAACGTAATCTGCACGGGATCAAAACCCGCGATAAACATCTGTAATGCCACTTGTTCAATATGGGTGAGCTCCTTCTTGGTCATAGGAGATGGCCCATCTGGAGCAATCATGAAGTCCATGAAATCTGGGTGTGCAGTGTTCCCCCGTTTTTCAATTCGCGATTTTACCTCTGCACTGTTTGCTCGGAATGATGCTGGAACATTTCGTAACACCTTAAGTGGGATGAAGAAAGGTGTAATGAGTTTGATCATGGGTATTTTCTTTGAGAGCTGCATTAATATCCCGACAAAACTGGTACCGCGAAGTGTCTCGAGGAAGTCTGAACCTTTGCCTTTCAACAATGTGTTAGTAGGTAATTTCAGTCGAGAACGATTGCCAGTGAAGTCACTTACCGTCCCTCATATGATGAAACTCTCGGTTGTATGTTAGATCTGCTGCCATGTCGGTAGCTAACCAAAGCAGCCACTACAAGAACATGTATCAGAGCCCAAATAATACATTAAATTATGTTGACTACTTACGTCGCTCATGAGACAGCCTTCAGGATTAGTACCATGGTCTTTCATCTTGGATATGAAAAGGTCGAGGTAGAAGTGAATAGTTGGCTCCATGTTTCGGATCGCTTTCGTACTCAGCGCTGGCAAGATTTTCTTCGCTGCTGCCTTGCGTTTGACAGGATCATTCTCCCATATGTAGCCCAGATCACCAGTACCGAAATTCATCAAGTCGGTTTTCAGGAACAGTTCTTGACCTTTGATGGCGGCACCATAGATATCTGCAAGATTTAGCGAAATTGTGACACAATTTTTTAGTGAACTGAATATGGGTTGAGAACACTGACCCTCTGCAGCTTGTGGCGTAAAAAATGCGACTTCATTTGGTCCTATACGCACTGCATCTCCTTTGTGGTTGTCAGCCCGGGTGGGGCAGGAGTAAGGAAATTGTAAGAAGCGCACCATATTCATGCAGCATTTCCTCCAAAAACCATGGATACCGTCCCCGTATCCTATACGTGTCAACTCCCACTAAGATTATAGCATCGTAAACTTTTCACTAACCAGTGAGAACAATACGTGACATAGGAAACCGCTGCGAGTTTCGGTCCAGGAAACTTGGATGCAGGGTGAAAGTAGAGGAGGTAGATGCAACTGCTCGCAAGATAGGACGCTAGCTATAGATGATGATAAGTTAAAGGAAACTCCTCGATAAAATCACAGAAAAGCATACAACAGTTGCGAAAACCCATGCCCATTGTGTCCATGTAAATGAGGATATGTCGAGTATAACCATACTGAATAGAGTCTTTCTGGTTATTCTTTCTTGAATTGCAGATAGATGTACAGGAGAGTAAGAGATAGAGTGAATCCTGGGATCTCAGATTGTTCAGTATTAAAATCATTGAGACCAAGATCTTTTGTCTCTACGATTCGGGCTCAAATTGCCTAATTCGAACTCGGCATCGGTGCTCCCTTTCAAGCCGTCAGCGTGTTCCAATTATATTTGAAGAGACTTTATCCCCTACATTCTCCTACCTTTACAATACGTGCTGATTGTTGTTCGTTCCACCAGAGATATAAATACAAATGCTTAATATGGAGCTGGCTAAGTCCCCAAACTATCGTCTTAATGTGTGTTGGGAAGAATGGCTTCTGGGGCGTTGGAAATCACAGTTGGTGATTCTAGGGCTCCCGCCGAACAATCAACCCCATAACAGCATCTCTAGTTCAAGCTAGGTGATGCGACTATTAATTTGTCTACTTGTCGTTGGAGTTACCTCCATTCTCTTAGTTACCCGAGAAGCCGCTACGTCTTATCTCTTTCATAGCTGGAGCCGGGACGAAAGCCAAACCTTCATGGTCATGCATCCGGCTTGAGGTAAATCCAGATAAATGGTCCGCTTGCTTCTTTTGAAAATCCAAAAACCAAAAGCTTATGGGTTTCAGCTATGAATAGTTCCATTTAGTGGAGGTATCACTGACGCCAACCGGAAGCCAACGGGACAACCAACCGAAGGCGAACTGTGCCAATAGGGTGTGGGTAAATTACCAGCTTATGCGCAGATATGTGTCCATGTCTACGAACGTCGGTAAAAGTCAGAGAGAAACCAAGTAAACCACGCCTGTGACACTGTACATTGTACCAAATGGCTACCGAACCTTCAACAATATCAGGGGTATCGTCACGACGCTCTGCCTGTGATCGCTGCAGAGGACAGAAACTACGATGTCTTCGTGTGCGCAAGAAGTTAGATCACAATGAGCGCTGCGACCGTTGTGCCAAAGCAGACGCGCAATGCATCACAAGCCCGATATACCATATGCGTAACATGTTTGCTCAAGATCAAGAACGTGATAGTCCAGCGCTGTCTGGAAAGCGGCGACGACTGTCCAGCTCTCGGCCCTGCGTCGCGCAGTCTACCCTACGAGACTTAGGTGATTCCTCAATATCAATCACGAACTGTTCTTCGGCTATAGTTGCTGGCAGTGACTTTGAATATCAAGACTGGGCTCCTACAGACCTGTCCGCAGCTACTATCTCGAACAATCACAACAATGTTGCGGAAAGCAATATAAGGTCAAGCGCCATATTCTCAAACCTCACGTCGCAGGAATGGAATATGATAAGCGACGCAGCACCAGGGAGCCCCAGCTTTAATGCTACTGACAATGATGCGTTGGGTCACATCATCTCCCAGGAGGCTGGGTCTCGATTACCATCCACAACAGCTCCTCCACAGCTCGGCATTGAAGAGCGGCTCGAGCAATTCGAGGACTGGGGACATCCAGACTTAAGTACACTGGCTTCGGAGCTCCAAGATTGTGCCGTTGATCGCGACGAGACCCATCCCAATACATCCACGGAAGAGTTGTCCACAATGAACCTCAACTTGGTGAAACAGCTAAAGCGGATGGCATTACCTCACGTCAATATGAAGACTCTCATAGTACCAGATTGTACACAATCGAGTGATTCATCGATAACTCCCCTAGAGGACATTCTAAATAGTACTCGCTTGTATTTAGAGATTTTGAGCACCATCGCAGGTGTCCCTCGATCTCCACGATCTTCGAGTTCTGATGCACTGAGGCTCTCTATGCACTACAGTGGCTACTTGGGTACGCATACAGATACACTGGAGGTACCATATGATGGTTCTTCGAGTACTTATACCCCGTCAGCTCCATCCAATGACACGAGGTTGGATAATACCAAACCTGATAGCTCTACGCTGCTCCTAGTTCTCGTTTGTTATATACACCTTTTGAAACTTCATGTGGCTCTTTTCAGACACATAGAACATTATCTACATTTTGTCTCTGAAAGTGAGGAACGCACTATCATTCCGCTACCAAGATTGTGTGGCTTTAGTAACTTCCCTCTTGGTAAGTTTCTCGGAGATGGCGTACAGTCGCAATCAATTGACACTGAGAGCACAGAATCTGGTAATCTTCAGGCATCCATGATAATCCAACTCGTTACCAACATGTTTGAGAGGATCGAGATTCTCCTTGGACTTCCGTCAGAGTTCCGTTTGGGAACTCGTGAAGATGATCCACGTGGCTTGCTCAGAGACGAAGTCTTCTTTAAATTTGCAATTTCAGTCATCCAGAAAGAGAATGACTTGTCGCCAGAGCAAGAGAGAGGAGGGATTCTATCATTACGAAGAGATATAGAGCAATCCAAACACCTTCTATGTAGCCGTATAGCTCCGTAGAATAAATGAGTTTCTCTACGGTCCCAGCAGTCCAGCTGCGATATGTTCGAATCTGCTTTGGGAAACAACTCTGGCGGATGGTCGTGGCAATCGGGCCTCATGAATCCGGAAGGGCTGGTAAAGTTAAAACCTCGAACCAAACAGGGGCCAAGCAAGCACAGAGCTGCATCAAATATGAAGGATGTGGATCAAGTATGTGGATGGTACTGCCACGAAGAATTTAAAACCATCTGTACAAAAGAATGTCTTCGCACGTGACAGGGAGACTTAGTGCCAAGATATAGTGGAGCTGCGATCCAAATTAATAGATGCTTTATAATTGGTCCATTCAGCTGCCTCGGCTCCGAGGTCATAACTATTCCCGCATGTTCCCCGGATTTGTCCCTCGTGAGACCCTAGCTTACTGCAATTAGTCCAGCCGGAATTCGATGCTGCTTTCGTATCGATCAAGACTTGATGCATTGTTTGCACTTCTCTCACTCTTAACGTTCTGCTTGTTTTCTCATTCCCTTCTTTTCCTTTTCTCGGCTTAGCTGGTTACTCCATAATGCCTCATAAAGAGATCACCAGGGACGAAGTTGCGAAGAATAACACAGAGGATTCTTTGGTATGTTTACACCTCTATTCGCCTTAAACAGCTGGAGCCGGATTGCTGACAGTCTCATCAGTGGTTCGTTATTGACTCCAAAGTCTACGATGTAACAGATTTTGTTGATGCGCATCCTGGCGGAGAATCTGTCTTACGGCAGGTTGCTGGCACTGATGCCACCGAAGCTTTCTACAATCTGCATCGGCAAGAAGTCCTCCAGAAATACGACAACCTACGGATTGGTACCATCGCGGGCGAAACTTCTAAGGTCATTCCACACAAGGCCGGGGATTTAAGTGTTGTGCCGTACGGCGAGCCAACATGGTTGACTCCGCAATTCAAAAGTCCATACTACAACGAGAGCCATAGACGGCTCCAGAAAGCTATGCGAGTGTTTGTGGACGAGGAAGTTTATCCCGTAGCGCAGGAATGTGAACGGGAAGGAAATACAATACCGCAGGAGTTGATTGACAAAATGTCCAAGAAGGGTATTTTGCACATGAGATTAGGTCCGGGAAAACACATGCATGGAGTTGATTTGATGGACGGTGCGGTCAAGGGAGAGGACTTCGATTACTTTCACGACTTGATTGTCGGCCAGGAAATGACTAGGGCTAATGCTCGAGGATTTCAAGATGGCAACATGGTTAGTCAAAAGCTATCGAGCCGGCGTCTTGTTAACTGACAACACTAGGCTGGAATGACAATCTCACTCACAGCTGTTCTCCAATTCGCCAATGACGAAGAATGGAAAAACAAAATCGCCAAGGAAGTTTTCTCTGGTGAGAAGAAGATCTGTCTTGCTATCACGGAAGCTTTTGCTGGATCGGATGTTGCAGGAATCCGCACCACAGCTGAAAAGACAGCTGATGGAAAACATTACATTGTTAATGGTACAAAGAAGTGGATTACTAACGGGGTGTTTTGTGACTATTTTGTCACTGGCGTAAAGACTGAGAAGGGTCTTTCTGTACTTCTTATCAAGCGACAAGAAGGTCTCGAGACAAGCGCTATTAAGACATCTTACTCTCCTGCAGCTGGTACCGCTTACGTCACGTTCGACAAGTATGTAACCTCAATTTACTCAAATAGATGTCCACTGACCAGCCAAAAGTGTTAAAGTGCCCGTCGAGAATCTTCTTGGAAAAGAGAATAAAGGCTTGCAAGTGATCTTGAGCAATTTCAATCATGAGAGATGGATGATGGCAGGTGCTGTTATACGTATGTCTCGATTAGTGACGGAGGAATGCATGAAATGGAGCAATCAACGTATTGTTTTTGGCAAGAAGTTGATTGAGCAACCTGTCATCCGCCAAAAGTATTATCTTCCTTCTATCCTATGATGTGCTTCGCTGACGTTCAAAAGACTTGCAAAAATGATAGCTCACTGCGAAGCAAACCAAGCATGGATCGAAAATATCACTTACCAAATGACTTTGATGCCATACGCTCAACAGGCAACGCACTTAGCCGGGCCCATCGGTCTTCTGAAGATGTTCAGTACAAGATCAGCGCATGAAATTGCGGATGAAGCGGTGCAGGTATTTGGTGGTAGAGCTCTTACGCGGACAGGAATGGGAGCAACGATTGAGATGTTCCACCGCACATACAAGTTCGATGCGATTCTTGGTGGAGCTGAGGAAATCCTTGGAGATCTTGGTGTAAGACAAGCGATGAAGAATATGCCGAAAAGCATGTTGTAAAAGAAGAATATTAGATTATAATGTGGGTATGAGGGGACTTCTGGAATTGGTATATCAGCAATGTATAAATGAGATACTGAAATGATCAAATGGCTGTTAACGGCTCAGCATTGGCAATGAATAAGCTCATTGACTTGCCAAATATGTTATTTTAGAAAGAAGGATATTTGACTATACTAGGTAGTAAACATAGTGAAATAGTATTGATGCGATTGCATTGATTGCCTCACATGTGAAGTATAGTATCATCACTGATGAGATGAATGAAGGCAGCAGCAGGCTTTAGTTTTCCATCATGTTTGCTGCCATACATTTTTATGATACAAATATTGAAAAAATTGGTTGTAATTATCGATATGCGCAAGTCTCAGAAGAGTGTCTGCCTACATGGCAAGAGAGACAACAATGAATGGTTAAAATTATCATACCGACTGTTTACTGTCATAGTCCTTCAAAATAGGTGGGCGACCGCCTAGATATCGTCAATGCCAAGCCTTTTTCACGACCCCCTGCTTTCAGGCAGGGACCCAGGACTGAAAATAATCCCGAACACAACCGGGAATTCCACTGCATCTTGTCCGTGAGAGTCATAGGAAACAAGCTTCTGCCCCTCTCTTATCGCCTTCCCAAGTGGGTTTACTTGTCGCAGGCGAACCCCGCGGTGGGGATCAGGCTTGAAATTTGTACGGAGGCATAGTAAGAGCTACGCATCGGTGTTGTTGGTTTACGTGTGGTTCTGGAATATTTATATTCCAATAGTGGGAGTATCTTCTTCTTTTCTTCTCACTTCTTAACTTCTTCACTTCTTATTTCCAGACATCTTCGGCGGAGTCTGTGGTAATTACATCTCGGTCCTTAAGCCCAGTCAGATATCTCGAAAGCTTCGTTTGTTGAAGAGACCCTGCCTTGAACATCACAATCTGCTCGAACCCATCCCAACGACAAAATGCAAGCAAGAATAAAGAACATGGCTTGGCCATCCGCAATCCCGGATGATGAATGGGAGGAGGTAGCAGCTGGAATTCCTAGCAAGTCCGAGCCATTTATTGCTAAGTTTGTCTCCGGCCGTGAAGCCCTTATTAGGGAAGAGAAGAAACAACGAAGTGGTAATGTCTCTCCACACGCTTTGGGCCATTTAATCCAGCTAACATATTTAACAGATTACGCCTTTCGTCAATCCCTCTCTCCTCTTGGCAAACACGCCGACCGCATCGTTTCTAGGATTCGCGCTCATGAGGCCTCCACAATATGGAACTCTGGGCTCGAAGATATCCTCGCACAGAAGATTGGTGGTAATATATATCCTGGCATGATGTTTTCCTTAGCCAAAGAGAGAATGGAACAGACGCAGCTGTGGAAGATCATAAGGAAGATGCCAAAAGGTGCACTACTGCATGCGCATATGGATGCGATGGTCGACTTTGACTATCTGTTTGGTGTCTTGTTGAAGACGAAGGGGATGCATATTTATTCTGAGAAAAGTCTAGATACAGAGGAGGCGAGGGAGGGAGGCCCGGTTAAGTTCCGATTCCAGAAGGTTGAGAGAGGTAATTGTATTCCGAGGTTTTGCAGGAGAGGTTGGCTGATTCACGCTTACAGTCGAGGAGAAGTCGATCTGGAGTTCTGAGTATGTACCTGATACTCCTATTCTTCTCACCCAGGCGGCAGATGCATTTCCGAACGGTGGAAGAGCTGGCTTTATTGCTTGGCTAAAGAGCCGCACTACAATTACGAATACTGAGTCTATCGAGCATCATCATGGTGTCGATGCTGTATGGAGAAAGTTCTCTTCATGCTTTAGCATTCTGAACAACATTATTTTCTATGAGCCAATTTTCAGACTCTTCATGAGAAAGATGATGAAGCAGCTGATAGAAGATGGAGTTAAGTGGATCGATCTTAGACTTGCGTTCACATTTCGATATTACAAGGAGGGACATGATGTTCCCGAAGATACCTTCCATGAAATGTTCCGAGTCTTCGGAGAAGAAATCGAAAATTTCAAGAAGACTGATGAAGGAAAGGGCTTTTGGGGTTGCCGCATGATTTGGACGGGGTTGAGGATTCTCGATACCAGAAAAATGGTTGAGGATATGGATGCTTGTATCGCAATCAAAATAGCTTATCCTCACCTCATTTCTGGCTTTGACTTGGTGGGTCAAGAAGATGCTGGACGACCATTGAAGGATGTCTTGCCTGAGCTCTTTTGGTTCAAAAAGCAGTGTGCTCAAGAAGGGGTCGACATTCCCTTCTTCTTTCACGTAAGCATAACTCAGCTCCATTATACGAAACTGTATGCTAACCGCATTGTGTAGGCTGGTGAGACCCTTGGAGATGGTAGTGATACCGATGAGAACCTATTCGACGCTGTCTTACTCGGCACTCGAAGAATCGGTCACGGATTCTCTCTGTACAAGCATCCTCTTCTAGTTGACATGGTCAAAGAAAAGAAGATACTCGTTGAAAGTTGCCCAATTTCTAACGAAGTCTTACGTCTATGCGCCTCAATTGTATCTCATCCTCTGCCAGCACTGCTAGCTCGTGGAGTTCCATGTTCTTTGTGTAACGACGATCCTGCGATCCTCGGACAAGATACAGCGGGCATGACTCACGACTTCTGGCAAGCCCTTCAAGGCTGGGAGAATCTTGGTTTGGCCGGTCTTGGTTCGCTTGCGGAGAACAGTGTTCGATGGGCTGCATTTGAGGATCAGAGTAACGCAGACTGGGTTCAAGGTATCAAGGATGCCACGTTAGGTTCCGGTGTAAGAGCTCAGAGGATGAAGGAGTGGTCTGTGGAATGGGAGCAGTTCTGCCTTTGGATTGTGTCCGAGTTTGGGACCGATGCTGATGAGGTGGACGAGCAAAAGTAGTTTTTTGCTTTCGGTTGGTATTACACGGAGTTCAACAGCGAAAAGGAGTTTGAATCGTTTAGAAGCATGAGCGTGCCCGGATTGGCCCTCGAAAGTCTAATTTCAACATTAGCAGCGGTTTGCATTTCCCTTATATAGAGACATCACTGAATGAATGAATGACATTTTGAATATTTGACGAGTCTCATCTGTTGTAGAGAAACAACAAGTTCCCAGAAAGAATTAAGTAAGAGATGCCGGATTTCTCTTAAATAATGGTGTGCTACCAATACTTGTGTTCTTCCTAATATTTAGAGTTGAAGTTTAAGGGGCAATAAGTAAAGAGTATTTGCGACAACTATTAGAGTGGCAAGCAAGTTTCTAGTATCATGAATAAGTTTCAGCTTGATGGATTGATGGTTCACTAAGTGCAGACGTCCTCGATGGGAAAGACACAGACCATGAATTACGTGCCTCAAGGTCTCTTATCGATTGCGGTCACGGACCCACTTTTGACGTTCCCTCCGCCTTGTGACTGTCGGCAACATGCATCATCAATAACAGACGGCATCTGGAAAACATTCGACAATCAGCACTTATCAAATTATGGGCTGTGCTAGATCTTATTCAAACTCTGGACATTTTGTTGATTCACCGAATGCTCAGCTTACATTCAGCGCCCTGAGTCAACGATAATGAAACCCTACCTAGAAATACCGTTGTCGTATCGCCTGGAATTGTGCACGCGGTCAACATCAGGAGGAACCGCATCTCTTGACGCACATACAAGCTTGCCACCTCGGCAGCTCTGAGGGAGGCGTATTGCAAAAAACGGAATAGTACTTTCAGTGATCATATCCCGCTCATACAACAAATATGGCATCTTACTTCTCGTCTTTCCTACAAGCAGGCTCGTACCAGAAGCGCCTTCTGAAATATGCCCTTTCGCGTCTCGAGATACTCGATACCGATGCCCTGGATCTCGAGAACTTAGATATTGCACTGGGAAGGAGCAGTACGCTTGAATTCAGAGATGTTGGTCTGCGGTTAAAGGTAGATCAATAGACTTCCCGGATTCATTCATGTGTGTTGCCTGCTGACGAAGGGGATTTAGAAACTCGAAGCTTTACTTCAACTGCCGGCCTCGTTCGAAGTTACAAAAGCTCGGATCTTACTCCTTCGCCTGACGATACCGGTAAATCTCTACAACAGTCCTATTGTGGTAGAAGTGGATGGGGTCGAGGGACATCTCCGTGTCAAGTCAAACCCCGAGAAAGGTTCAGATATAAACCATGACCGGAAACGAAAGAAACAAGACCCTGCCACAGCTAAATCGAATAAGAAAGGTCATGCAGGAAATAAGGGAACTGGCGATGATGATTCTGAACAAGTAATCCCTACGGCTATCGATTTGGCCCAGTCTTTCCTACAAGCGGAACCAGAAGAAGAGAAAGAGAAATTGGAGGCTGCATTACTCTCTCAAACACAAGAGTTGAATCCTTCATCTTCTTTTATAGAGGATGACGAGGAAGTGCCTGTTGGAACCGGAGCGCCAATCTCACTCCCCGTTGTTTTTATGACATTTCTTCAAGGCATTGTAGATCGTCTTCAAGTCCGTATTCGTGGTATAACGATCAATGTTGACTTGGAAGTTGCCAGTGATGCACAAAAAGCACCTCTACCGAACCCTCCGGATTCTGTTACTGTTCAATTAAAAGTAGAGGATGTGGATATTGAAGGCGTCACATCCGATGTCGATGCGCCATTGTCCCCTAGTGGGGAGCAGAACTTGAGATACAAGGAAGGGAAACGGTTGATATCTCTTGCAAAAATTCGCGGGGCCCTCATATCTGAAGCAAATCTGTTTTCTGGCTTATCACGGTCAACAACGGCATCTTCTCCATCGGTGGCTCACTCGGACGTCTCGGAGGGGTTCAGATCGATGCAAAAGTCTACAAGTACACAAGGAAGCGGTGCGCAAAGATCTGACCATGCTGTGGATGACCGAGGTTCAGTGGCTTCTTCGCCGGGCTTTTCTGTGCCCTCGTTGACTAGAAATCTTGGCAGCTCTCAACCGTTGCTGGAATCAGTAGTTGCCAGTGAAGGTGGCCGCTTCGACGATGCGTCAGAAGAAGGTTCAAACATGTCGGAAAGTCTCCGAGACAGTATGAGTGAAAGTGTATTTGAGAATTCTGCGTACTTGGATCAGGTGACAGATAGCCAATATATGGAAGAAGATTATGCACAGCATCAATTACATCGTTCAAGAGGGCTTATTAAGAACGACAGCCTTGGGTCACCTATGTCAACGCCAAAAGCTTCAATGATCATCAACCCTACGACCCGAGCAGAGTTCAACACCGCCGAAACGAGGTTCGAAAGTTCGTCCGAGGCACCTTCTGTTCTGCATTCAACTATACTACCTCCAAGACCGCACTCAAGGTTTTCTGAGGGACGTGTGTCTCAATCACAGCCCTCTCTCCCTTCAGATCTTGTAGCGAATCCTAGGGTTCGGGCAGCTCATGACGAACCTCCCCCTGTAGATAACAGCAACGTCAGCAGTGACGAAGATGAGGAAGACGAACTCCCAACTCCAATCCCCGAGGAAGATCTTACTCGGTCACTGCTGTTCAGCCACGAGGAGGCCGAAAGTATGTACATGAGTGCCGTTTCCCACACTTCTTCGGTCAGACCTATGCCTGGCGGGTGGGGGAGCGCTCATGATGGTGCTGACGACAGCTCTCCTGGTCCAGCGAGCCCGATTCTTTCGCCGCCACCAGAATCCTTAGATAATCTCGAGCACGCAAGACAACAATCTCCCGAGAAATCTTCGACTCAATACCAGAATCCAAGTCATTCTTCGTCTTCCATCGCGGACTCGATGCGAACAGCGAGGACGATCTCATCCCCACCCACCCTAAGTCAACAAAAAAGACACCATTCTTTACCACATGAGTCCAGTGGTTTATCGGAACGCTCTGAAGCCTCTTCAGATGAATACACACGTCTAAGCAAACAAATCCTCAGTCTTGACAGAGTTGATATCTACGTGCCTTCGCTAAACAAGTACAATATAATACCACCATCTGAGGAATCAGCTGCTCATGATGTTTTCGATGAAGGGGATGTCTTGTCTCAATCTGCATCCCAAAATCTGCCAGGGGCATTCTCAACACACCTCCCTCCAAGAGAAGTACCGAGGGCCACTAAATCTCCTTCGAATAAAGCCCAGTCTCTCCCGAAGCCAAACATTGCTGCAAACAGTGACGTTGAGATTGCTATTGGACAACTATGGACACACTTTGATATATCCGTGGGCAGATTACTAACCATGATTATTCGCCAATTACTGGAATCAAAAGATCAGGAGCCCCCTGCGTCTGCAAGAGCTCTATCAGATCCCAAAGAGCTATCTCCTGGCACCAGCGTCAATTGGAAATTGAGTGTCGAAACTATTGGTTTGATATTTGTGGAGAAGCTTGAAGGGACGTTGAACCCTGCCAGAACTTCTGTCGAAGCTGCCCGTCCGAAGTGGCCGTCGAAGTCCGATACTTTGCTACAGGCGAGCGTCAAAGGTCTCAGCATAGACTCTAAATCGTCCGGTGATATCACCAAAACGTCATTATCCGTTGAAAAGTTCAACTTTGGCTATGCAAACGAGAGTATCGCCATGTTTGACGCGGGATTATCAATGCACAATTCCGTGCGAGACCTAAAAGCCGCAGAAGGAATTGACGTTCGTATCGCTATCACCAAAACTGGCAGTATCACGCGATGCGAAATGACCACCTTGCCCGTGCATATATCGATAGACCTACAGAGACTTGACGAAACGTTCAGTTGGTTTGGTGGGCTCAGTAGCGTGTTGAACCTGGGCAGCTCCATTGCCTCTAATGCTACGATAACTGCAGCAAGCCCTGGGAAACCAAAGCCGCGGGGTGTACGATTTGATACCCCTATCCGGCCGGATGACAAATCTTCTTCAGCTCAAAACAAATTGGATGTAAGAATCGGTGGGTTTGTATTAGACCTTCTTGGTACTGATTGCAGCGTCGGGCTTGAAACTTCTGCTGTCAAGTTCATTTACCGCGATGAAGGTTTGGGACTGCAAGTTCAAGCAGTGCGGTTAGCTGGACCGCATCTCAGACGCTCGAGTCGAGAACCTGCAATCACCACTGATCTAACAGGAACTCGACTTGAGTTTCTTTCGTCGCCGAAAGATGCCGATCTAGATCGATTGCTTGCCCTCATAACTCCGTCGAATTCTCAGTACGATAATGACGACGACATAATGATCGATACTTTGTTGCGACAACGGAGACAAGGGTCCGTCCTGAAACTTACGATTGATAAATGTCAAGTGCGAATGTCCAATCTCGACGACCTCAACTACTTACCCGAACTTGGAGAAGAAGTTTCCAGGTTGGCTACAGTTGCAAAGTATCTTCCCGATGACGACCGTCCTGGTCTTTTGTCGCTTATTTCAGTCAAGAACTTTGATGCCGACGTTGAGTTTCAAAATGATATCGGCTCTATTCAGATCTCGTCTCTTGAGAATGAAGTTGCGCAGATCACATTTCCTTCACTTGTCGCACTCAGTGTCAAGAGCATACATGCACGAAGGAATAAATCAGAAGAGCTCGTCGGACCAGCCACAGATCCTGAACTTAGAGAGGCTAGAGAACGAGCGCCTGCGATAATGGCGCGTATGATTGGTGACGAGATGGAGCCCGTTGTAAGAGTCAAACTTTGGAATTTGAGATTTGAATATCGAGTTCCAACGTTAATGACTCTGTTGGGTCTCGCACAGAACGCTACTCCACAGGACCTTTCTGCAAGTATGGCAGCATCTGTCGCAACTCTCACCAATTTCGCTCGCGAAAATGTCCCCTCGCAGCGCGATATCCCACCTTTATCAAGTGTACCACCATCGAAGCCGCTTGCTGTTAGCATGGTGATCCGAGATAGTATCATCGGCTTAAATCCTCTTGGGCTTCCGTCCAAACTACTCTTTGTCCTGACTGAGGCAAAAGTCAACGCGGTACTTCCGAAAGATGAGAAGACCTCTGCCTCAATAGACGTCGACAAAGGATTCATACTCGTAGTTGACAATATTGCTCATGTTGTCACCGAGGATACGATAGCCAGACCTAGACGTCAGTCCTTCGACGGTCCTAACAGCCAAGCTTCAGATCTCTGCTCCACAGGTTACGTTATTGTCGGACGCATTCGCGCAGCAAGGACGTCTATTCTAGTTTTGCAAGACGATGATGGAGAAAAGATTATTGAAGTTGAGCTTCGTGACCTCTTCTTCGTGCTTGAATCATGTGCCGACTCGACACAAACCCTGATCGCAATTCTTGGTGCGCTTGCTCCACCAACTTTGCCAAGTAAGGAGATCAAATATCGTACGAAGCCGATGGCGGTACAGGACCTTCTTGCTTCTCTATCAGGCGATGCTTTTGGTGGCGCCGAGGGAGCTTACAACATTGACGAAGATTTCGACTTGAGCGCTCTCGAGGAATTAGGTGAGGAGGCCGACGACCTTGACTTTGATCCGCATTTCTACCAACAAGAACTTGATCATCAATTTGATCAAGACTTAATTGCAGGCATGGCCGCTTCATCCTCCTCAACCAAGCTCAGCAGTCGAGATACAAGCGATGGTGTTCTCTTAGATAGCTTCACCGATTTGAACGAGCCTGAAGTGGTGGGTGAAATCGACTTCGATGATAATTACTTTGGGCCTGGCACGGTTTTAGAAGGCACTGCCCATCGGTGGAATTCTGCGAGGGACACGTACGATCAATCAAACGTTGAAAAAGTACAGAAAAGTCCATTAAGGGTTTGCGTGAGAGATATTCACGTCCAATGGAATCTCTTCGACGGCTACGATTGGCAGGATACTCGTGATGTAATCACGAAAGCCGTCCACGATGTTGAGTCCAAAGCTATAGAGAAGCGTGCTCGAAATGAGAGACGCTCGGCTTTCGATCGAGACATTGATGATGATGAAGACGATCTTGTGATCGGAGACTTTCTGTTCAATTCGATATATATCGGCATTCCTGCGAAATCTGATCCGCGAGAGTTATCTGCCGCGATCAATCAAGACTTCTTGAACGATACCGCAACTGAGACAGAGTCAATCGCCACGACGACAACGAGTTCAACATCTAGCAGACCGGGAAGAGCGAGACAACCAAAGTCGAAGAAGTTGCGACTAAATCGTAGCAGACGTAACAAGATAACCTTCGAACTCAAGGGCGTCAATATAGATCTAGTTACTTTCCCGGAAAGTAGTGGTGAGACGCAAAATTCTATCGACATTCGTGTAAAGGATCTGGATGTCATCGATTGCATACCAACATCTACCTGGAAATCTTTTGCATCGTATATGCACGAGGCTGGTGAAAGAGAAATGGGAAGTAGTATGGTGCATATAGAGATTCTCACAGTTAAACCGGTCACTGGCCTCGCAGCGTCTGAGCTGGTATTGAAAGTGACGATCCTTCCACTTCGCCTCCACGTTGATCAGGATGCTCTGGACTTTATCACTCGCTTTTTCGAGTTCAAGGACGACAATGCGCCCACGCGCCCACCTTCACCCGGGGATATTCCCTTCATTCAGAGGGCAGAGATCAACAATATTGTTGTTAAGTTAGACTTTAAGCCGAAACATGTCGACTATGCCGGTTTGCGTGCCGGCCATACGACGGAGCTGATGAACTTTGCAATATTAGACCAGGCAGATATGGTCCTTCGCCATACGATATTGTATGGCGTCTCTGGATTTGATAGACTCGGAAAGGATCTGAACAACATTTGGATGCCTGATATCAAGCGTAATCAGCTCGAGGGTATCTTGAAGGGCCTGGTTCTCGTACAACCGGTCGCCAATTTAGCTGGTGGCGTCAAACAACTTGTCACTGGGCCAATCGATGAGTACAAGAAAGACGGCCGTATTATTCGAAGTATTGCTAGGAGTGCGACTAAAGTTGGAAAGAGCACCGTCACTGGAGGTATAAAGCTGGGTGCGAAAGCCTTCGTCGGGTTGCATACCGTGCTACAAGGAACGGAAGGCTTTCTTGGACCAACTACCGAACGGTCGATTTATGAGGAGGGCGATTCCGACGAAGACCAGAAGAAGATTAGCCCATACGCCAATCAACCTTATGGTGTAGCTCAAGGCGTGCAGAGCGGGTTCTCTGGCCTGCAGCGAGATCTGCTTATGGCTCGCGACGCGTATATTGGTATTGGGAGCGAATCGATGGAAAGTCAGAGCGCAGCAGGTGTATATAAAGCTGTTCGGAAACATGGACCAACCCTCGTTCTTCGGCCACCTATTGCTCTAACTAGGTTCGCCGGACAGGTTCTGATGGGTGCGACGAATTCGTTGGACCCGGCAAATTTGCAAAGAGCTGATGCTGTAAGTTTCTTCGGTTTTGCATTCAGAGCATCATATACTAAACTTCTGGCACAGAAATACAAAAAGCATTAACGAATCACGAATAGTTTCCGGCATAGATAGCGAGTGTATAGTTTGTCAACCTTTTTTTAGCATGAGGATGGGAGCCAAGTCGTCTAGCATTTACACTTAAACATGAATTGATTTAATATCTTGGTGCCAGGCGTGGTTTGGATTTTGGGTAACGAGATGGGTTGGAGTGGAGTAGGATGTATGCAAAGGAGGGAACGCTGAAATGGCGATATTATTCAGATTGAGCTTGGTGATAGGTATTTGATAGCCATGATAAGCATAAATTTACTGTTGTGCGTGGGTTGTCAGTCTAATTTTTTTGACTAGTCGTTTTCTTTTTCTTTTTCTTTAAATACGTTGCGGACAAGCCTGCTAATGTCATAAGGGATTAAATGGGTATAAGATTCTGATAGTACAATTTTGCTCTCATCACGATTTAGACCTTCTCATAGAAATTCGTGACTGTTGACGTCTATTTAGGCTACTTGGCTACCTAGGCACTAGCACGCTCTAAAATGAAAAATGAGTTGTTTAGTATCACAAGCAAGTCATTTCTCCACAGACTATAGGTTCTTCCTCACGGCGCTGGTGAAAGTCTCTTTGCAGCTAAAGACGGGGGCTAGATAATAGTGAATTGGTTAGGGAGAAACGGCTAAGTGAATGTGTAGTCAATGTCGAACCTTTTGTTGCATATCGCATCAGTGTCTCAAACACTTTCATATTTTACAACACCGCCCTCTAAGCCTTTTGTTGCATATCGGAGTCATCGTGTCTCTGTATTTGAGAGTTCAAGACTCTTTTGAGGTTTGATAGCCTAAGCACTGGATTATGTTGTTGCATATCGCATCGTTACCTCAAATAGAATGGGATTCTGGAATGTTGCAAGTCGAGATTTCTGTTGTATATCGCAATCGTTGTGCCTGTGTTGGTCGACGATGACTCTTTAGACTCTGTAGCAAAGGCGCTTGATTATTTTGTTGCACATCGCACCAATGTTTCAAATGCTTTCAGTTTCTGGACTTCTGTCTTCTGGTCGTTTTGTTGCACATCGCAGTCGGTGTGCCTGTTTGTTTGAAGAAGTTAGTTTTGTCGGCGATGACTTTAGAGTTTTAGCATAGACCCTTTGGTCGCACATCGCACCGAAATTCCAGATTATTTCAGGCTCTAAACTCTTTTGTTGCATATCGCATTAATTTCTCAGACACTTTGAACTTTCTAGAACTAAAATATGGCAATTTGACCTTTTTGTTGCATATCGCATTATTATCTCTTTTTGTTATACACACTTTGTCGAGGGTAACTCCTCAGAATCTAGAGCATAAGTCCTTTTTTGTTGCACATCGCATTAACGTGCCAGAAGATTTTAATCTCTAGATTCATATACTAGTCTTCCTGTTTTTATTGCATGTCGTCCTAGTTCGGCAGACAATTTGGAGAACTGAAAGGACGTTCTGCTATTTCATTACATGTCGCTCCAATGTGCCAGACACTTTAGGGTTAGGAAAAGTTTGACTCATATCTAGCTCAAGTAGCCTGGTATAGAAGTTTTGTTGCATATCGCGTTAATGTTCCAGATACTCTAGGAGATTGGTCCAACTTTGAACTGGCAGTTTCTGGGTTTGTTGCATGTCGCATCAATGTGTCAGATGGTTTAGAACTCCGCAAGATCTGGTTCAGGAATCTGATCCGACTTTTTGTTGCATATCGCAATAATGTGCAATATGGATTGGAACTTTGAACTTTGAACTTTCGGGTCTGTTCATGTGATGACTTCAGGATGACAACCAGGCTTAGATCTTTTGTTGCATGTCGCAGTCAGTTTATTTATATGTTTGAAGCACTTTGCCGGCTGTGTCAGCCAGTCTACTGGTATAGCATTCTAGGTTTGCATTTCTTGAAAATGGTTTATTTCTTTCCTCAATACCGGACGAAAGCAAGACTTTGGCTAGCTCTGAATATAGCAAGAAGAGTAGATGCAGTCCATCGATGTTGTCGGATGAAGGCCTCAACTTGTATTTTACCTGTCACGTACTACAGCCTGACATACATGTATGATATGTGATATTCCAATTTTCTTCATCCACATAGCCAAGTTTCTGGAGAGTACGAATACAATTAACCTCGCCTACTTGTACCTCTCTTCAACCAACACCTGTCGAGCTTGGGACCTGGAGCTCGGAAGGATGAATTAGGTTGTCGATCGATCAGCTCAAGCGAAGCCATCTTTCTCCTTTCGTGCACGGCACCCAATATGGGATGGATGGCATGCATGCGTCTCGGTAGAAGATGCCATGCTGCAGGTTGCAGCATGCATGTGTTGTACAAGAGACGCGGTTCTGGGCGTCGGATATGATTCCGAGCCAGTTTCTAAGGCGACGAGGTTGGGTTAGAACTATGGTGATGGAATTGGGTTATATAGGTGCTGAAGCGATGAATGGTTGCTGGCTGAAGGGAATAGAGATTGCATTGGGAGCGCGTGACCACTGGGCGGGATGAGGCTGTTATAGTCAGTACGTGATGCGACGGGATGAGTCCAATATTGAGGCGGTGAGGTGAGGTATCTTTCGACTCTGAGAAGGAATCCATGATCCTGTCCTTGATGCATCTAGACTCTTGCTGCAACCAGATATCCTGGTACGTGAATCGTAAAGATTGTTCGATGTTGTCTCAAGCGCTTAATTTCTGTGAATTGGTACGTCTCACGTAGAGATTGGGCAATATGAACGATTCGGATAGTTGTTGGCGCTTGGTCTGGTCTGTCGACGTTTCACGAGAGCCATGTGTTCGGCGTTTGTACTAGTTACTTCAGGATTGTTGGACGAAAATAACCTTTTGGAGACCGCTGAAGAAGCTCAAGGTCGAACTGAAACTTTAAATAGGTAATTGGAGGGATTGGTTCTGAAATGCAGGTGCATCGAATATCCTTGATAAATGAGGCGAGCCCAGGGAGCACATTGATTGCCAACGAAGAGACGAAAGCCATGCGACCTGCTAAGTACGACGAAAAGGCTGTGAATGGTAGGGTGAACGGTTACGCAGCAGGCAGGTCGGCATTTATGTTGTTGGCGATTGCAATTGCGTCTTATACAGTGGATGACTGCGTTTGGATATGCGATAAGAGGACAGCTTCGATAGCCTGAATTAGTTCTAACCTAGGAAGTGTCGGAAGAAATGGAAGGCAATGAGAAAAATGACATAAAGCATAAACCCATATGAATTGCCACCAGAGAACGACGGAGGTAATTAGTCAATTACCAAGATGCTCCATTTTGCGCTTCATGCGGTAACTGTGTAATAATGACAACAATTTTCTGTTCGGTTGGAAAGAAAACTGATGCTAACGTGGACAAGCGCTTTGTAAAAATCCATTCTGGTATGAAAGTTGGTGAATGTATTAATACGCAATTGATGAATTTAGTTTAGTCTAGAATCTCCTCGGTACCTTTGTGACCTCGGGAGCCATTAATCTGGATGTGACTGTAAGAGGCGGGCTCATGCTCACCACTGGCGCTGGCGGTAAGGTGAACGGATTGTCTATCAGACTATCAGTCGTATAATAAAGCTGAACCGCCCACCCATCTCACGTCCTCTTTCTCTTCCTTTGACAACTCGTACCAGCCAACTCTAGATTTCCATTCCCCAACTCCAACAGTCACGTTCTCAATCACTCGTGTCGAACAAAGCCACTCCCAAACTAGTCAGCTCCCCCGATTCCGGATCCGCTCACGCCCAGAATCAATATAGATCATCAATATAGATCCTTCTAGTCAACAGCTGCCGCGCCACCAGGGGACGACCTAACTACGACTGAATCAAGCGTCTTAGGAATCTCCGACCTTATCTCGCCATCACCACCGTCACCGTCACCGACACCGACCTCTCAACCTTATCAACTTCACAACCTCGTCACACGCTCTACACAAGACAACCAACTTCAACTTGAACATCAACCTGATCACTCAGCCTTCCACTCAACCACAATAAGCCCATCTCAACGTTCAACTACACACATACAAACCGCAACAATGGTTTCATCCACATCAAGTTCTCGATCCGCATCTCCAGATTGCGCAGAGACAATGCAGATATTCGTCAAGAATGTGTCAGGCGAGAGTACGTATACCTCATCAACGTCAACTGTTTCCAATGACAAAGCTACTGGGACACGCAAGCTAACATACACTCCAGCAATCGCCTTGACAGTGCCTCAAGACCTCACAGTCGCCAACCTCACAACCCTCCTCTCCGTCCGCACTTCCCTCCCATCACCAGATCTACGTCTAGTCTACGCAGGCAAGCACCTCTCACCCTCATCCACACTCGCGGACCACCGCATCGCCCGCGAATCAACATTACATCTCGCATTACCCATGCGCGGCGGTATGCCACCCAAGAAGCTGCGTTGCACATTCAAGGACTGCCGGGAAGGAGCCCAGCGGATCATCGGCGACTGCGGGTTCTGCAATGGGCATTTCTGCGGGAAGCACAGGTTACTTGAGGATCACAAGTGCGATGGGCTTGAAGACGTAAGTGTTCCAAGCCAGTGGTGGCTCGTCGGTCTGGGTGGCGTGTTGAAAGAGATCATGACTAACGAGACTATGACAGTGCAAGAAGGAGTCGCATGATCGCAACGCAGCGCAGCTGAACAAGGAACGAACACAGGTCATCAAGGGCATCTAAACACCTCGATGTCAACTCCCTTCCGCGAACCTCACATATATCAGGCCCCGAAAATGGGAGTCTTACTCCCACGCCTGCAGCCACCACCTACCTACATCACAAATACAATCACAATCTGTATATCGAGGCCCGGAGCACGACGCTTACGGCCGATGGCGAACGGGACAACCTGCACCATCACGAACAAAGACCTCATGTATCTACCAGCGTTTCTTCCTTTTTTACGAATCACTTGATTCCGGATCCTTTTGATCTTTAGCGGGCGTATCGGGATTTAGTCTTGGGGACTGTACTTTCTTCAGTCACAGCTCTACTGAGCTTTCAGCTAGACATCTTGTGTTTAGATATAATACAACAAATTTGACATCATCATCATGATTAAGTGCTCCTATGACTTGAATTGGACCGAGTCTGGTCTAGAGTTTGCGCCGCCACTCTAAATTTGTGGCACTCGGCGATTGTGCAAGTGAAGATCGCCCTCTTTCATCGTTTCGCATGACGTTGTTATATTTTATGTTCTGACGATCTTGCTCTTAATATTAACTCGGCATGCTCGGTCTATTTACGAACGACTATCTGTGCTGTTGCCATTCTCCTCCGTAGCCAAACCTCAACGTACCAATTTGGAGTTCAGTCATTTTAATCACTCAGTACACAACAAGTCTATGCATTCACGATGCACTTCAATTTGACAGGCATAATCAACAGTTGATCATAAACATCATCTTCATATCCGCTTTACAATTCCATTCCCTGATTTCCTCTTTCCGACCCTGGACTATATACACACACCGCTCTCAATCCCATATCACCGCCAACCAAAAAACCCAGCAATAAGCTAGTCCAGTATGCTTAAAGCTTTGCAAACCGTCAAGCGCTGTCCTTCCTCATGTCGACTACACATCTAATGCAATCACCTTGCTTCATGTCCTCAAAAGCGACGTTGATCTCAGGAAGCTTCTTGCGGTGTGTGATGAACTCGTCAACTTTGAGCTTGCCTTGCATGTAGTCGTCCACGAGATCTGGGAGTTGAGTACGTCCTTTGATACCGCCAAAGGCACAGCCCTTCCAGACGCGACCGGTGACGAGTTGGAATGCTGAGATTGTTAGTTCTGTGCTCAAGACGTGGGGATGAGAGAGTGTGGTACGTACGTCTTGTAGAAATCTCTTGTCCAGCAGCTGCAACACCGATAACAATGCTCTGACCCCAACCTTTGTGGCAAGCCTCCAACGCAGCTCTCATAACGCCGACATTACCCGTGCAATCAAATGTATAATCGCATCCTCCATCAGTCATCTCAATCAGCTTCTCCACGATACTCTGATCCTTCAACTCCCCTGGATTGACGAAATCCGTAGCACCGAACTTCTCAGCCCAGGCTTTCTTATTTGGGTTCAAGTCCACGACTATAATCTTCCCAGCCTTTCTTTGCACAGCACCTTGCACCACGGATAGACCTACACATCCAGCACCGAACACCGCAACGGTAGATCCTTCCTCGACTTTAGCGGTTTCGACCGCGGCACCGTAGCCAGTGGTGATTCCACAGCCAAGGAGACAGGTACGGTCCATAGGAGCATCTTTGGTAATAGCAACGACGGAGATATCAGCTACAACGGTATATTGCGAGAATGTCGAAGTTCCCATGAAGTGAAGCAGGTCTTTGCCCTTGCACTTGAATCGAGAAGTTCCGTCTGGCATAACACCTTTTCCTTGTGTTGCGCGGATTTTACCGCAGAGGTTTGTTTTGCCGGACTTGCAGAATTTGCATTCTTTGCATTCGGGTGTGCTGGAGATGTGTTAGTATATGTGTGAGGAATTGCAGAGTGAGGGAGGCATACTAGAGAGCTACGACATAATCTCCTGGCTTGACAGATGTTACGCCTTCACCCACAGACTCGACAATACCAGCTCCCTCATGTCCGAGGACAATTGGGAAGGCTCCCTCGGGATCCTTGCCAGAAAGTGTGTAGGCATCTATTCCTCAATCTCAGCTCCTTATCCTCTTATGTATGAAAAGGGTAATATCTACCGGTATGGCACACTCCTGTATAGTGGATTTCGATCCGAACTTCGTTTGCTCTTGGAGGACCGACCTCAATATCCTCAAGCGTCAAATCTTTGCCCGCTTCCCACGCCACCGCAGCCTACTCTCGTTAATACCTCCTATTCCAACACGTCTGCAATTCCTCATGGTATGCTAACCTTACAAGTAATCGTCTACAAACCCGTTAGTCAAAAAGCCCCACATCAACAAACATGAAGCCATACCTTTCCAACAGTAGACATGTTCCTTTGCTTTTTCTTATATACCTCGAATTGATTCAAAACACCTTGATAGATAATACCTTGATGTCGCTTTTGTTTTGTTTGTAGTCTATTCAAAGAGGGGGTGCTCTAGCTGGAGAGGGCTATATGTCATATCGGCTTTTCTTCGCCCTTTGCTTTGGAGGGGAAGGGGAGCGGGGCATGGGGCTTGGCGGAGTTGGGTATATTCTCCCATGGCGCGGCATATTTGGAGGTGACGGAGGGCTTTCGGGATGTGGTTTGATGGGTGTCGGAGTTAGTTTTGTGGGTTTGGGGTGAGGAGATGGGAGCGGGCTTTTTTGTCTGTTTTGGGTGTTGGAGTCCTAGTTTGGACTAATGAGGGGTGTAGAAAATGGTGAAAGGAAGGGAGTTGGGTATCTTATTTATTATTTACAGTAACATTGAAATTTTGATATCAGCATGTTCCAAGGCTGCAGAACGGTGATACAATTTGGATTCCAAAACTTCACAAAACATGGTTCTTTCAACGCAAATATTCCGAGAATCCGAGTCTCACCGGGATGATTACCCATGTACAAGTCGGATCATGACGGCAGAGTATATCTTTCCTGGGTTATACTTCAAGTACGTACACGTCGTATAAGATCAAGAAGATACTCAAGCATGAGTCCTTGCTAAGATGAGGGGTAACAACTTTTGGTTGGAGACTGGCAATCGTTTCAAAGTATATACTTGGTGGAAAACCTTGTTGTCAGCTCATGAGGGGTTGTAATGGAGATCGCTCGGAGTTGTCTCGACTTTGGTATTTTGCGGAATTTGCCTCAAATAATGTAATGAAAATGTAATGAATGCATGGTGTTTTGGAGAGATCCCGTATTCTTCATTCTCAGAAATACATACGGGTAACAAAGAATTTGACGAGGGTAGCATGGATATCTCCATATCGCCAAAATTGGAAGTACAAACGGAGGAGCTGAACAGGCGAAGATGACCTCCTCTTCGACTCTCACCTGCTTAGAAGCCGCATATGCAAAACTTTTCTTACTGACCTACAGTGACAAATTGCAATATAGTTCGCGAATTATACGGTACCACCCTAGTTCGAGTTCCTTCTCTCCAGAATTCTATTACCAAATGCGCTCAGCCGGTCCGGAGCCCGATCGTCCGATTAACAGGTATATTTCGACCCCAACCCGAACTCACTTCTGAACAAACATGCATCGGTCATTATTATTGTCACATACAATGAATTTACAAAGACAGTAATATATTCATTCTTCAAAATTGGATACTAACAGGAGTATGGTCTCAATATCCGGGAAAGACACTGCAAGAGACGACAAATCCCTCAATTCAAGAAGACTTCTAAGTCGTTGATTGAGGCCCATCGGACACAAGAAAATGATCAACACATTCCAACAATAAGTTCGTCAGCTCCTTGGGACGAGACAAGAATGGACTGTGAGAAGTCTCGATATCCTTCACCAGCCATTTCACCTGGCTTTTTTCCATCATCATGTCTTGCACAAATAACGGCACTGCTCTGTCTTGTGTCGCTCTCACGTAAGCTAGCTTTCCTTCAAACTCCGGCTCTTCCCAGGCTGTTGGTGGAGAATCTGAAGCAAACGGCCCCATAGCTTGGGGTTGAAGTGATCGCACCATCGAAGCAGCACTTTGCTCGTCGAGGTCGTGATAGAAAATATCTGCTGGATTGCTCGTCTCGCAGAAACCCGGTTCAGGCTTCAAGATAATAATTAATCAGTTGTTCGAGAGAGGATACATCCATTACTTACTTGGTCGAGCAACACATACGCTGGCGGTTTCATCGAGCTCATATTCGCTCCACCATGAAGCAGAAACCCGGCAATACACACGATCCCAATTACGCCACTTCTCTTTCCTGCTTTAGCTCGAGAGGCTTTGCTTAAGCCATATGCAGCACCGCTTCCAGTTACACAGCCATAGGAATGTGCTACTACTACCACATCCTCATTCTTGTCGAGCAAAGATAGCAAAACGCTTCGAACGGCTTGCGCGTCTTGAGCACAGGTTACTGATGACGGCTCTTTGGAGTTTAAACTGGGATGGGTAGCAATGACGGCCGTACAATTAGCAGCATTGAGCTGATCCGCGAGTATCTGATAGGCAGAGGAGGGATGCCAAGCACCTGGCACTATGAGAAATGTGGGTTTGGAGACAGACATGCTGTTGAGATCTTGGGCCTTTGAAGTGATTTGTAAATGTGATGTGCAAATCGAAAAAGTGGACAAAGTAAATCGCTGGGGGAAAGCTGAGCGATTTCTGTCATCTTAACCAACTTGATTTGTTTGGCTCGCTTTACGAATTCCAACACCAACAAGTTGGACATTACTCTTTTGAGTAACCACAGAGGAATATCTAGAAATCCACAGGATTCTGTCCCATATGTTGATCGGCTATATCTACACTTACCCTATCAAAAGAACACACACGTAGTCGCCAACAAGCAGAATGCATTAGGCACAGTGTTGCTCGATTAGCGATGCCTGAAAAACGTATTTATGAAAAGTATAGTTGGAGTTAATCTGCGAGCTGTTGGGTGCGGTGAGACAGACCTCGAGAAAATGCTAACGGAAAGGGATGGGAAATAATATGGCAATGGAAGCGAAACCAAAAACCGTCATATTCCTGATGAAAAAGTCCTTTCCATCAGAAAATTTATTAGCCTACCTATGTCATTGAAAGTTGAAGAATTATATATATTATATATATTCCGACTCACACGAAATACTCAAACAGTCAAACAGGAAACATCACTAGAATAAATCTAACCCAGAAGTAGTCGACCGAGAGGGTCGGCAAACTGAGTCTCAATTTCGAGAGATCGCTTGCTACTTTGACATACCTGGTATTATATTGGTCACCTTGCCTTATTTTTCTATCAAATCCAGGGTACACTGTACTATTGCTAGGAAGCCCTGTTATGTTGAGTGTGATCCAATGTATTTGTAGAACACCCACCCATTAGACAAGATGGGAACCTCCCTATTAAATCGAGCTCAATTTACTTAATCTTGTCGTTAGGAAGGCTTTTAGGTTACCAATAAACCGCAAAGATAAGCTCAATCTAAAACGCCACTACTCTTTTGAAAATATCCAGGTAGTTGCCCAATCGTTTGCTAGAAACTTATCTTTATCGCGGAAGATTGTATTTTCTCGTCGCCGACTCTTATGGAGGATAGTAGAATGTATAGGTTTTAGCCATACAACTTGAAATTTGATCGGTATGACACCGCCCTATTATAACTTGTAGAAGATTTCGGTCATTCTCTACATCTGGTTTCAGGTTCCATAACTAAATCTGTACCGAGAAGTATCGAAGCACAACGGTCATTAGAAAATAAATGTGTGCTGTTATTACAATCTCAAAGCTACTATGAGAAGTTCAGCCGTCAGATATTGTCTCATAAGCTAGATCGACATGACTTCATCTAAGGAAGAATTGGCGTCAGCGTAAAAGAAGCACCGAAAACTGCGTGTAAAGGCAATGGTAATTTATCAAGAACTCAATCGAATCTTTCCTCTAGAAGCCTCTAGTTTTGTGTGGAGAATCAATGGTACTTTAGTTCAACAAATAATCAAGGAGAACTTCCCAAAATATCTACTCTTGTCATAAATCGCTCAAGTTCCTTGTGGTCACGCAGTGGTAAGTTTGTGAAGTGCACTCACTCAGAAAACCCTGGACGATGCTGTTAGATTGTTGCGGAAAACTCATGTTCTCTACAGGAATTTTGAAGTCGCAAGCTATGAGCGAAGGTTATTAGTTTTGGAATAAAGAGTGAAAGCTTCGATGATGATTCGATTTCCTTGTTTTGATAGTTCTTGCAATATATTTTATGAATTGCAAAAATTGCACCAATCAGAACAACAGTTCTGAAAGGTCCATTGGTCTAGTGGTATGATTCTCGCTTAGGGAACACTCTAAGTTCAAAATACTTAATTGCGAGAGGCCCCGCGTTCGAATCGCGGATGGACCCCATCTTTTTTGCATTTTCTGGAATCTGTTGTGGGTTTAAGAGTTGTGAGGCTGATTGATTTTTGGTGTATGTTGAAAAGAGGATTTCTACGTTAAAATCAATGTTATTTTGGCTACCAGGTACTTCTTCCACGGACCATGCGTTGTGTAACTAAATTACTTACCAGCTCAAATTGCCAACCTCGCATTGGGTATTATATCACTAGATTTGAGAGGAATATTGTAGCATTTTCCTGTGAGCTTTGCTGATTGAAATCTCTGGAAGCTATTGTTTGTGCTACAACATTGTGCTAAAACATGCTAAACGATTTAAGCAATAATTTTATCTGTTATGAGAATTCTACGTACTCTTTGAAAATGAGACTGTCATTAGGATGGAAATCCAATCCATGCCCATCTGAGACATAGTGACTTCCAAGCCATCGGAAAGTGTGAGGAGCCGTACGACACATATAGCGAGGCATTACCCGGGACCGGAGGGTACTTAGAATCCAAGGGCACATCGAACTTGGCTGGACTATGGCTCTGAGATTTTCAAGATTATATCGACGAATGAAGAGGGAACTACTGAGATATCCAAGTCTGATCTATCGATTCATCTGTCTAAAATATATCTAATAATATATCCAATCCACATCTCTCGAACGAAGTCTATGAGATGTATCACATGGTGAGAATTTATCCAAGAACCATCTTTCAAGGACTCTTTTTGTGATCGATGTTTACTTCCTCGGGGCCACTGACGCTATTTTTCTCGCCAACTATGAATGTTAGAATAACAAAGGGGAAGATGGCGAGGGGGCTTACCATCCAAAGCGACCAGAAATCTGCTGACGCAGTTGTAAGCTGCAACCTATTACCCAATCAGTATAAAGTACCAACCCGATGACCAAAACATGACTTACAGTGCCCGTAATCTCAACTACTTCCTGTTCTGAAAAGTGTTTCCTCAACTCTGCAAACACATCCTCCGGAACCTTAACATCCCTCGTCATAGCATCAGTGTATCTAACCACCGCCCACTGCTCTTCACTAAGCACACCTCTCCCCTCCGGCCTGTTCTCTCCCAGCACTTTCAACCCCTCATCACTAACACCACCAGCTTTCGCAAGCGGCGCATGATGTCCCCATTCATACCACGCCTGGTTTATAACCGCGACCCTGCAAATAGCAATCTCTCTGATATCGTCTTTCAGCGAAGTCTTCGTGCGTATAGCGCCTAAAAAATGGTTCCAGCCATCTGCGACATGCGGGGAATGGAGGAGTGTAAGGTCTAGAGCTTGAAGATCTCGCGGGGCTCTTCGATCGCGGACTCGCTGGATTATCTCGGCTGGGTTGCCGGTGGAGAAGGATTCGTCCTTGGGGTCAACGTATGGCAGACGCATCTTGAAATTCGTTGAGCAATGGAATTGACGACATTGTGAAGAAGAATTGAAGCATTTTATAGCAAGCGTGCGGGTAGCAGTGAATCTTGGAATATCCTGAGATCGGCATGCGATTGCGGGGGAAGTTCCGGTATGTGTGCCGCGATACCGGATGAATGTTCTGGCGGAGCCATCGCAATTAATGAGGTGGATGTTTCGAAGAGCGGTATGAAAACGCATGGTTGGGGTGCATTGTCTTATCATCATATCGAACTTTTAGTACTGGATCTTGAGTCTCATTTGATTGTAGTTGGCCATTGTAGGACAGCAGAATGTCACAGGTACTACATCAAGGAACTAGTCAATTGAATAGCGGATTGAGACCTGGGAGCACCTGCCCGTAAACCAATAGGCTCATGTATAAAACATGCCCTTGGCTATTTCCTGCGTATCAAAATAGTCATTCGTCGTATAATATCCGTCCACGCGGACTTTGGGAACAGCACACAGCGCAGGGAAAATATAACGGGAATACTTCAACATCGTCCCAGATGGAAGAAATCATTTACGTTCACCAAATAGTATTACCCCTGTATATATTATCCCGAAGAAAATACCATTCCTAAAATAGACATACTAGCATACACGGTCATATCGACCACCTCCGCTACCATCTCTAGCCTCTATGCGTCAAAACTCCAGTATTTGTGGAACAAGAGCAACAGTACAGATGTTGTGAGCTACGAATCTTCCATTCATAGCCCGCCCCTATCCCTAACACCCATTTCCTTCCTATCTTTCCATTATTCACAAGCTGCCGCGGAGGAGAAGTGCGTTCCTGATTGTCTTATTTGGCCCTCCATAATGTTGAGCGAATCGACTAGCATGAAACGTCCAAGGTGGCTTTTGAGTTCATCAGAAGGGCGACAATGAGACCGTAAAGACCTATGATATGTCAGAAAGGGGAGTTATATAATGTTTCAGGAGTACGTACCCAAAACTTCGGCGAAAATAAGAATAAGAATCATTCCAACGAAAAGTCTAGGTTGCTGTGCGGTTCCTCGCACACCAGCGTCACCGACAATACCGATGGCAAATCCGGCAGCCAGACCGGCCAAGCCGACACTAAGACCAGCACCAAGTTGAATGAAACCGGTGTACAGAGGCAATTGCTGCTTAAGACCATCTGAGATCAAGACCGAGACGACAAGACCGTAGATACCAATAATACCAGCCATGATAACTGGTACAATGTCTAAAACGTTTGTTAGATTTCCAGCAATTTGACAAAATCGCCAATCAAGGCTTACTCTTGACAATCAAATCAGGTCTGAGAACACCCATCGCGCAAATTCCGACACCAGACTTGGCAGTGCCATAAGCAGCTCCGAAACAAGTGAAGACGATTGCAGACGTGCATCCCATAGCACCAAAGAATGGCTATATATCTATCAGCATGATGAAATCGATGGAACGATTATCGAGTCTCCTTGAGGTTACGTCGACGACCGATGAAGAACGCGAGGAGGAGCCGCTGAGGCTGTCGGGGATCACTAACCGCATAAACCGGGCTACATACTCGAATATTAGCAAAATATCAAGTTTGAAAGATAGCAAAGAGCGTATATATCCAGGCGCTTTGAGATCCGCTGGAGCTTATCTCGATTGTGGTGATGAACGGATCAGGGTAACTCACCAATTTACAGACATGTTTGCGGTTTTGCGAAGCTTGATATGTAGGTTTGAGTTGAAATAGGAGGCTTGAGTAAGCTTGTCGTTTGGAGATTGGCAGAGTTGTGATGGCGTGAAGCTTGCTGAGATGTTGTTCAGATGGCGATGATGAGGTTCGAAGAGGGCTTTGCTGGAGCTAACCAGGAAGCGAAGCCACGTTAGGATTAGCGCAGTTTTGAGCCTAGCGGCAAATTCTCAGAAATTCTTTGAACATGGAGCTTGGATTTTTTTGGCAGAAAGCTGCAACGAACAAATTCTTGACTTCTTCGCAACAACCATCAGGGCGAGCCAACGCAAGGAACCCTGCAGGACTCATATACCGGATTCGATCAAAAATACACTGCGATCTACGAATTTATAAGATCTAATTAATCTTTCAACATGTCTGACGAACAAAACGGATCTGCTGGTAAAGCCTTGTACCTCGACAATTTCCTGTCGCATGTGCTAATATATCCACAGCCTGGCCAGTCGCCGACGCAGCCCTCACTCAGGAAATCCTCGATATCGTCCAGCAAGCTTCCCATTTCCGCCAGCTGAAAAAAGGTGCCAACGAGGCAACGAAGACCTTGAACCGCGGTATCTCTGAGATCATTATTCTCGCTGCCGACACTGCTCCTCTTGCGATTCTCCTCCATTTACCACTACTCTGCGAGGACAAGAAGTAAGTTACAACTGTCCAAAATAGTTGATTTCTGCGCTTTGGCGCAACTTGTCGCATCTCGCCGCAAAATGCGACAAAGCTTCTAGAAGCGGTTCTTGCGGATGAAATGCTAATTCTTGTCTTTACAGCGTCGCATACGTTTATGTCCCATCTAAAACGTAAGTCAAATACCGTACCCTCTCCGAAATAAGAACGTCACTCGAATTCATCTCTCCGGCGGGTTGCATAAGGTGCTCCTTGTTAATTCATCCTTACAGTGCCCTCGGACGAGCTTGCGGTGTCTCCAGAGCAGTCATCGCTGCCAGCATTACTACGAACGAAGCCAGTGATCTTATGAATCAGATCAGAACTTTGAAGGATAAGGTCGAAAGACTCATGATCTAGAAGTCGAGGTGGAAGGTTTTGTGCTTTACGCAATTAACGACTGGGAATTAGCTACGGCCTAGGAAAGGGACTTTGACCTAATCAAGACTCTGGTCTATTACAATATATCAATTTCAAGACAAGCTTCAAACGACCGGCTATGACTATCTGTTAGTGAAAAGGAGGCATGCGCATCAGCTTCCAACGAACTATATGTGCTCAACCAGGTCTATACGTCATCTTACCATATTATACTCGACAATGTTTCAAACAATCTTTGAACAATTAAGCCTAGTTGATGTGACTGCATACAGACGTTTGTCAGAGAGTTTATGGACAAAATGTAAAGTATATCTTCGCTCTAAAGTTTACGGGGCACTTCGACTCTGGGACTGCGCAAGTGCTGGACACACGTAAGAAAGAGGCAACGCTCATATTGAGCACCAAAAATGAATAGATAGGAGGGCGTGACAAGAGAAATTTAAAGGTCCTTGGACTCGGTCCTTCGTCGTATACATAACCGCAGACACCATCACCTGATATCACAGCTACTTTTGCTTACTTTTAATGTACAATATGCCATGTTCTAGCTCACACAATTAGATGGTCTTCTCTTTGCGAACATTACATCTCTGAAAATGAAGTGGTTTGTTTTAGACTTGTTCATATTCACGAAATATTGACTGCATCTTAACATTCGAAGAGCTAGCGGCGCCGTGAAGCGAAAACCTCGACAAATTTTCAACCACCAACACATCCGTCTTTTAGCAAATTAAAAAACCCACATTACCAGCAGCACCCTTCACGATGGGTAAAAATGGTCGCTTTGGAAAAATGTACGGCAAGGTCGTCGGAGACGGCAAAGATGACGGGCGACCAGGCTGGAAAGGACCAGCGTTCGTCAAGAAAACAGACCAGAAGCCTAGACCCAAAGCTCAGTCGGCCGGTGGCTCCAAGGAAGAGCTTGAAGAGACGGAACCAAATGTTTCCGTTCAATCACAACAACTACTTCTGAATATCTTTCGAGATTCTTTTGTGGAGGTTCTTACCTCTGGGGATCTTAAACCGCTGTTGCAGGAAGTCAAGACAGCGCTGTTCGAGAGAGATTTCACGCGCGCGTTCGGGAAAAGTGAGTATCTCGAGGCGTATTCGGCGAGATGGAGCCCCAGTAGGGCGTTGTGTTATCAGTCTGTTTTGGTTGGTGTTCAAGAGCATTTGGATGGAATCACCACCGAAGTAGCTCCTGGTAAGGATGCGGAGGCTGCTGAGAATGCAGATTCAGTCAAAGCTACTAGACCATTCTTACCAGCAGTTTGCTTTGGGGGAGGTGCCGCAGAGGTCGTTGCATTTGGTGGATACACTCACGACCTTCGAGATGCATCTGAACAACAAGAAACTGTCGATGAGCCAGAATCGGAGTCTCAATCTCCATCAAGTCAAGGACCAACCATCGATCTGACCCTTATCGATTCAGCCGATTGGGGTAATGTTGTTCAAAAGCTTCATGATGGCCTGCTTACACCTCCACCCTTATCCAAGTATGCAAGTGCCTCAGCTAGAGCTAGCAACAAATCTCTACTTCAGGCAGGATCATTGAACAGCAAGTTCGTTCAAAATGATTTACTAGGCATGACTCTGAAAGAGCTTGAGCCGATAGTCGGCCGGACACCAAAGCTTCTCACCTTGCTTTTCACTCTAAATGAGCTATATACATCTTCGATCAGCAAAACAACAGCATTCCTTCTCAATTTAACTATGGCCACACAATCTGGAACGTTGTTGCTTGTTGTCGACAGTCCAGGAAGCTACTCGACTACGAGTGTTGGTGCTGATGCGAAGAAGTATCCCATGAAATTCTTGCTTGACCACACACTACTGGATACCGAAAAAACAAAAGCAGAAGGAGACGACCGAAGACGAGAAAGCCCAGCAAGTTGGATCAAATTGGTTTCCGAAGATGCAAAATGGTTCCGTATCCCAGAAGAACTACGATATTCGATTCCACTGGAGAACATGCGTTATCAGATACATCTTTACCGACGATTATGATAGTTCAGAGATCAGCATATTCCAGTTCACAAGATTCAAGAAATGAAGGGAGTTTATAGAAACGTGATCGCAATCATCATTCGTCATTCATAAAGGAGCGTCAAGAAGAATATATACACTCAATAACGACTAAACATCAGAGGAACCAAAGCAGTCCTACTCTCGTGCGCCAACATCGCACTACTCTTCCACCCTGCCGAGCAAGTATTCTTGAAGAACCCCTTCTTCTTCTCCTGGCCCTTGCAATACTCCTTGCTTAATTGCCTCAATACCGTTTCCTTTGCTTTCCTGAAAGTAGACACCCTCTTCTCGGGATCATCGGCTAGCTCCTGTTGAGTTGTATCGTGTAATATGTCACGCTGAACACCTTGGATGTTCGGGTCCAGCACTATAGGTTTTGGTTTGGGATTGGGGCTGAATGTGGTTGATGGTAGAACGAATGCCGTAGCTGGTAATACATCCACGAATGGATCGTCAATGGGTAGTGGTGCTGATATGAAAGGACGTGATATGACAGGGCGTAGGGGTAGAGGTGATGTCGGCTTCTGAGGAACCGCTGGTTGCTCCAAGTAGTCTTTCAACTCCTTATGCTCTCTATGTTCCTTTCTCTTGCGTCTTCTCACCCTCTTCTTGACCTTTGTCGCATGGACGGACGACGCCTTTTCAATCATAATCGGAACATCCATGACCGGCTCCCTCGAATTGCTTCTTGAAAGCGTGTCAATCACTTCCTCCAGATCATCAAGATAATCCGAGTCCCCTTGACTCTGAGTAAAGCTATCGGCATCCGAATTACTCTGCTGAGACATCCATTCATCGCTTCCGCTGATCCTCGTCAACGGCGCCAACGCATCTTCCCAGACACCTCCATTCAATAAGAATACATTTTCAAAATCAAACTCCTTGACAGTGCGACGATGTTCAAATACAAAGTCGGCGACTTGATCCACCGACATAGAAGCATTGCGAACCTGCATATACCTCAACTTCGGAAATGTCATGGCCGGTCGCCTCGGTGCTTCAGGCAACGGCGACATGGGACTGGTCACCTCCGCAAACAACTTCGCCATCTTCCTCGGCGGTGCAAACAGCGGATCGGTAAACAGCGTCAACGGACAAGGACCCTTCCTTCCATTCCAGCCAAAGCTAATCTTCTCCAACTCCGGCGCGAAATTGCGGATATAATCATCCAGAATCTTCAAATGATCAAGTCCCGGTCTCGAACCCTGGAAATCCCAGGAATCCATCACGATATTCAGCTTCTTGATCTGTTTCCAGCGTCGCCCAGCTGAAGGCGTACATCCGTAGCCGGGGAATTGACGAAGATACTGCAACCCTGCCGCGTGGATATGAGCGAGTGACAATTTCTCCAATTTAGGAAGATGCGCTCTTTCCAACGCAATACGAAGACTAATAAGTGCGTAATCCACACAACTTCTCCTATACCTCTGCGCTGGATCCTGACCAGGACAAGACACCGTCAGATGTCTCAAATTCGGCATCTGCCCCATCGCGCTAATGAACGCCGGGACATTAGTAGCCGCATGAAAGACCGGCGGATACTGCTGCGTCAACAAGTCGGCCAGGAAATTATTCCCGTACTTCGGCCGCTCTTTGACGGACGTCGTGCTCGTGTGTGGTGTATACAAGAAACTGACTTCCTGGCCACTACTCGGGTTGAGGAGGGGCGGGAGGAAGGTCTCGGGGGTGTGAGGCATGCAGAAGGTTAGATGCTCGATGTACTCGCCGATTCGAGCGAGTGCTTCGACGCGGCTTGGACGGGTGAGGGCCGAGGGTGTGAATGTGAGGCGGGTGCGTTTGAAGAGTGTGCGCGTGGAGTAGTCGGAACATGATGTGTTTGCGAGACGTAGGTTGCAGATGGATGTGATATCCAAGGAGGCGAGGATGGAAGTGCGGATTGTGGTGTTCATCCAGATGTCTTCGAATCTGGGGTTGAGGTCCGCCATAATGAGCGCATGTTCTGAGGGGCCGTTGATGTGTTGGTGATGCAGGTACAATGGCTTTGACGAATTGAATACAATGAGTTGTTTGCTTGATATAGGTTGTACAATGTGGTTGAAGTGTATTGGTTCAATCGCAGTATGTGTAAGTCTTGAAGTATGTATAAGTGCTTCTCGATATACAACAAGCGAAACCGATCTATCTCACACAACTTAAAAAATAAAGAACAATGAAACGAAACAAACCAAAAACCATCCTCGACCCTAAGGCCATATCCCCCATATATCCCCCTCCTACTCCCCATCTTCTTCACTAACACACGTGATATCGAAATATGACTCACAATGCATCTCACGAACACAAAAACCGCACATCCCATACTCCCATCCACAAACGCGAAATCACCACGATACGTGCTCGCAATTCCATCCGCGTCTACTGGTCCGCCTCCTCGAGTCCCCCCTTTCCAGCCACACCCCTTCTTCTCCACTCCTGCACCTCTTCACTTAACCATCTTCTCGTTCCCCAATCATCGCCGCTGAAACACATAAAAGACCCTTCGAGTCTTCTCCACAGCCATGCAAAGTCCCGGATAATCATGCGGGCTTAATAGACGCCAAGACCCCAATCGCTTGCGTTGTGCCTGGTAACGGGAGCTAGCCAGTCGGGACGAGGCAGGTCGTCGAGAGTGTCCAATGAGCGGTGAGGTCACGACGCGAAACTGACGCCGAAGACGCGCTCGTGGCTGTGTTTGTTTCCTAATCGGGACCTTGGTGGTGTTTATGTTGTGGTTTTTATATGTGGAGTTTGTAAATGGGATATTTCGCGTCTGTTTCACGTTCGGTAAGTGAGAGGAAGGCAAAGGTAGTTGGGAAATAGAAGAATGTTTCAGGTTTCAAGATGTCTTCATTGTTCAGTTACGACAATCGCGTTGGATAATGAAATATCTCGCCTAGATTTTCCCAGTCTCCTCCTTCTCCGTGCGAGACTCCTTCGTGTATAAGTCGCGCCCCCACTGCATGCTGCGTCGAGAGAGAATTTCCTGCATATTTACTCCAACGCGCCTTCGGACAATGTGTAAATGTCCGGATGCAACTGATTACCCAGTACGCTAGTCCAACTTTGGTTTCTCCCCCAACAGAAAACCGCAAAGACAAACTTTGAAGGTAAGATTAACTCGCTCGCTCAATTTTCCTATTTGATGTATCCCAAGCGACAATATTAAAACACGTTCAGTGCCGCCATGCTTGTTGTGCAGCTTTTGGTATTTCCCACCAAACTCCATTATGCGCCGGGAAATGTGATTCGACATAGGAAAATCGTATGTACTTGAAATTAAACGTGATTGGTGGTGAAGGTTGTTTATCCAACGCGACCGCGCGCTGGTTGTGTTTTTGATCTTCTTGATCTAGTTCGGAGAATTCGAGGACTTGCTGTCCTAAGTATGCACGAGTAACCACATCAAATCCCGATCATCAAAAGCTTAGACCGTTTGAGGCATAAGACTCTTCATATCTGCTTGTTTTGGTCAAGTGCATTGCCAAATGCGTGTTATGGTGGAGGGGCTGTTCCGTTTATGTGTGGAGTATTCGAGGCATTGGCACTCGGTGCGTTAGGGGTGCCCGAGAGAGAAAGCTCACGCGACGATTCGTCTTCTTCAGATGGCGTGCTCTTCCCGGAAGAGGTCTCGGCTTCCTCTGGGATGGTGGCAAACCGCTGTAGGACTTGTTTCAGAGCAGGACGACGAATCGGCTTGCTCAAAAAGTGGTCCATACCTATTGTGCATAGTTAGCTCAGTTGTTTTGAAACGTATCTTGGAAGGACCTACCAGAATCATAACATTCTTTGACATTGCTCTCTTCTGAGAATGCCGTCAACGCAACGATAGGCGCTGAGTATCCCATTTGACGAATCAGACGCGTGCTTTGAAGACCATCGAGGTTAGGCATCTGCAAAAGTTAGTATCAAACACACTATCTGTAGTTGTAGCACGTACTTGAATATCCATGAAGATTAGGTTGAAGTATTGGCCCTTATCCATGCTTTCCTTGACAATGTCATACGCCTCCTTTCCATCTTCCGCAACCACTACTTCAACATCATATATTCGTTCGAGCTTGAGCATTCGAATGACAATTTCTTGATTGACAAGATTATCTTCAGCGACCAGGACTCGGAGCTTTTTAGCAGGCTCTTTACCATTTGCGGTGACGGCCTTTTTAAGCACACTTTGAACAACACCTAACTCCTTGCTCTTGTCGTCCGGACTGGTTGGCGATGCTGCAGCGAAGAAAGGTTGGCTTAAGCCTACGAGTCGAGTCTCCTTATTGAAATCACCAGAATTCCTCCCACTAGCATTGGCAGATCCAGTGACAATCGTGCCGTCTGTTTGTGTAGTGAATACGCCACTAGTAGGTCGAGAAGCCCCATATGCATCGGAACTCGAAGTCGAGGCCGCGCGCGATTTCGTGTGCTTCAAGGGAATTTGCACCTTGAATGTCGTTCCCGTCGGCGCGGTTTGCGAGCTTACCAGGGAAACTGTTCCACCCATCAACTGACTTAGCTGACTGCAGATAGACAGACCAAGACCAGTCCCGCCATACTTCTTGCTGAGGCCCAAATCTCCTTGAACGAAGGGTTCGAAAACCTTGTCCTGCATACTCTCGGGTATTCCGGGACCTGAGTCTTCCACCTCGAATTGAAATATCAAGGTCCGCGCATTCGACGGTGGTGGCGTAGGAGATCGTTCACGCACCTGCACACGCGGGGCTGCACTAGGATCTAGTGGGTTGATTTGTAGTGCAGTTCCTCCTGAACTAGTAGGTTTTGCGTTCGATGAATTGGATGGTTTCCTAGATACGTTCGATGAACCTGAGCCGTGTCGATGACGTGAGCTGTTCTTCGATTTCTTCGACCCAAGAGAATTCCTATCAGACGGTGACTCGGCCTCTCCAAGACATTTTATCCGGACGGAAACCTTTCCACCAGCAGGTGTGAATTTCAAGCTATTACTGACCAGGTTGATGATAACCTGGAGAATTCTGTGCTGATCACCCCAAAGACTAAAGCATGTTAGCAAAATATTCCTGTTAGGGTAATCAAGCCCTGTACATACCACATATCCTTCAGTCGCCCAGTACCCTGAGGTCCAAGTGCTGGCAGTTTCTTCTCAGAGACAATTTCCGTATCCAGGTCTATATCAGTACCGATATATTTGACCGAGAAGTTGATGTTCTTTTCCTTTACTTGTTTTGTGAAAATCGTGACAATCTGCGTCTTGATATCGTTTAGTTTAAACTCCTTCTCTTCAAGACTCAATTGTTGACCAATCTGATTTTTGCTAAAGGTCAATAGATCGTTTAAAAGGTGGAGTAATAAATCTCCGGATTTGTAGACAATCTGAAGACTCTTCTTGATCTGAGGAAGATCGTCCTCGCCCATGCATACAGCGCACATTCCCAGGATACCATTTAGTGGTGCTAGAGGTCAAGAAGTTAGCATATTGAGCCGGAACAAAGGTAGTGTACGAGGATTAACGACTTACTCTTGAGCTCGTGTGAAATATTAGCGATGAAGAGGGTTTTGCTTTCGTTGGCAGCTTCGGCAGCTTTCTTGCTTATTTCAAGCTCCCGCGTACGTTCGGCAACCTTTTCTTCAAGGCCTTGGTATTGTAGCATTAATTCCTCGGTCATTTCGTTGAAAGTGCCTATATTGGTCAGAGATAATTCCATTGACGTGATATGGAATACGAACCGGTTAGCTCTGTAAGCTCATCAGTTATCCAGTGCTTCCGATCTTGGACGCGTGCTGGAATCTTGAACACTCTTCGCCTGTCCTCCTCGTTACGTTGTGAGGGCGTCTTCCTTTTCCCCGTCACTGTTAGATGGCGTAGTTTGTAGAATATTCCCGTTTTAGAGCGATGAGAATCAGACCGGTCAAGCCCAGGATGTTCTCCTGACGAGGACTCATCGTCCAAATCGTCCATCCTATCTGATCGTATACTTCCATTCGGCGTGTAGCCAGGCGGTGCCATAGATTTCTCAGTGGCGTCACGTAATCTGCGAATCGGTCGGACGCTAAAATGAGCTGTCGGTATTACGACCAGTAGTATCAACCCAATCGAGCCAAATACACAGGCAAGCACAATCAGACGCAACTTCTCCACGGGTTTCCAAGCCTCCTTGTGTGTCATTTCGACTATAAGTAGCCAGTCGACCAATTTACTTTGTGGTCTGGCATATCCCACACTGACGGAAACATTATTCTCATTCCTGGTTGAAAGCATAGACCCTGCTTGGTTGACCTCGTTGTTCCAAACACCAAACCCGCGGACAGCTGCTGGATATTCCTTTGCAGAGAAGTTGCTTGCCCCGTACCGAGTGATGTTCGCCAGATAGGCAGTGTGACGATCGCGTCCTTCGGTAGCATTTGGAGGGAAGACGTACTTGACCACCGCGGCACCAACATCTTTTAGATCGGGTTCCTTAGTTGCCGTAGCGGGCCTGGCTTGATACGGAAATTGATTCTCACGTCGTCTGGTACCGAATAGAAGAGTCACACCAGTATTAGCTAACCCCTCCCGAGAGTTGACTACGTCTATCAATGATGTACAAGCTGCGACGACGGTCATGAATCCTAAAACCACCTCGGGGTTTTTATCGTCCACGATGGGAAGGGTCATAGAGAGCAGAGCATAACTGCTGTTGATTTGCAAAGGGCCCAGGACCAAGACAGACGACTGGTTAAGCGGAAAATCAGCAAATGCAGACACACGTGTGAGGGTTGCCGAAGAGTCTGCTGGATCCGGACTCCCAGGAACCGGAGTGTATGTGATGTTCGGGTAGAGAGCCGCTGGAAAACCCGAGCCTGGGTCACCAAGGTTCACCTGAGTGCCATTTGGGTGGAATGCCCCCGGAATAAAAATGCCATCTGTCTCAGTGGTTGCATTGAATAGCGCTGAAGTGCCCCCTCCCAGTGATGTTCCGTTTCGAGAAAAGACTACTACTTGGAGAAGCGCTGAAAGTCCGCCGCCGCGTAAGGCGCTTTGAATATCGGTATTCGCTGATCTGGTTTAGAAGTTAGCGTTTGGATTCAACAAGGTGTAATATTCAGCGTCCACCACAGTTTCAACTTTAGGCAACCAGAAAGCCTGAGATTACAAACAGAAGTCTCTTCTTATCAGAAGAATTTCATCACTTACGTCCAATTAGTCGATGTCGCATTTCCTCGATAGAAATTCCTAAGTGCAGACTGGATCACAACGCGCGTTGTGATGGTTGTACATGTTGACTGTATCAAGAGCAGATCCGACGCAACTTGTGCCGCTTTCAGAGAGGCCGTCAAAGATAGCTGACTTGCAGTGATGCCCGTAACGAAGTTGTGGTTGTTGATCCAAGTTGCGATGGATAATACCATTAATGGAACCAGCGCAGTTATCAGCACCACGGCAGCGAATTGCTCTCGAATGCCAACGCGCATGGTGTCGTCCGCTTCTCAGGAACAAGTCCTGGACCAAAATATCGTGTCCTCGTCTCCTCGTGCGCATATGTTGTCCTCCAATCGTGGATTCAATCTTCCAAGAAAATGCCCAGAGATCCGGGTGTGGTCCTAAGACTCAAATTTACTGGTCCAGTCCCGGTGACATGTTCTCCAACCTATGTCCCAATGGTCGAGAGGGCCTTCGTGGTGCGATTGATCGAGGAGGCCCGCGAAGTTCGTGACTTGGAGCGGATCGAGTGGGGAGAGGTGTGAAGGATAAAGAGAAGGTCGAAGGAAAGGTGTGGACGGATGAGCTGAGGATCGCGGCTCTGGGCGAGGCGAGTCTGTGGTCGGCAAAACTTACGAGGTATGTGGCCCAAGCTCTGATTACATGCAATTGTAATTCCCGGTCGAGCCAGCGGTTATCACGAGCTGAAACAAGAGAGAAATTTAATATTGTTGCGAGCAAAGACAAGGCATGAGGGAAGCGAAATTCGACTGGAAGTGGTATCTGTGTGAAGAAGAAACGGAGTATGCAGGTATGGTATTTGGTACGAGCTACACAGAAAGGTGTTCGCGGCACGCACGGAAGTCTGGGAAGTCTTTGGTTGCGTGTACGCAGCACAAAGAAAAAGGCTGAGTGAGGGAGGCAATCCAATTGTGAGGGTCTGTCCTGGTCTGCCCAGGAGGAGTCTAGACTGTGACTGAGCGGCCTCTCAAAGGGTGGGAGCAGTGCTGCAGATCTTAGCGAGAAGTCCCTGCACCCACTGACAACCGTCTGGGCAACGTCCCACGTAAACCCCAGCGCATCCCCTTTTGACGGATTCAGTGGGTGGTGAGGCTGTTGGTAGTGGCTCATAGCGCTGAAATAGTAGCAGAGGAGCGACCAACGGCGCTATTCATCCGCGTGAAGATTCCCAAGATATTCAGGGCATGGCTTGAGATTTGATGGCGCACAAACCACTGGCTTTAGTGTTTGCGCTTGAGGATTCTCTGGGAAAATCCTTAAGTTAGGGCCACCCAATAGAAGCAGGATGGATGTTAAGACGAACTCAATTAGACCAGGAACATTTAGTATAAATTGCTTTAGTCCAAACAGAAATTTGCTCTAACACAGAATCATCGTCCTAGTAAAAGTTGGTATGGTACCTGATGTTGAGGAGACATGGACCGCGAAGACAACAGCGAGACTATCAAACCCAGCATCAACTATGAAAGGAAACGGAGGCGGAAGAGGCTGAAAGAAACACCACATTGCGACTGTGTTGCAGACTATCTTGATAGTCAATTGACCAGACCTAAAAGTTGTCCGGCACATACAATATCACACCACCATAGATGACTGCTATTTGTAACAATGAATACTCTCCTCCTAATTTACTACACATTACTTTAATCCCATTAATCCCATTTATCAATTGCTGCATCGGACTATAGGTTGTTGGTCAGTCTGAAAGTAGTCGGCTAATCTCAGATGGAGCTGGATGTTTTGTCAAATCTCACTCCTCCAACATAATCTTTAGGTAAATTGCGTCTTTATCCTTTGATCCTACTTCCGAATCTTTACTATATATTCAGCAAGAATCCTCGCTTACGACGAAGGTAATTCGATGTTGGTATTATCGCAAAATGTGCCCGATCTGAATGCGTACGAACTAAACATAACGATTTCGAAAACAACTTTTTAACACATTTTTGTAATTTACATATTAAGCCTATACGATAGAGACAGTATCGTATTTTTCCTAAAAAAGATTGAGTCAGCATAACGTTTCAGGATGATATTGCTATTCTACCGTACTGAGGTGTCCTATCTGAGTAGTACAGCTACTATAAACATGACACTGGGAGCAGACTCTCTATAACATTTCATGATACAGGTTCAAAGATTACAAAAATTTACTGATGCCGATTCCTTCTACTGTTTCTTCTAATCAATGTCATATTGAACGTTTAAAAAGAAAATCTGTCACCAGTGCCAGGGGAGTTTTCTACTGTGCTCTTCGTTGAAATTCTAGTGTCTGGGATGATCACTAAACATGAAATAGCAGCCAAACGCCGAAATCAGGAAGATGACAGCCAAGTACACTGACTGATTTATCTCATCCGTCTCCGTATCGCTGCAGATGAGAAGTTCATGACGTTGATACTTGTTCTACTAACCATGTATTCAACCTACAACGAAATGAAACAGGTGCTTCCAAACTTCTTGTAAGCTCGTGTTGTAAGAACAACTCAGGTTACCGCAAGTCAGCACTCCGACAACGGAACTTGAAGTACCATCTGCCAGTACAATAATGACCAAGCATCTCACCGTATTCCATAAATAAGCCCGGCAAAAATCGCTGATCTATAGCCCGAAAGATAGTCATCAATCGATCATAATCACCCTAGAATCACGGGTGTAAATCGAAGAAACACAAAGAGAATCGAACAGAAATCTAACGGTTTCAGCTCTCTTCAACATCAGAGAGATGGCATCGAGTCCGTCTCGTGACTACCAATGCCTCAGAATGGTTAGTTCACGGCTCGACTGCAGATCTGTATGTAGGTACAGAGTTGGAGAGAGCCGCATGAGGACGTGGCTTTCATGTACCAGCAAAATCGCTTGGTATTTCGGCAGCATATGCTGCTCGATGTTGAAGAGGAATGATTCAGTAGATATTCAACTTATTACTTAACTCCATGATCAGAATAACTGTAGCGTAAGACGATATCAGCGACGTATTCAATAAAAGGATTCAATTGTTTTATCGAAAGGAAATACAATAGTCATAAGTATCCCTACTTGAATAACAGAATAGCGCCCCAGCAGAAAACAGCATTGTATGTTCCAACACAGACATTATCTTACGAGAGATTGCTCAGAATAATGCTCGTACATACCCGCAACTCTTTAATTTGCGTGGAGGTACCACTCCAAGCACATTTCTGATTGGGTGACTTTGTTATCCCCTCTAAGCAAGTCGGATATAGTCCATTCATGCATGCAGTAAGTTATCGTCCGCTCACTGTTACCATTGATGGTTAGGGAAACCTCAAGATCTCGAACCCCATGTCAGCCTTGTGGATATACCGCCATGATCGAAAGGCAGATCAAGAAGTTGCCGAATCTATATACCTGTATTCAGTTCGATCGTTCTGAAGCCGGCATGATTCAGTGATATAAAGCTTGAACGAGATCTCTTGAATAACCTATCCACCCACCAGCTGAATAGCTAAACACGACAAGGCAACAATCTGAATAACAATAGTTAAATCGAGATTGAAAGTCCCTGCATCAATTCACAAAATGCTTCTCGAATGATCTTTCTCCGCCACGTCCATGCTCACCAGCTCCATCTATTGACGAGTGGGGGGTGATGGATTATCTCCGAAAAGTCTGTGCTTCTCCCCACGTTTTCTCCGTTCGTAAGCAGACTTCCAATTAATATCGACCCCACGTCCTTTCCACCCTTCCGCAAGGACTCAATGCTTCTACTATAAGAGAGGCAGTATGCCCTCGCTCGCGCGCAAGCTCCTCATTTTCGCTGCGGTCGATGGACTGTTGTTACAGCCTCTAGCGCCCAAAGGACAGCGTCCTCCGCCCGCTGCGAAGATCGCTTATAATGATGCCGAGAATAGCATCAGGCCGGTGACGAACAATGGCGCCGAGGACAATGAGGACGATGGGAGATGCTTCGAGGCTTTTGGGGTGGTAGGTAAGCTTCTGAATGACTGTCTTGGGGAAATGTTTACTAAATCTGCTTCAAAGGTCTATTGAACGTATCTAATACGTCATTCCTAATATCCATCACTCGTCGCCAGCAAGTAGCACAGATCCAAGGCAAGGCCGTTTATGTTATTACAGAGGTAGCTCTTACGCCGCTAGCATCGAGGAAAGAGGCGGGAGCTTCAATCAAGCAGACCCGGGTTGCGCTGGAGAAAGGAACGATAGATGGACACGAAAACGATGAATCTGATAGCGAGGACGAGAGATCTACGGGGACAGACGATATCGACGATGATGAGCTACAGCCTACGACTATAAGTCCTTCGAAGGCATCACATAAAAAGACCACCAGTGTGGCGGAAGATGTTCTCACGAGAAAGGGAAATTTTGGCAAGTTTGCGCAGGAATGGTTCTCAAAAAGAGGCTGGACGGTGGATCAAAAAAGTAATCTTAAGCCGAACCCATCTACTACAGCACTTAAAAGCCCGAAAGGGAGCGAGGACGATGAGGATCCACTGCAGGCGAATGAAGATGCAGCTCAAGACCCTGATGCCCAGCAAGTACTACAAGATGAGAGCAAAGGACCAGTCGAAGTCGCCAAAGCTCTATTACCCAAGCTATTACGGACCACTCAGCTGTACATGGGATCCTCGAAAAGTTTCTACTTTTCATATGACCATGATTTAACCAGAAGTCTCTCGAACCAAAACTCGTCCAACTCTGATTTGCCTCTCCATCAAAAGGTAGACCCACTGTATTTCTGGAATCGCCATATCGTGCAGCCTTTTATCGATGCTGGACAGAGTACCTTTGTGCTGCCGCTATTACAAGGATTCGTGGGCCAGAGAGCGTTCCAAATGGACACTGACCCTCCTCAAGCAATTCTGGGACTGGATGGTACAGGGACAAAATCATCCATGGAAATGGTTGACCTTTCTCCTCGGATATCTGAAGACGGAAATGTTGCAAACGCCGACGGAGCTGCGGGAGGCATTCTGGAGAGAGGCAGAGGGTTTCGACATCGAGATACCGTTAAGACGTACTCACTGACACTGATCTCTCGAAGATCAGTAAAACGAGCTGGTCTTAGATATCTTCGTAGAGGTATCGACGATTCCGGGCATACCGCTAATGGGGTAGAAACCGAGCAACTTATGACAGAATTGGAATGGAAACCTACAAGCAAAATGTATTCGTTTGTTCAGCTGCGGGGAAGCGTTCCGATTTACTTTTCACAGTCACCCTATTCCTTCAAACCAGTTCCGCAGATCCAGCACTCAGCGGAGACGAATTACGAAGCGTTTGTTAAGCATTTCGAGAACGTCACAGAACGTTATGGTCGAGTTCAAGTGGCCTCGCTGGTTGAAAAGCATGGTCCAGAGGCTATCGTCGGCGATCAGTTCGAGAAATTTGCTCAACGTTTAAATGAGTCTGGCGGTATTCGCGGATCACCTGTTGGATTTGAGTGGTTCGATTTTCACTCTGCATGCCGAGGCATGAAATTCGAAAACGTGAGCTTGCTTATGGATAAACTAGGAGATACTCTGGATAGCTTCGGGTATACAGTGACTACTGATGGGACTCTTGAGTCGAAGCAAACCGGTGTTCTCAGGACCAACTGCATGGATTGTCTGGATCGAACCAATGTCGTTCAAAATTATATGGGGAAACGAGCCTTGGAACAGCAGCTCAAAGATGAGGGGATTGATGTCACCCTGCAACTCGACCAGGCCATGCAATGGTTCAATATCTTGTGGGCAGATAACGGAGACGCAGTTTCGAGACAGTACGCCTCCACGGCAGCCATGAAAGGAGACTTTACCCGCACGCGGAAACGAGACTATCGTGGCGCACTTACCGACATGGGGATCTCTATCTCAAGATTCTATAGTGGGTATGTAATAATTGGTTTCGTGATCTTGGATTACGTGGATAGCTAAGACCACATAATAGGATCGTCAACGATTTCTTCACCCAAGCTGCGATCGACTTTTTGCTTGGGAATCTGACGGCCGTCGTCTTTGAGGACTTCGAGACATCAATGATGAGCCGCGACCCTGCGGTCTCGATGCAAAAGATGCGGCAGCAAGCTATCGAAGCGTGCCAGAAATTGGTAGTTGCCGACGAGCATGAAGAATTCATTGGGGGGTGGACGTTGCTTGCCCCGCAAGTCCCGAATACTATCAAATCGACGCCGTTCGAGGAGACGATCCTGCTCTTGACAGACTCTGGGCTGTACTCGTGTCGCTTCGATTGGAACATCGAAAAGGTTTCATCCTTCGAACGTGTCTCACTGGATCACATCTTGACCATCAAATATGGAACCTACATCACCTCAACACTGTCTGCCTCGCAGACTGATGAACAAAGGAATATAGGATTTGTGGTTACCTATCAGGCTGGCAAGAATGATATCGCTAGGGTAAACACCAGGTCAATGGCCAACGTCTCACGCATTGATATGGATTCACTCGGCGGTAGGGCCACTTCCCCGCCACCGAAAGGCTTGGCGGCATTGATAGGAAGGCCAACGACACCCGCGAACCGCGTGCTGGCATTCAAAGCCATCTCGACTCGATCGGCAGTCACGGGTGAAGGTAATGAGAATGGTCTGAGTGAGTTGGAACAGATCAGAGGGATCTGTGCGGAAATAGAACGCATGATCCTACTCGGCCAAGTATCAGAGGTTGGAACGGAAAAGAAACGGATCGTTGAAAATGCAGACGTTATCAGTCTCAACGAGGCTCGTAAAAGTACCGGCCTTCTGGAACAGCTCGGTCACAGCTTCAAGAAACTTATTTGGGCATAGGTGGATAGGTTTACGCGGGCGCCGGGCGCCATTGGGGGGGATCTGAAATTCGAGTTTAACGGCAAGGAGATAAAGAGATGGTACATGAGATCTGTTTTGGTTTGCTGGGAAGGGAAATTGTGGTACATTATCTTCTTTCGTCCAAACGAGCGCGTTTCGTACGAGAGTACATACCATACGTACATACACAATAGACCAATTATTTCTACACTAGTCGCTCTTCTCGTTACCGGCACCTGTGTTCGCTTCTACTCTTTCATGTGTCTGCCGTACCAACAGCCCAATATCGACAATATCTGGGGTACATGCCTCTTTATCATCTTTATCACCGTTGAGAATGCCATCATAGTGGTCTGATCTTTTCTCGAAGTGGCCCTATGTGGCGTCTCCCATCCATCCTCATCTCAGGATGGGAAACACAGAACATCCTCACCAAAAGGCGTGCTCCGAAGGCTCCGACCTCCGACTACACCAACTCGCTGGGGCCCAAGGGAAAGGAAACGGGACCCGACAGTCGGAGCCAGATCACAGGAATCAAAATGGCGTGTTTCTTGCATAACCAGCGACGGTTTGCACGGGGCCGGGACAGCGAGAAGGATATACTTTGACCGCTTCGCAACGCCAAGCCGCGAATCGAATCTGCAAAGAAGCTCTTGGGAGACGCACCCCCTGTGTGCTCACTCATCAACCTGCAGATGGCGTCGCAGGGCACTCTCGCCAATCGTGTCGCCCAACCGCATCGGCATGTTCGGCACCGACCCTCGCCGGCCCTGTCATCTTGCTGACTTTCACCCTCTGCTTGGCGATGCTGCTAGGGGTGGCTTGGCTATATGCGCGAAAGGCGGGGTGTGGAGCTGTTTTTGGACAGGTTGTCCTGTGGTGGGGGGAGGGGTTAAGCGGTCAAGATCCAGCGTGCAATCGATCCTGGTCGCAAGGCACATACGATCCTGGGAGATGGCGAGCAAGGTGATTGAGAATTGTGTGCTGCCCGCCAAGTGTGTGGCTTCCCCAAAGGAACAATATAGCCTTGCGCGAAACGTGGTTTGACGGGCAACATACACCTCTCAGATCGTTTTCCCATGCGAAAATGGCACTCGAGATTATCTCTGCCGGAAATCGTATAGCAATTGTCCGCGAATAGAAATATTGTTTGATGGAATGAACCCCCTAGTCTCATATGTTCAACTGTCACACGTTACACTGTAGATCTTCTGTGGCTTGGATATGTTTAAGTGAATGTCTTGGAGATCTTTTGATATTCGCTAGACGGTGTAGACAGGTCCAGATCTGCGAGGCGCGATTGAAACGTGTTGCATTTGTTCCACAGAGTGAGATGCACGGGAAAACGCCAAGTGCTCAGTGAGAGTATCCTTGTTTCTAAATAGAAAGAAGTTTCGAATGGCAACGGATAGCGGAGGAGGAACCAAAATCTTGCTCTGATACATGAGAATATCGCTAAACTGTCCAAATTGCCTTTCGGAGTGGATATGTTTCTCGTATCGGTGATAAAGAGGCGGAGGGAAGGATTTCGTATTAGCCCCTAAATGCAAGTCCGACGGAACTGGCTGTTGTAACGAGGAAGAAATGGAATACGATTAGCGAACAAGTAAAAAGCAACACCTGGAAACAATTTCTCGTGTGGTGGAGAAAGCAGCGGGCGGGTGGCTCCTTCCCTTTCAGACACTGTGTACATCTTGTACTTGAGAGAGTAAGAAACGGCGCCGCTCTGATGCTTAGATACGACAGTACCCAAGTACCAAGGATGCGAGGGGGCAGCTGTGATTTGTCCGAAATCTAGCGGAATAGTTCTTGGATAGTTTACACGACATGTACGAAGGGTCCTCCTAGGTAAGTACTCATGTACTTCGTAGATCTTTCGTTCTTATGAGAAATGAGCCTACCCCCGGAGCGCTAATCGCCTGGAGGAGCTTCGTCAAATAGCCAAAAACAGCAATTTTGCGAGCGGCAGATAACAAGACAAAAACGAGAACAAGAGACAATTAGAGGAGCTCGAATATAGCAACCCCTGGCGATAAGCACTTGGCTGCCCAGCATCCGGGGATTCGTGTCGTGTTCGAGATTGGCCCAATCAGGGTATTCTCCGCCCACCACCTCAAATTTTGAGAAGTGAGGTGTAGAACCAGCGCATTAAGTAAACAACAAATTGCTTAGTTAACATGCTTTTGCATCTGAATGTCAAATCTGATAAGTCCCATGATGCATATGCTTATCCAAATGCACACACCCGGTATTGTAGTGCAGCAAGCAATGACATCAATGGCTCTTTGACAGCATCCGAATATTCTGAGATTCTTTTGGAAATGCCAGGTGGGCTCTCATGCTGTCAGCCAATAGTCTTGATCGCAGGTGCTTAACGAACATCCATGGCTTTGAAGGTCGACTTCAACTTCTCGGAAGCTCAGGATGCAGGATGCTATTTCAGACAGAGCTTGAAAACACGGTTCTATGTTTAACTATCTCGTTAACGAGATGATCTGGTGGCTATACAAAAAAGCCCAAATAAGGAAATACCACCATATCAAACAAAAAGGAAGTGGCCAACTCAGAGTTACACTTTTGGCGGAGGAGAAAAAGCAATTGAGAGGGTGCGAGGCAACGCCGAGAGTAGCTCGAAATAGCCCAATTAATGCCATCCCACCCCCACCGAGCGAGAAATGGGGGCTCAAGGATTGGTGGAGACACAGCTGCCACATGGCACAATCCTTTGAAAAAGCTTATGCTGAAGTCTACTGCTATCGATTTCGTAGGTTATGTTGAAAATACGGGTGAGGTATTCATTGTTAGTTAAATTAGTTTTGCATTCCAGGTGCTGCGCTTTGGAAGGTTGTTGACTGCCAATCCATGAACTCAGCGTTATAGAAGGATACTGGAAATGAGTACGGCAATGGTGTCGGATGAACTGCCCGTGTTTCCACCTTGATCACATTACCATGGGAGACGATACCACAAGGGAATTTGGAGCTTGAATGCTCCGAAGTAGTGCAAATCATGCTGCACGCGTGCATAACTTTAATGTCCTGATAAGTGGTCGACTTGATAAAGGTTGCGTGAGTCATCGGGATCTGAATTATGTACTCGAGGCGGCGCAGATACTGGTCTGGAGATGAATTGCAATTGGGTCGCATTTGAAGGTTTAGGTGGTGCAGGATGCATGCTTTCATGCTGTCGTTTTAACCTTATCCATATCAAGCAGATTCGTTGCCCGCAAAAGAGCTGGGGATGGGTAGGGCAGGTTAAGCGAGTACTGAAAATGCGTAAAGTTCCTAATATGGTTAGTTCTTATGAGTTAGCTTTCTCAGGAACAGTTTGGCAGTCATGTAGGAAGCTTCCGCTATCGTTTCCCATACGCGGGACAGAAGCCTTTACACTTCTGCGCGGTACTTGCTCTAGCACCTGTCACTTCGGCCAGAGCTAACACGAAATGAAGCACCTTCTCGTATTGAACACTGCAAATCGTGTCCATCAGACCGAGTTCCGACGCTCACACCGAGCGTACAACATGTCGGACGAAGATACACTTTTGGAGGTTGAAACAAGGACTGGATGCTTGCAAACTCAGATTTGCCTTACAAGGCGACCTTTCCAACTTGTACGGCAGATTGATAGACTCGTAAATGTATATTTGGAAACTGCAAACCGTTTCGACTCGGGCAACCGAAGCCCGTGAGGCATCAACTCGTTAGGTTGTGTGCGGAGCAATCGTTCCCTTCTCGCCAAACGCCACGACTATCACATCACGGAACTTTTGCCAAAATTGAATGTTGATCAAGGTGACGGTTCTGGGAAATGAAGGGCAACGAGAAATTGCACGGCCAACATGGCGGTGGCATTCCGCGTTGGTATTCCCGGTACTTGATCAAGTATATGTCGAAACATGAAGCATCTCCTATAATTCTGATGCCCTGCACGAAACCGTCGAAAGACAGGCCGAGAATCTTTCCGCTGTCCAAGACTGGTGGTTCTGGGCGTGACAAGTCATCAAGTGATAGAGCCTGTCGACGCGCATGTACCCAAAAGACTAAATCCGATATGCTCTCACAAAGGAATAGTGTCTGTCAGCACTAGACACCCCCTCGCAAAATCGCCATCAAGGGCCCATGCCTCCAACTGCGTGTGGCGCACAGGCGGAGGGTAGGGATACGACGGGGGTGTGCATTAACCACCTGAATCCCAGTCTCGTCAGCAAAATCGTGCACAGTAAGCACACCAAAATGTGAGTGAGGATTGCACGTAAGCCGACTCAAGAGAAACCTTCTCTTTAGGTAATGGGCTTTGTGTGCTAGGCCCTCGACATCATTCGCTCTTCTTTCCGGCTGAAGGCAACCCAGTCCAGTCTCCACCTGTCCTTCCCACGTTTCGAGGAATCCTGCCGAGAGACTCCCTGAGCATTGGAGTAGCCTCTAAGGTGTGATCCCAAGCTGCGCAGAACCGTTTAGGTTCGCGTCCGGTATCCAGAGTGGAAATCGTTTTTCGCTCGTTAGCCTCGTCCTCGTTAACATTGTTACTGATTGGCTGTTTCATTTTCCAAAACTGGTATCGATTCGTTCGATACCGGAGAGCGGCACGTCAAATCTCGAGGCCATGCTGCCAGCTAGATGTATTCCATATCCTGGGGCGGTTGGGGTCGCCAACCGTGCGGAGGAGACAATCTTCGAGACATAATAAGAGTGTGGTCCCTCCCGTTCAAAGTCATCATTGACTCTCATCCCAAAGATCGAAACACACAGTCTTCCAAACCAGAACCAACCCGTCGGCTTTCTTGCCTCTCAGCCTTGCTCAAAAGGTTATACCACGCCCGAAACACAAGACCAAAGTCGCGAACTAGCTTGTTGGCTCACCCTCTATTGCCTAGCGAAGAGAATCCGACAAAATGTCAAGCGGTTCATATTCCCCAGAGAACCATCATCTGGCGTCGCCTGGTGATATGGTGCCCGGATTGTACGATGGAACTTCCAGCGAGTCCTCGGCAAGCTCTCCAATGAACTACAATGTAAGCCCATAATCAAATTGCTGCCAAACAATCCTGGTTCAACCCCGCTGACATGCAAGCCAGGGCTACGACACTTCATATGGCACGAACGGATTTATGACCTATCCCGCATATCCCATGGCTTACCCGACGCATAATGAGAATGTGGCTCCAGTGGGCCTCATACCGGTCGAACTTGAAATTGAAGGTCTTTATGAGGATTATGACCGCAGACGCCGCAAGAATGGCAGCGAGAAGATTGTTTCCTCACATGTACACTCGGTAAGTGTCCTGATATTACCTCTTGAGTCGCAATTGGCTAATACCTTCCACAGAGGCGCAGAGCTCAAAACCGAGCCTCCCAGAGGGCATTCCGCGATCGTAAGGAAAAGCATATGAGAGAACTGGAGCAACGTCTTGGTGAACTTGAGGGCCGACACACCGACCTTTCCCGATCATATGAATCGCTACAGTTGGAATACAGCAGCGTCAAACAAGAACTAGATCGGCTTAAGAGCGACAATTCGCGACAAGACGGCTCATCTAAACACCACCAATCCTCAAGAGACATCGAAGACTCGCGGCGAGAAATACTAGATCCCCTTCTCTTTGATGTTTCTGCTTTCTGCTTCGATCAGGACGATGGCCACAGTGTGAGGGATTGAGGACTGGCGCAACAATAGCACGATAGCATTGGGTCTTGGAATGATATCAGGTGTTCTGGAAAATGCCAATCGTGCAGCATCCCACTTTTCGGACGGCATGGCATGGTTGTTTTTTGGCGTTGGCAGGCTTTTTGAGGGGTTAACATTCGGCGAACGGGAAACCAGTCCTGTCCCTGGGGGCACAGAGGGCACCTCCGCAAAACAGCGAGAGCGAGTAATTTGCCATTTGATTTCTCGGTGTCAATAAGGATTAGCATTGACGGTTAAGAACAGTACAGATACTGAATAGTCTTCAGAGATAGCTTCATGAATGGATGAATGCAATGACCCAAATAATTTATCCGTGGAAAATTGTCTTATCGTGAAGTGGGACGCCTCGTAACGAGATGGCTTGAGCTATCATAAGAACGAAGCAACTCCGGCGGCACGAACTATGCAGCCAGTCCAGCATCAATAGTACGCATGTTGTTGAAGGGCGCCTCGCATCTTTCGCGGTATCAATCTGTGGGGTGACTGGATGATAGGGTGAGAAGTCCGCGGGAAAGCGATGTAAGCATGAAAGTGTCCACTGAGCATGAAGACGATACTGGCGGCAGGCCTAAGCTTGTTTTTAGTGAGATATCTGATGTGGTGTTTTGTTACTTTGTTGACGGTAAACACTGAGAAGAGAGAATTATTCGGTCGAGGTTGTTTGTTGTTGACAAGTTGGTTGCTTACTTCGCGCAACATCCCTAGTTGTAACTGACGAGTACACCCCTTGACTAACGAGAATACTCGTTCCCTCACTTCCAATTCGCAAGGTTTGGAATGGCCCAAAGTATGATGCCTTGGATGGTGAAATAACCCCAAATTCCAGATATGGTACGAAAGAAAGGCACTCCCGACTCGTCTGGGTGAAGATCGCTGGTGTTTCTGCCTCGTTCAAGGGGGTTGAGCGTGTGCAGAAATAGAAAGAAACAAACAAAATCTCTATCTCCCATAGTACATATCTGCTGCGTCAACTGGCTCACTCATGTCGGTTGCTTTGAGCTTTATGGAGGCACCGTAATGTGGTTGATCGAGTTTGCAGGCCGTGGAGTAAGCTGTTGTTATTGTTGTTGTTGTTGTAGATGTGAACAGCGCAGTTGATTTTCAAATAACTGGTCGAATAGCATTGGTACGGTCTGCGAAGATGGACGGCAAGGCGATGTTGCTAGATTGTCGATATACCTGGGAGTTTCTATCTCCTATAATGATGGTCAATGATTTCGAGCAGCCGCATTCGATTCCATTCGCAACATGAGTTGACGATGGTCAACTGCAATTTAGCCGGAAGAAGGCATGGCCCTCGGAGATGCGGTCATGTGATTGCTTCTTCTGATGCGGAAGTCTACAGTTTTCCACTGGCAAGTGACCCGATACATCCTCAGTGGGATGATAAATGGGGGTCGAATGTAGTTCTTACTGAGTGTCGAAAAAGGCAAGCCTTGCAACCACTTGGAATCTGCGAGATGCTGACTGATAATGGGCATCTCGAACAGGCCAGTCGAGTGAGGCGATGGCTCCATCATGTCTCCTAAGCTTCTCCGATGCCCCACTTCCGTCTCAACAACCCAATTGAGCCGATCCCACCTACCTGCCACGCTGCCGGCGACGTCAAACTCAAAATATCTCTGATCCCCTCCATCATCGTCTCAAGAAATTTCTTCATCTACTCCACATCCATTGACCATCCTCATTTCACTCACAAAAACAATCGCAAATATGGGGTACGCCGACATTGACAAGCTGGCCATCAACACTATTCGTGTTCTTGCCGTATGTTTACCCCTCTTTCCGCCTCAAATTACCCCTCCATCTTTTTCCACCGCTGGATTTGTCTCGACGATAGTTACTGATAGACATGTATAGGCCGATGCCACCTTCAAATCGAACTCCGGCCACCCTGGTGCGCCTATGTGAGTTATTACCTCGACTCTGTATCGTTCCCACTGACGCCGATGATAGGGGAATGGCCCCAGTTGCCCACGTTCTTTTCAACAAGATTATGACCTATAACCCAAAAAACTCCAACTGGGTAAACAGAGATCGATTCGTCCTCTCGTAAGTGCCCAAAACCTCATATATGCGCAAAACAAGCTGGTGGCGAGCGCCTACTTCTGCCGGTTTATTGCTTGCTCCCAGGATCAAACAATGGAACCTACAATTTGAAGTGTTCCATCTCGACGGGAAGAACATCAGATTCAACGAGCACGGAAGCTGCAAATATTCCGGATAGTTGAAATCTGCTTGCTCCAAAATATGTCTCTAGGCTGGGACCGAGCTGACAATATCTGTAGCAACGGACACGCTTGCATGCTTCAATATGCTCTCCTTCACATCTGCGGTTACAAGATTTCAATGGATGATATCAAAGCTTTCCGAGTAAGTAGCACGTTACTCCAAAGTAGACACTTCAATTAACTCTCATTTTCAACTAGTCGATAGACAGTATTACTCCAGGTCATCCAGAAGCGCACGACACCGATGGTATCGAAGTCACCACTGGACCTCTTGGCCAGGGTTTCTCCAATGCAGTTGGTTTGGCTATCGCTCAGCACCACGCTGCTGGAGAGTTCAACAAGCCAGGGTTCGAGCTCATCAACAACTACACATATACATTTTTGGGTGATGGATGTATGATGGAGGGTGTTGCTAGCGAAGCTGCGTCGCTCGCTGGTCACTTGCAGCTTGGTAACCTGATTGCTATTTACGATGACAACCACATCTCTATCGATGGAGATACCAACTGCGCGTTCACTGAAGATGTCGCACTCCGATTCCAAGCTTACGGCTGGCACGTCGAGGTCGTCGAGGATGGTGACCACGATTTGGAGGGAATTGAGGCAGCTATCAAGAAGTGCCAGGAAGTCAAGGATAAGCCATCTATGATCAAGCTCCGAACCACCATCGGATTTGGCTCACTCCAGCAGAACACTCACGGAGTCCACGGATCTCCTCTGAAGGCTGATGATATCAAGCAGCTAAAGGAGAAATTCGGAATGGATCCCGAGAAGTCATTCGTCGTGCCACAAGAGGTTTATGACTTATATCACAAGCATGGTGACGAGGGTGCAGCCAAGGAGAAGGAGTGGGAGCAAATGCTCTCCAAATATGCCGAGAAGTACAAGGATGAAGCTGCCGATCTCAAGCGTCGTTTGACAGGAGATCTCCCAGAAGGTTGGGAAAAGAACCTCCCAGTCTACTCTCCTTCAGACCCAGCTGTCGCTTCCAGAAAGCTTTCTGAAATTGTTCTTCAAAAGATTCACCAAGCAATTCCAGAGTTGGTTGGCGGTTCTGCAGATTTGACTGGTTCAAACTTGACAAGATGGAAGGAAGCCGTTGACTTCCAACCCCCAGCTAATGGTCTTGGTGACTGGAGTGGGCGATACATCCGATATGGTGTTCGTGAACACGCTATGGGTGCCATCATGAACGGTCTCGCTGCTTATGGAACAGTCATTCCATATGGTGGAACTTTCTTGAACTTCGTTTCATACGCTGCTGGAGCCGTACGTTTGTCTGCGCTGTCTCACATCCGAGCCATCTGGGTTGCAACACACGACTCTATCGGTCTCGGTGAGGACGGACCTACTCACCAACCTATCGAGACACTCGCGCATTTCCGTGCTCTTCCTAACTGCATGGTCTGGCGCCCAGCCGACGGAAACGAGACAAGTGCTGCCTACTATGTTGCTTTAACTTCTAAGGAGACTCCAAGTATCATCGCTCTGTCCCGTCAAAACCTTCCACATCTCGAGAACTCTACTCTCGCTCATGCCATGAAGGGTGGGTATGTTGTTCACGACGCTGAGAAGGCTGACATTACCTTGGTGTCCACCGGATCCGAGGTCGGAATCTGCGTTGATGCTGTCAAGTACTTGAAGGACAACCACAACTTGACCGCTCGTGTTGTTTCCGTTCCGTGCTTCGAGGTCTTTGACGCCCAGTCAAAGGAGTACAGACTCAGTGTTCTTCCAGATGGCATCCCATCTCTATCAGTCGAGGTCATGTCGACTATGGGCTGGGAAAGATACACCCACGAGCAGTTTGGTCTCAACAGATTTGGTGCAAGTGGTGCCTACAAGGATGTCTATAAGGTAATTTGCGATCTTTCTCTGAATTCCAAATCAAAAGCTAACTTTTCCAGAAATTCGAGTTCACACCGGAAGGTATTAGCAAGCGTGCTGTTGCAACGGTCGATTTCTACAAGGATGTCCAGAATCTACGCTCACCTATCAACCGTGCTTTCCAACAATTGATCTAAGTTATGCTGTTGACCAGCTGGGTTCGAGTTAGAGCAGGAGTCCTTGAATGTATAGCTTAAGAATATTAGACGAAAATGAATGAACAAACTAGCGAAGTGGTCTGACAATCACATAGATTTTGCTTTACTTATATTTAACTCTTCTAATTTAATCACACTACGGATCATCGTTAGACCTACTAGCAGATAAAGGTCGTTGAAGGACCTTTGGCATGCTTGAAGAGCCAAATAGCTCGACAACCTCCGCGATATCTTCTCCCATAGCACTATTTCAATAATAAAATTCTCCAATCCTTTCCCCTGTCATGACCTTTTATAATAACTTCAAAATCACGAACCTCCTTTATACTTCACCATCCCACAACTCATTCATCCTGCGCTTCCCTTTCCGCCTCATACCAGTCCCTCTGTACCACTCTCCCGATTCTTTCCAATCTCGCAGCCATTCTTCTACCCTCTCCCGCTTCACCAGCCCGTGGCGCTATCACCGTCGCAATCAACATCGGCACTTGTCTCCTTTCGTCCTCGACCCCATTTCTCCACGGCTGTTCCCCATTCTCCCCGTCTACATTTGTGTCTGCGCTTAATGGTCTCAGGTCTAGTCGTGCGCTTGAGACTATACTCTGTGAGGCGGGCAGAGGACTTGGTATCTGGGTGGACACGGATGGAGGCTGCGTGAGGTAGGAATGCAGAATTGATGCGCCGGAGGTTGTGGATATTAGGATTCGCTGCGGTGGGCCGAGCGCGAGACGTTGGGAGAGGTTGTAGGCTGTTAAAGCGGTGGTGGTGAGTTGCGTGAGGGCTTGGGCGGTGGTCTGGTTTGGGGAGGAGGTGGGTGGGGGTATTGAGTTGGAGGATTGGGAGGAGGAGAGAATTGGAGTGAGGGTTAGGTCGGTTAGGTGATGTGCTAGATTGGAATTATTTGTGCTCATGGTGAGGAATTGGAGGGATCATGAGTTTGTTGGTAAAGAGGAGGGTTCCCGGTTGTGCTGAGGTCTTTCGAGATAAGATACCCCGCCTGGTTATTTAAGACATTGGAAAATTGTAAGACATCTGCGAAGCGAATCTTGCAGTGGTGAAATTGCTAAAGATTCGTGACTATGACATCATGTAGATATGGACAGAAATAATAATGAATGGTGGTTTGCCTAATTGAGAATTACCTTATGTATAACATTCAAGCGACGTCTCGACTCGAATAGTTCTACCTCCTTCACTGCCCGTCCGTGCATTGACATCGAAGCTCGGGCCCTTGTGGCTACAACCGCCGCGACAGGGAACAGGGGCGGCGGTAGTTGACAGCTATCGACAACACCAGAAGCACTTCCCTTGAATGTATCGCGTCAATTGAAAACACTACCACACATACAAACAGAACATAAGCTCGCAATCATGGCAGACGCAGAAGAGAAAGCGAAAGCTGAGAAGCTCGCGGCCGCTAAGAAACGGGTAAGAGCGACCTACTCGTGGGGCAATCAGCTGCAGGATGTACGCTGACAATACGGATCACAGGTCGAACAGATGAAGAAGAAGAATCAAAAGAAGACTGGCGCAAAGAAGACAGACAAACCCGAAGAAGAGAAACCTGACACCACGTCAACAGCCGAAAGCTCCAAGGCTGAAGAAGAAACAACAGATGCGGCACCATCACCTGCAGTCGACGATGTCACACCAGCAGAGGGCGAACAGGCGAATGATGAAGCGGATGTTCCAGACTTGAATGTAGCAAAATCCCATGGCAGACAACCCTCTCTGTCGGTCCAATCCAAGATGCGCTCAGCCTCCTTTAGGCAGGGCTCGATATCTGGAGGGCCACTCTCGCCAAGCCATTTATTTTCCCCTGAAGGAGATACTGCTCCGGACATTTATAAGAAACAACAACACAAGATTGAGGAATTGGAAAAGGAAAATAAAAGGTTGGCAAAAGAGGCCAGTGATGGTGAGAAGAGATGGAAAAAGGCTGAACAGGATCTCGAAGAGCTACGGGAGGCTGAAGATGATTCGACAACGCAAAATAGGGGGCCACCTGCTGATGGAGAAGGATCATCAGAAGAACTTGCAAAACTCGTACGTTTTTCTTCTTGAGCGCTATAAATAGTAACTAATGTGATCTAGAATGCGGAAATCGCTGCTCTTCAACGTCAGAATGCGCAACTACAGGTGCAATCCGCCAGAAATACGCGTCATGGTTCGTCTCCATCTGTTTCAACCAACGCACCATCAGATTACGAAGCAGCTCTTGCCTCTAAATCCTCGACCATCGAGAGTATGGAAATAGAAATATCCAATCTCAGAGCTCGTCTGGAAAAGGTAAACTCTGGCGACTCAGTCAAGGAACAGGTTAATGCCTTGGAAGAAAAACTGGCGCGGAGTGAGAAGGCAGCCGTTATTGCACAGCGTGAATTGGCCGATCTCAAGAAGAACCTTGAACGGACTACAGAAAAGGCTGTCAAGGAGGGTAGTCAGAGGACCTCGGCAGAGACGAAATTAAAAACTTTAGAGCGGGAGTCAGAGGAGGCAAAGGCTCATAGTGAGGATCTACAGAAGAAGGTGGAAGCGCTGGAAAAGAAACTTGCCGCTCTTGCAACGTTGCACAAAGAACATGACGCTCGATTTCAGGCGCAGAAGAAAGATGGTGAAAAGGCGGAGAAAGATGCCTCGGATTTAAGATCTCGGCTGGCTGGACTTGAGAATGAGAACCAGCGATTACGGGATGAGAGAGAACGAGCGAAGAAGAGGGATGCTGAAGGCATCGATGACGATGGGGTCGATGAATTGGAGAACGAAGAACGCGAACGGCTTGAAAAGAAAGTCCGCGATCTAGAGGGAGAGGTACATGAGCTTCGTCGAGGTGTTTGGAGAGAGCGACGACAGCAATTAGACGGAGACGAACCGGCTGGCGCGACTAGTCCCGGCGCCAGGTTTACCGACATTGACCTAAGTGGACATACGTCTCCCAACCGGCGGAGAAGTATCGCTAACCACCAGGGTCGTGGAAACGGACTGGGGGATTTCCTCACCAGCGGTTTCAACGCGATTACAGGAGGTACGAGCTCAGGGGCGAGAGACGACGACGCCCTGTTAGAGGATGATGAAGACATGGACTTTGACGAGGACGCATTCCGACTGGCGCAGGAAGAAGAAGCAAAAGCCCGCATTGAGCGAGTGAAGGAGGTCAAGCGGGGTCTAAAGAACTGGGAGGGCTACCGATTGGATCTTGTGGAAAACAGGAGGGGTGGTGGTGAAGGAGTCGGGGAAATCTTTGATATCTAGACGCGGCCAGGGTGACGACGGCTAAGGATGAGGCTTTGCAAGAATGCCAATTGTAAGAATAGATAGAGTTGACGGCCCACTGCCGGAGCTACTGTATCATCACACCTATCCCGGCACTCTATCTGTTCTGCTGGGAGCCTTCCCCGATTACCCAATACGGATAACCGAACTCTAAGCCCCCATGGTTAATGTCCCAACAGAGGAGAAAGGCTTGGCCAGTACGAGTCTTGGGTCGATGTTTTGGCTGGGAGAGATTAAGCGCCGTTTTAGGGGGCGAAGGGCTCAGGGGTAGATGGGTGCAGAGGAATTTACGAGGGCCAAGGGGTTGGTAGGCGTTTTCCATCGCCACAGCCCTACAGTGCAACGTCGATTTTTAGCCGGGCCTGGGATGGAACAAGTTACGTCGGTCCTGGCTTGTCTGGGGCTCGTAAAAAAGCATAGAGACTCTCCTGGTCTGAGACCTCCCTGTCTCCCGTTGCTGCAGATGGGTTTGTAAGTTGGACCCCATAGCGATGAGACCGTATTGTGGAGGGGCAATGGTGTTTGCTGTTTGGAGTTTTCATAGCATCTGTGAGCTATCAGATTGATCGCCCAACAATTGAACATATGGGATGAGGATGTTTGACTAAGTGTTCCTGGGCGTTTTGTTTTTCGGATGTTCTAGACTATGATTGCCATTAGCCACCACTGCTTCACAGCCAAGAGGCCTTTGTAGGGGAGACATTGTTTTAAACAGTTTCCCAAGATGACTACCTAAACATTTTCAAACCCTTATCGAAGCCAATCTATCTATCCCAGGTACCGATCTTCTCTCTTCCCCAGCTTCAGTCTTGGTGTCTGGGCCGCTGAGGATGAATCTCCAGCAGATGCTTGACACCAGCCGCAACGGGTGTGGCCTGGCGCAGAATGCGTGCCTCAGTAAATCTAAATTGCCAACTCAAAAAATAATGACCAAGATCTTCTCTCATCCGAACTCCATCTCCTTGACAATTTCAATTGAAGCTTAACAAGCAACCCTCTTTGCTTCCGTCGTGTTCACGCCATCTCCGAGTGAGCGTCGCAGATGGAATGAAGCGAGCTGCGCAAGTGCACGACATACCTCCGTCTGCTGCCCAAATGGCCATGGGCTTACATCTCGTGGCTCATATCTGGCGTTGACGATCTCGGGGAAGTAGGCAGTGTAAGCACACCTGCTGCACCTCCTGCATCGTCTGCTGCTGCTGCTCTCCAGTCCCGTTGACCCCTCGAGATGAGCTCGCTCCTGCCGACCACCATGGCACACCCAACATGGAGGGATTATGGCAGCGAGCTGCTGTTGTTACTCCGACTGCCGTGTCATTCGTTTGGCGATTCTTTTGGTTTTACCTTCGTTTTTGCGGGGGGTGGCAGATGGGTCGGGCAGTCGTTGGCGAGCGTGAGGAGTTTGAGAGTATATCCTCCTCGCCTGTCGTTCACCTCAACTGCGAGATAATGGGGTCTGGGGCCGGAAACCCCTGGTCTTGACACTTTGCTGTACACCGTCTCCCGTCCATTCTCTACCATCGAACAAGCGGTCGTGAGAAGCGGTATCGACGGTGAACCGCGGTGTCCCCCCGTTCGGCCCCTCCTCTCCGAGATCTTGTTCATCCCATCTCTTCATCTGTCACCAGTCTGCATTACAAGAGTCTCATGTTTATCTGGGGTTTGAGACGGGCCCGCAGGGCTGGGTGCGATCCGAAGGCCTTCTTGGACCCCACGATGCTCATTCTGGTCCAATGCGGTCATTTCCTCGACGCAATTATCCTGTTTGGCGCTATACCTCGAGCCATATACCTCGATTGACTGGTCCAAAATGCACATCACAGAACCACCACGGCAGGTCCGTCGTGCAGGAGGATCTCACACCGTACCCAGCGGAATGCACAATCGTTTCCTTTCCCCTGGCCATCACCCATCCTGGCGCTTGTGGTGGACCCAATCGCCCCCAAACGCCCCCACGGTGTATCCCCATATGTCGGTGTGCTCATGAATGTCAGATTCCGTCCAGGCATCCCGCTCCCACCATCATATGTTGATGGTAGCAGTATGTGAGTGCCGTGTTGTGAAGGGGAACAGGGCAGAGCATTAGGATTCGTCATTATTAATATGCTGTTACATCGTAGATTTCACTCCTGCCAGGAATTTTCCCTATATCAGGTACCCGGCACTGCGTTGAGGCACTGCTTTCCCCGCGAAAAAACTTATCTGACCATCTTACTTTCGAAGCTTTATCTAGGGCGGGGTTTTGTTGATATACGCAGAGCGCGTCCTTGTTTTTCAGTCTAGCTATTAGCTTCTCGTTTGGATCAATGGTTTTGACAAGTTTCTTGGTGAAATTGTTTAGAAGTTCCTTCTAAGATGTTTGAGTGGTCGATAGACACTTCTTCAGTATCCGGCAACAACGACTTTAGTTTGGGGTATTCAGATTGCAAGTGAGTAGTATACAGAGTTCTTTCAGCTATATATTCCTCCAACCTCGATTGTCTCTTTACTGTGCCTCTTCCCAGCAGGCTCGTCTTTCTGGTCCCTCATGTTGATTGATAGAGCTGACTCATAGACTAAAGACATCATCCAAGGCGCAGAGTAAGTCAAGCGAATGCACACATTGCCTGGAGAACCCTCCCGAGAAATGACTGGCAGAATGATACAAGACGGGCCGCGGATCCAAGAGTTGTCTTCAGTCAACTTACACTTGTATTGATTGCGTACAATACCTGGAGACGAGGCTTCTGCAAGATCATTGCCGATTCTGTTGGGCGACCTTCGAGGCCCTTGACTGCCGAGTATCTTGAACGGTCTCTGCTCGATTCAGTCGCCGAAAACATACCCAAGCATACAAAGCTTCAAGAGAGACTGTTTGAGATTGTCGGTCGATTAGGCGCACTTTTTGGATCAGGCTGGTTCTTTGAGTGGCCAGGAGGCAAACGTCCGTTGAACTCAACATGGCCATGGGCTGATGTGAAACCTTCACTATTAGTTTTATGGGGTGTCTGCTGGATGTTCGTCATTGCCCACCCTTACAACATTGGCGGTCGCGGATACAGTCCAGGAAACAGCTTGAGCCGCAATCAGAACGGCGCTGGATCGCGAGGTCGACCGCAACAGCGAAGTGCTGATAACTACTATCTTACCCCTCCAGGTATGTGCGGGCTCTCTCTTATATCCACATTTGTGATTTGCCTCTCAGTGGCACTCACTCGCGCATTCCGAGACCCTCACCTCTAATTTGATGTGGCTACGAGCTCGAGCAGGCTCTGAGGTCGAGTGAGTTCAGCATTGGCTGTTCACACCCGATACCTATTGAGACGGCTAGTCAATAGGGGATTGGGCATGGACTTCTTATCACCGCATTGGCGGTATGCTTGAGGCTGAAGCTGAATGCTCGAGAAAGAGAAGCGTACCACCTAGGCTATTTCCTGGATCGAAGCTGAATCTTTCTGACTGTTCACCTTTCGAGAAGTCCGGTGAAGAAGCATGCGGCGAACAATAACTGCCGATCTCATTAACTTCCATTGTCGAGATCACTGCCACTACACGGCGCACTCATTCACCCAAAGCTGACGATTGTCTAGCACAAACCCAATCGCCCGTCGTCAAGAGAGAAAATCTCGGTCACTCGCATACGCTCCGGGGTGACTGGCCACTTTTTCAACAAACCGTCGACTCCCTCAACATCGACGAGGCAGCGTATCTCTACTCGACTTCGACTTCGACTTCGACTTCGCACTCGGCACCGCCACAGCAGCCAATAATACCTATACCAGTCATGATGCAGGCTCCCGACCAGCGACCGTATCATCAGGCCGGCCAGGCAGATACGACTGCGCCTTTGACCGCCATGCGCAACAGCAGAAGCACCCGCAGTGAGTCATCCCTGTCCCCTCGTCCTCCTGCTGCCCCCAACTCCAGCCCTGTACGAAGGTATCCCCGCTGCAGCGTCGTCGCGGTTGCTGTACCCCCAAAATAGCCCGTGCGGGCCCTGTCCGCTGAACATGTGACTGATGCCTCCACAGTAGTCACGACTTTGTCGCCAGCTCAAGGCATCCTCCACGAATTCCCGGACGGCAACGCGCATACGAATCACCACTCGAATACAAATACAAATGCAAACGACGCCAGACGCGTAGCTGAGAGCTTGAATGCTACACAAACACACTCGCAGAATTACGGCCAACCATCCGCGTTATTACGTTATCACGAGAGCCCGAATCCGAATGCGGTTAAGCGCGGCCACACGGCGACACCGGAAAATTCAGGCGAAGTCTTAGGCCAACAACACAACCAAGCATTTCAGAACCTACAACACCAGCGCCAGCAGCAGCAGCAGCAGAGACCATATTACGAGTCGTCTCGCCACGACAATACCAAGCCGTTCCTTAGAAGTACCGCCTCGACCAGCAGCCACTTCACCAACACCTCCTACCTGCCATCCTTCCCGAGCAACGACACGATGTCGATCGCCGCGTACGAATCGGCACATCGTCCGTTTAATGGATACCCTACGATGCCCTCAATGCACGACGATCAGCAGGAGCAAGATGACAACAACATGCAACACCGGTATCCGTCGCCCGGCGCTGGCCTTTCGGGTCATCCATACAATGATCCAGTAGTCGATCAAACCGCGGATAGTATCGCGTTGGAGTTGCAACAAGAGTTGCCACAGCAGAAAGACGAGTCCCTGCCACCAAGTCCGGGAAGAATGAGACCGATACCCAAACCTGATCGCGAAGTTACAAAGACGGAAGAGGGGAAATATATCTGTATGTGGCAAGGATGTACGGAAGAACAGAGGCTATTTAATAGAAAGTGCGAATGGTCCAAGGTAAGATCGATCACTACCAAACTCGCGACAGCTTGCTAATCACTATTTTCGTCTAGCATATGGACAAGCACGATCGACCATATAAATGCCCATCTGAAGGATGCGAAAAACTTCCAGGCTTCACATATTCTGGCGGTCTATTGCGACATCAGCGGGAAGTACATAACCTTCACGGCGGTCCTCGAAAACAGCTTAATTGTCATTACCCGAACTGTAAGCGGCATAACGGAAAAGGCTTCTCACGACAGGAGAATCTGAACGAACACCTAAGACGCGTTCATACCGCGCCTGCTGGCGAGCATCCACCCGATGAAACCGAGGACGATAGCAGTGAAGGTAGACCTTGGAAGAGGAAGAGAGGCAATACCGGATCGGGTGACAGCGATGTTCGGGTGGAGCTGAGTAAGCTTAGACTTGAAAATGATGAGTTGAGACGGAATTCAGAAATCCAGTCCCGGCAAGTTGCACTACGTAAGTCGTTTCCGCAGGTGTCACTCCCATTGGTACTAACCATTCTTAGTATCGCAGCAAGTTCAAGCTCTCGAAGATGTCATCAATGGTCGGGTAAATGTAAATGCCGGTGCCCCTCAAGCCATGATGTGATACGCTTCTCTGTTTTGATTCTCTTTGCGCGAAAAATGATTCCCCACTTTTCATATTTTTGGTCCAGGACTCTTCTCATTCGGCGTTGGAGGATACGATACAAATCATAGCATACCGGTAAACTCAGCTTTGGCATTTTAGGGTGGAGTAAAATGGGACGGGAATGGGTGCTATTATACACACGATCTTGCTTTTTGCGTTGATTCCATATCTCTTCTGCACCGGTTAGATTGGTGGAGAGCGATTGCTACGATATTTACGGATGGATGGAGAAATGCAAATTAATGGACGGATTGATTCACAGATCAGCATTGCAGGGCATGTGCACTTCTCTACCTCTGATGTTTCAATCGCTGTGCCAGTAGGGCAAGGGCGGTGGAGTGTCTATAACTATGTACAATTAATAGATTCAACTTGTCAGCGCTTGGAATTACACTAGATCTGATATCAACGACTAGTTCACCACACTTGTGAGTAATTGGTGATGATATATCTTCTTCCTCCTCGCTTTGGCCACTTGGTCCAACTTTAATATAAGCTTAATACTTTTAGGTATTACAGAAAAACTTAAGACATGCCGACACATTATTTCAGGCAAAACATTTACCGTCATCCTGCACACGGCATAACCCCTCACTCTCCTAATAGCTTTACCTAAAATCACAACACCACGTCCTCGGAAGAAGCAAATTCCAATATTCCTCATTTCTGCATCGGGGGTCCGTCGCACAAGCCAAAATAGTCTAGCTTCTAGTCAACATGGGTGCTGGCGCCATGCGGGAACCGAGCTCTCGAGACCCCTCAAAACTTTTCTTCTTTCCCTCACCAAAACCATTTTACATTATTTCTCTCCACGCTTGATTGAAGCTCCCTCCCGCATAAACTCGAGGATTGTTGTTTGAGCTGAAAAGACGTGAGATTGAATATATTTATCTGTTTGAAAGGGTTTAAGTCATAGTGAAGGAAGACTGGAGATGGCGGACGATGGATTACGCAAAGATGTTGGGGATGAGACGCTAGACTCCGATGTGCTGCCGAAGGCGAAAAGTGGGAATACTTTTAGTCCTGAGTTGGAGGTTGAGGGGGGACAGAGGGGGGATGATGCGGAGGTTGAGAGGGTTGAGAGGGTTTATAAGTGAGTATAAGTTGGTATTGAGATAAGTATGTCTATTGACTTGTTGTAGGAAGATTGATCGTAGGATTATTCCAGGTATGAGCGACTAATTCGAAGCTGGCATATTAAAGTATATTGATGAGTGACAGCTTTCTGGATTCTCTATTTCCTCTGCTCAGCCATTCGTTCCAATGTCGGTCTGGCTCAGACTATGAATTCCTCTTCTGGTCACTCCCTCTCGCAAGTCCTGCATCTCACAGCAAAGCAAACTTCAACAGCACTCGCCCTGTTCTACGTCGCCTATGTCATCTTCGATTGCCCTTCGAACCTCATCATGACCCGACTTAGCCCACGTGTATGGATGTCTCGAATCGTCATCGCCGTTGGAATCATCGGGGCTTGCTTCGCGGCCGTCAAGGCTGCTTGGAGTCTTCTGTGAGTCACTTGCTACCAGAATTCCCCTCTCCAACCTCCTAACTTTCCGTTACCAGTCTTCTCCGATTCCTTCTGGGCGTAGTGATTGCTGGCATGTGGCCTGGCATGGCGTACTACCTGACCTTGTTCTACCCCCCTTCACGCACCGGCAAGCGAATCGGGATGTATTTCACCGCAGCCCAGGTTTCTGCTGCTGTGGTCGGCCTCGTCTCGGCCGGGTTTCAGAAGATGGATGGATTAGGTGGACTCGTGGGTTTCCAGTGGATGTTTCTACTTTATGGACTTTGTGCAATCATCCTAGGGTTTGTTCTGTTGTGGTGGCTGCCAGACCGTCCATTGCCGCCTGGACAAACACGGCCTAAATCTGGACTCTCGCGATGGCTGCCTTCTACCCCACCTGTTCTCACAGGCGAAGATGCTGAAATTCATTATCGTGATCTAACCAGAGTTTATCACCCAAGAAGGTGGACTTTGAAAGATCTAGGCATGGTGCTGATTGATTGGCGACTATGGCCGTTAGTCATGATGTACTTTGGAGTTGTAGGGGTTGGTATTGGCACCCAACTCTATGGAACCGTAATCATATCTGGGATCGATTCAAGCTTTTCAGGCATCACTCTGAGTTTGTTATTTGCTCCAATCTGGGTGGTAAGTCGCTTGTACAACCTTAATAGTCAAGTGCTGACATGTTCTAGATGGACCTTATTGCAATCCTCCTAGTAACCCCAATATCTGATCGCTTCCACCACTATCGAGCAGCCTTCTTCTCCGCAGCCGTGTGCATTCAAATCGCCGGTCTTCTTACCACTACTTTCGCACCACGAGGACAGCCATGGGCTCGCTACGGTGGTCTCCTTATGGTAGGCTTCGGTCTTGGTCCCACCGTTCCAATCTGCATGACTTGGACCAACGAGATCTTCCAACGCAGACACGGCGAGGTTGGTGTCGCGGCCGCTAGTGCTCTTGTGAGTGGCCTCGGGAATTTAGGCAGTGTCATGACTACGTATGCGTTGTACACTGGCTGGCCTGAGGATGCGAAGAAAGGACCACATCAATACCGCAAGAGTAATCTCGTCATGATCGGTATACTATGTCTGAGTATCCTAAGCAGCTTCGCAATGACTCTCTTGTTGAAGATTGTGGGTAACCCGCCCAGTGGGAAGATCACCACCGACGACAGCTCCGAGGACTTTCAAGATGGCGCCGCAAGACGAGAAGGTGTCCAGAGAGGCTTTGGCAGGATGTGGTGGAGTCGATAGGCTCCCCTATCTCTTCCTAATGAACGATGAGGTTTTTCAACAACTAACGAGAACGATATGGGACTCTCAACTCCCCAACCACACTCCTTTAACACGACACTTGCATATTTGATTTTTTGTTTTTGATTTAGCGACGATACCCCATTAAAACGTTTATATACCCTTGTCATTCGAGTTCATCCTTGGAAGCTCGACAGCGAAAATGCTTTGCGCTATCGCTGGGATCGGCGTATTGGACTGAGGCGGAGCACCGACGACAATTCTGTTTACGATATCGTTAGGACCGTCTCGTGGGAATGTTTTTTTTTTGCGATCTGGTGGCTTTTTGGCTGAGGGTTTGAATGGTGGTTTGAGTGGGAGGAGCTTGATGAGGGAGGTTGGTAGATAGAGAGATTTCAATATATATGTTTGTGCGAAATGTGACTTTCGCTGGTTTTGACGTGATTTTTTATTGAGAGTATGTTTTGTAGAGATGACATTACTTTCTTGAGACTGTGTATAAGGTACGTTTTGTCGCCTTTGGAGAAATTATTTCGCCTACTACGATATCGATGCGTCTTCCTATGTGGAACATACGACAAACACATATGTTTCTACAAAGATTACTCGCATGTGGGTCACTCGATGACAGACTCGATGACAAGATACCTTTTGACATGTCAGATAAAAACTAGACAATACTCAAGTCCTGTAATATAGCCAGATCACAGATTTTGAGATGTGACGAACATATCGACTCTCTCTAATCAAGAGCCCGATGTATTTGTCTCATCTGACCGAGATTCGAAAGAAATCGAAAACCCACTGTATCAATTGAAAGCCACACTGCAACATGCAACAAAATGCAGCAAAGGGGTCTGCATATTCTCTCATCTGATGTCCAGCTTACAGTCAATAGTTGCCGAGACGAAGAGAATGAACATGAATTTTGCGACTTGCAACGAAATACATCGGTATGGGCGTGTCGTCTGATTGTCTTGCGAACAAAGCAGTTAACCACCAAAGTCATTGAGAATCATGCTGCGACATGTAACAAATTTAGTTGTGAATTCTATATCGAGGGCGGGGCTTTATCGTCTGATTGACTTGTGAAAATGACCAAGACATAATTATAATGTCGAGTAAAAAGTGCGATGTGCAACAAAATTTATAGATCGAGACTTGAAGGTTGTCTCATCTGATCGATCTTCATAAACCACCTAGAAATGATTATAATGGCGGGCGAAAAAGTGCGATATGCAACAAATTTTTCTTGAAATTCGACGTCGAGGTATGTCTCGTCTGATAGACTTTTGAAAATGACCAAAAACGGGCAAAATGGCCACAAAAATGTCCTAGGTGCGATGTGCAACAAAACCATCTCAATCTTTGTTCTCAACTAATCGATCTTTCAAAATTAGCCAGATATAATCATATTGTCGAGTAAAAAGGGTGCGATATGTAACAAAAGTATAGTTGCCAGTGCCTATTCAACTGTTACATATATCTCGTCTGATCGACCTACGAAGATGACCGAAAGATGATTATAATGACCGGCGAAAAAGTTCAATGTGCAACAAATGTATGCTTCACCCGCAAGAAAGAGCGTTAGGCTGTTCTCATCCGATCAACCTTTGAAAACGACTGCTTGGCTATCAAAAATGTCCAGGAAAGTGGCCGTTGTGCGATGTGCAACAAAAGTAAACATCTCCCTTCTTCTGAAGATCAGTAGCTCTTCTCTGATGTTCGTCCTTTGAAAATGACCAGTTGGCTGTTAAAAATGCCCGTTCAACACAGCCTTTGAAAATGGCTGTTGAAAATGGCCTCTGTGTGCGATATGCATTAAAAGCTAAGATCGTATAGATTAATGATAAAAGGTGGCTATCTCATCTGTTACACGCTTGAAAATGGCCTGCAACCCAGCAAAATGGCCTAGAAAATTGCCCTGTGTGCGACATGCAACAAAATTTGTGGATTAAGGGTGAAAGAAATCTGTCTCATCCGACCGACCGTCGAAAACGACCAGCTTGCTATTTAAAATGGCCTGGACAGATGGCCAAAGTGTGCGATATGCAACAAAAACAGGGGTTGGCCTAGATCGTCCTTCATCCGATGGACATGCGAAAACAACTAGAGCAGAATGATAATGATCAGGAAGGGATTGATTTTTGCGACATGCAACAAAATATTGAGGGTTCATTTGTTAGTGAATCGACAGGAGAAATGGGTACATATACACAAAATGCAGTAAATATATAGTGTCCCAGTCTAATACAAAATCCTGCATAAAAGCTACAAAGTCCCTCTACTGGAGCCTTTGAAGGCTATGCTTGACCTCTGAAAGTTTTCCTTTCTAAAAAGGACAAGTTCCAGTCCTCCAAAACCCTTAAAGTTAAGTGAAACCTACGACTCCTTCACTCCATCCAAGAAAACGTCGAATTTCTCATTATAAAAGCACAATCTTCCCGCAACCAATGCAGATTCCGCTGTGGGGTACTTGTAATACCATACCGCGTCTTTGATCACTTTGTCTCCGACTACGACGTCGTAATAACTGCTAAGTGGTTAAATCTTTTCATCGAAGTGGCAATACCAGCCCACTGACACTCCAAACGGGGTGTATAAAAATACAAAGTGAGCGAGGAGAACCTACTTGGCCATTCCTTTGTAAGGACAAAATGAAGTAGTATCGCTTTCACGCAGAAATTCCCAGTTTACATGCGTTTCGCCGAGGTAATAGCGTGGTCGTAACATTGTTTCGTAAAGAAATATGTTTTGTGAGCTTATAGCCACGATCTGGAAGCGGCAGAATTTTAGCATCGTTTATGATTTTCTCAGAGGTACCGAGCAAACATGTTCGACACGCTTTTCCATGTAAAGATAAAACTTACAGCATCGTCGATTTCCACTCTCACTTCTCGACTCGAGGGAAGACATTCGATTCTTTTATATGGATCCTTGGGGTGTGGGCCGAGGATTTGCTCGTCTTCTACAAACCATTTGTCTAGTGCGGAAACTTCGATGCGGATGAGTCCGTCCAGAGGATTTGTACGACTTGAGAATCCAAGAAGTCGGTCTGTTGTTTTCTGTGGAACTTTGAGTTTGGCAAGCCAACATGCCTCTTTGCTGTTAGAGTCATGCGTTTTCTCGAGGACTTTATGAGCGAAGTCTGAGGCGGGGATGTAGAAGTATGGATCTGGTGGCGTCAGTGTCCAGGATAGATATGAAGACCGTTCCATCAAGTATTTCTAAAAATCCGCCTCTTAAAACTGGTAATCACTCACAATACTTATGTTCCCATACATAACTTGCCCTCGTTGTGTCAAAGACGTATATGCCGCCTAACAAGCCACGAACTCGACGAGGTGTACTTTCAATTTTGTGAGGCCCATCTTTTACGAGTTTCTTTCCCAGTTCAAGGAGACTGCTCAAAACATTCAGCACAAGTCTGACTGATCAGGGGCCGAGTTGCCTGGAAAGGGTTGCAACAATGGATTCATGGAATCGCGATGTTGTGATCGTGCGGGGTAGGCACTCACTCTGCCATAATGCAACTTATTTCTCGGTAAAGACGAAATATCTCAGCGAAAACGAATCAAATTCTATATTTTGAGACGAATTCGAAAGGAGTAGACTAATTGAAAGGAAGATTCAACTGAAATTATCCAGTAATGTAAGCGTGAAATATTACCAATCCGCGAACCTACACCATTTAAGCGAGCACCCCAAAATAATTACCACCAAACTTCGAGGCTTTACGGTGTCAAACACACAAGACCCGTCAAATTTTCGCGAGATGCAACAAATTCCACCTCGCCGTCCTAATCCAGTAAAGCCTGGAGGCCCATTCTCCTCACCATTCGATGCCTTGCAGCAATCATCAGCAGCGCGATATGCAACAGACTCGTCTCTTTTTGTCCGAAGTAGGAAGGAGGCGTAGGTGGTGACGAATGGGATGAGCCCCTGAGAGTGTGCTTGGAAGTGGGGTCGTGCTTTGTGGGTTTTTGTTGCATGTCGGCGTGATGAAGATGCGATGAGCAACAATGATGAGGGATGATGCAGGTTGCCTTTTTAGGGTGGGTCGCATGTGACAAAGAATTTTTGTGTTGATTTTGAAGATGGTTTGTTTTCATGCTTGAGAATTGATGATGGAATTATGAAATTGCTAGTTAGAAAGTTGTTGGTAAGGGGCTTAACCGGTTGAGTGTCTCGGGCTGCAAGGGCTGACTTCATTCAGAACCAGTCAATTTAGCGTTGCTAGAATGTCTTTAGGTGATAAAAAATACCATTATTTAATGTTGGTTAGTTAACTTGACACTATACAATATCAAAATTCAATAATTTGAATTTCCTAATTATTGTCTCTCGAAAGCTCACAAGCATACAATTAGATTGCGTAACATTTGATCAGCAAAACAACGAAAGAGTCCATAGGTAATTCCGGGTTACTTATTCAATAGCAATTATTGACAAGCTCTGAGTAAATAAGTTGAAATCTTATAGGCGTGGAGTAGCAGCCTTATAGTGCCGAAAATCAATCAAAACTTAACAGGACCGCGATCTTAAGCAACAGTCAAGCATATTACTTTAAGGCTATTAAGGAATGCCTTTTCACAAACAAAGAATCGAAACATCATACGTAGGCGACCAACTCACTCAGGAAACAAATTCATGAGAGCCCGAAAATAACTTCAGAAAACTTCCAAAAGCGAAGCAAGCTCAATGAATTTGAATACCACTGATCTTTTCGTATCATCCGGGTTCGGTACACTTTTCATTTAATGATATATGTGAACTGAAATACAGCTTCTGGAAGGGACCAAAATTAGCCGAGATCCTCACATTCAGGTCAGTTTCCATATCCAGGATAATTTCACTTGTTTCGAATTTGCCAATCGTTCCATTAGATATTAATTCCGTATGTACTATTGACTCAATCTTGATCCTGTCCTGAAAGTCCTTGAACACGAGAATGGATCATGATTGCGACAGGTCTGAAGAGAGTTAAACCAGTAACAGAATATGCCAAAAGTCGCAGAGCCGTACTCTAGTTAACTAAATCAGCACCAATGTACTGACACTGCAAGTATTACGAGACACTTCCTTACAGTATGATAACGATATTCTAGTCACAAAGCTATGTTGAATCAATCTGTTGAAGTAAATGTATATCTTTGTCTCCTTTATAAGGGATTAAATTTCCCGACAGAATGGAATGTTTGAAAGCCGTTCTCTGATGAAGTGTCTTTGGAAGATGTCCCGTCAGTCTTGCAACCCACTAGTGCAGTGTCACATATCCATCTGCTGTCGTTAAATTCATATCATTACTACCTTGCTACATATATTCCAGCATCACCAATCATCCTAACTCACCACCTAAGCAGGCTTCCACTCAAAATGATGTTTCCCTGTTTCCGGTTGTCCCGGATCTTTATCGTCACTCTTACTATCAAACATGTGTTTCCCGAAATAATCCAATTCCGCCTCATAAAAACTCGTCGGCAACTCCAGATTTCCTGAATACTTCAGATAATCCAATGTCGCGCTCATACTCGGTATGATAGCATTGGTCTCCACTCCCTTCAATACTACCTTCTTCAATGATTCAAAGCCAGTTTTAAGCTCTTTAGCGATAGACGATTGATAAAGAAGATCGTGACTGGATGATTTGGAATCCGGGGTGTAAATGGTTTCCAAGAGTGAGTTAATATGCTCGGATTGGATGATGCAACCTGCTTTCCAAATTTGAACGATATTTGCATACTTGATTGCCCATTTGTTGTCTTTGTCGGCCGCGTCTATTATACTCATTCCTTGGACGTAGGAAGCTAGACATGTTGTGTATACTGCTTGACGCAAGTCTTCAATGAACGCAGTTTTTTCGTCATCCGAGGAAAAGTCGATTTTAGAAGGTAGGAAAGAGCCGTGGAAGGTATCTTTGACATGTTCTCTGTGTCCTCGAAATGCCGAGACTATTCGTAGAAAGTGCGCAGTAGCTAGTGTGGGCGCTGGGACATGAAGTGATGTTGCTTGTGTATTGGACCAGATCCCAGTGCCCTCGGAGCCGTCGATATCTTGCACAACCTTATCTTGGACATCGGCTAGTACATGATGACCGTTTTTGTCTGTCTGTTCGCATATATCTGCTCCAATTTTGACCAGGAAAGTATCGACCTGTTATAAATTCATGGTAAGCGAGTATTGGGCACAATGCATAGGGGTTAACGAACCAGTTCTCCTTCTGATGACCACTTCTCAAACACTTCTCCAATTTCATCATATTTCATGCCCATATGCTTGTTCATGATAGTCCAAGCTTCACTAATTGAACTCATCATGGCGCTAAATCCGATTTGTCAGTCCTCTGAAAAGCTAAACAGGAGCAACTCACTGCTCAATACCGTTATGAATCATTTTGACATAATGACCAGCACCTCCCATTCCAATTTTTGCAACACAAGGATTTCCTTTCTTATCCTTCGCTGCCATTTTCTCGAACAACGGCATCGCGATGTCAAGGGCTTTATCTTCTCCACCTGGACACATACTCGGGCCTCGCCGTGCCGCCTGATACCCGCCACTAACACCACATCCAATATAATACACACCCTGCGCTACTAACTTCCCTTGTCTTCGTTGAGTATTTTCCCATTCCTCATTCGAACAATCAACAATAATATCGCCTTTCGAAAGATATGGATGAAGGCCAGAAACAACGGTATCACCCACAGAGCCATGCGGAAGTGAAAAGAAGATAATGCGAGGAGAAGAGAGCGAGTTGCAAAGTGTTTCGTAGTCTTCGTATTTCTCGATTTTGTCGTGGATTCCTTGGGATTCGCCGGATTTGATGAGGGCGTCGACGGTTTCGGATGATGGATCTTGAACTCCAACGGAAATGCCCTTCTCTGCGAGCAAAAGAGTCATTCCGCCTCCCATGGAGCCGGCTCCAATCATCGCTACCTAAACATCGTGTTAGGAGTTAATTTCGGCTATTTCGATTTCACTTACCTTTGTTATCGCAGCCATCTTGCAGGCTTTTTAGTTGAACTGGTTCAACGTACGAAGTCTCGACACAATTCTTCCGAACAATCTTCGAGATATAGGACTGTGGGAGCCTGATATCATTGCCAAATCATTTGGTTGTGCTACAACATGACGTGGAAAATATAAACTTTCCTACTAACTGAACCCCTAATTTATGACGTATGGCTGTATCTACATTATCTTGATTCCAGCATTTCCGAGCTCGAAGAAGCATATAAAATGAATTGAGGATCCCAAAATAGTAAAGGAGAACATTGGCAAAACAGAAACCTCAAAAATCAAAGCAGAAAACATCAAGAAAAGTACCTATGTATCTGTGGATTCATGAAATGCAGCACCCCCCATGTCAGACCTTTTAAGCGAAGTCGTGACTCTAATTCTGTACAGTCTGTTACTCAATAAACATACTCAACATTTCTATTCTCTCATCGTCGAAGAGATAATCACAAAAACAATCCCATCACAAGGAAAATACCCAATACCTCATGCTCTATCCCCACCACCAAGCAAAACTACCCCTCCATGCCGAGAGCCAGCCGAGGTCACTTCGCACCCCGCCGACCTGGAAACACCAAGCAGGAAAGCGGGTACCTGCATGAAGAACTACACCAGCTGACAATAACTCCCATCTATCCGATCCAGTATACCTGTACTTTCGATTAAGATTTCCAGGTTTCCGTGATCCCATCTGACTTTTAACATTTCCCAAAAATCACTTCCAATAATTTCAAAACTAGCCAAAGAGAGATCAATAACACAATCAACACATTTTACATCAAAATGGCACCGCTCAAACCAACCTGGACCCAACCCTCCCATCCCTCCATCCAAACCGTAATCCACGGCCAAAACTCCTCACAAGAATACACCTCGAAATCGGTCTCCAAGATCTCCCTCCCGCCCTTCGCGTTGTACGCAAAAATGGCCTTTCCACCCTGCACCCCGGCGTCCGAAGCTACATATGCAACGGTGCAATGTGGTCGGGACGCCCATTTGAATTTGAATAGTGATTTGGTGTATATAAATCATAGTTGTGAACCTAGTGTGGTTAGTCTTCTTCTCTTGAATACCCCAAATCCCATTTAAATTTTATTTTGTGTTGTTTTTTCTTTCATGGGGAAATATTAGAGCTGAATCTAGCAAGACTAGATCTTCGAAACATCCACGCTTTCAATCTTGGCTGGGCCCAAGGGGTTGAAAGAAGGCGAGGAGTTGACGTTTTTCTATCCGAGCACGGAGTGGGAGATGGCACAGGGGTTCGATTGTCTCTGTGGGACGGGCAGTTGTAAGGGGTGGATTGGGGGCGCGAAGGATATGGGGTGGGAGGGGTTGAAGGGGATGTATTTGAATGGGCATATTAGGGAGCTTTTGGAGGAGAGGGATGAGGAGAGGAAGGGCAAGATGAATGGGAAGACGAAAGCTGAAGAGGATAGTGTGGTGAAGATGTTGGGTGTGTCTGTTGAGCAGGCGAAGAAGGCTTTTGAGGCTGTAGAGCAGGCTTTGGAGGCATATAAGAGAAACACGAGTGGAAAGGTGTCTGGAATTGGAAGTGTGAGAGAGAACGGTATCGGATCTCGAGCTTTGATTGGTGAGATGGGAGGAGATACTGTTGATGTCTCTGAAGGGGANACCAGACGAGGCGTTACTAGTCGTGAGATGAGTGGTGAGATGGGTGGAGATACCATCGTTGTCTAAGCTGATTGAGTGGTATCATATGGGAGGATTTCTCATCGGGTTTGGTTTGGTCTGGGAAATGGGTTCGGACGTCAATGTCTCCGTGGGATGGAAGAAATGATTCAACACTTTGGATTTTGGCACGACGGATTCCAACATCTGTTTTTCTTTCGATTTTCCTAAATTAGTTTATCACAGTCATTACAGTTAGTGAGGAGAACTTACAATTCTTCTGATCACGAAAATACATATTTCAAAGCTTTCATGCCTATGATCATAGTTCCATAAAGCCAAAGCATCGAAATATGGACTAAAGTCTGACATAATTCCTCCAAGGCCTCGTGACTAAGGCCTGTTGATAAATGATTTTATACATGTAATTGATACAATATTACGCGGCTTCGTAATGGCAGAAGATGAGCAAACCGTATAACGCCAATCCTTTACCTTTTACACTCAAGTGCAGGTACTATACATCGAACCCAAAAAAGATGCGGAATCGCTTTCTACTTATCGCCCCATCTACCCCATCCCTCGCTTGTCGCTCTTTCAGATCCCGCTCCACCAGCATAACTCTTCTCCTCTTCTTCCCACTTTAGACGTTCAACACGGCTTCGTGCTAAGAAAGCTCTCGCAAATCTCCATGCTTCTGTATCTGCCAAGTTCCACGCCTCAATTGCTCCTCGGAGCTTTTCTTCCTGTTCGCTGCGAGCACGACCAAACTCTACCGCCCGAGTAAGAAGCTCCTGCTCTTTTTTCATATCCTCTGGACTGGCGACTGGACCATCTTTGAGATCCGCTTCCGGCTTCGGTCGTCTTTCAGGTCCTGGAACTGGGGTCTCTGATTTCCCAGTATCGGTAGCATTCCGTGGAATGCTGAAGCCGAAAGCCCAATCTAGATCATGTGGGAGCTCCTTTTCAGGAGTTACCCATAGAGAATGATATCTACCGTGCTCGCTGGCAACCGCCTCCTTGAATTTGATGACCCTGGGTGCACCTGATACTCCAGTGCCTAAGAGCACTTGAGTGATCTTGGCCAGCCAAGGGTCGCGCTCAGATTCTCGCCGAATCCATCTTACATCAATGTTGTCGCGGAAAGCTGTCAAGACGGCCATAGTGAAAGGATGTGGAACAGTACCGATGGTAAACAGAGTTGATGTGTTTTTGTAGTTCTCTGGAGTTGCAACGACCATTGGAGTCGATGATACACAGGGTGTGCATTTAGGTAAATTTGGAGGACAAGATGCTGGCATCGGCGACTCTGGACACATTGCGAGGAAGTCGCCCAACTTCTTAGCCGGAGCTACTGCAGAGGACATATGTTCCGGGCATGGCTTCAGAACGGATATTCCTTTAGGGAACCGCTTCTGCCAAGTCGAGTGCGAATGTGAATTTATGAGCTTGTTCAAGGTTAATAAGCCCTTCGCTGGAGACGCAATAATCTCCTGTGCAATTTTCGGGTACTTTTCTGTGACCGTCTTGTTGCTGTAGAATGCAATCGACTCATGATTTGGATCAACATCAAATGTTTTCGAGTCTTCGTCGGCCTCCTCGTTTATGGTACCGATGAAATCTGTGGCTGTCTTGAGCCTTTCCTTATTTCCAAGAGCCTCCTTCACAGCAGCTGTGATTGCAGCTGAAGATCCGACAAATATTCCTCCCTCCAACCCCGCGTACCTCGTCAACTTAATGTATTTTCCATTTCGCATGAAAGTCAAGAGGGGATCCTCTTGACCACCCATGGGTAGAACTAAATAGTTGCAAAGTATGCCAGAGCCCATATTCTCCCAAGCTAGCCACCTTGACATGTCTACCTTCAACTGAGGATTCAGGTTCTTCGTTTGGAGCTCGACGTATAACGGATTGTTCATCGCCTCCGCTGGACTCAAGATGATAGGCTTGAAGCCTTGTGCCCACCAAGCCCTTCTCCACGTAAGCAACAGCTCATTCTGGGCCTCTTTAAGACCTGCGTCTTTTTCCACGGTATGATCGTAATATGTGTATATGGGGGTTCGAGGGATGAGCATTGGGAGCAGAGAACGGTTCTCGTCGAGAGTAACAGACGACGAGAATGGACTCAACCAATTCCAATTGCTAAACCATTTCGACTCGCCGCTGGTACTGTTCTTCTGAACTGGTGGAGGATGTGCGGCTTGCCGAAAAGGATTCAGGATGCTCGGTGAAGGTATGTGCTTCGGTAGCTTAGGTAGAGTGTACTTGTGATCGGTAAATCTGCCTAATGATGGACCTGATGGAATCGAATTGGGCAAAGTAAACACAAGAGTGATCACAGCAAAGACAGCTATCGTGGCCAATAAGACCGCCATCCGCCGCGGAACCATCGCTGGCACAGGCTTCCCAAATAAACTCCTCTGAACCGGCATATTGAATATAGATAGTTGAACTTTATTTCGCTGAATATCGGCCGCGAATGCTTTATACAATCATTGAAGGACTCAAAGAGACCAACCGTAGCCCTAGCTGAATGTCGGCGTTCGTGATTTCGAACTGGATTGGAATGTTGGCCCCTGACCTATTGCATGCGCAGTTGAAAAGCTGGTAGAATCGTAAAGCAGCGCTCGAGGTTAGGAAAGAAAACGCGGTTCAACAGACAGAGAATTGAAGGTAGAAGAGTACAAGAAGCACACTAAACACGATTAAAAAGCACCTAGAACGTGGTGACGAACGGACTGAAAGTTGCTTCTCTCCTGACATTCAAATTGCACCCCCCGAGGTTGCATATCTTGGCGCGACAAATTAAGCGCGTCCGCGCTTAATTGCATATATTCGTGTTGCCAGGCATCATGTCATGTTTCTACAGAGTTTCATTTATTGACCCAAATCTGTTACCTGTTAGTTTGTTGAATTCTTATTTTCTGGTCAAGATGATATTGAGCACATCGCTGATCTAATACCTGTTTTATGGAAGGATTCTAGATTTTCGATTCTCTCTCAACCCGTCATTGAAGCTTTAGACTGTAAATTAAGTTCGGCGAGGGAGTATTACATGATCCAGAGATTATGACTATCTTCGCGAAAAGGATAAGCTTCAATATAAACCCTCGAGGACATAGTTGTGATCTACTTCGTAATTTTAAGACTGGGTCGAAATGGGTCATGTGACGAGTTGTTGTCTCTCCGAAAACGGCACACAAATTTTTGAACGCCCGAAATTTTCAAGATACCTCAAGTGACTAGTAAGATTTCGTAAAAGATTATAGTCTTCGACTTGCCATTGATATTAAATGCCAAGTCAATACCAGATATAAATTCAGTACAACATTCCATTTTCTGCAACAAACAAACTGAAGCGTGTCCTGCGATCTGATTGGTCAATTCGGCTTCAAATTTTAGTACATCCGTCGACTCATAGCTCTGCTCATCGTCTTCATCCCCAGTTGTCATTTAAAATTACACCCATTCCATTCGATTTCACCTTTTTTCTGAAGCTCCATTTTGTCACAAAAGCTTTGTTTTTAGATAGACTCTTCGGGTCGTTTTCCACACACATAGATTCTAGATCCTTGACGGAATGGCGTCAATTCCAGATCCCACCGCAGACCTTCACTGGTCAGCGTTCAGGGGAGCAATTCAAGATATATTTGCTTCAAACGCTGAAGCTCATCCAGATCGGCTATGTGTTGTCGAAACAGCATCAGATTCATCACCACGTCGCGAATTCACATATAAACAAATAAATGAGGCCTCAAACATTTTGGCCCACCATTTGGTGCAAGCGGGCATCAAGAGAGGGGAAGTGGTTATGAGTTATAGCCACAGAGGTGTGGACTTGGTGGTTACGGTCATGGGAATCTTGAAAGCCGGTGCAACATTTTCAGTCATTGACCCTTCATATCCCCCAGACCGCCAAAATATTTACCTTGATGTTGCTAGACCACGAGCTTTGGTGGTTATCGATAAAGCAACGAGAGAGGCTGGAGAATTGACCGATAAAGTGCGAGACTTTATCAAGAGGAATTTGCAGCTAAAAACCGAAGTTCCAGGTTTGGAACTCAAGGATGATGGTACACTCGTGGGTGGTCTGGTAGACGGAAAGGACATTTTCTCGGAATCGACTTCGATGAAAGCCAAAACTCCAGGAGTAGTGGTTGGACCAGATTCTATTCCTACTCTTTCGTTCACATCAGGATCAGAAGGACGTCCTAAGGGTGTTCGAGGTCGCCATTATTCTTTGGCTTACTACTTCGACTGGATGGCCGAGCGGTTCAGATTAACTAAAGATGACAGATTCACAATGCTTAGTGGTATTGCTCATGACCCGATTCAAAGAGATATTTTCACGCCACTCTTTCTTGGAGCACAGCTGTTGGTTCCTTCCAAAGAAGATATTCAGCATGAGAGACTAGCTGAATGGATGCGCGAACATGGGGCCACAGTCACTCATTTGACACCAGCTATGGGACAAATTTTGGTTGGCGGTGCTAATGCTGAATTTCCCGCCCTCCATCATTCATTCTTCGTCGGAGATATTTTGATTAAGAGAGATTGCAAGGCGCTACAAAAGCTGGCAGCCAATGCATTCATAGTCAACATGTACGGAACCACGGAGACTCAGCGTGCTGTCAGTTACTACGAGATTCCAAGTCGCTCTTCAGACCCAGACTATTTAGAGTCGATGGGGAATGTTATCCCAGCTGGAAAGGGTATGAAAGATGTCCAGTTATTGATTGTCGATCGAGAAAACCAGAATCGTATTTGCAATGTTGGGGAGATTGGAGAAATCTACGTTCGTGCAGCTGGTCTGGCCGAGGGATACCTTGGAAGTGATGAACTTACTAAGACCAAGTTTGTAGAAAGTTGGTTCGTCGATAACTCCAAGTGGGTTGAAGAAGACAAGAAAGCTGCCAAGTCTCTGACAGAGGAACCATGGAGAGAGTTCTACCAAGGTCCTAGAGATAGGATGTATCGTTCTGGAGATCTCGGTCGGTATATGCCTACAGGTGATGTCGAATGTGTTGGTCGAGCCGATGACCAGGTCAAGATCCGAGGCTTCAGAATTGAACTCGGTGAAATCGACAAGTATCTTTCAGATCACGAAATGATAATGGACAATGTCACTCTCGTGCGAAGAAACAAGGATGAAGAGCAAACTTTGATTTCTTACATTGTACCAGATATGCAGAAATGGGCACACTGGTTGGAATTACATGGTTTGAAAGACGACACATCTGAGGAGGGTATCCAGGGTCGACTTCGTCGATTTTGGGCACTTGGTGAAGATGTGAAGAAGCATCTTAGGACCAAACTTCCTTCCTACGCCATTCCAGAAGTCATCATTCCATTGGAAAAGTTTCCACTCAACCCTAACGGAAAGAAAGATAAGCCTGCGCTTCCTTTCCCAGATGCTGCACAACTCGCAGCAGCCCGTCCCACAGCTGAGCAAGGTGATCTCACGGATACTGAAAAAGCCGTTGCAAGTATTTGGGGTTCCTTGATATCGTCAATAGACGAGCGGACTCTCAACTTGGACGATTCTTTCTTCGATATCGGTGGACACAGTATCTTGGCCCAACAGATGTTGTTCCGTATCAACCGTAACTGGCATGACGCAAATGTCAACATGAGCGTTATCTTTCAAAATCCTACACTGAAAGGATTTTCGAGTCAAATCGACAAGCGAGTTCAGTCAGCTCGCAATGGTGTTGCGTTAGATGAGCCTGAAGTTGCTGTGGACTACGCCGGCGATGCCAAAGCTCTAGCTTCGTCTCTACCAGAAAAATTTCCCTCCGCGGATTCTCCCATTTCAAGCTCATCTCCGCTTACGGTATTCCTTACCGGTGCAACTGGATTCTTAGGAGCATATCTACTTCGAGATCTCTTGACTCGTCAGTCACCACAAATCAAAGTCATCGCACATGTAAGAGCTATCGACCAAAAGGTGGCTCTCAAGAGAGTTATTCAAACCTGTCAAGCATATGGAGTATGGAACGAATCATGGGCCTCTCGAATTTCTTGCGTTACAGGAAGTCTCGGTGACCCCCGCCTAGGTCTCTCAGAAACAGTATGGAACAGACTCGCCAATGAAGTAAACGTCGTCATCCACAACGGCGCTCAAGTCCACTGGGTCTACCCATACTCCAAACTCAAGCCCGCCAACGTCCAAGGGACCCTCGACATCCTCTCCCTCTGCGCCACTGGAATCCCCAAAAAACTCTCCTTCGTATCCTCCACCTCCGTCCTTGACACCCCCCACTTCGTCAAGCTCTCCCAATCCGGCCAAAAAGTCTCCGAAGAAGATGATCTCTCAGGCAGCGCCACAGGCCTGGGAACAGGTTACGGCCAATCCAAATGGGTCGCCGAGCACCTCGTCCGCGAAGCCGGCGCGCGCGGTCTTCGCGGCAGCATCGTCCGCTCGGGCTACATCACCGGCGACAAAACCAGCGGCGTGACGAACACAGATGACTTCCTCACCCGTATGATCCTAGGCTGTATCCAACTTGGCTGTCGACCCAAGATCAACAACACAGTGAACATGGTCCCCGTCAACCACGTCGCGCGTATCGTCGTCGCAGCTGCGTTCCATCCTGCAAAGACACCGTTAGGCGTGGTGCAAGTGACGAGTCGGCCGCGTCTTACGTTTAGTGAGTATCTAGCTGCTGTACAGGCTTATGGATATGATATCCCTGAAGTCGAATACTCCGTCTGGAGCAAGAAACTACAAGGTTACGCCGCTGCGAACGATGGTCGTAAACAACACGCTCTGTAAGCCTCTCTCCACCTACCCTCTCCTTCCTCCCCCCCATTAACACACACCTAGGATGCCACTCTACCACTTCGCAACCAACGACCTCCCCGCCGACACCATCGCGCCCGAGATGAGCGACTCCAACACCGAAGCTTCCCTTGCCGCCGACGGCGCAGACGTCAACGACGGCTTTGTAGACGAAGCACGCATCGGTATCTATCTTTCGTACTTGAATATGTCTGGGTTCCTGGACGAGCCGACGTTGGAGGGCAAGGATATTCCTGATACGACGTTTAGCTGGAAGCAGAAGGTTGCGTTGAAGATGGTTGGGGGACGGGGGACGTTGAGATAGAAAGTTGGTGGGAAAGGTTGATGGTTGATGTTTTATGAATTCATTTTCGTTCAGTTTAGAATTACATTTGTCTCGCTGTGAGAACAACCTCTTCATAAATGTCGTCTCAATGCTGAACTCCCAACTCACTCGTTGCCCTCCAAATATAAAAGCAAAACGCCTTTCCCTATCTTCCACAACTCAGCTGTGGAATCCAGATGAAAAGTGAGATTGGGGGTTGAAAACAGTGGGTAGGTCGTTCATAGTTAAGTGGAAGTGTGTTCTTCAAACCGGAAGCCTTAGAGGATGTGACTTCGAAAATACATGATAGACCAGAGAACTGCTAATCAGAGCATCACACTTGTAAGCTCTCTTCTGCACAATTCATCATGTGAAAAATGAAGAACAATCGAAAATACGATCAAGGTTTAGCGAAGCCCTTAAGAAAGCCTAAGGTTTTGGTTAGAATAAGAAGTTTTGAATTCGCCAAACTTTCTGAGCAATAATACCACTACAAGCAATCTCTCCTTTGTCAGTCTAATAAAATAAGTCAGTCTCTCCGAATGAGACATTCGACCATCATTTCACTTATTCAACTCTGCCACCGATCACTAACCCCACCCGTCCCACTCGCCGGAACAGTATAGACCCTATTCGCGCCTCCCTCCCAAGTAACCGATCCGTCGGCAGCGACATTGATATACTTATACTCAACCCTCGTACCAGCCGGCAAACCCACTGTACCGAACCAAAGCGGGTTCGACGCTGTATACTGTGCTGCGGAAAGCGTGATGGCGTTTGCAGGCGCCCAGTTACCGAGGGCGGCGACGGAGCCGACTAGTTTGATGGTCTGCCCGTAGGTGGTGGTGGCGAGGACTTTGAAAGTTACTGGGATGGTGGTTGGTGAGGGACAAATGGTTGCGGAGGTAGATGTGGGTGTTGGGAGGGATGCGGGGGAGGATGCCTGTAGGGTGTTAGTGTAAGCTTTGATGACTGGTTTTGTGAAGAGTTCAGAAGTGACGAGTTGCAAGCTGCTTTTCGAGGAGTTTACTTACCGGAGTTTGACTAGCTGGGAATGCAGATGTCGGAGCTGCTGAGTATGTACCAATTGCCGAAGATGGGACACATGCACATGGTACATTATTAGCAGCTGGTTCTCCCCAAGAGTATGGCACCTTTCCAGCTCTTCGCGCAGCAGCTGTCAGAAAGGCGGCATAAGACCATGTCAGATCATATGCTGAAAGTGGTTGTCCATTGGATTTGGAAAATTGCTCGGACAATGAGCCATTCTTTTGAGCATATGTAGCTACGACATTGACGTACCCGTCTGCGTATACTTTGATCGCGTTGTAGAGAGTGGTGTATGTTGATGATGATGAGGCATATGTTCCTACTGCAGCTGAAGAACTGAAATCGCGGAAGAATGGAAGTGATACTGCGGTAATAGTGATGGACTTTTGACGATTCCAGGTGTACAGAGCATCGTACAGCTGCTCAGCAGCGGCAAGGGTGTTCAGGTACCATGGATTGCCGCCATAGTAAGAATCCTCAGGGTATCGCCCAACAGACACAGCAACACCTTCAGCGATGCCGGAATTGAGTGAGTATACTGATCTGAATGAGTCTATGACTACCTTGTGATTCGCCAAGGCACGATCTGAGCACCTATGAAGGAATTAGCGAAAGTATCGGAAAGCAGTGACGGCTCGCGGAGGACAAAATAAGTGGCAGTCACCTGCCCGCAAATCTTAGACTAAATAACAAGTCCACTTCGAATAAAGCTTAAAAAGTTTTATTTACTTAAAACAGTTAACGAAATAGTTATAATGTTCTAAGTTGATCCACTAAATAACGATATTTCGTCAACTTAGTCGAGGAACTATTCTGGTTCGACTGCCACTTATTTTGTCCTCCGCGAGGACGGGCACTTACGGTTGAAAAGTACTTGCATCACAGCCAGCGGCAGGATCAAATATATGAATTGATCCTAGCAAAGTGTTTGCATCTTTAGCAGATCGACCGCCGACGTTGATGTTAGCAAGAATATATCCCTGGGATGGCCCCCAAAAGCTTTGCAAGAAGCAGAGAACTTGTGGTGCCTGTGAGTCGCAGTACGTGCAAGATTTGCCGAGCTGCTTGGCTAAAGCACTTCCTTCTACTAATGCACGGTGTTGAGCAGCAATCGTAAAAAAGCTAGAACCGGAAACTTCTTCCCACAAGTCGAAGCCTGTATTGTTCCTAGTAAAACATGTTAGCGTTGCAAAGAATGGAGGAATGTGCTGACATACCAGTACTGTGCGACGTAACTCAAGTCATTCTGTATGACAGGCCAAACTAGTGAGGTAGCAGTGGAGCTATAACCATTGCTCACCAACCACTTAGCGTAAGTGATGAGAGCAGTAGCACGGAGAGCTGGCCCATCTCGCTGTGGTCTACCCCATGAGCCAGTAAAAGCAGACCCATCAGCATTGAACTTTGGTTCCCCCAAACCACCGCTTGATAGACCACCAGAAGGATTGCCAACAGTTTGGAGAGCAGCTTGAGCGGTGATATATGCTGTTATTTCAGATTGCAATGAAGCCGAGTAGTTAGTAATGAAAGTGTCAACCAGAGCCTTGAAAGTCAAAGCTGCATCTCGTGTCCAGGTATAGAAGTCTTGAAACAGTTAGTCTGAGTTCTTCAACTGCCGTGAGGAAATACCCACAGTCAGGATTGGCTTTGCCAGGCCCAGCGATGACAATCCCAGTCTTTGCTCCTGGAACACAAGCTCCATCTGAACCGATATTGCATAATATTCTGGACAACGCAATTGGACTTTCAGTTGTGATGAATGAGTCCACCGAGCGTTTCAAGACAGCGGCTTCTCGCTGATTGAGAGTATAAGAGCCGGGATGAGCGAACACGCTCTGGAGAGCGATGCTGCCTGCTAATAGCAGTGAAGTGGCAGTGTACCACATTCTTTCTCTAAAAGCTCTTGTCAGCTTCCTCATATTGGAATGTTTGCATTGAAGACTGCTTGCAAATCCTATTACAGACAGCCAACTTCAATGTCAAGTATAATCATAGTGCAGTTGAATAGAAATCAAACTCATGTGCAGAAATATAGAAGAGAGATCATTTGTTTAGACTCACTTCCAATTTGTTGTCGCGTTAAGAGACGATATAAGGGAGTTAGAAGAAGCAACCGCAGTGATGTTGGAAGGAGAGAAAGGTTGCAGGAGTGATTGAAGAGCCATCTTGAGGAGTATAAAAGGATTTCGGTAAAGACTGAATGGTGTTGTTCCAATAGTACCTCACACGGTACAACTGAGAGTATGGCCGAGTCTGAAGCACCGAAGCTACTCCTTTGATGATGCTGTAAGTGACGATGAGCCGCAAAAGTTAGTACTGGCCCACGGTACTATTCGAAACTTGAAGCGAATAAGGAAGGAGCGATATGCACCTCGGTATTGCAAGCGCTCTCCTTACCGTTTATTTACTCCGTGGAGTGAGGGGAAACAACTGTGAATCCATAATATTGAAGAGTCTAGATGGTGCTAGCGGAGGTCAAGTCATAACCGGTACTCAATCCCGCTGCAGAACATACTTGAGTCTGCCAAGGCACAGATTCTGTGTCAAGTGATTGGTGGCATGTGTCTGTACGGTGAAAATAAAGTTGCTGGCAACCTCGCTTCCCACTGATCTCCCATAGCCTTATGCGGGGTCTCCACAAACTCCAGACGCCTCCCAGTGCTCTATCGGTCCGTGGATAATAGATATTTCTGTAGCACACGGTTGTACTGCTTGTTTGGGAAGTTACGCGGCAAGTTATGAGGTATAGACAAGAAAGAATTTACCGGCGAGTGACCGCAACTTGCTATGACGATGATCTTTCGGCCCTACACAAGCGGGAAAGGAGTAGTGTCTCAATACATTTGCACAGAAAGTCAGATAATATTTCAAGGAGTATGATATTTGCAAGCCACAATTTCTTTAAGAGAACGAGACAACTGCACTGCTATCCAGTGTCTATCAAGCATGTACTCAATTTCCAATAGTACTGATGCAGCAAAGATACGCCATGGGACGGGAAGAGAACAGAGCCATAGAATTCGCTCCGTGTCATGGACACCGCCGAGGAAAAGGCCGCACGAAGGAGGGAGCTAGCAGTGGGGGCAGATGCTCTAGAGGAGCTTCAACGAACGAAATGAGGTGCGAACAAGGGCGAGTCGGTGCATGTACAGTGCAACAGCCCCAGCACGGGGGAAAGCCTATTAGACCAGTGTGTAGAGAGCGAGTAGAGGCCACTATCAATCCGCTCCAGCCCAATCTCAACACCCCTCATCCCAACTCGTCGTTCTAATCGTTCGGCGTCATCTTCGGAGCTCGATCTATGGCGCGTTCTCGAACGTGGTAGCAGCGACGACATTGCTTCGTGGAATAATTTCGTTATGTAGGTAGGTCATGGTTTTCCCCTGCATCACAGACCGACGGCCTCGGCGAAGGGGTTTAGGAATATGACACCTTCAGTACACTCGTCCACCGAGCTCAACCTTTTACAGCGAACTCAAGGCTTCGTAAGGACCGATCATTCTGAGATTTGTCGATCGGATGATTGACACCATGAATTACCAGTGAAGGTTGGCGGCTCCATATGACATCGAACTGCCTCAGTATGCGACCTTACAACCGTGAAGTTGAAGGGACACTGGGCACAAATCTGTTGTGGTAAAAAAGAAAGGAAGAAAGGTTGGAAGAGACTGCGCAACAGAGATATCAAAATTTCAGCGGGTCAGCTGAGTCATCCCGCTAGCGTGAATCTTATGGAGCCGCTTGACAGGTTGGTTCAAACTCCAACGTTCGAAGAATCAAGAATCAAGAACCAAGTACCACTGTTAACTGATATACCGTTTCCACCATGGCCGACGCAATTTCCATCGAGGAGACGAATCGCATTCGGGTGTCTCTGGGCATGAAACCTTTGCCTGTCCCTGGAGCTGGTCCTGTGTTCAAGGACGCAGATGCGCCAGTTGAAGATTTAGGCAGCACACTCGAAAGCCGTCAAGCCGAAGGATATGATAACTACAGAAAACTACAAGAAGCAGAGGAAGCAAAGAGGAAGCGCGATGCAAAATCAGAGGCGATAAAGAAGGCACGAGATGCTGCGAAGCGTTTTTCCAAACTGGAAGGCAAAGGCTTGGGCGACGATGATAACGAACTTGACACCAAGAGCTGGCTCATCAAACAGAAGAAGCGCCAAAAGGAAATTGAGAAAGCTCGAAAAAGAGAACAGGAACTAGCCGATGCTGAAGCGGCTGCTGAGTATACGGCAAAGGACCTGGCTGGTGTCAAAGTTGGCCACGAACTCGATACCTTTGAGGAAGGCGAGGAACAGGTCTTGACCCTCAAGGACACCACAATCGATGAAAATGAGGAGGATGGAGACGAACTTGAAAATTTGGACCTGAGAGAACGGGAAAAGCTACAAGAAAGGCTTGATCTAAAAAAGAAGAAGCCAGTCTATAATCCCAATGATGTTGATGACGAGACCGGCGATAGGAGCGTGTTGGCACACTACGATGAGACAATCGATGGCAAGAAGGGCAAACGGTTCACACTTGACGGTACAGGTAAGACTGTCGAGACTATGACAGAGTTGGGCATTTCTCAAAAGGCAAAACCAAAGGCTATCAGCCTGGACTTCTTAAGTAAGTTATGCAATGAATAAACTTTGTACTTCTAGGACAATTACTAACTATTTCTAGAAGAGGAACTTAAATCTGATTACCTGGACATATCCGAAATCAAGGTGAAGAAGCCAAAGAAGAAAAAGGCCAAATCTACTCGGCAGAAAGCGGTTGACGAAGACGACATATTTCCTATTGCGGATGCCGAAAACACACCTGCGGGCGATGGTGATGAGATGGAAATCGATAAACCTGTCGAACAAGTAAAGAAACGAACATTCGAGGATATATCCTTCGTTGATGATGATGACCTTCAAGCATCCCTTGCTGCTCAGCGGAGAAATGCTCTCAAGAAACGGAAGAGAGCAAGGCCAGAGGATCTCGCACAACAGATACGAGAAGAGGCTTCCGCTACACCAGGCCTGGAAGCAGATGATGAACCAAGTGGTGGTTTAGTAATAGACGAAACTTCCGAATTTGTTGCCAATCTACAGAAACCAGTTGCTCCGGAGTCTAAAGCTAGAGCTAGATCTACATCAAAGCCAGTCGAGACAACAACGGAGATGGATCAAGACTCCGACGAAGATGGAGACGTTGCCATGCAGCAATCATACGCAGACATCGAGGATGAGGAGGACCGCACAGCACGTCTGTTGCGCGAAGAGCTCGATACTGACGATATCACGGAGACAGGATTGGAGCGAGAGGCTACTCTGGATAGAGGCGTTGGCGCTGCATTGAAGTTGCTCAAAGAGCGAAACATAATCAAGACTGCGGAATCTGGAGATATCAATGCTATATATCGACAAAAGCAATTATTTCTGGCAGAGAAGCAACGGCGTGAGGCTGATGCAGAAAAGAAAGCTCGACTGCAGAGAGAGCGCGATCGCTCCAATGGTAAACTGGACAGAATGTCGGCTCGCGAGAAGGAAGAGTATGCAAGATCGCAAAATAACTTCCGTGATCAGCAAGAGTCACGCCAGCTTGCAGAGCACTTCAACAATGCATATAAGCCGAATGTGGAGCTTAAATATATCGACGAATACGGCCGAAATATGAACGCGAAGGAAGCCTTCAAGCACCTGTCACATCAATTCCACGGAAAAGGAAGCGGCAAACAAAAGACCGAGAAGATGCTCAAGAAAATTGAGGACGAAAAGCGCAGAGAGGCGCAGAGTTCTCTAGATGGGTCGCAAATGAGTGGTATGTCCGGAGCGGCGGCCCAGCAATTGAAGAAGAACAGACAAGCTGGTGTCAGGTTGGCGTGAAGTGGTGGGAAGGAAAGCAAGAAAAGGTGCTACCTCCTCACTTGTATCTATTATTATTCAATGCTGACAAAACACTGAAAGTCTTTGTGCGGATGAGCCACGAACTCTGCCGCCCAATCTACGTGAGTGCTTTGTCTTGTGAACTAATGCTTGTGCGAATCTTTTAGGACTGTGCTTCATCGGCTGAGACTTCGACGATACCCTGTACGTGCTCAATTTTGCTTGCTACCTAGGCTGGAACCCCAATCAACTCCTTCTCGACATCTCAAAAGCGTCCATTACCGCTTTGGCAAGTGCCTTCCTCTATTAGATGATGTGAGTAAAATGCCGGGCTTATCCAAGTGGAAATCCAACATTCATATCGTATGTGTTCGATTCCGAACAGAATCCTTTCCCGTAGATGTGGACTTTCATTCTCGCCGTTCTCTTGTTCGAAATATTCAAATACAGCTCATCGGGACATCTATTTCATAAGTTCTCTACTACTTTTTTTTTTTCAAATCTGCGGTCAAGATATAAATATCAGTTTTCGTTGCAAACATGTCTCTTCCGAGTTTGAGAATCCTGGGTACTTTGGCCTTCAAACAAGGCTTGCGAGATCATTGGTTCTTCACAGAAATGGCGTCGATAAGGTCATTGGTCCCTTGTGAAGTAGTGCAGCCACCGCGACCGAAAGCTGCCTTGCGTGCTGCCCTCTAAGTCACCATGCTCCAATCAATATCCTGCCTTGTCAAGGCATACTCGAGAGTCGAATTGAAAAACCGATCTTTCTGCACCAAAGCCTCTCGTAAGTTGGAAGAATGAAATGGAGTGTTATTCGCAAATTCACAATTCAATTTTGTTCAGCCATGGAGGCTATTGGTGTTACTTTGTCAGTGTTACCTATATTCAGTGTCTGTCTCGAATACTTTCAGTATTTTAAGACCGCCCAGTCCTTCTCGTTCGACTCTAAGATTCTGTTGTGGAAACTGGATTTCGAGCATGAAAGATTTATTATCTGGGGAGAGAAGCATGGATGTTCTTTCGGCGAAAAAGACTCCCAGTCTAGCGGCCCAGATAACAAGAAACGTTTACTAGTTGAGAATGCGTTGACGTTGATCGCGGAGTTGTTTAAGAATACACGGTACTGCACGATAAATATGGAGTCAGCCAACAAGTTGAACAAATCGACGGAATAATAGAAGGCAAATCAAGCTTTCTTAGCACTGCAGCTTTGAAGCGGTTTAAAACTCGTTTCAAGAATAGAGATACTCTCACCAATGGCACAGATCTTGTCCCTAGTCAACCTGGTGCGGCGGCGAAAATTAGATGGGCAGTATATGATAAGAATAAGTTCGAGGTCTTGATAAAGGATATCAGAGATCTCGTTACTGGGCTGTACGAGATCCTTCCGGTTCCCAATAAGGAACGTGATCGACTCGTCCTTGACGATATGAGATCGCTTTTACCAGATACGGAACAACTCAAGCAGGTTGAAATAGCAAGCGAAGACTTATATGTTGCTTGGTCTGAAGCTGCAAGTATAATGATACTAGCATCAGAAGCTGGCAGTGTATCAGCTGCAGCTGTTCCAGTTATGGATCATCCTCAATCCCAGGCATTTGTCCGCCAAGAAAGTGGGGAACGAGAGCAATGTTGGTCATCTTCCCCTCTCGTTCTTAATACCATACACGTTGGGGCTGACTTGTTATGCCTGTAGTCGCTGAGCTTAATAAGCAACTGGGCTCTGTAGCACATACGAAGTTCTGTATGACGCTTACACCGCAATGCCTTTCAGCATCCACAGCTGTGCCGTGTACACCTCATCTAATTGAGGAAACCCGTGTACTCAATTCCGACTTTCCCTCCTTCACTCCAGAGGGCTACCAAGTCATTTCCAGCTTGGGCAATCTGATTACTGATAAAATCAACCCGAAATTCCCAAGCCGTGCTCTGGAGATATTGGAAATTGCGAATTATGAAGCTGCGGCTTCGCAAGCTTTAGCAATCGAGTCGATGCTACCAGCTGAGGATATCAAGATATATTGCTCCCCATGTGCTTGTGCCATTAGAACAGCACTAAGAATAAGCAAAGAACGTTCGACATTGCTTATTGAGTACACTGTGAGGGTAGACGAGAGACTGCCACCCAGTTGTTGCTCATACTCAACTCTCGTTGACGCTATCTCATCTCTACTGCGTATAATCCAACTCGCTGAGTCTGGTCAGCTGGGAAGAATTGCAAATGTCATAGATCATAACCTGTTGAAATATCTAGATAGGCAATGGACCGAGAAAATGTAGTATCGACTGGAATGCAAGCCTCCTAATTATCGAAGCCAGCTGGCTCTCCAGCGTCGGGTAGGGCAGCTCGTATCTGAGGCAGCAGCTGAGCATCTCAAGGCAGTATTCATTGGAGAGATAGATTATCTCCGTCCTTTGTTAGAGAAGTCAGTTTTTCCACGACTGCCACGACCACCTCGTGTGAATGAGCTATACCAGATTAAGAAGTCATCTGCAGCGGACCCTTGGAAAGTCAAATATCTGGGTGGTTTCACACCGAAGAATTATACAGCGCTGCGAGCCCATGATTTAATGAATGTTCCTCTGTTTGGGGAAAAATCATCTGATGGATATTCTCGAACTGAGGTCACAGACTTGGGGGTTCTTTGATTAGACACGACCTCGTGTTACGCAACGAGTATCGCACGAACATGCAGATCTAAGACTGGGAACTATAAAGCAGAAGCTTCAAATGCCATGTTTCTTGTATTCTTTTCTTTCCTATATATAATTACACCCCTGAATAGAGTAGACCATTCGTCGTTCGCTGCTCTTTCGAGAATTGGGATCGAGACCCGGTTAGTCAACAGGTACGGTGTTTCGCGGTGAACAACACAAGTAGCCGTTGAGAAACGACGTTTTCTAAGAACAATCTACGAGATGTCGTATATTCCGTCATGCAAGTTGGCACACTATGGTGTCTTTCGTCTATTATTCTAGGTAAATAAGGTGTTTCTGGACCGCTTGAAATGAAGCTTTATTAGCCTACTTACCAGCTCTATATTACACATTTCCAAACATGATGTTAGGAGGCTCTGTCACTTGTTCCGTTCTCTCCGAGGGTGATCTGATCAATATCTGAACTTTTTTCACTCCTTGAATGATAACCAAGCTTCTAATAGAGTCCAAATACTACTCCAAAACTGCTGTGAGGCCCACGGTGGTTTTCCTAGCCAGTACGACTATAAAGTTGATCAAATTGTTTCTTGACTTAAACAAATTTACCGTCGACTAATCTCCCAATAAGATTTTCGGAGACAGCCAGAGTAAGTACTTTCTAAAGTACTCTTGTTCCAAAATGTGAGCGCTTAGCAAACCACGCTGCAGACATTTCTACCCACTGCGAACTTTCCATAGTCTCACCTCATCTAAGTTCAAACTTTCGGCCATGTGACCAAGACGAATTGCTGCCCTCCAACTCCCTCGCCTGTAACAATGTCCCCAATTCGCATTTTCACGCCGTGTTTTTTACACAACGCTTCCAATTCTTTTGCCTTAGCCTTTATTTTTGCAAGTCTCGGACTTTTTCTCCTTCCTCTGAAAAAGCCTCTTCCCTGATAAAAGACGCCGTAACACAACATATCCTCCGTAACCAACCCATTGGCGGACCCGCGAAGACCTCTCTCCATTTCCCATTGCAGAGCTATCACAATATTCTTCAACTTCGGCACTTTTTCGGCTTCACAACTCATCAACTCTTTGATTTGATCAGCGATAAGTTTGAAATCACATTCCACGATCCTCAGCGTTTCCAAACTTTTGGGGAGATTGCAAAGAAGTAGATTTTCGGTTGGACGCCACTCCAGACGGTTGTTGTTACGGATGTCAATCGGATATTGTTCCATCAGAAGATGATCCGAAACCGTAAGCTCTTTCAGTGCCTCAAATTCTGTGAGAGACCCTAGGTTCGCCAATTCGCACTCCTGGATATCCGGTCTCTCTTCTAACGACCACGTTTTTGGTAATCCATAGACAGTCAACTCCTTCAAAGTCCGTTTCAAATGCCGTAACGAATGCACCAAGTACTGAGGTCGAAACACCTGATCGTAGATATACTGGCTACGTCCAAAATGGAAGACCTCTAGAAGAGGACACCGTCGTAAGATGTCTCGAAGACAATCGGTGGCTATAGTGCTGTGTACAATCTTTAGCGAGCGCAGACTAAGATGGCCGTCTTGTGGTGTCAATATCTTGTATTGCGCATCTCTGGCGCGAAACTCGACGTCTCGGTAGCTGCGTAGCTCGCAGGTGGGCGGTGCCCGCATTCTGTTGATTTCAAAGGTATCAACAGCTATGTCGGTGAGCATATCCAGAATCATTGAATGTACACATGGTTCTTCTTCGGTACGTTCGAAATATTCACCATTGGTCGTATAAAGATGCTGAATCCGGAGGCTTTTCAGTTTTCCAGTACGTTGACTTCTTGACAAGACTTGCTTGAAATATATCCACGGCTTGTTCATATCCACGTTGAAATCGGTAATATACACTTCGTCTACATTCGGCAGAACAAATATCACTAGTGGTGCGATCGCCCACCAATGTTTCTGTTCGATCTTCGACAGCCAAGTCCTCGTTTCGGCGGAAGACAGACCGTGTGTCTTCACGGCCTGTTTAACAGCCTCGAGTTCTTTTGTCCCGGGAAACTGGTTCCGGAGAATACGCATCTGTTGTCGCACTTTCGTCCCTGTCGAGATTTTATCGGGATCTTTTATATTCTTAAGCTCGATCCTTTGAACGAGCAAGCCCAAACTCGGTCGAGCGAGCACCGTACGGAGGAACTTGGTTAGGCTGTTCAGACTCGCCAGTCGGACCATCCGATATAAAATCACTTCGCTAATAATGTGGAAATGCTTTGATGCGTAGATTAGTGGTAGGATGTTCTGGGCTTTGGTAGATGCAGTTTTGATGGAATCGCGCGCTTTTGATTCTACCACGAGCTCGAGAATGTCGATTAGGAGCTCGTTTGGGAGGTCTTTGATTCCCATGTTGGATGAGGGAGGGTTTCAAAGCTATGGCTTGATTGCTTGGGAGGCTAATTAATAGATGAGGCACTAAATGTCTTGATGAAATCTTGGTGGTCACTGGTTAGGCTGCAGTATCGAGATACTCGTGATGCTGTACGTAAATCCTGTCTGTATACGGTGCGGCTGATGTGGGGCAGCTTTTACTTTCCCAACTTCTTTTATCGTCCAATCATCTTTTACACTATCATCAAATTGTATGTTTGATTTCTTTTCTTTTTGGAGTAGATTAAACTATTTCAATTCATGGGGAAATTTTGCTGTGGCTCGTAGAGGACAAGATACCTGTCACTCACCTGCTCACTAATCTTTAGAAAGAACGAGTCGAGCTCGAGTAGAGCTTAAAAAGGTTTTACTTATTAAAGAGACATATGATAATGTGCCAAACTGATCCACTAAATATACGATATTTGATCAATTCAATCGAAGAAATATCGTGTTTCGACTGACACTAATCTTGTCCACTGCGCACCTCTCTCCTTCCCTTTCATTTTTTCAATCCCCATTAAATAAACTTGTTATAGATATTAAACAGCCACGAGATGACATTCCGAATGGTTAAATGTTGTAACTAAAAGATTGCTAGTCGGCGTTATGATTTGAGGATTGATAAATTCAGGAGGAAGTGGGAAATAATTGAGAACAGTGAATAGCATTGACAACTCAAGTAGCAATTACAATAAAAGGTTAGGCATTCACTGAAAGGCTTTTCTCAGAGAGTAATTTTTGGAATTATAGTATACAAACCGCGCCCGTGAAGTCTTATAGGTATGAGAGTCAAACCCCACGTCTTCGTCTCTGAATAGATTTAATCCTACTGTTCATCCCCTAGTTTAGTACGAAAGATACGATGCTCAGCATGCCTGAGTTTACAAATACTCTATAACCTACCAGTGTATTGCAAGTCTGACGAGGCACCTCCCTTGAGCAGAATGGCGGCACTCTGCTCAAAAAGACGGAAACTATAGTTTCTCTCTTTGTTTGTGTAAATATCCAATACTTCGTCTAGTAAACCAGTGCAATAAACAAGGAGTGCTGATTAGTTGTTTTCTAACAATGTTTTACTTCGTGAGTGTCCCGTCAGTCTTGCAACGCACTTGTGATCATCTGAGATAGTAGGTTGCCCAGATAAGGCAAGTTTAGAAACTGGTAATGATATTCAATTTCTGCCCGACTTTCTCTATAAAAACCTTCAATTGAGTGAAATATATTAGAACCCGCTTCTTTTCTAATTGTGCGCTAATCAAAACTCAATTTCATTCTCTCTCTTCGCAGATCATGTCTACTACGGTATTACTGTAGCCAGGGCACGAAACATTAGGACAGCAAACTCACTAATAAACCAACCACTCACCAAACACTTCTGGAAGATCTGAACCGCTAAAGAGATCTTGGCAACAAAGACAGCAGTAAGAATCGACACAATTACAAAGGTCATATATCGGACCAAACTATGTTTTGTGAAGAGATCCAGGCAAGATACATAAAGGTCGGGAGGGGCGGTCTCTGCGAAATGAACTTGTTCCCCATGTGGAGCCGATGGAATTAGAAGCTTGTTGCCTTCATATTAGCATGGATCTCGGCTTCTGGTGGATTTGGATGATCGATCGGGCTTTCACTGTAGGAAGGTGGGTTGTATAGTGCTGCTGCTCAGGAGGGCATAGATGTTAGAATTGTAGAGGTCGATATTGGTACGTAGGGTGATATTGGGAAAGAGGATCGAGGTGTTATTGGGCTTAATAGTATAGATTCGGAATGTGAATTTGAGAACGAGGGTTGTGATGAGGGAGCAGATTGAGATGGCCGGGTTATGAGCTCATTTTTGTGAACAATGTAGGATAGGTCGAGAAGGTCGTATTTAGAGTTCGAAGAGGATAGTCTTACTGTCAAGAAGCTGCTTTTGAATTCTTACTGGTCGGCAGCGCATTGTGGTAGAAAAGCCGAGTGAGGCGGAGTCAAATACAGTTTTTTGGATTACATTCACATGCGTTACCTTTGGAAACACGGGTCAAAATCTCAACTTCCAAATGAAAGATGAGTATTTTAGAAACATAATCATATTCTATAAACTTAATAACTGAAGTCTATGCTACTCTTGCTCGCGCTTTTACCCCAATATAATCCACTAAGTTGCCGTATAAGCTCAAGTTTGAAATTTTTATGGCTAATACCATTCCATTCACCGTCCCTCAAATATTTCACTAAAATACCAACCAAAAACCCCATTGTATCCGAAGAAACAAACGCCATGATATTCGGGTCTTCAGCGACGTAATACATCTAAAGCCACATCTGCAACTCCTTATTCGCTCTTCTCAAAGACACTAACATCCCAAGGGTTTCTGACTGCGACAGGGCTGTTAATCACGACAGTGGTGACTGTAGGAAGAGGGGTCCAAGCATCGTTCGTGAATGTTGAAAAAGCAGTCTTTAAGGTGGGATTTGGGACCAGTCCAGTGTTACCGTTCGTAACAGAACCAAAACTAGCAAACGAGCTGGTGGGAACGAAAGAGTTAACCGTGGTGACTGCTGGACCAATTCTTGTAGGAGTAGGAACTTCGGAAGTATCAGATACTAGAAATACTGTCAGTAACGGAAATGATTTAATACATTCCCCCGAAGAAATTACTCACGAGATTCTTCATGCTTGGGCTTGTGCTCATCGCCTTTGCGGTAGAAACAGCCGAAATAGACGCCTGCAGTAACCGAGCCAAAAAAGATAATAGGAAGGAAGGCCTTCAAGAGCTTGGTTTTGGTGCTCCCTCGTTTCTTCATCGGTGTGTACCGAGTTGGACGACGTACGGGTATATGAGAATGCTTTTCTGGCTCATCTACTCTAATAAATCGTTCATGTTCCTCAGGTAGCCGTGGAAGCTCTTCGAGTGGAATGTAAGGAGGAGCGGGGCCAGGTCCGTAAGGCGTGTAAGGTTGTGCGGGAGACAGGAGTGGGTTTGGATAGGTGCCATGGTAGGCAGTTTGATAATAGTATGGTGGAGCTGAATTCGGCTGATAGTTCGACATTTCGGCGACTGGTGTTGTTTCGACGAGTCGAGTGGTTATTGGAGAGGATGGATCGAAGATTGCATCAAGGTTGTTGGAAATTAGAGTTGTATCGATTTTTGAGGAAAGAGTGTATGGGAGTCATAAGGATGGCTTCTCTTATCAATCGATCACATCCCCATTCTAAACTTTTATAAGACTTATGCTATCGAAACGGTGAATGTTATCTCCCATTTGGGGCCGAATTCCGCAACGAAGAGATAAACCCAAGAGGTCACCAGATAGTCCCCATTTCAGCAGCACGTTTTCATTCCATGCTATCAAATTTCAGAAATTCATCCAGGCTTGTATTCCACCCTGGCTTAAGAAATACCATCCCTCATTCCGAACACTCACTGTTCAATTCGTTTAATAGTTGAAAAGTATTCACAATAAACAAGAATTTATACTAGCCTACTTTACATTCGTTAATTACATTCGTTAATTGATGGTGTTTCGAATCAAGACTCGTCGGATATTGTACATAAATTTTAAGAATATGCCCAAGAAATGAGGTAATAAAGCGAGAAAGAAGATTATTTCGTGGAATAGTAGCAAGGAAGGCGAGGCTTTTTATTGTTTTCCTTTTTTGGAGATGTATCCCTAAGAATCCTACAGAGTATAAATGTGTCTAACAATCTCAGGTATTTTAATTTGTGTAAATTCTCTTACAACTCAAGGCAGAGCATGTGAAACTGGACTTGACCTTGAAGTGGCAAACCTGCACTTAGCACACCAACCCCGACAACCTCGCGTCAGAAAAGATGAAATTGCAACTAACCACTCTGCCTAATTTTATGTTTTCGCACTACTTCGTATTTTTAGGCAAGATGAGGGGAAAACTGGAGTATCCAAGCCTATGTGGATAAACACGTGATGCTGCCTTGGGTTTTTGATAGCCACAAGGGGGCGGCACAATTTCATCATTTACTCACCTCAAACCATCGAGATCAGTGCATCTTGCACTGGGAGTCAATTTAACATTTAAGGTATCGCTGACATCTTCTCTTGATTCTCTCTACTTTCTTTTCTCATCCCAAGTTCGAAAAGGAAGCATTGGTGGCGACATTGCGTGAAACGTCACGAGACCTATCTTTCCTGACGTTCCCAAATCTCGTTTATATTTCTCTTCTTTTTGCTCATTGTATATAAGACAGATAAAGTCTTATTCGGAAAGCAGAAATAATGGGTGGTTGGGATGTCAATTGCGCGTTCTGTTGTGGACCATTTGGGATATACGATCCTTTTGGTGCCGAGGACGACGGTTACGACAGAAGTGTCATATCTTCTGAAGGTACGTTGCGAACTTTACATTTTTTCTTGTTTCTCCCTTTTAGTTGCTGTGAAAGCTGTGATAGAATATAGTCGCTATGCTGACGTAGCTTCTGTTTTTAGAGTTGGAGTGGTTAGACGCAGTTCGAGTGTTTGGATTCAACCCGGCAAGCTTTGCGAGTGATAAGTAAGTCTAGACGAAGACGTATACAAGGCGCTAAGTATTGAATTTGATGACAGGTGTTTCATAACTGGAGTTGGAAACGGTCAGGAATATGTATTGTTTCCCATCTACACCAAAATCCAGTTTTGTTAATCGTTGCATTAGGGTTCCGTAGATGTTGTTCGAGGGCAGGATCCCAACGTTCCACAGTCTGACTCGAGCTTGGATCCGGATCCATCAGAAATGATAAATATCACGGTATATCCTGATGAAAGCATTTCTCCAGATGATCCTTTTGCTGTTCCTTTTCATATGCCATGTTATGAACTCTTCGTTCAGGTGGTAGCCTTCCATACATATGGCAAAACATCGTGGCCATCTTTAGGTACCCAAATAATCGAAAGAGAAGCATTGTGGCAGGTAATGAAAGGGCTGCATCCACCATATGGTCATGCTCTTTCACTCAACTACAGAGAATTGAATCATTCTGCCGAAGATCAATATTGGTGGAAAGTACAGGGAGATGAGGCGAGTAACCCCTTTGATCCTAGATTCTAGAAAGAAAGTAACTAATGCGTAAAAATAAAGCCTTGGCTGGCGAATCCGTACTCTCTAAAAATCCAAGAATTTATGGACATTTTGAAGACGGGAAACAATTTCGGGTTAATCTCAGATTCCGACAAAAATCAAGCTTTGCAAAGCAAGACCGATATCAAGCCAGCTACAGCAAATGCCAATCTCATAATGCAGGCATCTCCTTTTAACGGACTTACAGCTGAGGTTTTGCACGAGATTTTGCTATATCTGCCATACGACGACCTCCGGAATTTTGCACTTTCCGGTATTTCTAACAATTCATTGCATAGATATCAAAGCTTTTGGAAACGGAAGCTTCTTCTTGATATGCCCTGGCTCTGGGATCTCCCTACACCAGAAAAGGAGATGAATTGGTGCTCGATTTATAACGAATTTCGCCGTCAATGCTTTGCCCCTAACCAGTATAAGAATGTTCAACATACATCAGACACCTCTTCGGCTACTCAACTAGACCATCCTATGGTCTTTGGTTTGGCGAATCGGAGAAGAATTTGGCAGACTTGCGAACAACTGGCTGAGGTGTATCTGGAAGAGGTGAAGAGGAGGCACAGTGGCGATGAGGGAGAGATTGAGCAAAATAGTATCTCGTCGGTGACAACACTCGTTGCTTTTCCTACGCAGAAGGGGGCGGTTGGCTTAAGAACTTGTTTCTTGAAATCTTGGGAAGAACTCAATGTGGAGAAAATATTAAACCTATATTTTCAGGAGGATGGAATATTAGTCGGGGCGAGCATTAGTATGGATGGGAACACCAACAAAGAAGTGTTTGGGGATACAAGCGACATACAAGAGTCGGTTATTATTCCTAAAGATACTTGGGTGGCGAACATCGAGCTTGTGTTGAGTAATTCCCACTGCTTGGACAAGGATGCCAAAGTAGGAATTTGTGGTATGACAGTAAGTCTTCCTATAATTCTATTTCTGCACTCAAAATATTGAAACAGATCAGATCCACCTAAAAGACCAGACGATCCTAGAAGTTGGTACCCAAGATGGCGCACGACGACTCTTGGAAATTGACGGAAAAATGACTTTTACAGGTTTCACTGGGGAGAAAGGAAAAGTACGTTATCTCTATGGCATTGTTCGTGGCTTGATCTAAGGAAATACAGGACGGCCCAATCCAAAGATTAGGACTCTTGATCTGCAACCAAGATAAATGTACAATCTCCCTCCCCACCCAAAAACACTCTAACACCCACAGACTCAACCCACACCCCCTCCCAACCAACAACCCGTACCAAAACCCTCTGGACACCCACACTTCCACCTCAATCTCTCACCGTAAGCCCCTACAACACAGGTATGTGACGGTTCCTTTATTCTCCCTTCTAAGCTCCTACTCTAAGCAGCTGCGAAAGAGTTTCATCCTTAGACACTCCTCTTTCCTGTTGAAACATACAAATATTCATATGCTAACTCCTGAAAGGCTACTGGACCGCCGCCCGTTCTCTCGACACCATCCCAGCTCAATACCTCATCCTAGGCGAATCCTTCACCGATCTCAAAAAGATAACCGGCATCTCAGGCGATCCTCAGCTCCGCGATCTAACCTTCCATTACGTCGACGGCACCGAACAAACAATCGGTGCAAGTCGAATGAAACCACATGGCTCTGACCCCCCAAGAAAGAGGTTCGATATCGATGGTCCCGGGGGAGAGAGAATCGTAAGTGTGAGTATAGGCATGAATGCGCTACCACAAGCTATAAAAGTACGTCCACCATCCCCTCCTATTCCCCCTCTCGCATATTTCCTCTTCCCCCTTCTAACAGCTTAGATCACCACCTCCCTCTCCCGCACCGCATTCTTCGGGCACACCCAAAAAAACGCGCACACAACCTACACCGCCCCCATCAACGGTTTCGTCGCCGGCATCTACGGCACCTGGGGCTACTTCCACGGCGCGAACCATATGCCGGATGTACACGCGAAATGTACGTCTATTTCGGTGTTTGGGGGGGAAGGGGAGGCGGGGAAGATAGGTGATGGGACGACGTTTAGTATTGGGAGGATGGAGGGGGGAAGGTGGGTCAGTGGTGGGGAGCAGGATTTGGCGTTGACGGGGGAGGGGAGTGGGAGGGGAGGAGGGGGGAGGGGAAGGTTTGGTGAGGGGAGGAAGAGGATAGCTGATGCTGGTGGATGTAGGTAGCTTTGTAGGTGTTTGAAGAAGAAAAATGTGTTTTTTTTTAATTTTCTTTTCCTGAAATACAGTACACTGATCAAAGACCATCAACCCCAATTCTAAAACACAACGATCTTCTGATCCAAGCTGATTTTCATGTTCCTCTCTATCCGATTAAGTGCGGGAAACACCATCCCAGAATTACCGATATAAAGCTTGTTCCATGCTATGATTTAGCTAGGTGCACCACTCGTATATACTATTCTCCTCAAAGTAAAAAAGACAATCGCACAATTAGTACACACCAACTTTTGTTTCTCGAATTCCTCTTCTTCCCTCGTACGCAGACTGTCTCGTCAACCTCTCGAGCACCGAGAGCCTCTCATCTTTCACCTATATTGTGCCTTATTAGAAATCTACGGTTCCTGGTCAAGTACATACCCCAATCACAAAAACCTCCCCACAATTGCAAAAACACACCTTTCCCTGAAAACACATCCTCCACCCACCCATTACCCTCTCCCCTCCATTTCAAGACACGATTTACCCACATCCTCCTCACCGCTCCTCAAACAACAACATAACATACCACTTACCGTTGAATAAATCCATCCACAGCATTCAAGCATCAACCCATAACTCATCAAATCTCTCAAGTCCAACAAAAACCTCATCACCAACCTCACCACCCACTCCCCCCTCTACATACGAAACCCCAGACACGCCAAGCCAAACCTACAACCCAGCAAGACACCCCCACATCCTCGAAGCTACAACCTCGAGATGAAGTGGATGATAACAAGAGCTGGGATCAGCGGTGATGATGTGATATTTCAGATGGTATTTGGTAAGAATATACACACGTTACTGGTAGAGTTGCAATAACTGAAAGCTCTTGTATACATAACATCTAAATTCAACCCCAAGATATCTAATACAAAGCAAAAACAAAACACCCAGAATGCACCATAACAATGCCCCATGAAACGCCGAGTCCGTCGCTAAACCCCAGATATACTGATCCATCCTATCCATCTTCAACTCCTCATCCCCATCTAAAAATCTATACTTCCTCAAATAATAAACTCCTCATCCAACCAATGTCTCAACACCACTTTGCCCTCCTCAAACCCCTTTCGATCACTCCTCACGATGATAGCCGCATGACTATGCATCACCTTATGAATATGCACCGGATACTTCCGCCAGCCGACACTATCAAGCGCCTGTACCATCCTGAATTGATAAGGTGCTAAGGCCAAGGTCGGCGGATCATGCGGTCTATTCTCATTACCCTTCTCCATCGACTCGTGAGAAGAAGATTTCGAACTTGGTGAGTCTGGAGCTGATTCTTCTTCGGTTCCTTCGACTAGGTATTCGTTACTTTGTGAGCTGTTTAGCCCTTCGAAAGCGCCTTCGACCGCGTCGCGCATCCCGCTAAAGAGGAGAGGGACGCGGTAATTTCCTGGTTCGATGCCGGCGAGACCGCGTTCGTAGAGTTTGATTCGGCGGGTGCTGCGGAAGGATTGGATGCCAGCGTTGATGGTGAACGCGGCGATGCCTATGGGAAGGAGGAAAATGATGGCGAGGAAGAAGGGGAGACGGCCAAATGTGGTTTGGCTGCTTTTGAGAACTCGTTCGTAGATTGAGAATTGGGGTTCTTCTGAATCGAGGGGTGCGACAGGTTGGCGGGGGTCGAGGATAACATCGCTGTATCCTTCTAGGTAATTTAATTTGATCTTTCCTAGATTCACAAACGGGTCTTGTTTTGCGATTCCAGTGGTGTAGTAAACGGCGCTTCGATCGTTGATGATGTTTGCGTATAAAGTTCTTCGTTTGAATTTCGCTAGACCTTTGATAAAGATCGAATCTGAATCCGCGAGGACTTCTAAAAGTGGTTTTCCTGTATCTCGAAATTTGTCTATTGTGAACAATTGGCGACCTGAAGCGGAAAGCATACGAGCCCCGAGAACATTCCATATATGGTTATGCCATCCGCGCAAAGGTGTCCTGACGCCTAAATGAGGGCTTGCAAACGTACTAAAGTTCTAAAATAATTAGTATGACGGAGGTTCCTGGGAGTTGTGTTACCTACCACTGGCTCAATATTATCAAACACTCCTCTAGAATCGAGCAAGCCGACAGCATATCGAGCAACCAATCCTCCCAGGGAATATCCCACAAAAGAGATCCGCTTTATTTGCTGGCCTCTATTCTTCAACGTTTCTATCTCGTCTTCGATTTCGTAGCAAACGCGCTCGCCACCAACCTCGATGCCATCATATGTAAAGTTTCCGCTGTTTCCTTTGGGGACGAGGATATGTAACTGCTCCGCTGGGTATTTCTGTCGTAAAGTCTTGGCCATCACCTCGAGATGATTCGGATTCCCCCATAATCTGCACAATTGTTAGCATGGAACTATTCTTCGAATGCGCCAACAAGCAGGTGGAGGGGCAGAAACATACCCATGAACAAGCACGCAAAGGTGCTCTGCCTCTTGACTTGTACCATTATGATCCATAACTTCAGACAAAAGGAAAGCCCTATCAAGGGATTGAACTGAGAAGGGAAGCAATGCGGCCAGACGTTATAAGTGGTGATAGAAGGTTGCCTCGCACGTCCGGCGAGACCAACCCTCCGATCACCTGTGAAAATGCCGTTCCGGACTTTGACGGAGGTTCGGACCTTGCAAGGCTGAGTCGTAGGGCCACGAATGCAGCGTCTTATTGGCATAGAAGATCGTAAACAGCCGGCTCGAAGCTTGAAGGGTCACAGGGTGCTGGCGATTGCTCTGGCCCAGTGGATGTACAGGGTTATGTAGCGTGTGAATGACGTCCAGATGCTTTGTCGCATTCAGCCTTGCCGAATGCGAAAAATATTGAAGATGATTAAGAAAAGATGTAGAGAAGAGAGAAAAGAGAGAGGAGTAAAATACAGAAAATCCGCAACATTCCTTATCTATGGAGACGTCGTCCGTGTCCCCATCTTCAGCACATGTTTCTCTGTGACATCTGTGTGATTTTCCAGGGTCACACAGATAAGGAGACTCTGACGGAGAAGCCACCAACAAACATTCTCGCTGTACGGACGACGTTGGACGGATGGTGTCGCAGATGTGCGAGTGCGAGTGCGAATGCGAATATGAAATGCGATAATCCAAGATAACATGAAATCATAAGGAGAGGCAGAGAGAAGGAACTGCAGTCAGTAGATCCACCAGTTTGAAAGATGCGTCTTTCTGCTTCACAGCATTCGTGCCACCACCGGGAACAGGGAGCTCGAATCCAGCCAAACCCAACACTGCTGTATGGACTTTCCCCAGTGACCCATTTTCATCGAGACACTTAATATTGCAGTCGCGTCAAGCTTTGAATGGCGGAGAGAGGAAATTAAAACCATCGAAATATCCGATCTGGACTGGAAGAGGATCGCTTTTGACGACAAAGGAAAGTCGTCATTTGCGCTTTGACAATTTCACCTCACCTCACGTTTTCACAAACACGACGACAACCTCTCACACGTACACGTGACAACGAATGTAAGTCACCCGTCCAGCTACATCTATGCTTCTGGTGGCTTGATTGTTGTCAATTCATGTCAGATTCCAGCAGATACTGAATAGATTGTTGCACACACAAACTGGGTGTTCGACATCCTGAGGTCACGCCGCAAACAACGACCTTCGTGGCCAGAATCAACACAACAGCAAGACCTACACCGGCAAAGTGTTATATCTTACAACAGGTCCCATAAAGGTGGCATGGGGCATTTGATTTGGACTATTGCTACCCAAAAGTGCTAGCGCTAGTATTCCTCAGTCATGTTCAAATCCAAAGGCTTGTTCTCTGAAATTCAATGTCCATACGAAGAGACATGTGTACTTCCAAGGTGCATATTTGCGCATCCAAAAAGTTCATTCTCTCCACTCGCAACGGGAATCAAAGGCTCTTCGAGAATTCAAGCAGATGGGGGAGTATCGGAAAGAAGCAGCAAAAGACAGAAACTGGATAATGAGAAAGACGATTTGCGGTCTTCACCACGGGAAGCCGTCAAACCTGCAGCTTTCACTGGTATCCGTGTAACAAACGAACCACGCAAAGATGCTGCACCGACCAAAGGGAAGCGGCCATCGGATTCTTTAACTCGATCAGTATCTCCACCTCCAATACGGAGGAAGATTGAAGATGGAAAAGCTATACCAGTCAAACAACAAACAAACATTTCTGGGTCACGCACAACGAGCACGAGCCCAACATCTACCCCAACAAGGCCATCCGCCGCAACAAAACCACCTGCCAAAGCCGTCGTAAAGAAGGAAGGTCTAAACCCTCGTCCTCTCAAACAAGCTCCGGCCGCTCATGATATGAGATTCCGCCTTTTACGGGCTCTTCATGAGCAGCTAAAACGTCTGAATGCTGAATTAAATAAAGACGCAAACCACGATGAGGAGTCACTCGTGCTCTCTGAGCAAGCCGTTATAACCATGGCATTAGATTTGGAAGAGGAAGCAGCTTTACAACCGACTGTCTACTCCAACCTAGTGAAAAATAAGGTCCTTCTCTACAAACGAATGACAGTATCCCAATGGAAAACTGAACGTCAATCCGACCTTGCTAAAGCCAAAGCACTTCAAGAAGCATCTACCCTCTCAAAACCCAAACCCACCGAAAAGCCAAAAGAAATCACCACAGGTCTCACAACCGCCCAAGAAATAGCCTTCCTCCCCCGTCTCCTCACCCCGACCACAGCCCTCAAATCCCACGGCTACGTAAACACCATCCCCACCCCCTCCGAAATCCAAACCGCAAACCTCGGCGTCGAAGCCTCCAAAGGCTGGGAAGTCTGCGATCGTTGCAAATCCCGCTTCCAAGTCTTCCCATCTCGGCGTCCCGAAGACGGCGCCCTAGCCACCGGAGGCACCTGCACCTACCACAACGGCAAACCCTTCTGGAGCGACGCCTCGGCCACAGATGCCACGGTCAAAAAACAGAAGAAATGGCGTTGTTGCGGGGAAGTCATCGGTGATTCTCCTGGGTGTACCACAGCCGCCTGTCACGTTTTTAAAATCACCGAAGTCAAACGTCTCGCTGCGATTCTGAATTTTGTGGAGACACCCAAGGTAAAAGGCAAGAAGGAGAATGGTCCGGTCTGTATAGATGGCGAAATGGGGTATACAGTCCACGGCCTCGAACTTATTCGTCTAACCGCTACATCCTGGCCGAGCGGCACCGCCCTCTTCGACGTTCTCGTCAAACCAGTCGGTGCGATTCTTGACCTCAATACCCGGTTCTCGGGCGTCCATCCAGAAGACTACACCACCGCCCCCGCCTACTCTTCTTCCGCACCGCCAGATAATCTTCAACTCCTCCCCTCCATTTCCGACGCCCGCGTTCTCCTGTTCTCATATCTCTCCCCTGACACACCACTCATAGGCCACGGTCTCGAAAACGATCTCAACGCCACGAGAGTGATACATCCGACGATCATCGACACAGCGCTGCTGTTTCCGCATAAAGCGGGTTTACCGTACAGAAACGGGTTGAAAGTGTTGATGATGCAGTATTTGGGACGCGCCATCCAGGGGGGTGAACATGATAGTAAGGAGGATGCTAATGCGGCGGGGATGTTGGTTCGATGGAGGGTTGGGGAGGAGTGGGCCGGATTAAGGAGGAGGGGGTGGAGTGTTAATGGGGTGAAGTTTTCGGAGGGTGGTGAGGGAGGTGGATGACGGGGGAAAGGAGAGGGGTGAGGGGGTGAGGGATGATTAAGGGGACAGAGACATGGGGGGTATGAGAATCTGGGTTCTAGGCATGTATCTTCAGGTGAACTAATAACTCAAAACTAAGTGAGACTTTAATCCAAGAACCAAACCCCTTGAAAATAACCTCTTCACAAAACCCTGTCACCAGTATATCACAACAAAACTAATTGACCACGCACCCAACTACACATTTCCATCCCACACCCTCCCTCCCTCACTTCCTCACTTCCCACATACCGCCGCCACCCTACGACTAAACAAGATAAAGTCTCATCCAATCTTAGACATTGATTCGCTAGATGTTACACTGTTTTAGAGGCGTGCAGAGATGTGGAGGGCTGGTTCCTTTAGTCTTGTACGATGTATGGGAGAAGTCGGGAGCTGACGCTTGGGGTTTGGTCGGTTGTGTGGGGGTATGTAAGTCTCGTTTTACATGAAGGTATCCCGGACACGATTATATATTGTAGGGAAATGAGAAGAAGAGCGGATTTTGTTGGGCTGGTGGGGGTGAGAGAGTTTCGTTTAAGTGTATCTAAAAGATACGTTCCTATATATTCTCATCCATATCTCGCGTGTGAATTACGCAAACACTATGGTCTATCCAAACCAGCGACGTTGAATAAGAATGGACACGCTCAGTGGGCTAGATGTGAAAGATCCGTGTTTTTTGAAAGCATGAGAACGGACACAAACTAGGTACCTAGGTAAGCTCTCCCCTTAAACAATATACATGCGACTCGCCGAGATAGGCCGTCATATGTAGTCATATATTTCTTCCATATACACAAATGAAAATCTCTCACCTCATTTCAAATATTAGACTACAGATGCTATGCCAGCAGCTTGGGCTTCGTGATTTTATCGATGTGAAGTGTTGATGTCGCTGAGAAGAACCTAGAAGGTATTGCAAGGAGTGAAAGGTGGGGATTATGAGATAGCTATTTGAACACTGTCAAAAACAAGCAGTGTTTAAAAGGGTATTGAAAATATCTTTATACGGACATACACATTAAAACCTCTCATTTCATTCCATACATGCATGCAACACGAATTCCCAAACCCAACTCCTTACCAAACGCCTACACTGGACAAAGAACATCCCATCCCATCCCTCAATCCCTCGTCATCTCATTAAAACCCCTCATCCATCTCAAACTCCTCCACCACCCTCATAAACTTCGCCACGAAAGCCTCGAGATGAAAAATAACCTTCGTCCCCATCCGCACCCTATGTTCATAAAACGCGCTCCACCGTATAATCTCCGCCTTCAATTTGTCATCCACCATCGGTATCAGTTTAAAGGTTAGAACCTTGAGTATCGTCGTAGGCGGAATACAATGGGTGAGCAGATCATAGAGTTTCGCGCGTACTTGGAGAATGCGTGCGGGGGAGTGCTCGGCGCAGATCTCGGCTGCGATGACGGAGAGGAGGGCTTCCCAGTCGGGGGGAGGGATTGGGGTTGTGTTTGTTACTTTTTCGCTGGGAGATGTTAGATGTGGGGTGGATAATGGGGAAGGGGAACGTACTTTTGAGCATGCACGGCTTCGTACATAAGTAGCGCACGACGTAGATTCCTTCCGCTCTCCCTCGCAATACGCATTTCCAGCTCTCTTGCAACGGGGAACCCTTCTTTCTTTCCGCTCTTCGCGAGAACGGTGCAGATCTCGGCTTCTGTAGGCGCGGGGACACGAACGAGGAGCGTTCGGGAGCGGATCGGGGCGATGATGTTTGCGGTGCTGTTTGCTAGTAATATCAATCGGAGATTAGGACTGTATTTCTCCATCGTCCGTCGTAGCGCTGCTTGTGCATCTCGTGTTAGATGATCCGCTTCGTTTATGACTACGATTTTGAACTTCTGCTTCGCGCTCTGGTCGACTTGTTGCGTCTGCGCTACTTCTTTCAGCAGGTCTTGGACAACCACGCGATCGTAGTTTCCAACGTCTGAGGGCGTGATTTCGAGGTGGTAGACCGAGGCTACGATGTTGAATTCTAGTTTTCGGTTTGAGGTTGTTTGGAAGACTCGCGAGTCGATTTTTATTTTCTCAACACCGGGTCCGTAGAGTTCTTTGAGCGTTGCGACGATGCGGGTTTTTTTGCCAGCGCCCGAGGGGCCATAGACGAGGAGGTGAGGGAAGTCGCCGGATTGTGCCTGTGGGTGTTAGAGGTGTGTATGGGTCGGGAGGGATTTTATTTGGGTGACGAACGAGGGAACGGAGTCTTTCGGAGAGGTCTTTGTGGTAGGTTAATTGATCGAGGGATCTAGGACGGTGTTTATCTACTAGAAGAGCCATTGTGGGTGGTTTTAGGTGGGAAGAGTAGTTAGAGGCTCAAGATAGATATCAGAGGTACCACTCGATGTCGAAAGCTTGCTGGTTGACGCGACGCGATGTCGCGTAAAGTGCATGCATCACGTGTAAAGTGGTGCCCAGGCGTCAGCCTCTTCAGTCGAACGACAGCGTCACTCCATCTTCAACTTACATAGTCTACACAGATTCAGAAGTTGCAGCGTTGTAGCTTCAAGATGGATCGAATTTCTCCAGAGGTTTTGCTCCCTGAAAAGCTTCGTTATCTAGGTATGAACCCCTTAAACCCCTACGAATCATTGAATTCTGCTGACATTCCCAGGAAAACTCGAACAATTTTCATCCGCTCGTCATCATCTTGGTTTATTCAGATCTGTTGGGATATCGTGCACATTTGCTTCAAGTGATTCTCTTTCAGATTCAAGTATCCGACATCTCGTCTTCGCAGCTGTGTCGAAACTCCTTCACCTCCATCCCACTCTCTCCACGACAATCATCAACGAAGAGTCCAACAACCCCTACTTCGTTCGTCTTCCCTCCATAGACTTGGAACAGGTAGTGAAATTTGTTGAGCGTCTGACACCTATCGATCCCTTATCTGGAAGTGATGTTGAATTAGACACGCTCCTATCATTGCAACACAACGTCTCATTCCCAATACGTCAGGTTCAGTGGAAAATTGTGATCAGCAGTCACTCTCAGTTCCCTCGTCTGTTCACAATGTCGCTGTTCTTTCATCACGCCCTAGCAGACGGCGCCAGTGCGCTGATATTCATGAGAGACTTCCATACGGCCCTGAACGCAGTGACAACAGCTGAATCTGTCCCTCATACATTCATCCCCATTCCCGCGGCTATCCCACAAACTCTCGAAAGCCTATGTTCCCCTCCAACTCTTCCGACCAAATCCAGCTCAGATACAAAGCCATCTTCCGCAACCTCAACTTCCCCAGGCACCAGCAACTTCCGGTCCCTAGCCCTCTCCCCATTGACCACAACCGCACTCCTTCAAACATGCAAAGCACACTCCACAACCCTAGGCGCTGTTTTCCCAGTCATTATCGCATCCGCGATATTACGCTCTTCCCCCTCCCTCTCCACCGAATGTGTCATCCCTATTAACCTCCGTCCATACCTAGGCATAGATGGAGATAGCATCGGTGTATACTACGACGGCTTCTCTGTCTCTCTTCCCCATGGCGAAATTAATTGGGACGCTGCGCGAAAGGTGGGGAGTGATATCAAAACTCATCTGGAGGGTGTGAAAGAAGGACATATCAACGTGCTGAAATTCCAAAAAATCCCGGATATGATTGAGATGTTTAGACATAGAGAGAATAAGGGTGGTTTCGACGTTAGTAATCTTGGCCGTGCTAAACCTGGGGACGAGGGAAAATGGGAAATGGCCAGATGCACTTTTAATCGGAGTGCGTTTGTGGGAGGAGGGGATTTCACTTTAGGTATTGTGATGGGTCGGGATGGGTGGTTGAGTCTGGGGTTTGCGTGGGAGGAGGGGAGAATGGGGAGAGAGGTTATGGAGGGGATTATGGGAAGTGTGAGGACGGTTTTGGAGGAGGTTGTTGGGAGATCCAATTCCGTTTAGTGCATAAATTGAGCTTACAAGTAACTTGTTTCTGGACCATTTGCCATTTTGTACGCGTTGTGCCTCCTACATAGTACTGGTCAAGACTTTACTTAAGGACCTTTCAGCGAAAACCGATTTTCTTTTTACAAAAATGAGATGTATGTTAGGTAGTTGAACGCTTCTTTGATGCTTGACGTACAATTATACTATTCATGTAGTCCGTAGCACTGTAGAATGTGGCCCAGCTCTATTGATCCATTTTCCTCTCATTTACCAAACTTGAAGAAAAATGTCTCTGTTCGAGCGATTCGTTAGCAGTTCTTCTCACCCTGCCCCGCCCTCGACAGCAGCCTAGATGGACCGTGTTCGCGGTCTGATAGATAGCGGAACTAGACCGCACATTAAAAGTCTTTGAAACATGCTCGAAGATAGAAGATCCACGATCCTCAATGTTAGATGGTATGGAAGAATGCCGGCGTAATATTCAATGGCTAAACAATGAGATAAATGCACCACCCGGAACACCACCTACAAAATATGTCCCTGCTGATAATTTGGCGATGATGGCCATGGGGATGAAACCACGAGTTCAGAGTATACGAGACAGGGCAAAAGCCGATAAGGAGTGGGATAAGCGACAGGCTAAGAGGTTAAAGGAGGCAGATTTAAAGAGAGAATTAGCTGAAAAAGAAGCTATCAAGAAGAAAAAGAAGGCGCTGAAGGAGATGATTGAATTAAGACAGGGGATTAAGAAGGTTGAGAAAGCCAAGCGCAAGCGAGATGGGCTAAAGGGTGTTGCGGGCCAAATCTCTACTTAACGCTTGTAAATCTATACATCCACTTCTCAACCCGTTCGACGAGGTCACTGTGTCTACCTCAGATACAAATTGTCGAATTAATATTGCCTGACCAATAATTTGGCAGCTAAAGGACTAGGAGCATGCCCACTTTATCCTCGCTCTAATCAAGGCGTCAATACGCCTCAACGGCAGTTGGAAGGGAGGTAATTTACTCAACTCAATGGACGAAATATCACAAATACCTCAGTCTAATTGAGGAAACATAATATTTCGACTGCGATTTCATTTTGCCAACTGTTGGACACCACCTTATTCATGAACGCCCAAATGGACCTCCAAGCAATTGTTTCAAAATGATTGACGGAATATAAGAATTTATTAATGGGTTCGAAGAAACATAGTATTTTGACTAGCATTTTTATTGCCGACTGCTGGACGCCTGCGCCTGGAGAATGTTTAACTAGATTCGAGCAAGACATCATTTCTTCAAAAAGGTGGACGAAATGTCGATATTTTGTCAATATAATTGACTAATCGTAATGAAACAGCCCACGTCTGAGTTGTCCGGGGTCTAATATTCTCTTCCTGGTGTTATCATTTAGTATAACATTTCTAGTATGTAGTGTCTTCATACCCGCCTCTTTTTAAGCGAGATATCGATCAGGGCCGGTGTGACACCAACACATTGACGCGCCTCTCATCTGTACATATGGACAATTCAAGTGTTATCAAGTAATTTTAAGCTTAAAGAATCCGTATTGCTTTTATTTGATTTGATTCGTTCCATGGGAGTGCAAAATTATACCACTGAGTGACGGCACTCAAATCAACGGACCATTCTCGATCATCGCAAGCAAGTGAAGTTGTTTGCAATGTTTACAACTCAAATACTTAACATATCTCGAGAAATCTCCTGACATCCATTGCGATCGACTTTTGTTCATACATTCGTGAATAGTCGGTTAGAACAGTACAATTGATAGTCCAGAGCAGGAGAAGCTTAGATAATGACGAAATCGGACCTAGAACAACGGCCCCGGGGCCTAGGACCCCCAATTTCCATTTAATGGTTTAACCCCTAAATACCTAATAACGTTACCCAAATCAAGACTCGAGTGAAAAGATCGACTGTGCGTGCCATATTTTCGACAGAGAATAGTTGAATCTAGAGATTGTGCTTTCGAACCATGTCACCGAGAAACTATACAGATCAAAACTTACTTGTCATGCACGAAAAAAGGCGGGAGGTGGGGAGTGGCTGGGTTTTCGATGATTTTTTGACGCCGTCAAGGTCAACCCCCATATGCTACAAGTCATCTATAGAACCTTGTTAAAAGGTGTTAACTCAGATCCGGATCTGCTACCATTATAGAACCGTATATTGACGCTGCAGCGTGTAGGTAATGCCAACCCATCTATCAGAACTTATGAGTAACCCATTTATGGACCAGCTTATCTCTAAGATATGGTTTCTTCATTTCTTAGATAAGATCTTACAATAATGCGTTTTATGACGTTCTGTTGTGAATTTTGGTCAAGATTACCACAGCGCTCAACGTACTTATTGTAGTTGGATATCCCTTCTAGAGATACAACTTTTCATGGTTGGGGTAAGACAAAAAGAATGTCGGCATTCAAAACAGAGCGTCACACTCGGTACTTGATAATTGAGAGAGGCAAACAGCTTAGAAAGAGTTAAAGCAAGTAATATTTACTAGAAACGATTCACAAAATATCCTATAATGAGCCAACTCAATCGAGAAAACATCATATTTCGAGTGTCGTTCATATCGCCGCTATCTGGTACCTCAGATACTTTGAGAGTTCCATGAATAGAATGGAGTGAATTGTCTAATCAGTTGGGAAAATCCAACTTGGCTCTCAGAATCTGGGTAATCTTTTTACCTCAGCCTATTGATCAAGTGACCTGTATTATTCGAAGGTTCATAGTCTAATCTTTTCATTATATTGAAAGAACCATGTTAAGCTTAATATCAGCCGTTCACGAAATCTGTAAGCTCACTCATAATCATGACCACGAAACACAAAATTCAATGAGCCCTAATCTCAAATCACTCTAGTTTTAGACTAAATCTTCGAATGTCAAATTTTGGATCAAATGAGCCCAAGACAGTATGTTTATTCTCACATTCCAAGAAAATAACACAATTGTAAACTATGTCTGAGATGAAAAGGGCCTGTTGAGTGTTTATAAACTGGTTTGATAAGGGGTTCAAATTCTAATGATGTCTGCCTTGTTTCTTGCGCATATGTTGGAAATATAGAGGCCAAATGTCAATGTTTATGGTCATGAATATTTCTTTGATTAATTTAATCTTGTCGTAATCTGCTGAGACGTGAGCACAGCTCAAACAGATCCTAGAAAAAGGCTTGATTTCTCAAAACAATTGACGAAATTACGATATTGTGCCAAATAGATCCACTAAACTTAAAATATCGAGTGCCATTTGTGCTGTTAGCTGTAGGATTGCTTCTGTTAAAAACGCTCTTCTAGACTAGAAGCCTGGAAAAGGGTATCGTTTATTCACAACAATTGACAAAATGTACAATAATGTGTCAACCAGGTCCATGAAACTTAAAATCTAAAGTGCTAGTTGTCCTAGTAACTGTAGGATACCTCCTTTTGAACACGCCATACCTGGCCTCGAACGAGGAAATCTTTATCTTAAACAATTAACTAATTATACAATATTGTCTCAATATAATTGAGTAGTCATTGTTTTGTAACCGATCTCTAAATTTACATTGCCCGTAGGCTCGTTCCTCAGCCCTGAAGTTCTAAATTGTGTCCCGATCTCTTCGTCGAATTTTAAGCGAGATTTCGATCAGGTGTACGGTTGTCATGATTTAGTGACAACTTTCACAGTGATTAAATAGCAGATTCTCTGATTAGCAGAAGCAGAATAGGCTAGATTGTAGATGTCTTTAAAGTACTTCAAGTATTTAAGTCAAGCAGAAACGTCTTAGAACAAAAGGCCTAGTAGGTGATGTGAAGGAGAAACACAACAATGTGGCATAGACCTAATTGGCCTAAGCTAGTAGTAGTCAAAAGATGTTGACCGGAGAATATGCTCCTATACCTGCCTATACAGGCTTAGCTCCCTGGCCCCCTATTTGCCACTTATACCTGTATATATACCCCTCTGTAGACCTCAATACATAGGACAATCAGTCCGCCATTTCTCAAGTTAATAAAAGACAATGTTTACTCAAGACAAGTGAGGAAATATCGATGTTTCGTCTACAGTTTTGAGGAAACGAGACACTTCCATGCCGATGGCTATATCCAAAACCAGTAATCCACTCTAACTTTGTACCGTTTTACAAGTGAATCAAATATATAGCATATTTACTCAACGTAATTGACGAAATACTGCATATTTCGTCAACAGTTTTCAGGAAACAAAAGATTTCTAGCCTAATGAATCGTTTCCAAATCAGTAATCGTGATCCATGATTCACCACTTGAAATTCATTCTCCCAAGAGTGTAGATAAAGTTGAGTGTGGCACATTAGGTTTCTGAGAGCTGCTGCCTACCAGAAGGAAAGAAATGGGAAGTATCTAAGAAGTGTGGTTTATATTAGCCACAGAGATTACACAGGCCGTCAAACCGCGATATTTCAGAGTTTATTTTGTCAAAGCAATTGACGAAATATACGATATTGTGTCTATTAGATTCAGTAAACCAAAAACGATCTGTTGCCATTCGTGGTGTTGGCTGTGGGAGACCTGCTTTCCAAAACTTCCGAACCAACTTGCGCTCAACCAGACTCGAAAGAGGTATCCTTTATTTAAAACAGTTGACGAAACATGCGATATTATTTCAATCGGATGAGTTGATTATAGTATTGGGACCTACCTTTGACTTTAGATTGCCCGAAGTCTAATCCTCGGTCTCGAAGTCTTAAACAGTTTCACGACCCTTACGCCCCTTTTTTAAGCGAGATTTCGATTGGGACGGGCGTGAGTGTGCTATCAACAAACTGACGTTGCGATGTCTGTAAGTATGAATGTTTCAAAAATTGAATAATGAATACAAAAGAGGATAAAAAAAAATTTCAACTGAGACTTTGTTTTCAGGCATTTTAGACGTGGGGAGTACCTAAGAAGTATAGTCAAGGTGGACGACAGAAACTACTCTCGCAGGGGGTAATATGGCTGGCGGTCGGAAGACGATACTTTCTCAAAATAATTGACGAAATATCGTACATTTCTTCTATTGCTCTGGGTAAATGAGAAAATTCTAGCTTGTATCCAAAAACTATCAAGCCAAGGGTATCTCAAATATGTTCAATCCAGTCAGTATTTCTGGAACACACAGAATAAAGTAGATATTCATGTTCCTATTTTTTGTTGACGAATTCATATGACTGCAAGGTTTAGACCCTACCAGCCATGAGTAAAGAAAAACCATCGGTGTATCGTAAAACTGACAGGATATCCCCAAGTACAATAATTTCAGAGCAAGACTTCCCAACATGCTTGATTTAGCAATTTTGATTTGCCATTCTAGAAGAGATAATACGATAATTCTACTTAAACTCGTCGAGTCACTATAGCGTTTCGGGCAGAATAATGTTTCCAGAGGCGAAAGGGTATTGGTCGCTTGAGAGCAAGGGGCTTCGGCGACCACCCCTCAGTTGCCTCCACATACCTGACGCATGACCTGTATTTGCCTGTTGATTTTTCTCTATGAGGAGCATAGAATTTCCGAGATATTTAGCATGTAAAGATCATCTCTGAGAGTGGAAAAATGACATGAACCTCAAGCGATTCATTTTTGATATTCAAAAAACGTGATCAGACGCCAGAAATCAAAGAAACGTCTGGAAACGCGATCCCAGACATTTCCTCCCCACCCAGAGTCAAATAACATGGGTCTTACTTTCCTACAAGTTCAGTCTATGTCATTTTCGACGTTGACTGCTCTAAGCGAGTTGAGGAAAGAACGGCAGGAGCCATCCCCATCGCCTCAGCTCAGCGCAACACTATTTTCTCTAGAACTCTTGCTGTATTTCTTAATCTAGATATAGATTCTGGATGAATCCATTTACTCAAATAACAGAAATCAAATATTGCACTGATTTAGCTGCTATTAAAATCTTTGGGTACCCCCTGAACTTTGTCAGCTGTTTCGGTTGGCACCCACGATTCTCATAATGGAAAGAGCCATCACACTCAACTAGCGCATCTAGCGTCTTTCTTTCTGGGCGTTCCTTTATAAGGGATTTTCCCGCCCCAGGGCCTTTTTTCTCTTTCTCTTCAGCTTCGAAAACAACCAAAAATCGCTACCAAAACTCACGCATCACTACTCACTCACTCACACACATCGCTACCCAAACATCACTACCAACAAACATGCATCTCTCAGCCATTGCAGTTGGAGCCGCTTTCGCGGGCACCGTTCGGGGTGCAGCAATGCCAGCTTACGATCCAGAGGCCAACAGCCCATACAGCAAGCCAGTCTACAATCCGGAGACATCTTCGACTTTGCCAGCTTACTATCCAAAGCCGGACTCATCAACTGTAAGAACTCACTTCCAACCTTTGACTCTTCTGACACTTCACAGGCTTACGCTCCTACTGGAACCTATGGAACTGGAGTGTACGATCCCAAGCCATATGAGCCAACCTCCGCATATGATGCAAAACCATATGAGACGACCTCAGTCTATGATCCAAAGCCATACAAGCCCACTTCAGATTCCACATCATATGGTCCAAAGCCATACAAGCCAACTTCGGATTCCACATCATATGGTCCAAAGCCAACTCATTCCTACGGACCGGATCACAATCCATATGGCAACAAGGACGACAAACACTACGGCGGAAAACACGGAGATGGTTATGGGGACCACCACGACAATGGAAACGGCTATGGTGACAAGCACGATAACGGATACGGACATAGTGACAAGGATGGACACAAGACCGAGGACTCTTACACCAACTCCATCATTCATGGCGCATACGACCCATACAAGCCGACAAATACCGATTATGCCCCCACGACAACTGGCTATAAGCCATCAGATACTGGATATCACCCATCGGTCACTGGTTACAAGCCATCAGATACTGGATACCAACCATCGGTCACGGGTTACAAGCCATCGCAGGAAACTGTTGTCGTTCATGGTTCTGTGGTAAGCACATCTTCACTTTCAAACTTTTTGGCACAAACTGACATGATCCAGACCAAGACAATCCCAGATGGTCACGCCACAGTCAAGGTACCTGTCCCAACTGATTACCTCACCAAGACTGTCACTTCGTACGCCACGTACTGTCCAGAGGCAACCAGCTTCGTTGCTCAAGGGAAGACATACACCGCCTCAGCTACCAATGTTTGGGTTCCAGTTGCTTGTCCAAATTCCTGCACTGTGACCATTGCTCCAACGCCAACCGTTCTTCCGCTTGGGTAAGCTTCTTCCCATTTCTTTTGTTCTCCAGTAACTGACCTTTTTCTTTCAGGAAACCATACAACAATGGCACAGTGTACGGAGTTCCAGTTCCGTACAATCCTTCCAACCCATACACCAACCAAGGTACCGGAGCCACTTCAGGTGGGAACAATTCCGGCACTGGCAACTCTGCGGGCACAGGCAACAATTCCGGAACCGGTTCAGGAGCTGGCACAAACAATGGTGCTGGCAACAACGCTGGATACAACGCTGGTTCTGGTACCCACCCCGCCCCAGCACCAGGAAACAACGCCGCTCCAGCACCAGGAAACAACGCTGCCCCAGCACCAGGAAACAACGCTGGCCCAGTACCTGGAAACAACGCTGGCACACACCCAGCTCCCGCTCCAGGAAGCAATGCCACCCCTGGAAGCAACTCTGGAACCGGCAGCAATGCTGCTCCTGGCTCAGGATCTGGTAGTCAACCTGCTCCAGCTCCTGGAAACAATGCAGGAGCCGGTAACAATGCAGGAGCCGGTAACAACGCAGTCCCAGGCCCTGTCGCAGGTACCAACACCACGGGCGCTGGAGCAGGCCAAGGAGCAGGCTCTGGCTCAGGAACCACACCTCTTCTGGCCAATTCTGCAACCAAAAACTCTGGCATTGTTGGATCACTCATCGGCGCTCTCGCTGCCGCTTTCTTCTTCGCTTAGTCTCCTTCCTTGAGGGTTTTGTCTTCCTGTGTGGGAATCTTTGTGGAGTTTGGGAATCGTGTACTGGCGCTGTTATCATTTCAAACATACTAATCTCGTCTGAAGGAGGATCGGATATGCTGCAACTTATCTCATTTTCACTTGATTCTTATTGAATCTTGGGAAATAGCGTGGAGTGTTACCCCTGGGGTGGTGACACAGTCTTCGGACAGCGATAGGTAGTTGGCAATCCAAACTTCTTCTTTCAACTCATGTGTCTTTTTCAATGTGTGCTTCCAATCTGAGATATGTGAGCATCAAATCCCAAAAATCGACTCAAAATCGGAAATTCCTTGACGCGAACGATTGACAACTCTAAAGAAGTCCATATTTGAAACCTTTCATGCTTGCTTGCTCTTGACCATAAATCACTTCTCCATGCTCGTAAACCTGCCTATTTACTGTTTACATCAAATATAGACATGCATAAGACTCAAAGTGCACACGTATTTTTTCTTGTCCCTTGTGTCTGATTGCAGGTTTATGGGATCAGAGTCATGTCCAAATCCATCAGAAATCAGCAGCTAGCCACATGGCAATCAAGAGTTCAGTGATGAAGGTACTGTCTCTACCAATAGATTATTCAAGATCTTGTGAGCTGAAACTTTGGGGGAAAATGGGGTAGATCGAAAGTGATGGTGCCTTGGATTCTCTGTGTTTCGAGGTTGTTCCGAGTCGGGGTCATGTGACTGACGGCTTTGGGGACTTGAACAGGAAGCGGGTAACAAGAAGATAGAGAGTGAGGTAATAGAAGAACTGTCATTGATGAAAAATTGAGAGCAAAACGTTAATGATGTCATTTACATAGCGGCTGACAAGGTCTGCGAGTTCCATGTTATTGGCAACAATCACGTGCTTGTGACTGGTTGGGGAAGGTGGAGGTAGAAATCGCAATTGCGAGCCCAATATAGCTTCAGGTTCCTAGACCGGTTGAGGTTGAGAGTGTATGCTCTCGAAAGGATTTAGATCATTCTTCAAGCAACAAGATGTTTGAGGAGTGATGTGTAGGTAAGAGGGGGCAGTGATGTATTTGCTGGCACTTCTTGAAGCGGTGGAAGAATAAAGCGATTATAAAACAGTAGAGCCTAACGCCATAAAACATCAACACTTGACACACTGCCTCAGTACACTCTACATATCTTACTTCAATTCAACACACCTCCAAAAACGCACGTGCCAAAAGAACCAGACCAAATGTGCTCGTAAACCAGAGGATGAGATTTTTGGCTGCGAGGTCAAAACTTCGAGTATGAGTAAGATAGAAATTTAAATGCTAAAGCTTCTCGTACCAGAACAAATACTTATTTGAGAGTATGCCAAGACTCAGAGACCACAACGGAAGCCCCTGACTTTAAGCGAGAAGGTCTTTGTCTCCACCTAAATTGATTTCTACATTTTTAGATGTGCATTCCCACAACGACAAGCCAAAAGATGATTTGCTTCACAAGCAGGAAGGGAAAATCCTGCGGAGTTTCTGTCATTGCATGTGGTCAGCCGTCGAAAATTCTTTGTCCAATGTTTCAAAGATAAAGCTGCAGCTCCTTTGATGGTTTGGCGACAAAGAAATCTGAAGAAACAGAGCCATTGTTTTTGTGTCTCAGCATTGACGCAGTTTGCAAGAGTTTCAGTCTTTATCTGCAAATCTGCACGGATACTGAGTATTTGGTAGACTAAAAATAAAACATAAAAATGGGGTGGGAATGGAATTTGGACAGCATGTGAACGAAGCGCCAATGCAGGATGTGCCAGTGCAGAATGTATACTTTTAGCAAACTGTCCAGGGCACTTGGACAAGATTTCAGCATCGGCTTGACCGACAATAAAATTATATGGACAAGAAACTTCGGCTGAAACAATTTTGAGGAATACACAACCCCGCAGAGACATTTTTATTCAGCTTGATTCCAGCAGCTAATGGCTTCTAATACAAAACTAATCCAACAATGAAGTCTGAGATTGTTTGGTCCCTTCCTTAAGCGCCTGGTTTAAGCTCGAAACGAAAGTTGGAAGATAGACAAGGAAACCATTCAAACAACTCAGATTTTATCCTATCATAAGTGTTTGAAAGAAACGAATTTGACAAAAGAAGATCTGAGATAACTGTTTAGGTATTCATAGCAAGTCTTAGAAATGAACGTGCTCGAGTTCTTTCTTCAGCGGCTTGGCCGGTTGAAAAGAGAACAGTACTGGCGTGTTTTTCTATAAGGGACAAGCAATGATTGCCGTAGGTACTCATCATACTATCCGCGCTTCGTTCAAGAAATACACTTTCGACGGCAGAATTCTTCCTAAATCCTTTGGATTGGGAAAACATTCTCCAGACCAGTGTATACTACCAACGCAGGTGCACTCCACAACTTTCTGTTTAGCCATTCAAACATTCTCAGCACATCTACCAAAGACGCGAAGATGTGCATCGTGCAAAAAGCCGAATTTCGAGAGTGCCACCATTTTCGAATTCCGGGCGTCACTCTCCAGCGATGTGGAAATGTACCATGCGGCCATTCTTCTTACGCCGAAGGTGTTGCAATGCTGGAAGGTTCTTGTTCAAGCTGCAAATACGGACGAAGCAATAACATCCCTAAAGGTATGTATCGAGTCAATAACGGATTCCGATGTTAGAAGTCTCAAGACTAACGTGATAAATAGTAGAGAACCGCACCTCACAGCCCTGAGAACTCGTTTCGGTAACTATGGGGACCTATGCGATTCAGACGTGGGTCTTTCAGTCGCCTTGAGTAGCGGAAGACACTACGATGAGAAATTGGCTGAGATAACATTTTGGGAAAAGCAACACCAACGGATGTACTTTGGACCACGCTCACCTAGAGATGAAAGAGCAACGGCAATGCAAGAATATTCGCGAGCATGCTCTTGGAGAACCCATGCTGAACGCCTAGCACTCTTGAGTCAGATCAAGAACCAGCAACAACAGGAGTCACAGGCACAAGCACAAAGGGAATCGAACCCTCGGCGCAGACTGGACATTCTGGCTATTGCCGATAGATGGCGAGAAACGCGGAGACTTGGAGGGACAATAGAGACATTGCAAGCAATGAACGAGGCTGAGTAACCACTGATGGCCGCTTCTGGTGGTCTATTCCGATGCATGTCGTCTACTTTTGCGTCTGAAAGCTCGATGTCAGCCAATTCGCCCGAAGGCTCTACTTATTTCGACAGCAATGCTTCTGGCTCTAGCAAGATATCCGACATGCCTCATTTTGGGACTTTCGATCAAAAGATTAAGTCCAAATCCTCGTATGTATCGATCTGCATTGTAAACGTCAGGACTTGCTCAAAGAAGAAACGGGTTGGAATGCACTTCGATTGAACAGATGTTAGAAATATAGTACGATAAAATAAATACCAGACTGAGCCATGTTAAATGTGATACAACTTCCATGTAATTAAATTTGACCTTTTTTGTTAGATACGACTTCCAACAGCGCAATATTTTGTCTTTTGACGAGAAGCTCCTCTGAGCGATAGGTTGAGGGACATTCGACAACACAAAATAAACTTCCAGTGCTTTCTGCCATAAACTAAACAAAAAACAGGTTAAAGTCGTAATGAAGATGTAATGATGAAGTCCAAGGGTACTTGGTAGCTAAACCGTGGTAGAGACGCGTTCGTAGCCAAGCTACGCGTTCGTGTTTGGAGTCGATCTATGAGCCCCACTTTTCCTCGGCTCGGCGTGACGGCTCCTCTGAACCGCACTCTAACCTCCCCCCTTTTCTTGACTACCTACACTTGGATGTGGCAGCTATTGAGAAGGTGATATAGCACGACCGGAGCGCTCTTCGATGGAAATTCTACTCTTTGGTCGGGAATCTCCACGAGTCCAAGGTTACATCGCCGCCAACCTCTGATCGGCTGGCACTGGTCTTCGGAATCGACAATGATCATGTTGTTTTCCGAGAGTACCTTCAGTCCAGCACCAGCGGGAATCTAACGCCGCAGAAGAGATATTCTCACATATTGGCCAAGGTATGTGCTGAGGGTCTGAAATACAATTTACCATCGTCCAACTTGCAACCGACGAAGCGAATATCAGGCTACGATCTCCAACTCAACATCAACATCAGTCGCCATTTGAATGCGCCAGTCAACAGCTTAATACAAAGATCGACTTTGTCATTTTGATCTCACTTTGATTCGTGATCTTCTGAGTTAAGGGACTAGGTTATAGGGTACGATCAGAAAATTCTTCACCGACAAGAGAGTGGTCTCTGGATCTTCCCCTATTCCAAAATTCTCGCAATATGTCTCATTGGAAGAGAGGGCGGCTAGCTTTAGGACTTCTGAGGCTTGGGCCCAGCAACAGTCCTTTCGCAAATCACTTCCAACGTTTGGCCGATGCCGATCACATAATATGGGTGATTTGTCCGGACCACAGACGTAAACCCAAGAACCTCACTAGAAACCCATATCCAGTCAGTGCTGGACAGGTTGATCATCTCACTTCTTGGAGTTTGGACTCCGCGCAGCAAGTCTTCTTTAAGAGTATTGGTTGGCAGACCAAAGTAGCTTTGTCGGGATTGCAGGCACCCGCGAAACGACTTCTTGGAACTGAGAACCCAATATGTTGTGGCTACTCCTGCATCAGCCTTTTGGCAGATTCGCGCTTCATTGCATTGAATCTGCCTGGTTCCTGATGCCTCATTAGCTTGAAGTTATCGTGGTCCAATACTTGCACGTGCATCGAATGCATGTGTTCGGGAATTTACCAGCTCAGCCCCTGAATCTAAAACTCTAAAAAGCTCAGCATAAGGCTGAAAACGAGTCGGCGTTGTGCTGAACCCCAGATTTCGGATGGCGTCCAATCCAATCAGTACAACACTCCCGCAAAACTTGGCGTCATGCTGCTGTGGTGGCTGGTCGTCAAATCGATTGAAGATTAGAGTGGTAGGTCCCGAAACCGCCTCTCGTTCCTGGATACACCACGCGTGTGGAGTGTGCTATACTTAGCAAGAGCTTGGATCTCGATCTCTTTCTTCCCAATCTACCAGGTGTACCGTTATTGTGGTGTCTGCTATTCACAAGTTATTATATTGTTTATTGCAATACAGTTCTTGATTTCGAGTCCTAAATGCTCTAATGACTTGACAAAGTAGTCATCAAACAACAGAATTCAAACTCGAATAAAATCCAGCCACACGACATTCATATTCGTCTTGTGAGGCTGTTGTCGCGGTTCTGTCTGGCATCGGAAATGGCGTCCTATAGCCTTTCAGAACATCAGTACCAAACCAATGACGCACTACCGACACAAGTAGAGACTTTCTGCTACAGTCAACTCAGCCTCTTTGGCGTTTCTACCTGATTACAAAAGGGTTCTTGTACCCCATCTCTATCTTTACATCAAATCTCTCAATAATCACTTCTGTGTTGAACATCCCCATCCCTCGTTTTGAGATTGCGATCGAGCTTCCTTCATCGTCTCAGTCTGTCGTTAGATTACCTTTCATCCAACATGTTCAATACCAAAGTTCTCGTGACACTAGGTCTGCTCTTGGCGACTATAGTCACCGCTCAAGACCAGACATGCGGAGCAACTGTTTCGTCCAATGGAGGACGAAAGATTGCTATTGTCGTTGACTCGTCAGGTTCCATGTCAAGCACAGTAAGTTGAATCGACTATAATTCTTTGTTTAATTCTCTGACATGTTACAGGATCCTCAAGATCTTAGAATCACCGCCGGAAAGTCCTTAGCAGCATCACTCGTTACAACTGGAGGATCCCCTGATCAAGTCACCGTTGTTGATTTCGACAGCTCCGCAGCAATCATTTACCCTCTTGGTAGCCCTTCTGGGGCTGGACCTTCGTTCGATACTATTGACTCCTCAGGTGGAACCTCAATATATAGTGGTATAAAGCTCGCTCTCGATGAGCTCACAAAAGGCAACGCACCAACTGCTGGTGTAGCTGGTATCGTCGTCTTGACAGATGGAGAAGACTCTTCAGTCACTCTTCTCGTTGCCGAATTAGTTCGAGCAAAGGGATTGGGTGTGCGTGTATCCTTTGGGTTTCTCTCACCAGATTCCTCTCCGAGTAGTCCCTCCGTGCTCTCGGCTATTCTCGACACCGGTGGTGTTTTCAGCACTTTCCAAGATTCTGAAGCACTCAAAACTTTCATTAGCAGTGTCGTTAGTCACGGTCTCACATCTTCTGAGAGCTCCGCGTCAGGCTCCGTCTTGCTACCCGGCCTAACAATTGTTGGAAACGTATCGTCCACTGCAGCTGCCTCTTACACTTACTCCGCCATTGCCGGCGAGGCTTTAAATTTCACCGTCAAAGCATTGAGCTCTCAATCACTCTCAGTAAAGCTTGCCGACAAGGGTGCATCAAAGGACATCGATACACAGTCAACTGATGCGACGGGTTCAGCTGGTATTCTTTTCACGGCTGCAGGTGCAGCAAATCTTGAGCTATCCGTGAGCACAACCAATGCCACCTCAGGTCTGTTTTCCGTCAGCCTGAGTTCATCAGTGAATAGAACATTCAATTTGTGCACACAAGACAAGTAAGCATTCTTTTGACTAGAAGTCTAAGTATAAAAGCTAACATCGTGTTAAGCACGACTGTCACCAATGGAACTACAACACCAAATATCACCATCCCAACAGGAACAACTGGACTACCATCGCCAACATCAACATTTATTCAAACAGCTGGTGCTGTAATTACAGCTAAGGGATATCTTGCTAGGGCTGCTATTCCATTATTGATATTAGCCGGGGCTGCTGTTCTGTAAATGCTGGTCCAGCCCCACGGTGGCGGATGGCTTATGCAATTAATGAGACACGTGGAAGCAATGGGAGGAAAACAATCGAAGTTTTGTTTTGGCTCATGATCATGTTAAGCTCATCGTTTACTCTCGTGGACAAGGCAGTTAGTATTTTTAGGATAAATCGATCTCATTTAAATAGAATGTAATGCTCGTGGCCTCTGTCTTATCTTGCGACCAGGCTTGGTCCACCATCGTCGCTGATAGGTTGAAAATAATCTTTAAGTAGATTTTGTAAAATACAAAAAACACAAGACCCAAGGAGCAATCAGATGCCTGTCATTACAATTCATAAAATTCAAGGCAATTAGAAGAGCCACGGCTGATTAACACTGAATAGTAAAAGCTACTTTTATTCTTTTTTGTGTGCACCTTAATTCGAGCGGTCCATTTCTCATGGTATAGTAGAGAACAGGAAGAAATTCTCAGCAGGGCGAGGAAACATGAGCGCATTGAGCAAGTCAGCCACTGAATGATCAACATCAACAACGAAAAAGAAACTAAACAGGGATTAAGAACAGCTTTTAATATCACGTAGTTAAATATCACTTATTCGCTGCCATTCACTCCTCTATTTCGGTCTAGTTGTTTATTTAACATCATTCTCTCGCCAAGATAATTTTCAATAATTTCCAGCCAGCAGTTCTCAACATGGTTGAATCCACTGATTACTCGTTTGAAGTCGAATTTAGCGAGGATGCAATGGATGTAGAAATGGATGACGTCCAAGATGGCATGTCACACTTGGCAATTGGGAAAGAGCACTTAAATGAGAGTACTCTCGGTAAGTTGCCGCTGCAGGAATCGGAGTCGCGAGAGCCTGAGACGAACGAGAATTCTTCAGAGAAAGCCGGAGATGAGAGCCTAACAACCAAGTCTCCTACGGACTTAAAATTACGAAACTTAGGTATTTCACCAGATTGTGTTGATTATCGTGGTGTCACTATCCGTATGCTGAATTCTTCGTACGCCGAGCGCCCGAGGGACTCGCAAATGGACCAAATACGCTACGCTCGTGAAAACGGCTGGATTCAGGGTCGCGTTGATTCTTTGAGCATACCCATTTTGGAGACTGTGGCAGATGAGAATTCATATGGGCCCCGAGACCCATTGGAGCAGCTCGCAGATCAAATGGCCGGTCATCAGGTGATTTGTGCGGTTGAAGATTGTGAGGAGGAAACCAATTTGACCGTACTGGAGATGCACAAAAAATCGGTTGACAGGGCTTATGAGGAGTCTTACCAAAGAGGATTAATCTACCAAGCTACACAAGAACTCATGGCTCCCAGAAATGAGCTGGGTGTATTGGATTATTCTTTAGTCAGTAAAGAAGGGGTTGACATGACTCTTTTGGGCTCTGACTCGTAGATTAATCTATGGATAGACTTATTCGTATCAATATAAGAGATTGTCAAATATCACAAAAGTATTCGTCTGAGTTTTCACAAGTAACCATTGAATTATCCTCGAAATTTGGAACGAGACATTCCATTCCGTCCACGGGTTTGTTTACTCTTTACGTTATCTACTTTGATGCGGTCTCTAGCATATTTAAATTCCCTCAAGGATTGGCATCAGGTTAATTTGTGTGTTCCTTGATCTCAAGAAGCGGTTTGAAATATGAAATTGAGAAGAAACATATGAAAAGAAAATGATCTAGATTAGCTCGTGCAAAATCCGCAAAGAGAATTTAACGAAATTGTGCTAACTACAGCAGCAGGGTCAGTCGGTCATTTACGATGCGAATGATTCGATAAACTACTGCTCAGTATGAACAGCGAACCATGTGGAGAAGAAATCTATTATCCAAACGAAATTGACCGTATATATCATAAGCTCACCATTTGCTAATTCGCCGTTTGTTCTGTTCACCATTTCCACAGAGCAGGTACAAGCTAATTCACACATGGATCACTGAACCAAAACCGGACTAAATCTTGTGACTCCGTGTAATGAGGGCTGATTTTGGGCATAAAACTACTCGTACCTCTTGATATTTTCTCCTTTCTCACAGCTGTACGATCAACCTTCTTATAACTCAACTTTCGCCAGTATATAATCAACAGCAAAATGTTTGACGAAACTCCCACGGATCCTTATAACAACAATTTCCATGAGTACGCTTACTTAAATCGATACAATGTGTTTGGAGATCCTAGGTTGGATGTGATATCGGATAAAGAGGTGGATCAATCTGCTGATGAGACGGTCGACGAAGATTATGGAGAGATGGACTGGAGTGCAGAAGAACATGGAAGTGTAGAGGATGATACTAGTGAGGACTCTGAGAATGATACCAGTCCTAAGCAGAGCCAATCCTCGCAATCAGACCTCTCAGACAGTTGCGGAAGCCCAGCAAATGAGAAATTGTCAGAACTCGTTGTGCAGGAGGAAGCTGCTCTTCCTCCTCCTGTGTTCGAGTTTACGTTCACTGTCGAGCACAACATCAACCTAAGCATTGAAGTCACTCCGCCAGAAGACACCAGTATTACAACGCCGCCCACACTCTCCAAGCTTCCTGAGAACAGAAAACGAAAAGCCATCCACAGTCTCATGGAAATGATGACACTTTCAGAAAACATCTCACCAAAATACAACCCCACCACGATGCCCAGCCCCGAAGAAACTGCAAAAAGAAGACGTCTAGGCACATTCCCAATCCCCACCACCAACCTCCCCTTATCAGTCTACAACCCCAGTGCTCGCAGCACCTCAAAACCACCCGACCCAAAACGCCTCAAAATCTACTTCCACAAAGCCTGTCTCCACAGAGTGGACTATAAGACTCTCCCAGAAATCCTCGAAACCTACGAGTCCACCACCAACCTCATCCGCACCGCCGACGCAAACCACTTCTTCATCGCCGAACCGCGTTGGTGCACCGACTGCATCTTCATGAAATCCTCCTCTCTCCGCGTAAACTACCCCGAGCCCTCGTCGCTCACAAAACGCGACCTGCTCATCCACGCCAAAGAAAAGGGGTGGCGCGATGGAAAGATCGCGTCGCTTAGCACGCCTATCTCCGTGTGTCTTGCGCCCTATCCGGCTGTGGATGAACATCTGTATCATCCGCCGTCTCGCGCGGAAGAGAGGATTGAGATGTTGTTTGGGAATGTGGGAGTGGAGAGTGCCAAGGTGAAAAGGAAGAGGGGGAGGGAGGTGGAGAGGATGGTGGAGATGTATAATGGGGGGTTTATGCTGGGGATGAAGTTTGGGGTGTCGAGGGAGGAGGATAGGTTTGATGTTGGAGAGAGGCTTTTTACTGAGATGAGGTTGTTGGGGTCGTGGTAGTTGGGGTGATGTGAGGATGGGAATCTTGTGGATTTGTCTTAGGCTAGAAATGTAGACATTTCTTATAGACTTAAGAATCGAGAACAAAATCCTCTGATTTACCCAACCTCGCTGTGGAAAAGATAAGTATAAGTACTTTTCGACTTCTGCGTTACACCTAACGGTAGGGAATGACTTTCACTCATCTCAATAGATTTCAACGAGAATTCCGAGGTTGTCTGGTTTACCTAAAAAGACAGACGAAATATAGGATATTTGTCAATCTGATCGAGTAAACATCACGGTCTACTTTCTCTTATATCGTCCACCGCAACCAAACATCGCGTTACATGTGCCTGAGAAGGCCGAGATCACCAAACCAAGTCCCCAAATCGATGTTGCTGACAAGGTCTCCATCCATATTCAAGTGCGTGTCGACGCGACAACACCATCACCTCAGGCAACTCAGTGAGGACGACCATGACGCAATATTCTATACTCTTGTTGTCTTTGCGGTGGTGTTTATACGAAGTGAATCTGTATTTCCGTCACGCTATCACGCGCTTGAGTAGTCCCAGGCAACAACTTGCGCGTTGAGTGGTGGTGAATACTCACTTATCATCCGATTGACTTCAGATAAACTCCATCAAGTCACCATTTAGTTAGTGCCAACCAATGAAGCTGAGCAAACATCATTCAATGGCGTATTTTGAGTATAAATACCGCGAAGTCGCCCATCGGTTGATTCCATCTTTCCGTTTTATCATCACAGACACTTGTCAGACACTTTGTACCTCCATACACTTTATCAAGCAGCACATGCTTGAGCCCAACATATTTCTCATCAGCTATACATTAGGATATGAGGAACATCCTATACACAACTCAATCACTCATCCAAAGACCACCACAACAACCCACCACCTCAACACTCAACACCAAATCAACCTTGTCCACACACAAATCTCACCACCCAAAATTCAATCCCCCATCCAACCCTCCCCAAAATGAACACCCGATTAGGCCGACAACTCCAACCCCCCACCCCAAAAACCCCCGGAAGCGGAGCCGTCTCAAAGAACCCCCATGACACGCGTTCCAGATCCAGCAAAGAACCCATCACGCCCCCCTCCAAACCAACAGACAAGAAGATCAAAGCCGGCAAAATCAAGAAGAGCAAGCAAAAACAAAAACAAGTATCCTCCGTCTCCTCAATCCAAAAACACATGACGCCTGTGAGCGAGCGAAAATTCAGAACAGGAGACGCACGGCAAGCGCATGAGAGACGACAGGCTCAAGCCGCTCAAGCAGCGTTGGGAGCGCCTGTGTTTACGAAGCCGGCTGTGGCGACGCCCGGGTTGACGTATGTGCATCGGGCGTGTGAGCATGAGGTTGATTTGATCAATATGATGAGCACGAGTAATATTACTAGTGACGCCAGTAATGTAGTTGCGAGTGGACGACCGCGTGTGATGTTGATTCTAGAGCCGCGATGGTGTCAAGTATGTGTTCGTGCAAGAGCAGTGTCGATCCAGCAGGGCTGGGAGGAGGCGAGGACGAATGAGATTCCGCTTGAGCATCCGGATGTGGTGCATCGGGTTATGAAGGAGAGGTCGAGAGAGGAGGGGATTTGTCGGGGGAGGATCCAGGCGCTTGTTACTCCACTGGCTGATTATGCGGGGAGGACTTCGCAGCAGGCGTATGTTGATAATATGAGTATGCGACTTTCTCCTTTGTTCTCCCTCCTAAGCTCCTGCTCTAATTGGCTGCGAAAGAGTTTCATCCTCAGACACTCCTCTTTTCTCTTGAAACATAGAAATATTCATATGCTAACTTCTTGGAGTGGAGAGGTTTGCGAGGATTGGGGTTGTGTCAACGAGGGACAGGATGGTGAGGGATGGGATGGGTGAGAGTCAGATCCAGATGCAGAGATTCGTTGAGTTGCATAGGGCGTTCGAGGAAGGGGTTGCTGAAGGTCGTGCCCTGCAGGCGGAGCAAGAAAAGTCTGCTCTGGAAATCCAGAATCCGACTGGGAGGAGTACGATGTTGGAGCTTTGTGGATTGTAAAGTTGTAATACGCAGATGGACATTCATGGACCGGAAGAGTTGGAGGACTCGGGACCAAGGAGGGCAATCGACATGTATACTCACCGATATTTTTGTACTCATAACTTCGTGGATGTAAGAATCGCCCCATATCGACGTCTGAATCATTTTTCGGAAGAGTTGGATGACCAAAGATGGCAACCGACCTGTACACTCATTCCCTAAACCTCCACAAGAAATGTGACTGTTTGTAGATTTGAAACTGCTGCTACAATAACACCAATCACAAGAAAAGGTCGTAAAGAAGTAGGTGACGCATCGGTGTCGACGTTCGAATGAATCGAATGGAGTGTTAGATAGCAGAGCTGAAGTACACCCAAGGGGAATCATGAAATCCGTGAGGAAGTCGATCTGCTTTCTGTCAAGGGCCGAATAGGTATAGTATCTACGTTGCAGTTAATAAGGTGGCGATTGAGAACTCGAGATACCATGTTTATTCGGTTATGTTGACAGAACCCGTATGTTTCGGCTACCACGTACGCTCAATAAATAAGATATTTCAGAAGCGTGTACCTACGCTTGAATATCAGTTGAGAAAAGTACTTGGGATTTTTTTGCCACTCCAATTGTGCACCGCAAGCTGGACTCCTATATTGGACCCTAACACCCCAGTGATCAGCTTCGTCCTCTGACACATCTACAAAACAACGGGAAGATCGTCCAAATGAGGTCGAAAAGGTGTACCAATGTACAATAGATTTATGATTTATACATATCTCAAACTTGATATTCGTTATCTTTAACGTCTTCACCGCTTCCCACCAACTCTACTTCTTCAGTTCCCTCCTCTATATCCCAAACAACGAAGAGAAGAGAGGAAAGATAACCCAAGATCCCGCTCCCATAATCCGTTTTTGACCGTAAAGGAATTAAAAGACAACAGCAACAACAACTTCAAAGTTCTTTAAAATCGTACCACAGACATGATCGTCGCTCGTAAGCCATGCGTATCATCGCACAATGGTATCTAAAACACAACATAGGTAATTCGAAAGAGATAGTTAGAGATAAATATCAAAATTACACATGACTAAGCGATTTCGCACCCATACGCCAATCAGATGTGGTCGCTTCAAAATCTACAGGTTTTGATTTCGTACCGAGAACGTCTCGAAGGTTGAAATTTCGAGGTAGTGCCCTTAATGTGCCTTCTTTCGTCCAAACATTCTTTGGAAAGCACTACCTTCTTCTTTTTGTATCGTTGGCACGAATGTTTGCGGCTGCGTTTGGGAACTACTTGGAGGCTCACTTCTCATCAAGAAGTCAGCCAAATCGTTCGTTCGATTGGCTGACGAAAGAACAGCATCACGAGGTTGATACGTTTTCCTTGGTACTCGGCTTCTGGCAGCATCGGCTTGAGTGCTGTTATATGATCTGTCTTGAGGTGCAGACGGGGCGGGAGCGTGGTATTTAGCGGTAATAGGCGCATGTGTTGAAGCGCCATTTCGAGAGCCATTCCGTGACTCCGGCCCAGAAGATGTTTTTGGCTTCTGAACCGCTGGTGCGGAATCTCTGCGACCGAAACGAGACATAAGGCTAGGTGAGCTAGACTTCTTTTTAATCCCCTTAGCATGTGGTTTGGGAACCGAATCGAAGACGGAAGTGGTTGTTGGTTCTGGAGGAGGTGGAACATTTCGAAGAAAGTCAGCAAGGCTCTCCTCTTGGATCGGTTTCGCGCGTGGAGCAGGCATGAAATCTTCGTCCTCGTCTGACAAGTCAATAGCATAAGGATCCCGCACTCTACGAGTCTTGCGTTTAGGCATGCGATCTTCTTCATCGAAGTCGTTCCGTTGACTTTGCATGGGCTTGTTCACGGCTGCATGCTTGAGCAATCCACTAGCAGAGTTAACAGAACTCTGTACCGAGTTTGATGCTACACTATATCGTGCATCCTGGAAAGAGGCATCGATGGCTTTTCCACCAACAGCACCAACCATTTGATCAGAATCCATGGTTGTTCTGAATGGTGCGACCGTGCGAGAAATTCGGTGGCCACCATTTGTCTCTACTTGTGGCCCTGAACGAACAAAATCGATCAAATCACTGATGCTATCTCCACGAGGCACGACTGCGTCCCTAGCTTGTAGTTTCTTGCGCCCCGCGGAGGACTCGGCTCGTCGAGGAAGGTTAGGTTGATTTGCGGTACGAGGGACAGATCCACTAAAGTTTCGCGCGGTCCCGTTTGTACCACGATGTGTCTGAGCAGTCCGCGGTGGTACCTGCTCATAAGAGTTTGCAGGGCCCGTACTTCTGATAAACTCAGCAAAATCGCCTATTGAGTCTCTATCGACTCGCGCATCTCGTGCTTGTGGTACGTTTGACCGCAGCTTTGAGCCACCTGCCACAGATCTAGCCTGCAGAGTTGGGTTCGGGGTGGAGTTTGCTGTCGGGTTTGAGCGCAATCCATTAAGTCTACTCGCTGACGTGGAACGTGATCGGCCGGTCGATGGTCGTGGAACATCGTAAGTGTTTGCTTTTATAGAATGACTGCCGTTTGGACTGTCAAGAGCCTAGACAGGTGATTAGCAGCTGTGGAATTGTATGGTGAATGCAACCTACCTCAATATTTCGCATTGTCTCTGGAGTTAGGGTATATTGAATAGTTTGGTCACTGCGAATCAATTGCTCGAAGCTTTGACTTTTGTCTCCTGCCGACGAGCCATCCTCAGACGCACGTTGTAAATAATATTTCTGGCTGGCTGTATCTGAGCCAGACCCGTTGGACCGCTGGATTGATATTTTTCGAGGTGTCTCGTCCCGAGTAGAGCGGGTCGGAGACTCACGCGGGATATTCGTATTGATCGAGCGAAGCGGGCCGGCCCGTTGAGTAGAGACTGAAGTAGAAGGGGAGTGGCCCTTGATATGCTCAGCAGGGTCGCGAGAGTTGTAACTTGGGCGGATCGAATTTGTTTCCTCGGAAGAATCAGGCGCGCCTTCAGTCATTTCTCTCAGAGGCGTGAGTGGTGAGGCTCCATTCTCATTGGCGCGAGGATTTGATGTAGCATGCATTCGACCTGCTGGAGGTTGCTGATATTCAACTACGGGAGACCTTGCTTTTGCAGTATGTTGTGGATGACGAGCTGGAGGAGCCGCAGCAAGTACAAAGGCGGCTGGCTTTGGAGTGGTCTCCCTACTGGGCTCATTCGATGTGAAATGCTGGGAAGTTGGGCTGGGATCAACATCAACTCCTTGCATAGCTGCCGCGAGCTCAGCGGGGATAGCACTCATAACCTCACGGTCTGAATCATATGGATCAATCTCTTCCGAGATGGATTCGCCCGCGCTGTGCCTAGAGTAAAGCGCTGGCGGACCATTGCGAGATAGTGGGCTGGCATCTGCGCTACGTAGGATTGGACTCGAAATTCTGTGTGTTTGTAACTCTGGGGTTGGAAGGGCGCTAGTAGGTCTGGAAACATCGATAACCTTGACAGATTGAACACTCTGTGACCGAGAACTCGAATGTCTTGAGAGGGCCTTGTTAACCTCATCTGGGGAGATACGACCTCCTATGGAGATACGAGAGGACGTCATTATCTGCACTTCTTCCTCTGCTTCCTCAACAAACTCCTCGTCACTATCAATCTCTGATTTGGTATCCACCTCGGTCTGAGGAGCCTCGCCTTTGGCAAGCGCGGCAAGAGCTGCTCCAGCAATTGCGCTTATAGTCGCAACACCCGCAATAACACCAGCTATCTTACCCTGACTCGTTTCGGTCTCGGAATCTTTCTTATCAGACACAGTGGCCTCGTTTAGCTTCTCGTCTTGAACATCCTGGGTTTGGTCCACTTTTTCATCTGACTCCCCGGAAACAGTCTCAGCAAGGTTGTCATCAGACTTCTTTTGTCTTTTTGATGGATTGTATGGAGCAGGTCCAGGGGTTGGCAACGAGTTCGCCCGTTTTCTCAACGTTGGTAAGGACAAAAGCTTGGATTCTTCTGACGTGGGTGTTGGAAGCGATGTAATGCTGAAGGACAGCGGCGTCTTTCCAAATATAACCATACTGCTTGGTCGAGGTCGTGAGACCTCTTCTTCACTCGATGAAGATTCGACATCCGAATCATCGCTTTGAGAGGCAAGCCCAGGAATTTCGATTTCCCTCACATCATTTTCGTTCATTGGTAGAGGAACGCCTGTGGCAAACTCGAAATCTGCTAAAACAGAGTCTATGAGCGAAGGTCTACGATCACTCTCGCCAGTCGACTCATCGGGAGCGACACTGGCCGCCTGACTTGCTTCCTGCGACCGTAAAGAATCTCGGGAGAAGGATCTGCTCAAGGAAACAGAATTGGTCGGTGATCGAACACGCTTCTTCCAGCCTCTCCATAATCTTCCCAGTGTCCTGTCTAATGCAACCCGTTCCATATCGCTATCTTCAACGACAACGCGATCAGCTATGTCTGCTGGCGTAATTGACCCATCTTTTGCTTCTTTTTCGTACTTCAACTTCAGCCGTGCGTATGCTGCCTGACCTGCTACAATAAGTACCTGTTCTCCGATATACTCTAGAATCGAGGTAAGAAAGATCGCAACCGCAGGAGAAACCACGCCAGACACATTAGACTGCTGGCTGTTGGATCCACCTGGAATTTCAAGATGCTCCTGCTCGGTGTAAAAATCCTCATCTTCCTCTTCCATATCCCCTAATGACGAGTAAACCATACATCGTAATCGAGTTCGTTTCCAGATTAACTCTAGATCCCAATCGCCATTTGCTTCGAGACCGTTGTGGTATGCCATGATGGTTTCGTCATCTCCACCGCCGAGATATTCGTGCAACTCTTGGTCAGCCCCATCGATCGCGCCTTTAGCAAGTTTTGGCTTCAAAACCTCACTGACCGCCGGCCGGAGAGATGTGAGAGATGTGGATTTGGATATTGCGAGAAAATTATAAAGAAGTTGATCCAAAAAGCGATTGACTAATCGTAACGCTGGTTGCGCAACGAGCGCTGTCTCCCCTGATGGCTCGATTCCATGTTGATCCAGCCAGCTTTCAGCCTGGCTATCATGATCATTTGTGACGATCTGAGAGGCTGCTGACGCGGCAATGAAGGCTGGATCTGGTGTGATCATGATCGGTGGTGACATCAATCCGCCATAACCTGTGAGGGAAACTTTGTCGCTGGAAATGCTCTGCGAGCGACCTCCTCGTGGATGGAGCACCAAGTCGGGAGGCGCCATGTTTGTAAATTATTCGTCTCCCACCGCGGAAGCAAGCTCCGTCTGAAGGTGTTTCGAAAGTGAAGTCTGCGTTTCCCAATGCTCCAATCAATCGGACAAAATCGTGTCGTTCGAAGGTTTGGTCGGAGTAGTCGATCGGTGGATGATCAGGTCTTGCTAAAAGACATGCGACTCAGGGAACTATGCCTTTTGCACAATGTTAGTCTTTGCACTCTCAAACCAATTGACAAACGAACACAAGGTAATGGATGTCATGGAAAAGGATGACCGAGTCTTCAGAGTCCTCGGAGCGATTGCTGACGGGCTGTCTGACGGTTGAGGGCAAAGAGTGCAATGGTACAGCTGAAGGCGGAATCCAAGGCACCGCCGAATCGCACCAAAAATTGCTTTGTACGACTACGAGTGCAGCACAAATGCCACGCAGAGGAATCGAGACAGGAGAAATCCAGACAGAGCCCACGGATGCAATTGTTTCTTGTGTCCCAACCACTCTTTTCTCGGTTTGGTGTGTAGATTGAACTTGAAACACACTTCAATTTACATACCTGGACAGAACTCTCTTCACACTCGGGATTCGGGTGACAAAGACGAGGTGCAACAATCGCAAGGCCGCATTTGCATCCGCATAAAGCAGATCGATGGAATTGTAGCGACACAAGAATCGTCAGACCAGCGGGAGCCAGCTGTCAGACCGTCAGACGTTTCGACCGGCGAAGGCAAAAGTTATCGGCCGTGGAACAACACAACCAAAGGTGCGAACAAGAAGGGTTTTGATCGGTCGCTGCGGAAAAAGATGCATACACTATGATTTCCCTTTCCCCTTCCTTCGACCAGGAACAAACGAGCAGACCGGGGATCACAGTGGCTGTCGGCGTCGTGGTGGTGCTTCTCCCGTGGTCGATTGTGGTTCTGCGGATGAAGCCCCTGAAGCGAACGTCTTCCCCAGTCGTGTACGAAAGTACGGCGCGCAAGGGTCCAATTCGACAGGGGAGCAGGGCGAGTGCGAGATCGAGCAACGATGAGGTTCGAAGATGTCGAGTCGGAGTCGAGTGTTGCGTGCGTGTTGGGAGGAGAACAGCCGCAGCGAGTCGGGGAAAAGACAGAAGGGGAGATGATCCAAAGGGAAGCTGCCGGCCCTTTGATCGATTTGGCACGGCCGGTTCTGCTCGAGCGGGATCTTATTAAAAAATAGTAGTAAAGCAAAAACACAACCGCACAAACAGACGTTGTATTTAGATTTGAATTCAATAGGGGTTGCAGTTTTGTTTTTACCGTTGCACGGGACGGGGTAAAAATCTTTTGGTGTGGTCGACTCGCTTGAATTGACTATCGACGCTCAGATTCCAATCTCGTTCGCCATCACAGACTTCGACCTGCTCAGTGCTCTCAGACATGGCAACAAGGGGAGATTCGAGGCCATCTCCACTGCTTATTGGAGGGTCGAGCAGCATTTCGCTCCAGTTTAATTATTCTTCCGCTATCGAGCTTACTTTCAAAGGAATAGTTTTGAAAGATTGTGGGGTTAGGCTTCTTCTGGAAATGGATTGGGAAGCCGCTTGTGCTTGCTTAGCCAAAGGTTATCCGATTATATTTCCCACTATCCAATAATGTTGGACAGTTGGGGCTCGACTCCGATCGGATGGCATCAATGGCTTCAGAGCTAAACTAATCTAGCATTAATCCGTCTACTAATGGAAACGGCTTCATATGCCGGGAATCGTCTGAAATGCATTTGCACTACAGTATGTATACTAATCTCACTTCGCTGTAGTAATGTCAAAGCCGCATAAGACATGGTCTATAAACGAGTCAATAACAACTATGCCAGCGACTGATACAATCGTAACTGATATCCTGACAGAACGCGAGAGCGCTCTCCGATGAATCTCACTGCAAGGCTGTGTTCGGCAAATACAATCATTCTGTATCTCGAGCGCAGCTGTATGGTCAGCTCGGTGTCAAGTCCGTAAGAAGTACAGAACTACAAATCTATCAAGCAGATTCACCGATTACCGTTATGATCTACCCTCTCGAACTACATCCAAGTTCCCATAGATAACCAATCGCTCCTCCAAAAGGCACAGCTTCTACAGCACCGCATTAAGGTACAATCCTCCAACAACGTTCTCGGTACAGATGCCCTGCATCCCTATCTGCAAGTCACCTTGGATAAGTACAAATGCGGCGGGGCAACGACGACTACCAAATTCAGTCACGACCAATTGATCTTAAGGTTACCAACAGAAGCCAACATCCTCTGGCATCCTGGCGCATGGAAACCATGTGTTATCTCCAAAAGTAAGATCATGCGGAAGTCGCTCACACAGAATCAATGTGGTGTTCTGAAGTGCAGACCTCAAAATGCAGACCTTGTTTCAATATACGAAGTACAACTATTTCTTTTCCTAGCGTCATCCCATAGGGAAATTTGGACCCCAACTCAGATCATACAAGAAGCTAGCGCTCCTCCCTATAGCACTGCCTCGAACGCGATCACAAAGGCTGTACAAACCCCATCACTCAATTCTCACGTAAACCACATGTCAGTCATCCAAGCGAAGCCCACTGTCCGTCTACCACCACCAAGCCCATCAAATCACAACCACAGCTATTCTTACATCTCACCACCTCCAACAGCGCAGCCAAATGCTCGACCTCCGCCCTCCAATTGGCCGGCTCCCACACGCAAGAGCTCGCCATGTTTCTGTTTCAAGAAGACAAACAGGCCTAGCGACCGCCGATGCACCCACACCAAATCCTTTTCACGATGTGCAGGCTGCCGTAAGACGGCACACCCTCTTTTCATACCTCCCCAAAGCGGACAACGACGTCTCTCCTCGTAGGGACTCGCTGCTATCTGTCATTTATCTGATACTCGAAGATCGTCACCAATCGAGTTGATGTGCTACAGTGCTGCGAACGCACGATTTTGGTGCGACGAGAAGGTCTGATATCAGCTAACGCAGCTGAACTCAGGGCATGAAATGAGGCTTTACCGCACCATGGAGCGAGTGATTTAGAGTTATTAAACTTCCCGTGGCGTGTTGATTCCTCCCACACCATTTTCCTCGCGTTCCTGCAACAATTGGAAAGCTGTACTCTGTAGCTTCTGGACCAGGGTCAATTTCTTCTCTCAGAGTACACCCACGTGACATCGCTCTACACAGCCTACGATGACCACCGATTCTTCGGTGCTGGATTCCAAAAATCCCATCTCATGCTTATGGCAAGGCGTAAAGCATAGGTCAGCTGGTGTAACACACGACCCGAATGTGGTGATCGACACGGTGGGTTTTAACGTCGGGAACCGAGATGGCTGTCGGGAGGGTTGTACGGAATCCACTTTGTGTCTTGGGCTTGGGAAACACTTTAACGGTGGGGTCTTGGATATTAATCTGGGGGCTTTGGGTGTTTGTAGGTGAGCTTTCAGATGGTACGTGGTAGGATTTGTTGGGTGTGGTAGGTTAGTGTGTAGAAAGCGAGTTTTCTGATGAAAACGATATCATGGAAATGGTAAGATGGTAACGAATATTTCATTTCTGTCATATATCACCAAAGCCCACAGCTAGCCACGAGAACCATAACTCCTCTTCATATTGCTGGTCCCGATTAAAACATGAGCAGCAGCAGCCACCCGCAACTCTTCCCGTTTAGGATTGACAAATCACTTACAGAAAGCCGAAGCCTTATGTCTCGAAGCTTAGAGAGAAATACAGAACTTGTATTGTGCAAACGAAAGTTCGAGGCGGTCTGAAGTAATAGAGGAGATGATTTGTTGTCTAGGATCATAGGGGAAATGATTCAGTGTTCGATGATAGGTGAGCCTGTTACGGGAAGATGCTATTATAGCAACTGTCTAAACCATGTTATGCAACTACGCTGGCTCCCAAAATCTAATTTTCTTCTTTCGTCTAAGCCCAGATTCCAGAGATTGAGTATCCTCTAACCTCGAAGCAACATCCCCCCTTGACTCGACTATGATACAGAAGCGCTCAAGCAGAGCCATCTGCAAAATCTATTGCATCATATGTGATTCGAAACTCATAAAACGTCGAACGCAACCGAACCTTGTACAGTTAACACTGTCTCCAATCATTTATTGTTCTTGATTATAGCGTCACCGTTCTATTTAAATCCTCGGTAATTCCTAGAATGATCAGTAAATGACCATTTATCATCGCCTGTGAAGTAGTCGTGTATTCTTAGTTAGCCGAATTTTTCGTAGTCCATCGTGTAAATGAAGATTATCTTCGTCTTGTCGCGGCAACTAGAATTGCCCCGGATAGAATTGACATGAGATTCCTTCTTAACGGAATCAAATGTTATTCGAAACATGAGTCACCAGTGTGTTGCAAGTCTGACGGGACACCTTACGACGGTAGAACAGCAATATCATCCCCAAGACATTGTATTATCTTAGATCCTTTGAGTGAACATACGATATTGTCTCCATTGTTGAGACTAAATGTAAATTTGACGAAAGGTGTGGTGGAGAGTTGTTTTTTGAAATCGTCATTGTTAGATGGTGTCCTGTCAGTTTTGCAATGCACTGGTGAGTTAATCAATTACCTTGACACAATATTAGCATATTGTTTTCAACATGCTGATGCAGTTAAAACTCGGTGACCATCCACATTGGAACGTCTTGCTCTCTTCTATACTTATAACGCACCTGCCACGGACAATCATAATCGTCCAATACATCTATCACCCCATTTTCGAGCCCATCCTCTTCATCACCCTGCATCGAAGCACTCAATTGAGATATATCCTCCAAAGTAAAAGAACTCAAACCCTCAGTAAGTATGGTTTCATGCATAACGCACCAACACGGCGGACGACCATTCGGGAAACTGACACCGGCCTTCAGCTTCGGGAACATGGCATCTCCAAGCACCCAATTACTTATCTTCTTTTTGAAATTAGGAACAAGCGAGTCCAGGTATTGAACAATCTTATCCTTATCCGGGTGTCGTTTCGCCTCTTGCATTTTTCGCGCATTAAAATTTGGATGACGGAACACGTGTTTGTAGAAATTGAACAGTTGCCACCGTTCCCACGTGTTGGTGCCATGAAATCCGTAGTCTCCGTCGCTCTCAACACTTAGATGAGTTTCAAATTTTGGATGGCAATATCCTTTGGTAACACGACAGAGGCAATAATGACCTGAGAGCGTGTGGTTGACCTCGGAGATGAGACGATATATACCGAGTTCTTCGAGGTCTGGTGGGTGGAACTCGATGCTATTTGCTTGGAAACTTGAAATATCAAGACCTCTTTGTTTCATCAGAGTTGGAAGCGATTTCTCATCATAAGCTTTTGCAATCTGTTCCAGCGATGCTCCGCTCTCCGCTAATCGAATGTAAAGTTTTGCAAGACCCATCGATTGAGCACGGTTGGTACAAAAGCAGAAACCAAATTTGAGCCAGTTGGAACTTAGAGGATCGGGGATATTGTTGAAGTCTCGGAGTAACATGAAGTACAAGTTTGCCACGTCCCTTTCTGCCCTTGAAAGAGGGCGATCTTCATCGCATAGTTCTTCTACTACGAAGGTATCCTCTAAACGTCGCAATGCAGCTGTTTGGTACGCAAAGTCGCCCGCCCAATTTGGTATTGTGCAGTCAATGAACGACCGCCGATGAAGGAACCAAGCGAAGCAAGGGCAGTCGTGATAACTATCCTTCCTCTCGTATTGTATTAGCTGTGCCATAACTTCCAGACAATTACCGAGCTCTTCGTCTACTCCCACCTGCAACCCCTTTATACCCATTTTGGATATCATGTGGGAGTAAAAGCAAAGAAGTTTGGCAACATCATCGCGCTCCATGCAATTATTGAATCCGAACGTCTTACAAAGATCATCGTCAGAGTATAGTTCAGAAATCGTCTGAGCTTGCCTCCGCTCGTCTCCCTTGGCATGAATCCATTTTCTAACATAAATTTTCAAATAGTCAACCTCGGCTGGCCGTTTTGTCTGCCTGCAAACAAAAACGTGCTGGCTCCAATGACTCTTCTGGCATGATCTCGAGCAATAAGTAGTTCGGCATAGGGTACAGCGAAGGTTTGATGTTTTGCGGCAAAGACGGCATGATTTGCTAGATTTGCCTCGCTTTCGTGGCATCTTATCGCTTCTCTCCATACCAAACTTGACCCGAATATGATTTTCCTTGTATATTTCTGCCTTCTCGAACGACATTTCCTGCGGCTTGGTGAGTGAACCTCCCATGATAGTGACAAACCCTGGCTTATCATAGCGGTCAACTGTAAGAAGGCCGTCGTTAAACACCGAAGGCATCATCATTTGTTGTCTGCAAGTCTTGTTAGCCATATAAGGTTGGAAAAGAGGGCTACTAACCTGATTTTGAGCTGTGACTTTTCCATCCGGGCTTTTTCTCTGTCCAGTACGGTCACCGTGGTGGAAAGGGCAGCGGATGATTGGGCAAGGAGACCAGGATGTCTGAAAGGATATGACTGATTCAAAAAGCTCTGCAGTAACATTTTGATATGAGCGAGAAATTCAAGCAAAATTGGTTGATGCTCAACGATGTAGGGTTCTACCAGAAGAATCGCTGGGATTGTCCACCTATGCATTATGGCTTCGTGGGTTCCTCGAACGCTGTAAGCGCCATGAATCCGAATCAATAGCCAACAGAGTAAACAACAAAGCTTGCTACAACCGATGTAGGGATGAACCTTTCGATCTCCACTTGACGAATCGAGGAATTGAGCATGACAGGATAGTAGCTGAATTTCAGCGTGAACGTGACATTTATCTCCCCTGAGTTTGCGAATGTTGTCTTCGATAACATTTTTTTCGAGATGTCGAAGCCAGCCAACTCCATTTACATATAATCCAAGGTTCTCGGCTACTTCGAGTGGTGTAGGCTGTGTTCTTACGGAATTTTGCACTCCCTTGGTGTGGTTCGCTGGCGGAAGAGGTATTGGGATACACTCCACGGACTTGAAAATAGGCATTGTCTCAGCGGCTTCAGTAAATACGTCCACACTGTAATAAATACGACAGAGGAATTTTAGAGCTGTAAATGCTTCATTTTGCCTCCTTTCCGAATTTTGTGAGTCTTGAAGGCGGACTTTTAGATGTGCTTTGATCGACGCTTGAAACCTAGGAGATCGCCAGATAGAAAACAAGGAGGGTAAGAGCTGCTTGAGGAGATCCCGACAGTCCTCTTTTTCATTCAAAGAAACAATCTGATCGATGAGTTTAAAAGTGTTGTCGACCTCGTCGTCGATTTGCCTTAGACTTTGAGCCGACAAAGCAGCCTTGGAAATGTTTTTGGCTTCATTAAATGGCGCGGAAGAAAATTGAAATTCGTTCCCGTTGTCGTCGATCCAACTGCGAGTGGGGAAGATTGGTAGTCTTTGAAGCCACTCCCTTGACAATCTGAGTCGCGTATCTTGAATTGTATAAGTTATCGGCTTTTCGAATTTCAGCGCTTTCCTAAGTTTGTTTAGATAATACGTAACCCGCGGGTGCTGATAACTCAAGATAATGTCGAGCATATAGATTCTATCATTCCCAGCCGCAGTCCCTATGTGGTGTCATGAGATGTTAACATGACAATTCTAGAAGCGCAAAACTTTACCTCCACTTGATATGCGTTCCATGTACGCCTTCCAAGAACTCAGAAAATCTGTGTCGTCTGTCGAATTATTCTGATTCAACCCTTCATTCTTTGCACAAAGAATAATGACCTTGCTATTTTCTTCGTCCATTATCATCATCGTACTAGACACGTGGTTTGGGTCGAGGACGCGAGCTTTTTTGACTGTGCGATCTGACTTGTATCTTGCTAGTATTTCTGCCAGCCGGTCGAGGACTTTGTTCCTCAATTCTTGGAGGTCTCGCTTCTCCACTTCCTCAGAGCTGATATTCTCGACATCGTCCACGCCCTCTACGAGGTCATCTTCTCCACTCTCAGCGTCGCTGGAGCTACTTGTCTCGGAAGAGGTTTTCTTGTTATTAGCAACCAGCTCATCGAGATTGGCCGGCCGCTCAGCAAGCAAACGAAGTAAACATATTGACGGCTGTAATTGCTCTAGCAAGACACTGCGGGCGACAATTGTAGACATATCTCGGTAATTTAGCTCAAACTTTACTATGAATCTAATTCCAGGTCGAAAATGCCCACACGAGCCTCAACGAGCTACTCCTCCGAAAACTGGCACTGCATATGCTGTGTAGCAGAAATATCATACCAGTGTCACATCTGATAGGCTCGGTAAAAAAACATCCCTCGCCGCCATCGGAACATCATAAATACCTGTATGCGATCCAGTTGACAAAATATGGTGTTTCGTCTACTAATTTCAGCAAACAAGACACTTAGACTGGCGCTCGACGTGAAACGCGCGATACAGATTGTTTATATCTCGTCTAACGCCCTTGAGTGCGCTTCAATCACATTTAGTAGAGGTCACACTCACACAATCAAAGCGTCTTAGTTGCGGTATTCTGAGTATCGTATTCTGAAGTCCTAGCTAGTGCTAAACACCAATACGATGCGTGCTGGAAGCTCAGATCATGTGCCACCCATCTCAGCTATAAATCAGTTGATATGTACGGCGAACAAGCAAACGTGTGCAGGTCAAGGCACATATCTGACACTAAGTAATGACGCCATTTCTCTGGGTATATACGACCAAATGAAAATATGCACGATCTAGGTCGTATTGAGCATGTCCAAGTGGGAAAGCCCGATTGAAAGGCGAGCTCACCCAAGCGAAAGTAATCCTGATATTACTTAAACGCAGCGCTAATAACAGCGCGAAGTCTGATTACTTGACCTTTTAATGTACACCCTGCGCTAATCTCGCTTCCGCCTCTCTTCTCTTGGCCCTCTTTGTCTTCTTTGGCTTTTTTGGCTTTTTGCTCGGCACACCAAGAACCACTGGTTTTTGCTTCTTAGGCTTCGGCGCAGCAGACTCATGACCACCTGTTCTACTTTTTCTCTTCCGACCAGGCTTATCAGAATTTTGCCTCAGTGCCTCGGTCGGTGCTAGATTCTCAGATTGAGCAAAGGCAGGATATTCCGTACTCGGATAATACTGCTGCCTACGATTGTAATCCATACCGTAGTTACCTCTCCCGGAAACATTGTACTGCATGTTATCTTCCGGATAATTCTGCATATGTTGACTGCGGTTGAACCCGCTGTCTTGGGGTCTAGGCTGATTTTGGGAGGCTTTTCCAAAGTTAATATGCCCACGCTGAGTCGAAGGATTTACTCTCGGACGAAGAAAATCTACATCATCCTCGCTGTCCTCAACTGTGAACGGATCATTTGCTTTGCCCTTACCCTTGATGCTGAAATCCTTAGGAGGGGGGATGAAATCGTTGACAGCCTTGAATTTAGGCAACGTGTAGTCAATACCTGCTGAAACCGCTCGGTCATTGCTGGCGTTATCGAGATACTTTCGGACGTTCCGTTGTGACCAGGTATAGCCACCAGATAATAACGGGCCTGAATGAAGTCCACATTCTGGGCCGTAATGACCAGTCGCACCACACGTGTAACAGTGTATAGGAATACGAGAAACAGTTCTGATCTCTTCTGGTTTGGGTGCGAAACTGCGCCAAACGAAATGGCAGTTGGAATCCCAGTGATCTTTGTCTTGGCATATACCACATGCTCCAGCCTCTGCCTTTGTTGCTTGTAATTTTTCCGGGCAGCTTGAAAAGGAATGGCCACGCTGGGAACATTTGCTACAACGTTGATTCTTGGGACAAGTAAAGTTGGAGTGTTTTCCTTGCTCTCCACAAATCCCACAGTCTAAAACTGCACACTCATTGCGCCAATGGCCATCGTCACCACAGGCAAGACATCGATGGATTGAGCTACTCGGACTGTCACCAGAGAAATATTTTCTTTGTAAAGCCATTTCAACAACGGCATCGACGTCTATGCCATAGGCTCCGGTGCTAGCACGAGATTCTGGTGAAGCATTACCCATTTCAACATCGTGATCAGAGCTTTCTGAAGATGAAGACCCATCTGCATCATCGGATGAAGGAATTGTGACGACTTTAGTCACGTCGGCTGGCTGGGGAGGCTTGCTCTGCGGCATTTCAGACAGAGTAGAGGACGTAATATCTCTGACATCAGCCTTGCTACAGCTCAGGTTGTCAGCGACAGAACTAGAGACGCGAGTGACGTGTTCGGCGCTGTCAGTCAATCGCGTTCTTTTCTGTCCAGGCTGTGTGACAGGCGGCTTTGCTGGGGTATCATGAAGCTTCTCTGGGCCACGCTTCATATCCTTGACGGGAAGAGGCGCGAATTTGATGGCAATATCTACTGCTGTTTCTGGAGTCAAGACATCGCTTCCTGTGGAGGTATCAACTAATCGCTGACGATATTGTGGTACATGCCAATACCAAGTTTCGATGTACCTGTTGAATGCTTCCCGAAAAAACCAGATTTTCCTGGCGCGAAGATTATCCAACTCCGTCGCGTTCATTCTTAAGAACTGGACAATCCAAATATTGAAAGACAGATCAGTCACTTTGTAGGGCAAGGCCTCTTCGTCCCAAACCTGACGCAGATGAAACTCTTCTCCGTTTATCCTGAAGGGTTGTTGTTTCTTGTTAATCTTATGTGAAGGATAAAGGGTTTTACCCTCATTCACCAAATCCATAAGGTCTCGATATCGACTGGGCAAAGGCCAAGTCTTTTCGCGCAAGAGCACAGGTTCAACCTTGGATGTGTCCAGTTCCAAGGCATTTGAGCTTCGGGAATCATTCCTAGATTTACTAGGCTGAGATTGGTCCGAAGTTTTGATTTGCTTCTTGTTACCAAAAGAGGTACGAAGTCCGGATTGAACACCTCGATTCCAACCTACAGCGGAGTTCGCTGGTATTTTATCGGGTGGAATCGCCACGTTCGCATCTCCTATAGACTGCCTCGCTCTCTCATCGCTTTGAGAGATTTGATCCTCAAGTACAGCGCTTGACGAATGGCTAGAAGCTTTCTGCGGGTTCTCGTGTTCCATCTCTAACACCTCAAATTCAGAAGCAGTCAGCTGTCTCTCAGCTGGTTTGGCCGGGGTGCCATCTGCTCCTACCACCAAAGCCTCTCTGTCGTGACTTGAGGTGTCATGATTCTGTTTTTGACGTTTAAGATGTGCTGGACGAGACTCATCATCAGAGGAAACAGCGCCTGCTGATACGTCAGGATAATGCATGTCTTGTAGGTCTCTCTTTCTGCCAACGACAACAGTTCTCGAGTCGCTGTCAGAGAGATCGTCCTCCATAATTTGATGAAGAGTTCGCGCGTTAAGACCGGCCGGCAACGATATCGTTTGTAGTTGTGAGAGAAATTGTTCTAGAGTGCGGTTAGCCTCGTCAAATACTATGTGTTGTGCGCAACTAAAGAGCCTTGCAACACAAGTCGTGGAGCATTAATTGACAATTGTCGACGTTGGGTTGTAATAATTTGTGGCGAGGTCTATTTGGCGAAATTGTTCGAACGTTCAAGTCCATCTGAATAAACTTCTTGGTAGTCGGACATTATAAACTCCGAACAGGGTCCATTATCCCTGACTACGGCGTCACTTCGCATTCAAACACGTGATATTCTCAACCTACCTCCTCACCAATCTAGACCAAAGAAGTTGCCTTCGGCCACGCAGCACAATTGACACCCTGTTTGACTGTTGTCCATCCCAGCTCATGTATCACGACATAATCCGACATTATCAGTTACGCCTTGTGTTGAAGAGCTCTTAATAGACCCCTTCATTGTCTGGTTGGGAGATTTTGATGTAAGCTTTCCCACCATTCCCGGCTGAGGTGGCCCGAAGATATTGAATACTCGTGTACCTTATGCGGTACCTCGACCGCGCTACTATTTGTATTGCAGATGCATAAAGCTCCCTCTTAAATACTTGGCATATACTAACGTATCTTTCACTAGAACCTGGCGGTATCACATCCGGCTTCCTCACCGCGTCTACTGGGCCCTTCCACCTTTCCATCTTTCACAACATCAAGCTATTGCTCTGTGGAGCAACCATACCACCCAAAATTCCACCCTCATCAACCGCCAAACTGTCTTCACCAATACTATTACCGCGAACCGTCTCTTACGACGCGACCTCCAAGCCCCCCCGTCCAAGTGGTCCGTACAGAGGGATGAGCGAACAACAGAAAACCGGGAGGAGGCGGCGGTCCAGTAGTTTGATATATCAGGAACCTCCAGAGACTATAGAGCATATGAGCGATCAAGCGGCGTTACCAAATTTAAATGCAGATTGGGTAAATGCAAAAGGTCAGCTCCTCCCATGTGTACATGCAGGATACATGCCTGGCCATTTGGTCTATTTCATTATTTCCCGCGCTATTATATTTCTTGATGCTAACGTAAATTTTGACTCAGGTGCTTGGACGATACACATAGTGCTGATTGCATGCCTTAAGATTCTCTTCGACATAATCCCAGGAGTTTCACAGGAAACGTCATGGACGTTAACCAATATTTCGTACATGTTCGGATCGTTTCTCATGTTTCACTGGGTTCGAGGAGTGCCATTCGAGTTTAACGCCGGGGCATATGACAATTTGAATATGTGGGAGCAAATCGATAATGGCGCACAATACACGCCAGCGAAGAAATTTCTGTTGAGCGTTCCGATTGTGTTGTTCTTGTTGAGCACACACTACACCCATTACGATTTGACATATTTCACGATAAACTTTATGGCTGTTCTGGGAGTGGTGATACCCAAATTACCTGTGGTAGGTTGATTTCTGTCGTGCCGAGAATCCCCGCTAATCGGTTTACAGAGCCACAGGACTAGGGTGGGTTTATTTTCGGGGGCACCGGAAGATAGGTAGAAAGCAGAATCATTGCATGGCGTTTGTACGATATATCGAGGTTACATGATGGGGTTGCTGATTACACTACAAGAATGGCAGCAAATGCATAAAAAGGATGTATTTAAAGCGGAAAGGAGTTGGCGAGTTTTGGCTACATGAAACATATCGAAGTTTAGCCTTTCTGGTCTCGTGTGATTCCGCAACAGATAGAGCGTTTGGGGGTGAGCTTGCTCATGAGAAGGGGAAGGGCTTCACTTGTTATTAGAGGCGATGGCTGCAATTCCCAAGTGGGATTTCTGGCGGTACGCGATACAGGCGTAGTATTCCGTTACGCTCCTCATTGAGCTCGTAAAATGATCTAGGTTTTCGAAATTATTTTACACACTTGCGAGTGCTGGTGGCACAGTAAGAGCAGTCTCCACAAACGTGACCCTTTTCCACTTGGTGCCAAGATTTTTATGGAAGCACTATCATGGAAGCAGTCGCAATTATCATATTGATCGAATTCCATCTCATTATAAACGAAATCAAATGCGGGAGACTACCTGGGTAGCTTGCCAATCAAAGTTCGCTAAGGTGTTAGTTCCGCGTGCCCTTTGAAGCTTATGTATATCAAAATATCAGCTGCAAGGCTTCACATGTATAAATATGTCTTTTTCGGCTCATGATCCATCAATGGAAATTTCTCTATATTGGAATTGGAGGGGACAGTGCTTGAGATCCTCATATACTCTTGTCGGTCGGTCGCCTACTGCGTTCGGATATATTTGGAACTGTTTTGTTCGATCATTTCATATTTTCGCCGGCATCATACCTATCGGTCCCAGCTTTCTCGATAACTTTATGGTTTCAGTACCGCTTGATATATCTCACCTTGAAAATCCTCATTCTCGTTGCCGTCTAGTTTCTTATGGTGGGCAATATAAATGGCATGGATTTAACAAACTACGGTCACGCACAATTGGATTAGCAGGAAGTTCTTGACAAAGCCTCAACGCGTCGTATTTACTGAGGAAAATAGATGAGACACACAACATTCGTCAACTATCAAATAAATACCGTGTTTAGAATGCCACTTATGTCATCCATTTCAAAACAATACTGATGGCAAAACGCACTGTCAGGCTAAATAAAACCGTTATAGCTATTCTGTTCATCTACCTTTGCCTAGTCCAATTACATACCCATGGCACTCTGTCCATTGATATTATCCGAGGTGAGGGATTTGATGGCGATGAGAGGAGGCTCTTATTAGTAAATGTAAGGCAGCTTTGAAACGTCTCCAGAATAAGACCTCTTCGAATTCCTACGTAGTTAATTTCATGGCTCCATCTTCTGCACGAGCGGCAGTCGGCTGAGTCCCAGGTGTGCTCTACTATGACACGGTGTTAGAAGTTTGTCTCTTCTGAATTTCTTATGGTCTTTCTTTTCTGAAGATGCACAACTGTTTACCTTCATCTCAGAAACAGCAACAATGGAACTTCAAAGGCTTGAATTCTAAGACTTTAGACTCCGAGACTGTTCTAAAAAAAAACTGAAGAAGTGTCATTTGATGACTCCATTTGTAAAATAACTATATCTATTAAGCATTAATTAACTCCGTTCTGGTAATGTATAACTCTTTCCCAAATTCAAACGCTCAGCTTTATGCAATCTAATATCCCCGTTCCCAAACCTGCTACAATGCTCAAAGAAAAGACAATGCCAGAATCGTACGAACGCCTCATGACAAGTTGTACATGCTCAGATACGGACCACCAACTTATACTTTAGGTGCAAATTTACTCAGGGCTCGAATCTTAGCACCGTAAATATAAAAGCAGATAGGAGCAGGAATCATGGCAATACACAGAAATCCCAACAGACTCGTTGCCCAGGCCACGCCAAGCGTATGATACATAGCTGTAGCGAACAATGGGAATCCAGCACCAGCCGAACTTCTCAGCAACGTATTTGCAGCGATGGCCGAATTCGCGTACCACAAGTAGACGTCAATGATGTAATTAAATCCTTGTAAGAAAATCATCAAGATTCCCCAGCCAATCAAGACGCTTGATATAACTTGTGGTACCCATGAGATATTTGGGGAGGAGGTCCATGCAAACCAGAACAATCCTGCCGGCAACAAAACAGAACCAAGAATCATTGGTGGAAGTCGTTCTTCTGGAATCACTCTTCCGTGCTCAATGAGCTTACGCTTGAATCGTGTTTTGGTAACTGTGATGATGGTTCCTACTCCGAGAGCGACTCCAAGTGCGATGCCGATAAATGGAAGTGCACCAACACCAGCATTCCAACCACGTCGTTCCTGAAACGATATGGGGTAGGCCTCGAAAAAGAGATAGAGCATCCCATAAATTAAAGCCATATAGATGGTAATAAGAAGTAAGATTGGTTCTAGGACGAGCATTTTAACCGGCCGGAGGAGGTAGACCTGGAGAATGGATTTGAAGTTGATTTCCTTGGTGTCAAGTTCCGAGTGGATGGCCCAGTTCTTAGTCTCAAACCTAATTCTCTTGGCGCGATTCTGGAGAATCTTTGGATGTGAACTCTCTGAGACGATGATGAGACCTAGGAGTCCAAAGAAAGTAGCCATGATGAGGGTTATCCACGCTGTCCAGCGCCAGCCCAGGTAGCTGTCAACGATGAAGCCTCCCATGATCGGTCCTGCTATTGGTCCTATAAATGTAGCTCCTGCGAATACACAGACAGCGACACCTCTATCAACTGCTGTGAAGAAATCCGCTAATGCGCCTCCGACAATGGCGAGTGGTGCTGAGGCAAAAACACCACCGAAGAAACGACAGAGCATGATGGTTTCGAGGTTGACGGCGACGGCGACGGGAATTTGAAAGATGGCAAAGAGAGTGTAGCCGGTGAAGAGTGGTAGCTTTCTTCCAAACACTTCAGAGAAGGGACCCCAGATCAAGGGTCCGACGGCAAAACCGAGCACGAACAGTGAGGTTCCCAGTGTAGTGACCTCGGTTGAGACGTGGAAAAGCTCAGCTGTTGGTCTTGTTGCGTTACTGAATACACTGGAAGCGAATGTTACTGTGAAGTAGATTAGCGAAAGTCTCAACATTAGGATGGTTGTTCCTTTGTAGGTGACTAAATATAATAGAGTTTAAGCTTACCACAGAAAGTCATCATTCCCATTGTCACAGTATTAATCCACTTCTTTCTTGCCGGCCAATTCATGGGATTTTCGGGGTCGTCCGGTCCATCCCACTCTATCAGATTCGGATCCTTCTGCTTCTCCGGCTCAACTTTCTTGTCCTCTTCGCCTTCAATAGCTTTTTCTTCGTCAATTGCCCTTTCCAGGTCATCTTCATTACTTCTTCCATCGCTTTCCAGAATCTGATTGCGTCTTCCACTTGATGTGTTTGTGTTTTGCTCTTTGAGCGTCCCGAGATGCTCCATGCTGTTGACGCGACTAGCTGGCTGAGTCGGTACTACGGTTCTTTCTGTACTGTGAGAAGTACGCATTTTTCTGTCAAGTCTAACTTGAAGTAAATTGAAATTTAGCAGCGAGAAGTCGATACAGTGCTGCGTTCCAGTCCAGATTCAGGAGGATTTCCAACTCGTCCGCTGGCAGTTGATCTTGCTGCACCGGACGAACAAGCTGACCTTGAATAAACAAGAAAAATAGCCAAGGAAAGAGTTGTAATATAATATACTATTCAGTCACAACATGGAAAACACGCCGAATAGATAATCCACGTGTTGATAATTAATCCACCCTCACCTTCCCCCCCACGAACATGACGCAAGCAAGAATCTTCCAATTACAAGAAAGTCATAAATGACAACCTTGAGGTATAATCGAGGATCTTTCACGTAGTGAAATTCTATTGGAGCACTTACCGATCGTAAACACTCGCGTCGCGAACAAGTATAAGGCCGAAAGAGCGAGCGTAACGAGACAAGGGCACATCGAGCAAGCTCCATACTCCTTCATGATCCTTTGTTCCGATACTGACAAATAAGCCTTTTCATACTATGATCTGATTGCTCGAAATGTGAATAAGGCTGTGTGGTGCCGCAGATCCGGTCAGCCGCATTCTCTATGTCGGCCTCATGGACAAATTCATTTCTAATCAAAAGGGACCTGAAGAAGATCTGGTCTAGGCTGAGATTGAATTTGTGAAGGGCGTAAGACTCGGAGGTTGAACAGATTCGAATATGATGAAAATAATCTATCTGACCCTTGATGAACGTGGTTTAGATACGTAAATACGGTCAGATTGATTAGATTTGCTGATGGAAGAAGTTGCGTTGTGGTGTGGATGCGGTATGGGCCACGGATTTAACGGGCTTCGCGCAGAGAGGCTCAATCGAGTCAATGGTGCGAGGACATCCATGAATAACTAGGCCAGAAGCGATTAGGCTCATCCCCCGAAACCAAGGTTTTTTTGGATCAACAGGTTAAGAAAAGATAGATAATTTCGAAATGAGATCAACATCTTTCAATCATGCTTTCTTTATAAAACTATATCTACGTTGGTATTTCCCAGATACCCTACATAGGGCTCAATAATGCAGTCCGGCATACTATTTGCCAGACGAAGATCCCTACTACTACTTTAATTCAAGCTGAGTGTTGGAAAATGGAAAGGGGGTTCTACTTAGTGTGTTTTCTTTTGGTATATGTTTAGAGTTTTGATTTGGTTATGCGGCGTATAAATCGCGATCTTTTGGTTAAAATGGCAATACTAGACAAATGTTCACTTTTGAATAAACTCATTCTAAGTGTTAAAGTATGCTGTGGTTAATACCTTGAATTTTCAAAATACTGGTTCTTAAACTATGTTGCAAAGACCTAGGCTTCGGTGGGTAACCTTCCTTCAAATCAGTTTAAACTGTTCAAATAACAGCCAACATTGGAAGGAAAACAAAAACAAGAAATGAAAGATTTCAATATATGAACTGTTGATAAGTATTTAAGTTGATCAAGCACTATTCAGCCGCAGCTTTACTCATACGCCAGTGCAACCTCGGAATAAGACGATATTTAATATTGTTCACTTTCGGCACCAGTATAGATTACCGGGTGTGGTCTCGTTCGGTTACGCACGTGTGTTTCCCTTCTGAGAAAACTTTGATTTTTCGTGGTCCATCTGCTGCATGCTAAAATAGTCTTCAACTGCGACAGTGCGATTGGCTACCGTTGCTACTTAAGATTATGCTCACGTCTTCTTTCTAACCCATCGGGATTCTACGACACGCCCATTTCTTCCACGGAGCCCTTTCAGAATCATTCACTCGTTCTATGATCTTGGCACCGTGCTTTTGAAGAATCTCAGCCATTGACATCAAGTCAAATTCGAAGGCCATTTCTAAAGCAGTTGAGCCAATGTAACCATCCAAGGAAGCACCATTTTCTAGCAGTAGCTCAAACATAGCTGTATGCTCGATGGCGACAGCCCACCAAACCGCTGGTCGTCTTTCCCCTGACCAGAAGTCAACGGCTTCATTGACGTGCGCACCATATGATAACAATTTTTGCACAATTGTTAAACTTCCTGAACAAGCAGCCGTAGGAAGTGCGGTGAGCCATTGCTTCTCTTTAGCGCCGGCGTTTGGGTCAGCACCACGTTCGAGTAATAAATTGACTATATTTTCGTGGCAATGCTCACAAGCCGCTATGAGCGCTGTTTTCGGTACCCCTCCCCGTTCCGTGGCTGCATTCACAGAAATGCCTCGATCTAAAAGACAGCGCACCATGGAAATGTTTCCAAACTCAGCGTGGACGATTAAACTACGGATGAGGTCTTCATTCTCGGTTCGACTCTTGAAAAGGCCGTCAACATAGTCATAGATTTCGATACTTCTGGTTTTATCGCGAACATTTTGGCGGAGTGTGCGCCCAAGATGTGAGCGTTCCCTGATTTGTCCACACGGGTGACCTAGAATATCGGTATTATATGGTTCGGCGCGGGACGGAGGGTATAAAGAAAGTTTCAAGATGTTCAAATCCCCTCGAATCATGGCGCCGACAATAGAATCGGGGGCGACCTTTCCATGCCAACCCCAGTCCCATTTATGCCCGGCCCATTTAATATCAGGCTCTTTAAATTCGAGCTCCGGTAATTGCTCTTGAAAACACTTAAGTAGCTGAGTGTTGCCTGTCTGCGCCGCAACTTCCATAGCTGGCGGAAACAAGCCCTCATGGTCTGTAGGGTGAGAGCCTTCGGCCAGCAATTCGTGAGCGAAAGGGACAAGGTTAAAATAAGTGGCAGCAGATAGTAAATGGATCTTATAGGTTCGTTCAAGATCCACTCGACCAGACCGGAAAGATGGAGCACTAGCTTTTCGTTCGAACGCCAGCCAACAAAGTGAATCAATGGTGGAGGACAGATCATGATCGGTTTGCTTGCAAATAGATTCAGCAACCTGGCGGATTTCCATGAAGCGCCCAATTTTCTCATCGGCTTCGTTTTTTGTCCGGTAAACAAGGTATGAATGCCAGACTTTTTCGGCGTTATGTTGGTTCCTGATTTGCCAGTCTTCAGCAACGCCTGAGTAGAAGTGATCGAGTAGCCGCGTTTCAAACAGAGCTGGGTAAGTTGCAGACGAGAAGAACTCTAGATATCGATTTGTCAGCTGTTAATGCGGTTGAAGGAATTTCACCGTCCAGAGATGAATCTAGCCTTACTGCACACGAGTCGAAGTCTCAATCCTCTTTTCACATGCCGTACCAGAACGGCGTAATACAAGACTTTATGCAAGAGTTCCGGAGGGAGCTCTAAAAGTTCCATCTTTCCAGCTGATACGAGGGAGTAATAGGAAGGTGTGAGAGAAAACTACGCTAATTTTGGTGAATGAAGTAAACCAGATCTGATATTAAGGGGTAAAATCAAGTAAAGCGTTGCGAAAAATGTGTCTGTTCTGAGGTGTATGTGTTACAACTCAGTTGTCGGTTTCTTTGGTGTCTGTTGGAGTTTGTCATTACCCTAAGCTCCATGAAGCTTAGCGTCAACTGTGTACGTAGCTCTTCATACATAGGTGACCTGTCACGTTTGAGTCGCCTTTTCTTTTAGAACTATAAGTTTTTTTTCTCTATCTTCTTCTATATATGGTAAGCTATGAAGAGAAAGCTAACAAGAATTGGGCTTTCTATTACAACTTTATTCAACACACCCTTACCCTAGAACAACAAAATCTTCTGCCCAGTCAGCTATATTTACTGAATTTATTTGAGTCAATATAGCATATTGTCTCTTTTGGTATGGCAAAATATGCTCATCGAAGCGCGAAGAAGGAGGATGGGTAAGTCGATTACAGTAATTTATTATCTTTGGAAGGGAAATACCCTCTACATCGAAGCTTTCTCTGGTCTTCTGTGGCCAAGATCTCCTCGGAATACGTCAACTTAAGCCTTGTGTCGATGGACACACTCTATATTTTAACTCCAAAGGTAATTAGAGTTGAAAGTGAAATAAACCTCGCGTATTTGTCGTGGTCCTCGGTTGACTTGGAGGACTTATTGATAATATTCATAACATAATTTCGCTCGATTAATGTGGAAAATAACGAGAAAAACATTAAGCTTATTTCGAATACAGAGAAACTCACTGGGATATTGAGGTCATGCTTAATAGGAAGGTTCTACCATCGGGTGAAATGCTTTAGAATCACGCCCACCATCCCCTTTTCATGTTACGGTAAGACCCCTAGCAGAGCAGATATGCAGACATGACGAGCAAGAAAGCACGACCCAGGAGATACGTAAGCTAGAAAGAAGGTTTAAACGATACGATAATTTGGATTACGCAGAGATCAATTTTGAATGGATAAATATTATGATTAGTGTTTGGTGGCGATCAGTGGACGCAAAAGCAATCCAAAAACCATTGTATCACATACCATCAAGAACCGGAATTACATGGATAGAGACTCTGAGGAAGACGCTGAGCTATTTTACATCCATGGTTTGTAGTATCTTGACATGCTTGGTATAGCAATCGTGTTTGGGTGTCCTTAGCGCAGTTATCTAATACAATGACGTGTTGGCTAGAGGATGGATGTATTTGAAAATTTAGGGGAATCATTGGTGGAAAGCTCCCGACTGTTTTTCACGATTAAAAGAGAGTAGTGGTGAAATACAACTGTAGAAGCGAGACATGAATTTGTAGTTCCAACCAACCTAGCTTTACTGAAATCCATCACCCCAATCCTCCCCTTCCTTCTGTGCAGCCCTCATCTTCTCACTTCTGCTTCTTTCTCTAGATTCTAAGAACGAACTCAGCAAAGCAACCGATCCAATAACTATCACTGGACCAGAACTGAATGCTGCAATCCTTGACTGCATTAACCGTCCCCAACTTATGCACTTCCACTCCCGCTGGAAAAACTTGGTAATCTCCGTCATCGGAGTCGCTGGTTTTGACTTTGGTTTTGTCGTATTGTAGCTGTTATTGTGGAAGCGGTTCGGGGAGTAAGGTATTTCGTGACAACCGGGGTAAACGCGGTACGTATTCTGCGCATTAATGTCTTTAAAGTACCCGAATGAAGATCCCGGAGAGCGGCGGCGGAGGACAGAGTGTGAAGAAGTCGCTGCTAATTGATCGATGTTGATTACTGTAGTTGATATGGAGGTTGAGGACGTTGATGAACCGTAAGAGGAGCTGTAGGGATATGAGCCCATCCAAGCTGGGAAGGGTGCCATTACGTGTGATGTATGTGGTAAGGAGGGTGATGAAGTTTTCTGTTGTGTGCTGGTAAACTCTGTGAGAGATTTTGCTAGAATGTGTAGTTGATGTGGGTGTTGTTTTCTGCGTCAAGAAGAGAGAATTTGGGAGAAAGGAACAGTGGAAAGTCTAGAAGTAAAGAACGTTTAAATAACTAACTTGAATGTCCGTGCTGCACTAGTTGTACTTATGACACTCCCACTAGCCAAGAGTTTAAAAAAGTTCCCGACACTAAACTTTACGGGACTGACTACCTAAGTAGCTTACCGGAAAAGACGCTCACTACCTCATAACTCGTAACGGAGACGTAACAACTCAATGATGACTTGGCAATGCAGATTACATCTTGAGCACTGTTTTCCTCTTGAATGATCTCAATAACTAATGTTCGTCTCTGATGCTAAATTTGGCGGATTTGATATTAGATAAGTCGTGAAACTTGCTTGATAATAATGTGGAATTATGATGCCTTTGTCAGCGAAAAAAGCCGGGAGCTAAGATCTTCGATAGCTGTTAAGACATATGGAACTGGGAAAAGTAATGAGATCAATTTGCAAGTGTTCCAGCCATTATTCAGCTCCGAGAAAGACTATTTCACTGGACCTGATGTCAATTTCTGGGCAGCGATTAGTATGCACATTGGAATAGGTCACACATCATTACTGAATAGCTAACGACGATTTTGCTTTTGATTATTAGACTTTGTTCTCTCATCAGAGGCTACAAATCCTGGGAGTTACGAACTCCTCTAATTTTCGGTTACCGAATCCCTAACAGGATCGAAAGATTTTGTCGCTGTCGTAGCTACCTCTGGCTGCAATGGCCGGATTTCTAAAACTGTGTCAGCAGATTCCTAGTGCCCTAACATCATCTTTACATACCTAATTGCTAGTCTTGATAAACAAGAGTGTCCACATCAGCTTCAATATGCCACGGTATAATTCCATTAATATCCATCCACACTTTACTAGGGCCTGCGGCTTGTTGCATTCAACTTCTATCCCCACAATACTCAAAAAATCCATCTTTGAACTCTTGATCCAGCTAAAGCTGATTCTTCTGCTCAGCGGCCTCCAGAGTCCCATCTACTCCTCGGGCGAGTAAACTTTCAAGGAAAGCTGACTACGAATAAAGTCAATGCATGCTATCTGAGTGAGTGTATCAGAGGAGATAGCTCACATAACAGGAGGATGCAGGATTACCCGAAAGATTTCCAGCGAGAGTTAGGCAGCTAACATTTCTCCTGAACTGCCGCCTTCATGCGATTTTGGACTTTAGTAGCCCTAGTTGCGGTGATTATCCGAGTACGGGTGGATATGTCGGAAGATACCTGGCCGCAGTCGCTTCACGATGTTGAACTTACTTCAGCAGTTTGGTAAGACTCATTCACAAATACTTGGTGTCTCAAAGTGCACCAACCTAGTGGCCGATACCAAATCCAGTTTTCTTTCTGGCATAAGTCCAATTTGGCAGACTTTTGATTTCATTGACGAAGTCACCGACTGTCTTGTGTGATTTAAAGTAAAGCCTAGCCCGCTCCAATCTAGATACCACATCCACGACTGCCATTGACATTGACAATATCATAGGTGGTTTTGAATTGGTGATCTGCTTGATGGGGATGGTAAAAGTAGAATGAGCGTGTAAAAACCCCGTCAGAAGTTGCGCAGATTGTTGAGGTAGTTAACCACCAGGAGTTGGCAATTTTACATGAGCAGTCCAAAGATGCAACAGCTTGTCATTTTCAGAATTTGAACCCATCAATGTGTATCATCAAATCTTTTATGTTTTTGGTGTTTTAGCTCGGTGTATAATAATAATTGTTTCCATTACAGCTGATCGTATTTATGTCGCCTTGGATGTAGAAATGGGAACGCCATTAGAAACAGATCGGAGTGTAGATATCAGCGGTTCAGCCCAATAAGATATAGAGTCGATTTATAATTTTCGAACCAGGGAACCTCCCGAAGGACAAAGCCAGTGTCAGCGACCTCACAACAATAATTTATCGAGCAGGCTCAAGTTCGCGCTACAAAGTCTTTCAAATTTATCAGAACATACTACAAAGGTATTTCACATACCGAAACAATGAGATAAACGAGATTTCGTCAACTGAATGGAAGAAATCTTGTCTTCTGACTGCAATTTATCTCGAGGGGCTTCTACGTCGATTAAGCGAGCTCGAAACTCACCCCCATCCATTACCTCAATCCAAGCAACTCACAAACCCCAACCCTTCTCATTCAATCTCACTCGTACCTATGTAATACCTACCGAGGCACCTCCCTCGTACCTTAACCTCGCCCCGCAACCAAGGCCCAAACATGGCCCATCCCCACGAACATAAGCAGCACCAATCACCTCTCTCCACCCCCCGTACCCAACAGCAAAAAACATCCAAACATTCACGCCTCATTAATTCGATTACGCGTCTCACCACGAGCTGCAGATGCCAATGCCGAACCTCGTATTTAAGCGAATACCGAAAGAGGAAATTTAGGATGTTGGGTTACAGCATGCGCCACTGTCTCCAGCTGTCGGGAGATACCAAATAAAGTGTTAGAATGGAGAACGAAGGTAAATTGGGGATTGGAACTATGTTTCTATGATTCATTCGCCGGAAAGTGGCTGTCTCGGTATGAGTCTGTTGTGCGTTCGTACGACCCGAAGACTTGCATTCAGGGACTTCTTGGGGAGTTTCTCACCTCATCTTTTTTTTTTCCAAGTGACAAGACACCATAGTTTTACGATCGTACGATCGGACTGAGTGACGAAATTTGGAGGTTGTAATAGGACAATCGGTGGAATTTCAATATGGTATCTTACGAAACACAATCCAGCCTATCATCTAATTCCTGAACTCCAAAAAATTACTGCCTAACGCAAATCTGGAGACTGAGCGGGCTGATTATAGAGAGGGGTATTACTCGGTCGAGGGAAACCCTGAGTGCGCATCTATCCATAGTCTCTTGAATTGGCGTGCAATTGATAAGGTAAACATCATTGGATATCCAACTCTAGGCTTCTATGCTACTGCTTTGTGGCGCATCCTTTTCACGCATTTGCGATTGCTGTATGCTAGTCGAAATAGGCTTGAAAGTACTGAGATCGCCTGGGAGGACTGTGCCCGGGTGAACAATGATCATGACGATGAGTGCGAAGAACATTGGGGTTGCGTCGAGGGCGTATTGATAAACTTCGTGGTTCCAGAGCTCTTGGGTGAGCGCACTGTTGAAATCGCTTGCGAACTCGAGGAGACGATAGATGATACGTATCTGGTCATGTTAGTGAAAGTTATAGACTTGAAAGCGAGCTACCTACAGAAATCAATGTTAGTGAGCAATACAGTGTGATTACAAGCTTTTTCGCGGCGACTTTATGCTCGACCATTCCTTCTCGAGAAACGCGCTTCCAAAATTCGAACACTAGGTAAGAGAAGACAAGAATGAAGAACAATTGGAGTGCAAGACCGGCAGTGTAGATATGGAGACCATTCTGTTGGACCTTGGGATCGTCGCTGACAACGAGGAGGCCACCACCGATCTGAATGATGAAAGACCTACAACGGGTTAGACGTTTCACCTTTGAAGAAAAATCAAGAACTGAGTTCATCAACTTACGCAATGTCCAAGATGACCCAAAACAATGCCATTCTCTGTGCGCGGATGCGAAACAATTTTTGATCTGGCAGATATTGAAATACCATGCGACCTAAAAGCATATAGTCGAATGCATTGACCCACAATGGCGCCAGAAGGAAGAGAAGGAATTGCGGAATATATATTCCTCGTGAGGTTGGGTTGTAAATCGATCCAATGCGTATAGCGAAAGAGAGGAATTCCCACAAGGCAGCCATGATAATCGCCCAAGCAAACGTGGTTCGATATTTACGAGCCAGGAAGATATGAACTGCAGATACAATGGCGAACAATACTGTAAACAGAATGGCTGCGGGCAACGAGGGACAAAACGCCCATTGATTACCATTCTTATTCTCGACGGTCTCCACCGCTGTTCAGCCATAAATTAGCAGATCATCATATCCGTTACCAAGGTGACTTACGCAAGCAGGTTGGTCCTGCCATCTTGACTGATGTTGCAGAGAGGCCCAAGAATAATTTTAGTAGAATCTGGGGAAGTAGACGGTGTCGACACTCGAGGTGAATCGGCTAAGCACTCTGAGTTTATTCGAACCTACGGCTATTGCAGAATCCGGAAACGGGGTTGGCTTTATATTTGTGTGATAAAGAAAGAAATGTCAGAATCAACAAAAGAATCCGTGCCCCTCTGCGCCTCATTGTGACGACCACCACAATATCATCCTGCAGATTACTCCTCGTAAATTTGATTCGGCGTTCGTTTGGTACAACGTCTCCAAGACAGGGCTGTCTCCTGAATGCATGCCTCTTACCCAATACCCTGCGCTTCTATCGGGGAGTCTTTCCAGCCGTCTGATACCAAGAATCACGCGAGTTCGCGTGGCTCTTACACTCATTCAACTCGGGTTCTCAGACGACAGCGATTTGAACAGAATAACTTGGCCTATGGGAGCTGAACAGCGATTTAGAGCAGGCGGAAAATCCAGAAAACATAGGATAGGGTTGAGGTATTCTCCGAAAAACCCGATCTCTAGGAGGCTGGACGTTGGAATGACGGGAATTATCCAATGCAATAAAGCCGTTCTTGCATGGATATTAACCGAACGAGTTCGGATGAACGAACCACCGATTGCAATTGAAATATGCTTAATTTTCTAGATTTATCATGTCCAGCAATGTTCTAGTTTTCCGTCCGTCGTTTCTGTTTCCAAAAGACACATAATGACTCAATATTGGAGAGTATATGCAAGAAGAGTAAGATACTGCATCACCGGCGTCCACTTGACTTATTGTGATAAATTGCTCACACTAGCAGCAATATACCACATCAAAAGCAAGTCTTCTTATCAGACTAGGAGTAAGCCAAAGCACTCGGGTAATGGTATCAAGCAGTTTGCGTTGTAGTACAGTACACCGTCAAGGTTTCGCCCATACAAACGTCTATGAGCCTCTCATGAAGTCCGCAGAGAAAAGTCCTAATGCAAGCAAGTGATTTGGTGCCAACTTAGGTACTCCTAGAAGATGGCCCTACGCACACGTAATTGGCGGTTCATTGCCCAAAAACAATGGAAAGATGGACGAGACAAATTGCTCCTCATAAGAGCCATGTAAAACGTTAAGAGATCACTCATAAAACTGAAAAACAAGAGACAGGCATGAAAATCTATGAGACCTACATATAGCAGATACTCGAGTGGACGTGCACCAGATCATACCTGTCTGCTCGGCACATAGAGCAGAATATCTTGCACAATGTAGACTGAAAGCAACGCCCACGGCTAAACTTTTCCGAGAGACGCCGAAATGATTCAACTAGCTTTGAAAAACGTTGGGAATGGCTGTTAAGTTGAGGAAATAGAAGTCGACGTTGTCGACTCTTTGAATTTGTAAAGAGGTTTGGGGTGGTGATATACGGAGTAAAAGGGCAACATGGAATAGGCCCTCCAACTATCCCTGTATTCCTCGGTTCGGAAAAACGTCATCGGCGTTAACCAGGCGCTTGAGCTTCAATACATCGTACAACACCCATCATGCGCTCGCAGGTCTCCGTGAAGGTTTATAGATGTTCTTTGTAACCTGTACCCAATGATCCTCTCACATAGTACGAGCAGGATTCCAGTTGAGGCTGGCACGCCATAGCCATGCTCTCCGCCTTTACTGCGCGACCTATTGTTGAGCTCCGAGCTCGCGACAAGTCAAAGATTGAATCAATACTGGCGTATGGTCTGTACGCACCATCGGTTCCACAAATTTCATACTGATAGATATAGGCGACCGACTACTTGTGGGACTCAATACGGGCAGTTTGCGAGTATACCGTGTGAACGAGATACCGGAGGACAAGGGCGAGGGAAACGGTACCGCAACCGCAACACCAGACGAAGGGACAGTGACGAATCCAGCTCCCAAACCTGTTGATTTACTGCGCGAAGTCGAAAAGTTCTCTACGCGAAGCATCGAACAATTGGCGAGGATAAAGGAAGCCAATGTGCTGATCTCGTTGTCAAACTATTACGTCTCGATTTACGACTTGCAAACCTACACCTTGCAAGAACAACTTGTCAAGACCAAGAATGCCACCACTTTTGCCGTTACCTCGAACATTGTTAAAGACTCCGCCTCGGGGATATTGGAGATCATATCGAGGCTGGCAGTGGCTGTTAAGAGACGGTTACTGTTATGGTCATGGCACGAGGCAGAGTTGGAGTCAAATGTGGTGGAGATCACTCTTGCTGAATCCATTCGGACACTCACATGGACTTCCGCAACTAAGATAATCTGTGGCATGAATTCGGGCTATGTTATTGTCGATGTTCTTACCCAAGAGATTGAGGATATAGTGGGGCCGGGCGCTATTGGTGGTGCAGCAGGAGCGCAAGGCGGGCGCTTTGGAAGTGTTGGCTCAACCAGTATGGGCTATATGGGATTAGGGGGATATATACCGAAACCGCTTGCGACAAAGTTAGCTGAGGGCGAAATGCTTTTGACCAAGGATATAAACTCCCTTTTCATTACCTCGGAGGGTAAACCAGAATCAAAGAGACAGATACCATGGCAAGCCGCGCCCGATGCAATAGGTTATTCTTACCCCTACATTTTAGCTCTTCAACCACCGTCCAAGGGTATCTTGGAAGTTCGAAATCCTGAGACTTTGTCATTATTACAAACAATAACCTTGCCGAATGCGAGTCAGATGCATTTTCCTCCGCCAAACGTCAGTCTCGCTCATGCGGGAAAGGGATTCCATGTTGTCAGCGATCGATGTATTTGGGGAATGGGAACGACAGATTATGATACCCAGGTGGACGAACTCGTGGAAAAGGGACTGTATGACGAAGCGATCAGCCTTCTGAACATGCTGGAAGATGCTTTATTAAGAAACAAGGAAGAGCGCCTGCGGGAAACCAAGATCTTGAAGGCTCAGAGGCTCTTCGATCAACGAAAATACCGCGACGCCATTGACATATTTCTAGCGGAAGATGTGCAAGCTCCACCAGAACGAGTGATTCGCCTGTATCCTCCAGTCATTGCTGGGGAGCTATCTACTTTCGAGGAAAAGAGTTCCGAGGATGAAGATGCGCATGAAAATAGCGAGGAGGCGAATGGCGACGGTGCTGCAGATGATAAGCAAGAAAATACCGATCCAGCGAAACCAGCAGCTATTAGCAAGCTTCTCAAAGGCCATAAGAAGAATGCTTCCGATGCTGGCTCCATTAGGTCATTCATGAAATTCGACAACAACGATGGTAGTGATACTTCCAGTGTCCGACCGAAACAGCCCGAGGACAGCGCATTGGAAGGGAAAGATCTTGTCAACGCAGCTTTAGAACTGAACTCATTTCTTGTCGATGCCAGAAACAGGATGAAAAGGTGGCTTGACGCCGAGACGGGAAAGCTTGTTCCACAAAATACCACGGGCAATGGTCAAAATGGGCGTCAAGGCCCTTCAGAAGCATCGTTTGAGTCATTTCTTGTTGCTCCCGCCTCAGATGCTGAAAAAGATCGTGAGCAGAAGTTGAAAGATACAGCAAAATTAATCGACACGACTTTGTTCCGGTCATATATGCTTGCACGACCTCAATTAGCAGGCTCGCTCTTTCGCATACCCAACTTCTGCGACCCAGATGTAGTTAACGAGAAATTGCTAGAAAGTGGAAGATACAACGATTTGGTCGACTTCTTTCACGGGAAAAAGCTGCATCGTCCAGCGCTCGAACTTCTCAAGAAATTCGGCACAGCTGAAGACAGTGACGAGGACTCTCCACTCCACGGCCCACAACGAACAATTGGATATTTACAGAACCTCCCACCGGAAATGATCGATCTCATACTCGAATTTGCAGAATGGCCGCTGAGAGCCGATCCAAAGCTAGGAATGGAGATTTTCTTAGCGGATACTGAAAATGCCGAGACTCTCCCAAGAGATAGAGTCGTGAAATTCCTCGACAATATTGACACGGGGTTGGCAGTTAGATACCTGGAGCATGTTATCAATGAGCTGAATGACTTGAACCCGGAGTTTCACAACGATCTAGTCTCCGCGTACCTCAAGGACTTGAAAGAACGAAATGACAGGGACTCAGAGGACTGGAAAGACTTGATGAGTAGGTTAGTCACATTTTTACGAACAAGCAAGCAGTATTACCTTAATAAGGCTTTTCAAAATATTCCCAAAGACGGTAAGCTACCCTTCCATATTCTATGTCAGCCATGAAACTAATATCAAGCAGATCCTGGTTTCTATGAGGCTCAAGCAGTAGTTTTGAGCAACCTGGGGCAGCATAAGCAAGCACTTGTGATTTATGTGTTCAAAATCAAAGATTTCCAAAAGGCAGAAGAGTAGGTTCCTCGAATTTTCGTTTGTCGTCATGTTTGGCTAATGCTGGTCACAGATACTGCAACTATGTGTACCTCCAATCGGACCCATCGACAGTACAGTCCACCCAAGCGTCAACGACAGATTCAGACGATTCGGTACCCTCGATTTACCATACGCTACTCTCTCTATACCTCACCCCACCACCTCCACATGAACCGAACTGGCCGCCAGCTTTAGAGCTTCTATCCAAGCATGGATCGCGATTACCGGCCTCCTCGACCATGAACCTTATTCCTGACACTTTACCCATTTCCGAGCTAGAATCATATTTCCGGGGTCGTATACGCTCGGTAAATTCAGTCGTGAACGAAGTACGCATCGTTGCGGGCTTAAGGAAGACCGAAGTAGTGAGTGCGCAGGCCAGTCTTCTCTTAGGAGATGGCAAGCCAGGAGGCAAAGGAGGAAGAAACAGAGGTGTATATGTTGAAAAGGATAGAGTCTGTGGAGTCTGCCATAAGAGGCTTGGCAGAAGTGTTATTGCTGTACTACCAGACAACGAGGTAGTCCACTATGGCTGCTTGAACAGGGCTGACAAGAGGCCCATTGGTGGTGGCATGGAGTCTTTGCGATCCCCTCCAAGGAGGTCTTGAGTGGAGCGATGTCTTGATCGAAGTAGCCTTCCATATTTACTTCACATAGCGTAGGAGTTTTTTGCTGTGGAACCGGTGTATATACCACTGCATCATACCAGTATATTATCAAAACTGTTTCCCGATGAATCACTCTTCTTCTACCACTTCTTCTCCGTAATTGTCCTCTTCCTTTGCCTCGTCTACCTTTGATTTCGTAGCCTCTCCTTCTCGTGCCTTGTCCTCCTCCATGCGCGCCGTGAGGTCTTTGTTTATTCGCTCTTGTAGATCAGTCGTTGCTTTGCGCAAGGCGCTCAGGTAAGTGGTCTTCTCGTCGATAGCTTCTGAGGCCGGCGCGGGGATATTTTGTGCATGTGTGAATGCTTCGTTGGTCGGGGATTGGTATGATGCTTGCAGGACGAAATACCGCTCTTCCGAGGAACCATTCGACGACGGTAGCTCAGCGGGTGGTGTCATGTTGTCAGCTGAGGTTTCGACCTCGTTGACGCAGATTAAAGCTGTTAAGTTGGCTTGACAATGTTGTCTTCGATAAGGAAGGATTCACGATCCCTAGCTGGCTGCGGCAGAATATTTTAGCTCGGTGGGCGTGCTCTCGCTCCACCAGTTCCCTGGTCGCGACCAGACGTCAGGTCAGTGCTTGGTCAACGAGGAGGCGCTTCATGATCGCAACGACATCGCATTTGAAACTCCACTATTGACCTTCTCCTAGACCACCAAGCGAGCCTCAATATTTCCTGTTTGGGACTCTAATTATCCTTCGATTCTTCTTTGTTTTGTTTTCTCTTCCACGATTACCTTCTGACAGGCGTCAGCGAGTCACCCCACCGGCAAGCTACCAGCTCCCCGCGCCTTTATGCAGCAGCAGCAGCTATGTGAAACAACCTGAATAGCTGATTTATGCATTTCACAACGCCGCAATGTCACAACCGACAGGGCGAGGAGCAAGAAACCCAGGGAGCTTTTCTCCCATGGTGACCACGAACACAAACAATCTGCCGCATCCGCACTCTGCAACGAGCACAACCAGGCCTCCTCTCCGTCGTGTAGATTCATCTTCGTCTGAAGACGGGACTCCTGTTACGATATCCAAAACTCGGACGCAGCAGCACAACCAGAATATCACCGCGCATGCAAACGCGGCTGTCCCTATAATTGCCCCTCCAAGACCACCATTTTATTCGAATTCAACCGCGAATTCCAGCACAGGAAGCTTGACCAATTTCTCGAGACCGACACCTCCAGCGCAGTCTCGTGCTGATCTGCCATTGAGAAATGCGTCGCCATTAATCGGCGGAACAAGGCCATCTCCTGTCGGTACGGAGAGTAGCACAGGTAGTTTCATTCGAGGGCACGGGAGAAAGCACTCGCATACACAAGGATCATTTGAGCCGTTTCTACCTTCAACCTTGGAGACTTCGAATCTGGGAAATATGGCAAACACTTCGGGATTGACTGCGAGCCAGATAGCTGCCCAAGCTGCGATGCAACATCAATCGCATAATCGACAACGATCACAGACAGTACCATCACAACACCAAGATTCAAGTTCGAGTAACTCCAGCAGCCGGAGACCAAGTCGGGTTGGCGGGCCCACGAGTCCACCAGTGTTGAGCTTGACAGAAGCGTCAGGGCCGAGGGACAATGGTTTTGGCGGACAGGTATATCATAACGGACTTCTGGCAGGTGGAAATCAGAGTGCTGCCCAAACAGCGGCCAATGTGGTGTTTCCAAAATCCCCTGTTTCGTCACCAATCCACCCGCCGGACTACGACCCTCTACGGTACCAACAAGATAAGCCTGTAAAGGCGGAGAAAAGTAAAGTGAAACTATTCTCTAGACCAGGAAAGATAGGTATAAGTAAAGACAGAGAGGCCAGAGCCGGAGCCCTACCAAGTCCTAGTAAGATGGCCAACTTTACCATGCAGTCGCTCTCCTCGCTGCAAAGAGGAAACTTTAGTACCAACACTTTGCCAGATCCCATGTCGAGCGCCGCTAGTATGTATAGCATGGCCAATTCTTCTTCGGCGACTATCCGGGCAGTAGATACTTCTTCGGAAAAAGAATCAAAAGATGGCAAACATAAGCATCATTTCTTATCCCGCCAGAAGCACAAGCTTTCGAGTAAAGATGAACACCATCTGCCATTGTCATCGGCGGCGAGTAATTCCAGACCAGCGGATCCAAGTGCTCCAAGCAGTTTATATAACTTCAACCTGCCTCCTAGTCCGGCGCCAACGACGACCACTTTTGCCAAGAGTATGAGCGGATTAGATTTGAGACACGGTGGAAGAGCGTTGAGAGAAAAGAAGAGAGAAGAAAAATCGGATGCGTTGAGGGAGAGTGAGTTGTCATATCAAAATAGTAATGAGTGGCCAGGCCCGTCAAGTTTGGGTTCCGGTGCAGGTTCATATCTAGGTTCTTCTATGGGTGGTTATCAGGGTAGTATATATGGTGTGGAGACTCAGCAGGATTTGAGCAAGTATGGGTTGAACAATATGCAGGCTGACGATGCTTGGCCGTTTTTGAGGGCAAAGCTTTTGATTATTTTTGAGGGAGAGGATCTGAGATTGCCGGTAGAGGATTTCAATCGGCTCGTCACGTAAGTTTATATCTCTGGGGTAAAGTACAATGCTTACGATTCAGTATCCACCTCCAACGCTGCATACAAAAGCGTGCACCAAGTCTTGTCGTTGAAGATCTGAGAGATTTACTCGCTACCGGGTTTAGTTCCCTAGATCAGACACTTCGACGGACTCCTGATGAGCGACTGATTCCTCATTTGGTAGAAATGTGGCTATTTACCTTCACATCCATTCTACCATATATGCAGGCAGTTTTCCTCCCATTAGACCTAGAGTTCAGTGGCCATGGTCCGCTGATGCCAATGGAAACTGCTCGAGAATTCTGGGGCGCTCTTCCATCGCCTTCAAATGCCAGCGTATCAGCTGGTCAAGCTCTCGAAGTACGTCGGATCGTACTCGTAGCTTATCGAGATACCGTCATCTTACCAAGATTCGACACACTCAAAACAATATTCTCTCGTCTCTCACTAGAGTCTATATCTCTCTCCCTTCCAGCCGGCGACACTCTCTCCACCTCCCCCGACTCATACGGCCGTCCCTCAACAGCAATGTCCCTCGACCCAGCCCACGCCTCCTATGGCTCCCAAGCCACCACCCTCCTAGGCGGCGGCTCCTCAGGCGACGGCAGCGGCAACCGCTCCCGCGCCATCTCTAACGTCTCGCATGGCTCCGAATCCAGCGGTCACGGCCTAAACTCCCTCCCACCACCCCCTCAACGTCCCTTCACCCCCTCATCCACCCACCCACTCCACCGTCAGCGCGAGAAAACAGTCGAAGACTCGAGTAAACAGTTGACAGAAACGGTGGGACGCATGTTACAGTGTATGAGCGTGCTTACTAGTGTGGGGATTGGAGGCGGTGGGGATGAAAGCAGTCAAAGGAAGATGGAGGAGCTGGGACGAGCGTTGAAGTTGAATTGGCTTGGGAGGGGGAGGATGGGGAGGGATCGACGGGGGTTGGTGGGGGCGAGGGTTACGGGGAGTTTGGCGGGGGGAAGGACGGGTATTGTGGCTTGATGGTGGGCTTGTTGCTTGACTTGTTGTGGGTAAGGGTCGTTATGTACATGGGGTGGTGGGATTTTGTGACTGGCGTTATGAAGCTTTATCATGGGGTCTGGTTTCGGAAAAGGCGTACGGAATGGGATACCCCGTTGTTGGGTCTGACAGAATTTACGGAATAAGATATTGTAGTCACAAAACTTTGGATAGCTTAAATATGAACAGCTTACTCTCTTTGTTTTGTCTCCTGCTTCATTTCATCATCCTTCGACGAAAAGCACTTCTTCCTTACGAAACCATCTGTTATCTCATCACTCTTTCAGTCCCTGATACCCAGTTGTAGAAGATCGAGTTACTCACTTTGTTATAAACAGAACATACCTAGCAATTAGCTTCCCAAATAGAATACATATCTATCCTACAGAACCCCTTTCTTTAAATTCATTTAAGCCTCAAGTGGTACTTTGGTTAAAGCAATTGATGAAATATAGGATTTTCATAAATCACTTTCTCTAAATGACATATCGTGATTGCCACTTCTCTCATACATCACAACACCACGAAAACGCTTTTGCTTTGCTGGTCTGGGTGAATGAGCGATTGGATGTGTCTATATGCGGCTCACTTGCGTTTATCCTACCGTGTCACCTTATTGTAGATTTACACTTTTCTCTCTCTTTTTCCTTAAGGGGGGGTTGCAGATTGGGATTTAGTTTCCGAAAAAAGGGAATTTGTGTGGTGCGATTGGTAAATTCCGTGTATGATTTCTTCCTTTCTATACTCAACCTAACAAATCTTCTTGATATAATAAACCTTCTCGACAACCCCTATCACATAAAAGCAATAATCTCACATCGACACAAAATTCGCAAAACCACATATCTTGAGATGAAAATCGCTATATAACCTCGCGAAGGACAAGATAAATGTCCCTCCGTCACCTACGCCGCTAATCTTTCCTGAATGATAAGTCGACTTGCTTTTAAGAGCTCATTTACTTGAAATAATTGACGGAATAGTAATAATGTTCCACTAAATATACGAAATTTCGTCAACTTGATCAAGGAAATATCGTGTTACGACGACCACTTATTTTATCCTCCGCGAGAGGACCTAGCAGAAACACTAATATAGGTCTCTGTGTGTTAGCTTGAAGTAAGTCAGTTGATATAGTTTCTCGGGGAATAGAAATTGTTATTACCCTAATGGGGGTGTGCGTCTTTTCATACTTGCATTTCTGGTCGGATATTACGGCATCAGGGGTGCATGTGAATTGTGGCAAGGTGCTGAGTACGGAGCCTCATTTAGGCCGTACATGCTGGTATATATAAAGTCCTCTCACTTCCCTTTATCTCTTCTTTACTTGAACAAGTAATACTATTCATTTAGACCCTACACTTTAACCTCTTCTGATACTCAACAGCATTGTATTGTTATCTTATTGTTAGTTAGAGTTTTTATTTGCTAAAAATAAGTTACGACCATAGAAAACGGGAAGTGTAAATCTGAAAAGAATTTGAGGACTCGGGAGTTGGACATGACCTATCTTTATTATTTAAGATCAACTTATTATGAAAGATATTGAAATATATTAACCACCCATCACAAAATTGCAAGTCAATTTTACCGTGACTGAACTCCATAAGCACGTTACCTTAGTTACCATAACAGCCAATGCATTTCGCTGGCCATGTATGTCACAGAGAAACCAAGACCACCCCCTATAAAATATCGACAATCGAAGAACTCTTTCATCATCACTACTCTACCCATCTCCCTCCCTCTCACTCTCCCCCATCTTCCTTTCAATACCTCACACCCACCGGCACAAACAACGCCTCCTGCGCCGCAACCCTCCGATTCTCCTTCTTCTTCCTCATCCCCAAGAACGTAGCAAGCGCGAGCAACAAACTAGGAACACCAACACCAAGTCCTACCGCAAGAGCGATGATATCAGATTGTGAAAGCCCCTTTTTCTCTTCTGTGGTCGCTGGACTTGAGTTTGGACTTGGGGTTGAAGTAGGCGTAGCTTGTACCACCGCACCCCCACTCCCCGTGTTCGGCGGATTGTTCGTCGATGGTAATGCATCAGGCGAAGTCGTAGGGACACTAACAACACTCGCACCCCCCGTCGTTGTAGCTTTACTCGTCGCTACAGCAGAAGCGACCTCCACGTTCGCAGTAGCACAATATCCATCGTAAAGCGCCAACGCGCCTGTAACCTCCGACGGAAAGTTACTACACTTACTTGAGACACAGCTACTGATATAGGAGCTCGCCGGCGCCGCGTTGTCTTTACCGCAATAGCAGAGATTTTTGGCGGAGCAGCTACATTGGAGTTCTTGCGCTAGGTCGTAGTAGCCGGAGTTCAAGCCGCAGGTCCAGAGGCCGCCGTTATACCACTTAATGGGTCAGCTTCGGGATAAGGGAATGAGAAGAGAGGAGGTGGGCCTACTAGACAGCCGGCTGCGCAGGGTCGGATTGTACTGTATGCTGGTGCGGCCCAAATGGATACTGAGCCTTGAGGACCGAGTGTTGTTGTTGCTGCGAAGGACGGGTGGAGGTATACTGATAGAAGAACCAGAAGAGCTTCGTACATTGTTGTGACGGTGGCAGGGTTAAAGCCCAATATCCTCGCGATTTGGGAGAAACAATGCTTGTATTAGGGATACTTGAGGATGAATATCAGGAGAACAAGAAAACGGAAAAAATTCAGAGGAAGAACAAAACGGATCGTCGGCTGTGACTGATGTATATCTTGTACAGCATAGATAAGATATAAGGAATAAGACTTGCATTCTACTTCGTCCGTCCAATTCGCTTCTTCTCCAATCATCCAAGATCCTGATGGCTTTTAGGGCTTTTCTTGGTCTCCTGAAAAAGAAAATTATTGCAATTGATAGAACGTGGAAATAGGGCTGAGTTCTAGATGCTCTTGGCGTTATAAAAACCAGGGGCATATGGAATGCGCAACGAGATGGCTTTTGCCCAGCCATTGTTCCAAGAAAGTGATTGGCTTCGCACGGGGAATACCCAGAAAAGAGGCTGCTTTGCTGGGATTATGCGAATGTATGTGTTCGGAATTAGATTAGGGGCTGGAAGATGAGTGATTGTTTCGATTGAGGGTCTGGTGGAAGCGAGTGCATACGTTGTAACGATAGAAATGTAGGATCGTGGAGACTCTTTCCCAATGCTAATCGAGTGCAAGGTGTCAATTTAGGAGAGTTCATTTCAGGATCAGGACTTCCAGTCTCAAAACTATCACTTACAATGGTGACATATTTAGAGTAAATGAGTGCACGGAAATGAAGATCTATAAGAAGTCAACGAATGCTCGCAAAGTGGAAAAAATGGAGTTTTAATAACGTAGATGATTTTCGTTATCTCTGAATTATCCATAATTTCTTATAGGCTACTTGAGATGCCTCAAATCTCAATGACTCTGTACGGAATTCTCCAAGTTTAATGACAGTAGTTACTTGCGAAGAACCCATGTCTCATTCTAGAAGATTTGATCAATCCTCTGGTCTGATGCGTGGAATTGAAACTGCAACGTGACTAAATGCGTATGCGTGTGGTCTCGCAAACTGTCATAATGTGCGTAGCTGAATCGACACAAGTCTTAATGAAACAGAATTGTAAGATGATTGAGTTGCGCTTCATACAAGTTCTCAATGCTTCGCAAGAGATATGTTGTGCAAATACATTCTGGAAAGGGTCGCACAAGAGGGGACATGAAGCACGACATAGTGGGGCAAAATGACCTTCTCACTCGCAAACCTTCTTGACATCGTGCCGATTTCAACTATTCGGTCGCCCAATTGGCTTCGAGGAGTGGGATGGCAAAGTCGAGAAAATATAGGAGTGTTATAAAATATGATGAGGTTCTTCAAAGCCCTTAACTGAACCGAAAACACGGAAGACAAGAACAGAATAAAGCATCATGACTAACGAAACTCCAAAGAAGAAATGGATCATGAACGCCTTTGCAATGTTTGCACCTGGACATCTCTCCCCCGGTAAGATGCCTTTTCGCTTTAGGAGTGTTCAATATAGCAATTGCTAATTTTCTAAGGACAATGGAAGCATCCTGATGACCGAGCCGGGAACTATACTGATTTAACGTACTGGACTGATCTGGCAAGAATACTTGAAGCTGGAAAGTTCCATGGTCTCTTCTTAGCAGATGTATTGGGAATATATGATGTTTATAAAGGCCCGGCCAATAGCACTCCAGCGCTGGAATCAGGATCGCAATTCCCAATTGGAGATCCATTGTAAGTGGGCCTCAATCGCAGAGCAGACGAATCTTTATTGAGCTTGTCAATAGTTTGCTCATATCCGCCATGGCTGCGGTGACAAAGTCCTTATCATTCGCAATCACTGCATCGACAAGCTATGAAAATCCATATGCAACTGCGAGAAAATTCTCCACACTAGATCACCTCACCAAGGGACGAGTAGGGTGGAATATCGTAACATCTTATTTGGATAGTGCCGCCAAAGCTTTCGGACTGGATGAGCAGATACCTCATGATGAAAGATATGCCCGAGCTGAGGAGTATCTAGAGGTAGTGTATAAGCTTCTAGAAGGAAGCTGGAAGGACGACGCGCGTGTTCAAGACTTGCAAACTGGGAAGTATAGTATAGCAGAGAAAGTCAGAGCAATTGAACATAACGGAAAGTATTATAAATGCAATGCTACTCACCAGCTGCATCCATCAATTCAACGCACTCCATTCATTCTCCAAGCCGGTGCTTCAACGGCAGGCAAGAATTTTGCAACAAAACATTCTGAAGCCATGTTCCTCCCCGGACTTGATCCACACAAAATCCGGAAGGAGGTTGATGCCATCCGCGAGCAGGTGGTTTCCCATGGGCGATCTGCTGATAGTCTCAAGATTCTTGCCGGAGTCTTGGTGATAGTTGACGAGACAGATGAGAAGGCGCAAGCGAAATACGAGGAGTATCTGAAATATGCCGATCTGGAAGGTGCGGCGACACTGTTTGGTGGGTGGACAAACCACGACTTGTCAAAGTACGGTGAAGATGACGATTTCAAATTTACCGGAAGCGGTGCCATTCAATCGATGGTAAACACCTGGTCTGCAACCATTCCTGGAACAGATGGTATCAAATGGACGCGTCGAAGGGTATTGCAAGAGTTGGCTATTGGCGGCGCACATCCAAGAGCCATAGGATCTCCTCAAACTGTTGCCGACAAGCTGCAAAAATTTATCGATGAAGCAGGTATTGATGGCTTCAACCTTTCATATGCGGTGTCTCCAGGCAACTTCGAAGACATGATCAAGTACCTTTGGCCTGAATTGAGGAAGAGAGGTGTGTTCTGGGATGATTACGAGAAGGAGGGAATCTCGATGAGGGAGAGTTATTTAGGTGACGGGAAGGGTGCTAGGCTGCGTGAGGACCATCCTGGTGTAAATTATAGATGGGTGGATTGAAACAAGTGTTTGACAAAATGAAAAGATTTTGTCACAAAGAGAGTCTGTCGACTCATGAAGTCGACGATAAAGAGACCCTCGAAGTCACGTGAACACATCTTCATCCTCAAAATACGATATCTAGATATCGTCTTTGTGAGTAGGCTCATGAATGTATGATTAAAAATCAAGTATATGATAGCTTTGATGAAGAAGTAGCTTCTGGGAAGTATATCAAATCGACTGGCTACAAATTACCACGTGCAAGCTTGAATTGTCTCTATTCAGATTTCGATCTCTCCTCTTATCGATAAAGCTCACAAACTGGGTGGATGGACCCTTTGCGGTCGATCGTTCGATTCAGCAAATGAAGCGACGTTCAATTGTCATTCAAGCATGCACCCCTGTCAATTACCCCACTACGTATCCCCTACGTGCATCAACGACCTCATCACCTCATAGGTACTGTTGATGCATATTCGGAACCAAGCTTACAAATAGAAGTACATATTCCTCCACACAAGCCTGATTGCGTTTCTCGTACCTTTGTCTCCTCTACCCCGCAGTAATACATGCTGTCCCCAAGAAGTCTCCTCACATCAAGCATCTTCAGACAGCTCAGACAAGCTGTTCCCCGTCCAAACAATCGAACGTTCTCAGCTACGTCACGCATCATGGCGCAGGAATACAAGTTGAAGGGACTTACCAGTCTTGATTTGAAGGCTGGTGAGAAGAGAGAGGTTGAGGTAGAGGGCATCGAGGAGGGAAAAGTACTATTGTGTAATGTTGGAGGAAAGACATCTGCTATTGGAGCCAGATGTACACATTATGGAGCTCCATTGGTGAAGGGTGTCTTGACTGGTGATGGAAGACTTACTTGTCCATGGCATGGAGGTGAGAATACCCACATGTTCCCAACGTTTTCATGCGCTAATATATCCTAGCATGCTTCAAAGCTTCGAATGGAGATATCGAGAACGCCCCTGCAATTGACGCCCTTCCCTCCTTTGAGCTCTCTGAAAAGAGTGGTGGTGTCTATGTTACAGGCGAGGAATCAGCAATCAAAAACAGCCGAAGAAAGCCAAAGCTGAGAGTAAATGGCAAAGCACCAGAGAAAGTGGTTGTCGTCGGTGGTGGAAGTGGAGCCCTTGGAGCAATCGAGGCTCTACGCGAAGGTGGATTTACTGGTGGAATCACAATGATTTCAAGTGAAGGCCATACACCATACGACAGAACCAAGCTCTCTAAAGCTCTGATCGATGACCACTCAAAGATCGCCCTCAGAGACGAAGATTGGTTCAAAGATGCCTCTGTGGACGTTGTCTACGACCAAGTCACCGACATAGTCTTCGACGGCAAGAAAGTCGCAACCAAGAGCGGAAACTCCTTCTCCTACACCAAACTCATCCTGGCAACCGGCGGATCCCCCAAGAACCTTCCCCTCCCCGGCTTCAAAGACCTCGGAAACATCTTCCTCCTCCGCACCATCCCGCACGTCAAAGAAATCGTCTCAGCAATCGGCTCCAAAAACAAGAAGATCGTAGTCATAGGCTCCTCCTTCATCGGCATGGAAGTTGCCAACGCAACCTCAAAAGACAACACCGTAACAGTAGTCGGCATGGAATCCGCACCCCTTGAACGCGTAATGGGCGCCGAAGTAGGCAAGATCTTCCAATCCCAACTCTCCAAGAGCGGCATAACATTCAAGCTCTCCGCGGGCGTCGAAAAAGCCATCCCCTCATCCACCGACTCCTCAAACGTCGGCGGCGTCGTCCTCAAAGACGGCACAACCCTCGAAGCCGACCTCGTCATCCTCGGCATCGGCGTCTCCCCGCAAACATCATACCTTCAAGATAACGACGCCGTACAGCTGGAGAAAGACGGCTCCCTAAAAACAAACGAACACTTCCAACTCGACGGCCACAAAGACGTCTACGCCATCGGCGATATAGCCACGTACCCGTACCACGGCCCTGGCGGCAACGGCACACCCACACGCATCGAACACTGGAACGTCGCGCAAAACGCAGGCCGCGCAGCCGCAAACCACATTCTCCACCCAGACTCCGACCCTAAGCTCTTCACGCCGATCTTCTGGTCCGCGTTAGGCAGTCAACTTCGCTACTGCGGCGCGACGCCGAATGGTTGGGACACGCTCACCCTGAAAGGCGAGCCAAACGAGGGCAAGTTCGCGGCGTATTATAGTAAAGGCGATACGGTTGTGGCGGTTGCGACGATGGGGATGGATCCGATTATGAGTCAGGCGAGTGAGTTGATGAGACGGGGGGTTATGCCTAGTAAAGGGGAGATTGAGGGGGGAGTGGATATTCTGGGTATTGATGTCCCTGCGTTGTGAAGTTTCGGGGAGGGGATGTGTGCTGATTTTGGGTGTTTGTAGGTGTGGATTTGGGGAATGGGAGGGGGGTGAGGGCAGCTTTGTGAGAGGATTGGGGTGACTTGAGTCCTAGAGGAGTCGGGTGGGATAGTAAGATCAAAAGATTTGAAGTAGATAGCGTGGTAATCAAAGTTTTGTCAATATCGCTTTAAACACATGATGATTGAAGTATCATCATCGCATCCTCCCTCGGACCTCGCTTAACAACCATTTCATAACCCCTACCTTGAGTTATGAGTTCATCTACAGTATATATCGGGCTACTTCATGAAGAGTCTTGCTGTTCCATCTGGGGTATGGGGTAACTACAAAATTCTACATGGTAAGGGCGGTAAACAGAATGTCCTCACAGCGCAGCCATTGAAATAATTATCATTATATTAATCCCACCCTCCTGTCCTTTCCCCCCGCTTAGTTATTCACTCACGCTTCCTCCTCGTTTTCTTTTCGCCTAATGAAATCAATCTATACCTACTAATCTCATCCAACCACTCTCCTCTAAGAATACACTCCCGCCATCTCTGATCCTCATACCCAAAGCAGCTTCATAGCAATCTCATCCATCCAACGCAACAAACAAAAAATGGGTATCCCAATCCACAATCAACCAAAAAAACACATGTGTATGTACGTGTGCCTACCCAACCGAAACACCATCCAATTCCAGCCCCTAAAATCGCAGGGCTGGTCAGACCAAAAGCAGAAGTGACGCCTATGCAGATGCCTACGCGTTGATTGTGACAAAAGAAAAACGTGATGCGATGAACGACTAAGACAGCCTAACTCTTGACTCAATCTGTGGTCATGACTCATTCTCTTCCTCCCCCAGAACCTCAAGTAACGCAGCACGATCCACATTATCAGCCGTGACTTTACTAGGCGGTCTCTCGATTCTCTTCACGAACCCAGGAATGGGACCTTTCTGATTAATCCCCGGGGCTCTGCCCATGAACGCCTTCAGAGGATCTTGTGGGGTGGTTGGTGATTTCGCCGGACTAACGCCCCAACGACCAAAGACCCAGCCGCCGAGTTTGTTACCGAGACGATTGTTGTTATTATTATTATTATTGTGATTAGGATTATCGGTGGAGCCGCTGGACGAGATAGAGCGGGCGTCTGAACGATCGTTTTGAATGCTTGAGCGGAGATAGGATGTACTGTCGTGAGTACTTCGTGTGAGAGTTGGGCGTGCAGTAACTGCGGTGTTGACTGAGACTATGGAGGATGGAGTGCCAGAACGAGGACGATACATTGATATACCGGACTTGATCGTCAATTGTGATGGACGTGATTTGAGCGTATGAATGTCTAGGCCAGATACTGATATAATGGATTCGTGAGAAGTTGTCCGTCTGAGTGTTGGCCGGTATGGACTATCCCACACATCAACTTGACTTGCCGATGATAGGTAATCAACATTGTTGGAGTCATCCGTGAAGCTCGTATCAAGATTTAAAGTAGGAGTACCAAGATCCTGAATTTCATGAACGTCGTCATCCTCCTCTTTAATGATACTGTGCGGTTGAAAGTTGATTGGCAAGTTTCGCGTAGAAACTTCTGATCCTCGCTTTCTGTGGAATGGAGCGATTTGTGGAGACATTGGATCGATACTAGATCCTGGTGAGGTTGGACGTGATGAGTCCAGATCGTAACCGCCTAGTCTATCAAAAAGCATACTGTTTCGATATGCAGATTGAGGTGATGAGGGCACTGAAGATGGTGCAAAGTCCGACATCTGGTTGGATGATTGGACAGACCATCGATTACTGGCTGGAGTATGCGGCCCAGGAATGGTGACGGACGTCTGTGACAGTATTGCGCTGGCGGCATCGGGGCCTCGAGGTGTTCTTGGAGATCTTGGCGATTGAAGGTCTCTGGATGATTGAGATAATCTTGGAGGAGTGAACGTTGCCATGTTGAGCGAGACCCGCTTTTTCTTTGGTCTTCGCAGCTCCTCCTTCTTCGAGTGGTAGTGATGATGAATGTGTAGCTCTTGAGACACAATTGGAGGTTCAGAAGTACCAGGAAGACGTTGCGATGACGCTTCCCTTTCTCTGTCAGCCTGAGAGAGCTTAGGGTAATTACCCTTGATATCTGTGAAGCTGTCAAGCTCCGCTCGCAGATTAGCTGGGACTGTCGAACCGCCCCCCCTCTCAATAGGTTGATGTAGGAGAAGTTGCTCCCGTAAAGCCTGAACCTCATCATTTGAATTCATCAACATTTCCCTCAGCTCCATAATACCCATCTGCAAATTGGCATTGTCTTGAAGTATATCCTTGACGAAGTGTGAAACGACATTGGTACCGTTCTTTGGACCACCTGTCGTAGCTGTAGCCTTCAGCCGTCCGACCGTGGTATCCAGCTCTTTCTCAACAAGCCTTTGTCTTTCCATACGACCGAGTACCTCCACATGTCGCTCCCTTTCTTCCCTAGCCTCCCGCTCTATTCGTTCAAGCTCATCTTGCAAATCACATATACCCCTTTCCGCCTTTTTCCATCTCTGGATAGCTGAGCGTTCCTCTACCTCTGATTTGAGCACAGTGTTCTTCAGTACGTCTTGCTCCTCTTCCAAGCCCGCAAGTTGCAGCTCAAGTTCGTGTGTCCGCGCAGCCAAAGTCTCTAATCTCCGCATCTCTTGGCGAGTCGACTGAAGTGTGGTTTCGAGCGACTTGATATATGTCTCGGACTCGACAGCGGTGGTGTTGAGCCCTTCGAGCTGGTCAAGAAGAGTTTTGTTTTCTTGCGCATTCTTCTCGTTCGCATCCTCCAGCTCCTTCTTCTCCGTCTCGAGTTGCTCTATTTTCTCCGTCATATCCAAGCGATCTCGCTCGGCATCTTGCATGTACTGCTCATGGCGGACAAGAAGAGCCTGTAGTGCGAAGGTCAGTGACTTGCACATCTCGAATTGTTCGCATGATCTTGAAAAGAATTTGTGTCGAGCAATGCTTGACAACCCTCTGCAGTTCTGGTACTAAGGGTAAAGCTAAAGCTAGCGCTTGCTTGCTGAGATTAGAGGCGTTCTTCTCCCCATAAATATTCTTCCACATGCAAAGGTATTGACATCAACAAAACAAAAAAGCTTGTACGATGACCCAAACCTCAGGATGTATCCTCAGAAAAAACGATGGTACAGAACAAAGGGTCGAACGAGGAATGTGACGTACCTGGCCTAGGGTGGCAGCCGTATGAACTTCCTTCTCCAAATCGTCTAGCGCCGAGCAGTTATGATTCAGAAATGCGCAATCTTTCCGGCCACAGCAACACTCGAGATGGCGTGTGGAAGTGGTACTGGGAGGAATGTGACCGATTAAGAGTTCCAGCGCATCTTTTTCCACCGTCGCTATCGCCATCTTTCGTGACCCGCTCGATATATAACACGTCGTTGTACATCCACACGTCCTACCGAGGCGTTTTTGTGTTCGTTGGGTCGCGTCGCACATGCACCATAGTTGCGAATTCGTGAATATGAATGAGTCGGGTTTATTCAAAAGAGAGTGGTCACCGTCGATCCGGTGGGATGATGTTATTGTTTAGAAGTCGTATTGGGGGTGGTGAATTATGGAGGGGAAAGGTCCCTTGTGAGAAGGAAGGAGGTTGGGAATTGGATGAATGGAGGTGGTCACTTGCTTCGTTACTCACTCAATCCCACCTGCTCGCTGCACCGACCAACTCCCAATCGAGACTCTCCACCCTGTCATTTGCGAAAGCCCACCGAAACCAGGCTTTGGCCCACCAAACAACCTTTGGCTTCAGGCACACGCCCAATCATCTTCTTCCGCCCGCTCAAGACCCGACCAAGTATTCCGGTAGTGACCGTGCTCTTCCCAGCCTCTCCACAGATAATAATAAACTGTAAGATTGTTATGCAGAAAAATTTACAAGCGCGTTTGTTTTCTTCACTTGTTGTTATTGGCAAATTGTTGCTTATTTCTGAGTAGGCCGGCTGAGCTTCCAGAGCTCCAAGAAAGAATGGGGAACCATCTTGGTTATTCTATTCGAAGAGAACGTGGAAACATCAAGAGACCGACGAGGACGAGTATATCGCCACGCCATGCACGATGCAGGTGGCCGTTGAGCACCGCATGGAGAGCCTGTCTTCCGGAACAGCTCATTTAGATACGGAAACAGTTCTGAGATCTGACTATTGATGAGAAAACGTCGACCAACCTGAGCACATTGCGATAACCAGACGGATCACGACTCTATTGAGATCGACATCACTGTTGGTGTAGTGATAGCGTCCTACGAATAGTTCCCTCGAACCTGTCGAGATCTACGAGAACACGGGCAGACGGCAACTGCGTTGTATGGAAGAAGCGTAAACAGTCGGGTTCTCCGAAGACTGGCGGCGTCTCAAGCAACACGGTTCCTGTGCCAAAGTCCGAATCAACTATGTCGCAAGAACATCGTCAATAACCATGTTCAGCTTTCTTTCCACAGTCTGTTTCCGGCCAGGTATCTTGTACTCCAGGATCTACTACCCGCTGAACGTGTTTTATAGCATTTCCCCGGAAACCGAAGGCTTGGTACTCGATCCGTTGCACGATGAGAATGAGAAGTACTACAGATCTCGTAGAACTTGAGATTCCGTCCGCACGTCCGAGAAGGCTGTCTGCAAGATACACCCTGTGTTGACTGAGAAACCGGATGCTTCCTGTTTGCCTCGATCATTGTGTGTGTAACATGTTATTTATCAAAGTGATTCGCAAGCTAATGCTTGGGACTCTTACAGCAATCATTCGCTCGAACACCTCAGACTGGTTGCGACCATATTCGATAGACACATCACACTCGGGTATTGATGCTCGATGCAGAGCGACAGGTGCTCCGTCGAACTCAAACTTCATCATTCAGATCGCCGTTTCTAGGTGTATCCTGAATGACATGGCCTCAAATTGGTGTACGAACGCAATGAACTCTTTCTTTGTGTCCTTGTTTCCGCCATCGATCGTATGTATCGTTTTCACATGGGAGTGCCGCCCGGATTCCCTGGGCTCTCTACCAAGTGTTCAGTAGCTATTGGGCCATTTTTTCCATTTCACTCAACTTGGAGTACTAGCCGCTGTCCACGGATTCGAGTGTGGGAGACTGTTGTGCCTGGAGATGTCCCGAGGCTCGAGTAACTCGACATGAGAGGATCGTCAGCTTACTGACTATGCGTACTCCTCAATCATTCTTATCATGCATTTCCGTGGAGAATCCCATCTCAAGCTGACGCAATTCCGAAATCGCATCCCTCTGCACCTCTGCATGGGTCATTTCGTGTGTTTTTTTCGACACCTCCACTCACACTCTAGTCAGATTGTTTCCACTTCTCTGCTTGAGCTTGTTATTCCGTCTGGGGAAGACCCGCAGCGTCTCGGCCATTGTGGGGTGAACGCACATGTCGTTATTCAGAGAATTGATCATCTCGATCATGGCGATGGCCCGGCTCCGGCATGGTCGTAATGAGTTCGGCTTAACCTGACATCATGTTATGCGTTCTTCTCAATGAGTACCCGGAAGATTGGAATGACATCAAACAGTATGAAGGTGGCCGTGAGAAGATGTGATAGAATTTTGCTGGCTAAAAAGGTTTTTTTACCATGACTTTTATCAAAGAGCATTTTGGAGCGTGCCAGAGATTTTATATTTCATGTTAGGTACCGGCCTCGCATTCCACCTATCAACAAAGGCCGGACAGAAACGTCCTGCTGGAATTGAACTTCGGGATCTAATACAAAGTGAAGAGAAGCCGGAATAAAGGTCCTTAGCCTGACGAAATACCGAATTTCGGCATCCTCCACATCACTTCAAGCCGGACCGGACGTCCTGGCGGAATGACTAGCACTCATGTACGGATTGCTGAAACATCCTATCACAAACGCATCACAGTTTGCTTCTGGCATTTTTGATACAACCAACTCGGATGGAATTTCCCTTCCAAATAATGACTAAAGAAGGCTACATCATCTCACTTCTGATACGGAAATCACCTTCTCAGGCTATGATTTGCTCATGGTGTCGACCCTTCAAAGGACAAACCTCCCGGTTATGCAGGAATGCAGATCAGTGTACCTGAACCGGGCGCACACCCACGAATGAGAAAATGCATGGAAAGTTCAATGTCGTTGGAAGAATACTAAGTCGATGCAGCTAAAAAAAATACTAATGCGTCAAGAACGAGAGATCTAAGGAAAATATTGCAGATAACGCAATTTCATTCGGATGGCTATGATACTGTGAGAGAGCAACTCAAGCCAAAAGACAGTATATGGAATTGAACAGTCTCTAACCGTTGATTCCAGTCACGTTATGTTACCGATGAAAAGCTCGATCGATCGATCAGTTCCCCCCAGGTTCCAACTCAAGGGAATTGTTCTCTCGCTTCCCAGAACCCAAGAGGTCCTGTGCCTCGACCTCCAGACGACGTTGGCCAACAAGAGTCGCATTCAGGGAGTGATCGGCAGACAATGGTGCTTCAAAAGGCGCGTACGACGGGAGTTCCCTGCCAGGTTTTTCGTGCACCCGGAAGTCATGACGCACCGCCACACCTGGCCTTTCACCAGAACTGTGGCTGACCACGATTTTCCATGCCAAGGTTCCAACTTTTGATGGGGAACTTGGAATCGGATGGCGAAAAAGCCAATCACGACAAAGAAACATGTTTGAAGGGGTACACAGAATTCATCAGGAACCCTGTTATGGGTCAGAAATGGGTCCCAAAGGAGCTTCGCTCCAACTTACCCCTGCGAGTTTGAACCGTTAGGAGGAAAGGTCCGCGTGGGATTACTCTGACGACGTCAGCCTTATCCAGGGTGAAGTATATGAATATATCCAGATTCCTCATACCAAGCCCTGGCAGTTCACCAATTTCACCAAGCACAGCCAAAGGTTTACCCTTATAAAGTCCAGCCACACTTCAAACTTCGAACTTCATACCACCCATCATAAAACACTCTCAACATACAGAGCACATCCAACTACAAGACAAGATGGCCGTTCCAACCATGGCAACCAAACACAGTCCCCAGGGACCACCAGACCGAGCATTCGCTCTCCAAAAATACCTACTCCTCCACTCTCAACAAGACGCTCTACATAAACACATTTCTGAAATCTCACCTCCATCACCAACAACCTCACGCTACTCTCCGTCATCACGCTCCTCATCTACCTCATCAGCATCTTCAGACCCATTCGGAGCTCGCTCTCAGCCGACCCTCCTAACAGAATCCCCATCAACACGACCAACACTACATCATCGTCGGTCTTCTCTCCCGGATCTTTCTACCGATGCTACGCTCGAAGAGATCATGAAAGAACAGGATCGCTTGAAGGATGTCAATCTTCAAATTAAGACTACACTTACGGAGCTGCTGAACTGTGAGGGGGTCAGGGGGAATAAAGGGTACAGAATGTGGATCCAGACCCGCCTGATGGATGTTGAGAAGGAGTTGAAGGTTGGACGGTCTCGGAGCTGTGATGAGAGGAGGGTTAGTTTTGATTTGAAGTAGAGATGGATCGATCTACTTGAAAGAAAGGACGGTGATGAAGATGATTTGACATGAGGTCGACGAGGAAGATGATTGAGCAAGGAGATTGTACTACGAAGAATGACGAAGAGCATTGTATGATAGCTCGAGGAGGCGTTTGGATTTATGATACCCCCAGAATGAATATTCTACTTTACTTAGATGTTTATTCGATTTTATTTACAACGATGATATTTTGTTTCAGTCGGATGTTGGGGTTTGATGCTTTGCATGTGCATCCTAATAAATTGCTCTGCCAAGTCTGCCCAGGGACTCGTCGTGAGCATTTTGAGCAAGTTTACGTGTATACTTGCGATTATGTTCTCATGGATGAAATATTGTTATTCACTTGGTTTAATACCTGCTTCAGTCTGGAGTTACCAGCTACAATATCCGACCGCTCCTTTCACGACCCAAACACAACTCATCCATCAAAACACATCTCTCACTCTTATAAATTGTCTTTTCTCACCATGGGATTGATTAATCAGATTCATGTCATTTATTTCTCTATCAGGAAGCATTTAAGAGCTGATGGAATTCGCGCAATTTGAAATGGCTGGTGAAATAAATGGTTGAGGGGGTTCTTTGGTTGGATGATTTGGACTTGTCGAATGTCACAATTCATCACTACTTTATTTTACGATTTCTCCAATTGAGAAAGTATTCTAACTTATTAAGCCAACCTCTTTTTTTCCACAAAAATAATATTTTTCTGGTTCAGCCGTTCTCGTTGTCGTGAGGCGATGCACATGCGTAGAAGCCACCACACAAGCCTTCGAGGCTATCGTCGCTCACAAGTGAACTTCTACAACTTTACACATGCATTCGTTGGCACAATTGTTGTTGTTTGTATATTTTGAAGACGACCACACTCAGTCATTTAGTCAGATACTCTATCTTCGATTTGGCTATTATTTAGCGACGTCTACAGATTTGGATTCGACCCCAGTCTCGAAATACCTAGGTAGCAAGAATACATTAGATGGCACTCCGCAAGGCAGAGTCAGCAGCGAGTTGCCGAGTTGCGATGCTGCATATTGGGCGGTGCTGAGTAAGCCTTGACGATCAAGGTGGTTTTGAACCCAACGTTCACTCCTGTCACTTCACGATCCGCGGACTCTCTTTAATTTTGCTAACATCAACAGCCCAAGTTTGGGCATCCATCTGATCATGGCAGAAATATTCGGCGTCGTGGCCGGTGGAATCGGGGTAGCCTCATTCGTGGCTCAGATTGGCGACAACCTCATCAAGCTGAAGAATATTACAGATTCTATGAAAGATGCACCGAAAGAGTTGCGATCCATCATTCAAAACGTCGAAGAGTTGGGCCACATTCTCGAAAGCATAAGGACTCGCGCCCGATATCTCCAGATTCCAGACGGAGCAGACGACATCATCGATCACTCGCTCGCCAGCTGCCACGCGGCGGCGCAAGAACTTTACCAAGTTGCTACGCATCTCGAGCTTCTGATATCTGGCAACGGTCGAAAAGGGCGTTTCAAATTCGCTGTCAAGAAACAAGGCATTGAAGATCTTCGAAGAAAATTAGAAGAGACAAAGAGCAACATCCAGCTAGCTCACATAGCAAGCAATATGTCAGTTTTATTAAATTGCTTCGTCTTACAGCTACACGCCGTTTTCATCATATGCTAACATTATCTGGGTAAGATTCTTCCAGCAGCATCAGTACTTTTCACATATCAACCAGCAGCGAATTAATCAGCAAATATGTCAAGAATTACAGAGATTGAAAACAACAGATTCAAGATCTACCCAATCAGCAGATTTATCAGTGTCCTCAACTAAAGATACACCAGTGCACTCAAGTCACGAGATATGGAAGGGCCCCTCGGTTATGGGCTTTCTATTCGGTGGAGTTCAGTACAGTTTCAATCAGTACAGTTTGAATAAAAATGATAGCCGCAAATCCAAGTCGGCAATAAGAAGCGTTGCGAAAGTACGTATCTTTACACCTCAGTGGATCTCTAGAAATGTCTATGAAGCCCAAATTATCCAAGACCGATGGAGTTGCAGTTTTAATCTTCGACCATACAGTATTGTACCTGTAGATTGCGAGTTATTCCACTGTGTGGGGGAGGGGAATGTGGAAGGAATACAAAGGCTTTTCAATCTTGGCTTGGCCACTCCCTTTGACCGTGATATACATGGTTTCACAGCACTCCACGTAAGTGTATACACTCGATATAGAGTACAAAATTTACAAACTAATGCTTGCTGGGAAAGTATGCAGTGTATAATCATCGAGCACAGGCTTGTAAACTCCTGTTGGATGAGGGGGCTGAGGCTTTCGCGCTAGATGGTACTGGAGTTCATGGAAAGTATGGTCCCTTTATTATCTATATCAACTCTAGGAGTGGTCGGTACTAACTTTATAGAGTCCCTATTCATTGGCTTGATAGTGAAATATATGACCACTCTGTCAAAGAGATCTTATCATTATTTTTCCACGAAAATCAAGACGCTCTGATTTCATTTGGTGACGGCAAGAGCATGTTGGAGAGCGCCTTTGTGGAGCGCTACCAAGCAATGGAACTGTCACTGAAATATGCGTATCCTCCATACTCAGAGCGTTCAACGGAGGATAAGATCGAATTCGTTCTCACATTTTCTCTCGTCGTTCATCCTCGAGCTTTAGAGCTTGCCCTCGGTGAAGCTTCACTAGAGCGTCATCAATTCGAGATATGCGATTCGGCAGGCTATACTTTGACTGAATGCATCATCCGTAATCTGGTGTGCAATGCACTCCTCGATCCGGAAATTGTGGAAGAATGTTTTCCAATTTTGCAGCAGGCAATACGATCACACATCGATCTCTACCGTCCCGACAGAAACCATTTAACCATCATCTCACTCCTCTTGCTTTTTTACGCTGGTTATTCATCATACGTTTTGACATTTCGAGACTTTTGTCCCAGTGGTAAATGGCTGTTGAAAAAATATCTCAAGTGCTTGGTCTTGGCTGGTGTTGATCTAACACTCTACGGCGCAAAAGAAAGAGAGATACACCAGAATGAGAGGAAGTTTTCGGACGTACATACTTGGAGGATCTGTCACGACTGGGGAAATCACGAGGATTGCTTCGCTGGGTTCTATTCGTTCTGTATTAAATACGGGCCGACGATACACGACTGGGACGTATGGGACGACCGCGCTGCGAACTACGAATACGCTGAAGACTTCTGGGAGATGATCGAGAGTCCTTGGGAACAGCTACCAGGGGCGTGGATTGATTAAAGATTGCTATGTTCAGACGAGTATGCACATTGGCATTCTTCCCTCAGTTCATTTCCCAACATGTCAAACTACACAAGCAGATAAAAAGGGTTGAAGGTGAGCTTAGTTCGGCTCTGACATGCATGCTTTGCATTCACTGACTCTTGATAGAATCTAGCAATCCACAACAAGAGCTCTTTCGCATCAAAATCGTGACGAAAGTCCAATATAAAGGCATATAGACCACATCACTAGCTTTCTCGACGGAAAAAGCGGCGCACCACCCATCTCTCTCGATCACTTTTAAACCCTCTTTCTAAACTGCACAACCGGCCCGTCCCTCAAAGTAACATACGCATCCCTCACCTGAAAATGTTCCGTATCCCTCATCCCCCACCACCCATCCCTCATCCCAGCCCCCGTCCTATCCCCCGGAGCCAGCCTCACATCCAACGCCCACATCGTCCTCGCAATCACAATCTGCAACTCCATAAGCGCCAGCTTCTGACCAACACAATTCCATGGCCCGGCACTGAACGGATTAAACCCGCTCCAAGCACGCGCAACATCAGCTTCCGTCACGCCGTGAGCACGATTCGCGATCCAGCGCTCCGGACGAAAGACATACGCCCCGTCGAAACTGGCTTCATTATGCATCATTGTCCAGCCTGAGCAGGCGACTGTGGTGCCGGCTGGGATGTACTCGCCGTCGATGATCAGGCCGCCGAGTTGGACGACTCGGTCAAGGGTTCCGGCGCCGGCGACGCCGAGACGGAGACTCTCGTTTACGCAGGCTGTAAGATAGGTGCAGGAGGTTAACCCGGCACCGGTACGGATTTCGGAGGCGGAGGTGAAGGTTGTGCGGATTTCGTGAGTGAGTTTTTCGTAGCAGAGGGGGCGGCGGGTTATGTAGAAGAAGAAGGCGCAGAGGGTTACGGCGGTTGTGTCGGAGCCTGTGTGTGAGATGGTAAGGTTAGTTAAGGTGCTTTGGGGTTTGGGAAGTGATTGATAGTGTTTAGTTTCCTTTCCGAAATTCAAAATGGATAGAATTCTCGTTTCTCGCTTAAGTAAAAGGGGCAACTCACCAGCAATCAACAACAAATTAGCCTCCGCGCGCAACTCATCAATCGAATACACCGGATTCCCATCCTCCTTTTTCTGCTGAAACATGTAATGAAACATATCCTTTTCCTTCCCATCATCACCACCCAACTTCTCCCTCTCTTTCTCCTCCTTCATCCGTTTCCCAACCTGCTCGTCAATGAAGTCATAATACATCCTAATATTCTTAGGCACGAAATAGTCCATCACGCGATCTAGGCCGCGAGGTTTGAGATAGACCCAGGTGTTGATGAAGGGGGATTGAGAGATCTGTCATGAGGTCAGATTGAAGGGCGAGGTTGGATGTCAACATACCGGATACATAAACCTCAAAAGCTCCGCCATCGCCTCCGGAATATCCCTAAACCTCCCACCATCCCTCTCCTTCAACCCGAAATTCACACCAAAAGTCAAATTCCCAGCGATATCGAACACCAATCGATTCGTCACAACAGCCGCATTCATCGGTACTGACCACCCATCCCCCTTTCCCTCCTCCCCCTCTGCCAAAACATCAACCCACCTCCCCACCTCCCCTCTAACCCTCCCCTCCGCATACCTAACCGCCTTCTCCGAAAACGCCAGATTCAACACCTTCCTCTTCACAGCATGTTCCACTCTCCCCAACACCGTCAGCGTGTTATGGTTCTGCTCGTTGCGCGCCCATACCGCGTAGGACGGGGACTTGCGGACGTTGGATTTGGTGGCGTAGATGCTGCGGTAGGCGGGGGCGGTGGAGAAGAGGAGGCCGGTGGGGTGGTAGCGGAATGTGTGGCCTGGGGTGGTTAGTGCTGGGAATCAGAAATTAAAGGGGAGGGGGAAAGAGGAAGTAGGCAAGGTGATAGGGGAAGATTGAAAATACCGTAGATTTGATGGCATTGCCAGATCCAGATGTGCCGGTTGCCGGTGGTGGTGTAGTAGAAGTTTGGGAGGGAGGAGATTTTGGCGAGGAGGGGGCCGGGGTACTTGGAGAGGGGGCTGAAATGTAAATTGTAGATAGCGGAAGAGATGAACTAGGGAGAATTCAGTATTTTGTGGTACTGGAGTTGGAGACTTACGTAGAGAATGAATGTTGTAAAAGCAAGTGCTTTCCAGTGCTCTTTCAAAGCTTGGATTAGGGTTTGGATATCCATTTTCGAAGAATACGGTGAGTTTTCTAATTCAGATTTCGAAATTAGTAGCCTAGGATAACAGACAAACAACAAACCGAACAGAAATGAGGGGAAGCCCACCTCCTTGAGTAGTCTCGTTTTGTGTGAGTACGACTGTGTGCTACACTGGTGTAGCACTCTGCTACACAAATCAACACTTCTAACCCTGCATCGACAAAAACAGGAAATCTCGTAATCTAAACGGCCTTGGAAATTTTCACAATTCAGGGTCGTTTATCCTTAATTCAAAGAAATTAGTTGTCTAGATATTAAGCTTTATGCCTCTGTCCAACAACACCTTATATCTTAAGTGAGAACTAGGTGGGAGTTTGTAACACAGACATCTCATCCGTGCTTGTGGTACCACAGGAACGTCATACCGCTTTCTCGGTTAAGGGTAGTTCTGATAGCGGTTGTCATCTAGTGGCGATGTTCTACAAGAATCAATCGTCTCATTTTGAAAAAGCAAGAACACATTTAGTGAACCCGTTTTTTATACAGGATGAAACTTGTCTATCGATTTTAAGCGCGATGAATCTCCTTTTAGGTGTTTTATGATTGCTGGTTAATGTGCTGGAGTTCGGGTAGAGAACAGGAGTAGGAATCGAGTGGCAGAACTGCAGTTTGACATTTTGAGAGTGGAGGGTGGAAACATGATTAAGGGTCTTGATATTGAATACACAAGTACATAAACCCTTTCAAGCGAGATATTTTAGGTAAATCAGGAGTTCAAGTCTGAAATCTGGCACAGGAGGATAAGCGATTCTGCACAGGCGTTTGACAGATACAAAAGCCAGTCGGGGCTGTTATGAAAGTATACCTCAGCTCATGTTCGTATATTTGCCTCATATATATCATAGACTAGATGTTTAACAGTGATTGTCCAGCATACGAAAAAGAGAATCAAAGTATTCAAAACGAAAAGATACCTACCTATATACTCCGATATATTACCTACCGACCTTCGACCCTTCAAACCAGACCTCACCACCTTCACTCTCCTCAGTCACCCTCCCTAATCATCTCCCCCGCCCTCTCCCCAATCCCATACATAGTAGCCTGCAACCCACTCCCCGGCACCAACGGCATAATACTCGCATCCACAACCCTCAACCCCTTGACCCCATAAACCCTCAATTTCTCATCCACACACCCCCCTAGCTCCTCCGGCATAAGTGCACACGTCCCACTCGGATGTGCCAACGAAGGCACCAATCCCCCTTTACTGAGTGCCTCCGTCAAAGCCTCATCACTCACATACTGCGCGCCAGGCGACACCTCTACCGGACTGAACTTGGCCAGCTCAGGCAACTTCCAGAAATTGCGCGAGTGACGTACCATGGCGAGCATGACCTTCAGATCGATGGGGTTTTGGAAGGTGTTGTATTGTACGACGGGCAGAGCGAAGGGATGCGTGAGATTCAGCGTGACGGTGCCGCGGGAGAGGGATTTGAAGAGGATAGCTGGGGACGCGCCGCTGGGGGACATGGGGAAGCCGGCGATGGACATGGTGTTGGATGTGAAGCGGGAGGCGAGAATGGCACGTTGGGCTATGAAGCCGCGGAGGAGTTTGGGGTCGGCGTAGATGGGGGGCAGGTAGTCGGCGGCGTTTTGCGCGAGGAGGGATGTGGATATGGATTGTGCGGTGGAGGCGGAGGTAATGTGTGTGAGGGAGAGGAAGGCTGCTGCGGGACCTCGGCCGGTGGCGATGGGACCGGTGCGGTTGAGTGCGTATTGCGCCCAGGCTGTTGCGTTGTAGGTTGCGTTGTTGTCGAGGGTGGTAGGGTTGGGAAAGGAGAGGTTGGAGAGGTTGAAGGACATGTATGCTGTGGGGTGGTCTTGGAAATTTGCTCCTACGCTGGCCATATCTTTTTTGACTCTGATACCGGCGGCTGTGAGGACTGATTTTGGACCTATACCGCTTGCTTGGAGGAGTTGGGGAGTCATGATTGCACCAGCGGCGAGAATTACTGCTTCGGTTAGTACAAAGAGGAATGCTTTCCAGTTGAATACGTACCTTCTTTCCTAGCAAAAACTTGGTAGACACTGCCATCACCCCTCGAAACAATCTCTACACCCGTGGCCCTCAATCCGCGAAACAGAATCTCCCTCCCCGTCTGTCCTGTTACGATAACCAAATTCTTCCTCCTCGCACAAATTGGATCATAATACTTCCTTCTCGCCGTAGCTCTTACTCCTTCACGTGGATCAATCGTATTGGCCTGCCAATAAACTCCAGGACCGATTGATGCGGAACTGTCTAGCGGTTTTGGGACGTCAGGTCTGTTGACACGCCATGCCGACCACACAGAGAGAAGATCTGGGAACAGCAAATCGTCGATGTTGACGCTGAGGGGACCGTGATCAAAGACGGCAGGATCCCAGGTGACGTTGAATTTAGTGACAGTCTGGGGTGAGGGTGGGAAGAATGTTGTGCTTTTGCGGAGATAGGGAAAGAGGTTTTGCCAGCCCCAGCCTGAGTTTCCGAGGGATTCCCAATTGTCGTAGTCTGCTTTGCTACCACGCATGTAGTTCATGCCATTTACGACTTTAATTAAACTGTCAGCTCGATTTCATTCTGGTTACAAGTCGAATAGAATGGAAGACATACCAGAACCACCACCCACAACAGCAGCAACAGCAACACCAAAAGTCTGATTATTCAATCGCGCAACCGGAGCGGACCTAGGTCTCATCATCACACTTTCATCAACACCTTTGGCATAATAAGGTAAGATAGCCTCGGGCTTATCATCAAAGTAACCACGTTCAATGATCAACACCGTTTCTAGTCATAATTAGCGTTTTGTACGAAACATTTCTTCACGGACTCACTATCTCTATCCTCGGACAGACGATTCGCAGTAACCAATCCGCTTATTCCACCACCAACAATAACATAATCATAAGTCTTCCCTTTCACATCATCAATATCAACAAGCGGACACGCTGAATCCGCAAGTGCAGAGCCGCAGCCAAGCACACTTATTAAAAAAGACAAGCGCATGTTGAAGTATCTTACTCACTCTGAGTGAGTGTCAATGGAACCAACATCAGAAGCAGTTGGAACTCCAGCTATAAATGCACATTTTGAGCGGGGTAATCCATATGTCGAAAATTCCATCCCGTAATGGTACTATGCATCTCTTGATCGATGCGTGAGATTGTGCGTCTTATTGCATGTTCGCAAGGGCCGTTGTGAGGTTAAAGACTTTGTGTAACCGTACCATCGGATGACAAAGCGGGCTTGGATAAAGAAACCTGGTACTCGGTGATGGATTCGCGGAAACACAGTGGAAAAAAAAAGTAAAATTTTGGTATTGCTGACGAGAGGGGATTGAAAGAATGAGGGGTTAAAGTGGCTGGACATTAGGATGAATAGAGGGATGGTGTAGAGGTGGGTGGCATTGAAAATTACCTATGTAGGTATATAATTTAAAGAAATAAGGATTAAGCGATTGAAAGGGTAGATTATCCCTTATCGAAGTGCAAGAAGTGACGAGAAATGAAAGCGTACTGCCAAGTAAAGAGCTGCAAGCCACCTTATTTCAGTCAACAATTGAGCGAATTAGCAACCCTCGGCAGCTTGCAAAAAAAGAAATATCAATGCTGAAGTTTGAACTAGTAAGACGGGACTTCTGTGAAGGTTTCGTGATTTTAAACAAGCTTGAAATAGGAAAAGTTATTGATGAAATCGGGCAGACAATCTAATTTGTAAAGAGCGAGTTTCAATTCGGGATTTCTTGAGGACTCCAAATGCATTGCATGTCTTTGAACATCGCAAAATAAGCAATCGACAATCAAAGATGTTGGCCATCAATAAAAACAAGAATACAGCAGCTCATGAGATCAAACGTAATGACAACATACTTCATCTACAAGAGCGAAATGGATTGTCGTATATGTGAAGTGAGGAAAATATCACCATATTCATAATCCTCTCCACCTCTAGAATAACCTTTCAAACTGTGAAAGTCCGCCTGTGGAGGTGCTTCAGTAGTCGGTATCAGATAGAGACGACTTCTGCAGATACTTCTACTCGCTATGTCAAACAATCTGAAAAGCGAAAAGTCCCCATCAGCTCACGACACAACGAACACTGGTGTATGTAATTCGAATGAATGTGAAAAGAAGTTGACGTTAGATAGGCGCAATATATTATGATAAGAATGGACTAGAGTCGAAAATTTCGCAGAGAATAAGCAATTGATTTCTCATTTCGTAGATGAACAATTCTCTTGACGATGGCCGACGATGAAATCAAAAGGAACCTCGAACAGATGGGGGACCTTCTTTGCCAAGCAGAGGGAGATGTCCCCACTTTACACGTGATCTTATTCCAAAAGGGTCAGCGTTGAAACAATTTCACATGTCTCGCCAAGACATGAAGCAACCGCCGTCTCACAGTTGGCTGAAAGAGCGGACGACTGAGATTCCGTAACAAGCCACAATACACACGCGGTTTAAGGATGGTTGTCTCCCAAGTATCTCTGGAAGATACTCTTTCGTTCTTTGAACAGGTTTGAATCATCTCATCTTTGTCTTTATTACCTGTCGTTTCCGCGAATATAGCATTGAGTGCTTTCCTTCTCTGAATCATTCGATTTCTGTATTGCAGCGCCATACTCGAGTTGTTTTTCAACTTTTAATCCCTTAGTTTCTTCCTAATAAATCATGTCTTCTGCCCATGAGAAAGTTTCGCCGAATCACAAGTCTGCTCTCTTCTCTTTTCTCAAGGTAAGTCCCTTTCTTTCAAGCATCTATTCAAGTTAAAACATGCGGAATTATAAACTGACAACCTCTTTTTCTAGTCTATAGCATCATTCAAAGGCGATCTCTCCACCTTGACCGCACCTCCTTTCCTCTTGGCTCCTCAATCCGTCACCGAATACTCTGCCTACTGGGCAGAACATCCAATTCTATTCGTTGCGGCTGCGAAAGAAGAAGACCCCCAGAAACGCGCGCTTTGCGTTTTGAAATGGTTTCTCAGCACCTTGAAAGAGCAGCATAGTAATACAGACGAGAATGGCAAGAAGAAGAGGGCCATGAAGCCGCTCAATGCTTTCTTGGGAGAACAGTTTCTGGGGAAATGGGTTGATGAAGCTGGAACAACTGAGCTAGTCTCTGAGCAAGTGAGGTGAGTGACGATACTCTGAATGGAAGGCTATAATTCTGATGGTCGTAGCCATCATCCACCTGTCACTGCTTTCAACGTCTGGAATAATGAGCATGGTGTTCGGGTACGTACCTGCTACCCATAAGCGCGGAACGCTTTTCTAACATCGATCCACAGCTCCAAGGCCATATTGCGCCAAAGGTCTACTTTAGCGGTTCTGTCAACATAGACAGAGGAGGCTATGGTATAATGCACATTGATGAATACAACGAGGACCACTTGGTTACAATGCCGAAAGTTCATGTGGAGGGGTTGGTCACAGGCGCCCCTTCACCAGAACTATCTGGCACGTCATACATTCGAAGCTCTTCTGGATATACTACTAAGATCGAATACTCCTACAAAGGATGGCTTGGCGGGAAACGAAACGCGTTTGTTGCGACCATATTCAAAGATGGTAAAGAAAACGAACCTATATACACGGCAGAAGGAACTTGGAGTGGTGCATATACGATCAAGGAGGTTCGGACAAAAAGAGTCCTCGAAACGTTCAATATAGACACGATACCTCGAAGTGTGTTGGACGTGGCACCCGTCGAACACCAACATCCTCTTGAATCTCGGAGGGCATGGAAAAATGTGATTGAAGGAATCAAGAATGCGGACATCTTTGCTATTGGCTCAGAAAAGTCGAAAATAGAAATCACACAGAGGGAAATGCGCAAAATTGAAAAGGCTGAGGGAAGGGAGTTTCGTCGAAAATACTTCACGGCTGCCAAAAGAGACCCTATAGCTGAGAAGCTAGCAGCAGGTCTGAAGGGTACATCCATGAGATACGAGACGGACGCAAGCCGTATGATCTGGTTATGGGATGAAGCAAAGTACCAGCGCGTACAAGATAATCTGCGAAATGGATTGAAGAGTCCTACACATGCGAGATTCGATTCTGGGATTTCGGGTATGGATTTGAAGGGCTTGAGTATTACTGCTTCGGCGTGATGTGACAAGATAGGGTTAGACGGCCTGTAAATTCAGAGAGACTCTTTGACGGTGTACATTAGATAGATTGGATGGGTTTGCTTCACTGCCTAGAATATACTCCTTAATACCCTTGATCTCGACCGCGCTAAAGCATAAGCAAAGCTTCCAACAATCCCATGATCCAAATTTTTTCTACACCCTGAGAAGTAACTCACATCTCTCTCTTGCTCGGAAGACACCCAACTCATGTTTATCTTAATGATACAATGGTTCGCTCAGGTGAACCAATATCCCATCGACATGCGCCAGCCGTATCTAAGAAATCGATCGCTGGCCCCACCAGCAAAAGCTCTCCCATCACAAGATTTCATCCTCCTCTTACCTAGGTAGGTATGAATGTGTCTTAGGTATGACGTACCAAGTAAGACCCCCCGATCACAAGGCGATACGAAGAATCTTTATTCACCTGCACTTTTCTTTCACGGCAATATCAGATTCCAGGGTTGCCTTGGCGGGGTCCAACGCGGGATCGAAGGGCTAGACTATGATGTCATGGAATCCGCCTCGATGTCATCCAATCACAAGCGAGGATCTGGCTTTTGACAAACGGGAGCTAAAATACTTAAGGGTGCTCCCGTCCTGGTGGTATATTGATATTTGATAACAAACTCAAATCAGTACACTACTACACAATACAGAATACTCAAGAAATTTTCACGAAACGAATAACTCAATCACATCTTCAACATGTCTGACAAGAACACTTCCACTCTTCAGGCTGGCATTGACTCTATCGCTGGAGGTGTCCAGTCTGCCGTCGGAGCTGTCTTTGGCAACCAAAGCGATGTGGTATGTTCTTTTTATTTCAACCACTGATTTCAGATTAGTCTCCCAAAATCATATCACTAACACATCACCCAGAACGCCGGCGAAGCCAAGAAAGACAAAGCAACTCTCGAGAAAGAGGCATCCCACGCAACCGTCAAACTCCCAGGTGTCAGCGCTTCCTCCTCGGGAGCCGTCACCAAAGATGATCCAAACCGCCAAGAAGGAGCCTGGAATCAAACCATGGGATCCGCAAAGGAGACTGTTGGAAACTTAGTCGGTTCTGAGGTACTTCCCCCTCCCAATACCACAAGTATTAACTCTATTAACATAATTTATTTTAGGATCTCAAACGCACTGGCGCCCAACAAAACGCCGAAGGTAAAGGCCAAGAAGCACAAGGCCAAATCAGCGACTACGGATCTGGTATCGCTAATCGTGTTGGTGGTGCCGTTGGTGGTGCTGTTGCGGGTATTACTGGGGATCGTGAGGCTCAGCTTAAGGCGCAGGATAAACATGATGTTGGGAAGACTCAACAGCGTGGCGCGGAGCATGATATTGTGAAGCAGAACTCTTAGATGGAGTGTTTGGGAGAGAGTGAAGGCAACAAAATGGAATGGGATGGGATTGGTTGGGATGATACCCCATAGGAATTGCATTGGCGTGGTGGGATTTGCGATGGATTTGTTATGGTTATGAAATGCCTGGGTTTTAGGTAGCGGAATGATAATACCTTTTTGCAGCAGCTATTTTTCTGTCTTTGGCGATTCTCAACGGTTAACACTTTGCCATACCATTCCTCATATAATTTCTCACGCCTCTTCACCCAGACACTTCTCATAATACTTACAACCAAACGAGAGCTTCTTCCCATAATAGCATTGTGAAATTCTTATAGTAAACGAGAAATGCCATTTCCGTACCGCAACTAGAACGGGAAAATTTTTCCAACTACTGTTTTAGGGTTCCCTTGTTTTAAAATCATGAGTTTTACCAACCCCTAGCCCGTCTTTCCTCTCGCGTTTTTTACATGCACCTTCTATCAAGCTTACACTCAATCAAGGTAACATTCAACTTTCATATCCCGCAAGCAACCTATCACTCACAACATTCATAAGCATGCAAGGCCAAACTCGCCGAGCAACAACAACATGTGATAAAACCCCTTAAAACAAGCCCCTGACTTACGGTATCAGGCTACTCCTTGAGGTTCATGACACTGTAAACGATACTCTTATTTCAATCTTATTACTATCAAAAATCAATATCCAATATGTAACAACTCGACTTGGCAACTCTGACAACTCAGCGTAAGCACTTAAAATAAATCTGACTAATCATCAATATATACCTAGGAAATGAGATTTAATGTACACCGCTCGCAAAATACAACGATCCGAGACTTTGTATTTTATGGTCATTGGTATCGATGAGGTTAAAATCCGATATGTTGGGTTCGGCGCTTCGGCTATAACGTGGTGTTGTAGTGTGTGATGGTGCGTATTGCGGGGTTAGCTACCTTACCTACACTTTAAAACTTATAAATAAGTAAGCACTGGCTCTGTGAACGACATATATAAATACCCACGAGATCGATTTCATAATCTCATTCCATCCTTAAGCTCACTCGATATTAAAGCACAACACGCCAAAATGGAAGCCACCTGCAACTGCGGTGCCATAACGGTGAAAATCACCGATGACGAACTGTTTACGAAAAAGAGAGGTCATCTGTGTTATTGTGAGAATTGTAGGAAGACTGCTGGATCTGGTATGTCACCATCGCTCCCAGCATAACTCCTCTTTTCCGCCTTCCAATCTCATCAATCATCTATCACACAACGACTAATAATGGCATAGTATTCAGCGCGAATCTTATTATTGAGAACTCCAAAATCAGCATCACAGGAGAGGAAAATCTAAGTGTCTACGAAGACAAGAAAACAACGAGTGGAAATCCGGTGTATAGATATTTTTGTAAGACGTGTGGGAAGTATGTCACTATTCCCCTTCCCCTTCCCCTCCCCCTTCCCTCTTATCCCATCC